AAGTATGGGGAAGAAAAGATTGAGTACTTTAAAAGATATGAAGCCTCAAGGGGGTGCTGGCACGCCCTTACCTGAGGGTAAGGCGAAGGTAGCAGTTTGACCATCATTTTGATCAGTACTCAATTTTGGGAAGATTCATTTTTGAAGGACAGAACCAGTCTTCCTGTCACCCTATGCACTTTATAGGCTCTGAGGATCTGAAATGGTCTCTTTATAGATTTCTCTTTCATTTATCGATCTCTCCCGTTTTCTATGGTCCAATTGAGAGTCTGTACCAGTATTAATCCGATTTAAAGTATACGGGAAGAAGGCTTAACATGGAAGTGTAGAGGACTGTTTTGTAATCCGAGAGACTTGATTCCTTATGTATTTGCAAACTCTTGGATAATTGAATTTTTCATGATTTTTGCATTAATTACTCCTTTAGATTCTAGGATTGTGAAGAGAAATAAATCACAGAAGTTGTGAATTTTACATAATTCTAAAAATTTTAATAATTTTTTTGACCGTCAGAGATGATTTAGTCGATTACAGTACCGTTCCCAAGTATCGTGGAAGATTCAATAGCACGATACAAAAATCTAGGAATCATCTAATCACTTTTTCCTCCTCTGACTAGTCTCTACCAATGAACATTCATAAAGACCCTATGACCTCTACAGACCCATACGAGTCCTAATGTATAGTATAGAGTTACAAGGCTCCAAAGAACATTACCGTTTAAGTCTACAATCAAATTTCTCTTATCTCCTAAATCTTTATCATAGATCCATCTCGCTGCCTTTTGCAGCGAAAAATTTAATGGCTACAGTAACATGTTGTACATGTAAATTAACATGTAATTTGGACGATATTTCCAAGCATTTGTCGTCTACAAGACATAAACAAGTTCAGTACGATCCTTTGGAAGAAATCATCGAATGTGAAGAATGTGACGATACTAATATCCATCAATTACAAATACTTAGATTTGGTTTGAATGATATGACATTATTATGTCAAGCATGTTTAAATAAAGAAGATAAACCTTCCATTCAATATTCATTATCAAATGGTTCACTTTTTAAGAAAATCGAACAGTATTTCACCTTCAGAGATTTAGAATGTAAAATTTGTGCAAATGACAAGAGATTATCAATAACTAAAGAAAATGGTGAAAATTTAGTAGTGTGTAATAATTGTAAACCAGGTTACCAAGAGAAATTTCCAAATGCTAAGTTTGTTAGTGAAGATGACGATTATTTCTTATCGGAGTTATTTGGGTTGACGGAGTTCAAGCCAAATGGTAAGTTCAAATCAAAGAAAAGAGGAAAGAGAGCTGTCAGAGGTGGTAAAAGGAAACCAAAGGTTGTAAGTGCTCAAAAACAGAAGGAAGCTGACGAAAGAAGAGATTATTATTTCAGTAAGTTGGCTCAGTCAAAGGAATTGAAGAGTGGTACCACTGTCAAGGCTGTAGGATATGAGGAACCAAAATCTTCCAGGACTAATAATTCAAGCACAAAAGGTTCTAAGCCAACAGGAAAGGGAGCTTTCAAGGGACCGTCATCAAAATCAGGACCATCCAACAACGGAGGAAGAAAATCAAATTTCAATACCCCGAGTCCCTCTCCTAGAGCCTCCAAACCAAATAGTGCTAAACAATCAAGATCGACAACCCCAATACCTAAAGGAAAACCTTCAAGCTTACCTACCAAACCAGAAAGGCAAATTCCAAGTAGCTTACCAAGCAAGCCGGAGACAAATAACAAACCTTCCAATAAGGGAAAGGCTGGTAAACCAACAGAAGAACAATCAAGTAAGAATGGGAACAAGGTGCCATTGGGAAAAAAGGGCGATAATAAAAAGAAGGAGAAGTCTGAAAAGGTCGGTAGTGTTCAAGAAAACAAACCTAAAAAGGAATCAGCTAAAAACGGTAACAAAGAAAAGAATACCAAAGAACTGAAACCCGAGCCTAAGAAGGTGAAGAACGATAAATTAGATTCCAAGAAGGACCAAGGTCATTCAAAGAAAGATCAAGGGGACGCCAAAAAAGATTCAAAGGGTAAGTTGAAAGGAGCTAAGGTAGCTGATGTTAAACAGAATGGAGCCAAGGGTAAAGACACAAAATCTAAAGATACTAAAAGCAAACAAACGAATAAAGTCTTACCTTCAGATGAATCTAAAACAAAAGACAAGACCATGGAGTCTGAGCAAAAGCCTATAGTGTTACCCCCTGGCATCTCCAAATATACTCCTTCCAAAGAACCACCTTTGTCATACGATTCAATGGAAAAATACTTCCAAGAAATGAGTTATAACTTATTCCTTGAAGAGAAATTGAGTATGTCATCATCAAACAATGCTTATATTGATAGCACTGAACTGGTTTTATTGTGGTATGAAGATCAAGATAAGAAGAATAAGCAGTATAAATTGGAAATCAAATTGACTCAAGAATTCAAAAACAAGTTCTTGAGGAAAAGCATTCAAAAATTCAGAAAGGAGCCATTTTCAGCCGATCAGACCATGTTTTTGATCTTGAACGATGAGATAGCTTGGTATGGTAAGATCGTTTTATGTGAAATAATCAAAGTTGGTAGAGGTAGAGTTAAGGAAGAGGTTTTGGAAGTCATTATAGAGAATTTCGATTGGAACTATCAAAAATTACCAACCAATGTCAACGTCAAGCATTTGAAGATTTTACCAGCATCGATTCCTGTTTCAAGAGTATTCTTGGCCATGTCTAGAATCGAAAATCCTAAATTTATAAAAATGTTGTTGGGTAAAGAACCTATTAGACATATTGATTTCAAGAACTATGTCAAATTCTCAGATCCTAACAAATTCAATGAATCACAGAAAGTCGCTTTACAATCAGTGTTGAATAATCCTATCACAGTCTTACAAGGTCCCCCAGGTACGGGTAAGACATCTACCATCCATGAAATCATTTTACAATTATTAAATAATTTGAACACTTACCCAATTTTGGTGGTGGCAGCTTCGAATATTGCTATTGATAACATTGCTGAGAAGTTGATCGGTACCCACGAAAGATCTTTGTTAAGAATTGTTGCCAATGAAAAAGAACTGGATTATAATAGATCTCATCCTTTAAACCCAATATGTTTACATCACAAAATGCATGAAATGTTACCACAAGGTATGAAAGATGATCTCATTAAATTGAGAACATCACGGTCTAACGAGGTTAGTGTCAATCAGTATAAGAAGATCAGAAGTAAGCAGGTAGAATTATCTAATTTATTGATCGCTCAAGCAAGAGTGATTTTTACTACCACTGTTGTTGCTGGTGGAAATCAATTGAAATCAGTGAAAAAATTCCCAGTTGTTATAATGGATGAATCCACACAAAGTTCTGAACCAATCACCTTAATACCTTTATCAATGCCAGGAGTTGAAAAGTTCGTGTTCGTTGGGGATCAAAATCAATTGAGTAGTTTCACTCAAGTTCCTAATTTATCATTATCACTTTTTGAAAGGGTGCTTATCAATGGAACATACAAGAAAGCTCATATGTTGGATACTCAATATAGAATGCATCCAATGATTAGTGAATTCCCAAGAACCAAATTCTATGGAGGTTTATTAAAGGATGGTATCACTGAGGAACAAAGATTTATTCCATCTATAACTAAACCAGTAACATTCTGGGACACCAAAGGTAAATTTAATGAAGAAAGAGTAAGAATCAGAATGAGAGAAGATAATGGATATACTTATGCCAATCTGGGAGAAATCAAATATATCATAGAGGTATTAACAGATTTGATTTTCAGTAAAAAGATAGAAAAGAAAGATATCGGTATTATTACTCCATATAGAGGACAAAGAGATTTGATTTCCCATGAATTACTGAAAAACGATTTGATAAATCCTACCAAAGAAGAAATTAAAGTCGAAGTTGATAGGGATGATATCTATAATGAATCAAAACCTTTAACCATTCACACTGTTTCAGATATTATGATTGCTTCCATTGATGCTTTCCAAGGTAGAGAGAAGAACTTCATCTTATTCTCGTGTGTCAGAAGTAATAAAGATAACAAGATTGGATTCTTAAATGATGCCAGGAGATTAAATGTTGCCTTAACAAGAGCTAAATATGGTTTGATTATGATTGGAGATTATCAATGTTTGGTCAATGATGGTTTATGGAAAGAATTCTTAGATCATTTACTGACAAAAGAGTTGATCAACAATGAAGAATCGTTTGTTTATTAATAGTATTTAAATAGAGCAATAGAGGAAAACAATAATTAATTCTATGAATATACCATTACCTATCTAATATACAATCTATAAATCTATTATTTGGGGAAGCTGAAAACTGACCTAATTGGTGGTAATTGTGTACCACTATTGGCAATTGAATTTGGATTAGTTTCGATATTGTTAACTGAAACATCCAGTTGAGGTTGTAAATGGGGTGAAATTGTTGGAGTTTGCAAAGGGGTTTCATTAGGGGAAATTATTCCAGCATTATTGTTATTAAAACTTGGGTTTTGAGAAATTGAAGTTAATGGAGTTAAACTTGCAAAACTTTGAGATGGAGAATTTGGTCTTGATTTCTTTAATGGTTGAACAAACTCTAAGTTCAAAGAAGTTGAGCTATTTTGTTTTGGAATATTGAAATAACTATTGCCATTAATTGAAGAAGACGGCGTTGTTGGGTATGAAATTATTCTTTGATTTATTGAACTGCTTGGTTTAATTGGAGTCATTCTTGTAATTGGATTCAAAGCATTTAAATTACCATAAGATGAGGATTTTGATTTCAAAGATCCAAATTCTGCATTCGAACTCAAATTTGGACTTGTTATAGAACTGGAATTATTATATGAATTATTAGCTCCATGAGTTTTCTTGATTATCAATTCATTCAAATTGGTTAATGATGGTAATTTCTTATGTAAAATGGCTTGATCTGGTGAAGTACTCAAAGAGTGATTATTAGAATTATCACTGAATATTGATGTAGAAGATTCCAGTTTGGATAAAAATGATGTTTTGGTAGTTGGTGATGATGGTAATGAAAATATGGCTGATCCTTGTTGTAAGTGAATTGCTTTATCTTGATTATTTACAGAATTGGCATTTGATGATAAATTCAAGTTTGATATGGATTTATTATTATTATTTAATCCTTGAATATTTGGATTAGAAACTGATATTGAATTATTAATTGGTTGAATGACATAAATAGGATATCCTTGTTGATAAATGGGTTGACCATCTTTATCTACACCCACAGGGAAAGTGATTTGGGAATTATACGGTAACATAACAGAATTTTGGAATTCTTTTGGAGATTTGGCAGATATTTGTAAATTTGGAGTTGATCGACTATTCTGTAACATTGGTAATTGTTCAAGGGTTTGTCCTTGTAATTGTATTTGTTGGAATTGTTGTTGTTGTTGATGTTGTTGTAAATATTGTTGATGTTGTTGATCCATATTAAGATTGGTTTCTTGTAAAACTATATCTTGATTTTTGGTTTTCCTTTTCCTATTTGTTGGATTGTTATGTATTCTTAAATGTCTAGTTAATTCATCTGAACGACTGAATCTTTTAGGACATCCCGGAAATGTACAAGGATGAGGTTTTTCACCTGTATGAGTTCTTATATGTCTTGTTTGATGTTCTAATCTGTGGAAAGCTTTGTCACACATTGGACATTTATAGGGTCTATCCTTTTCTTTCTTTTTATCATCGAATTTTTCTTCTTTGACTTCACTCATCTCTACCTTCAATGATCAATAAATTGGTTTTTATATATATGTTAGGTTTCGATGTTATTTAGTATTGTTATTGTTTTATAAATTCGTTGAATAGGTTTCAAGGAGTAAAAATTTTAATTTTCTCGGAAGGCAGAAAATGATGAGATTTTTATATGAACACAATTTTTGACACAATTTTCACCCTATTTTCAGGACTTTTTTCAATACGGGGCAGTTTGGGGGCGATGAATCAGAGTAAATAGAGATTAAAATTATTATTAATATGGATTAGAAATAAGTTATTCGAATCATTACTCCATATTTATGAGTGTGGGGGATGCATATAACGGTTTTGATAAGAAATATTATAGTTACCCATTTGCTATTGATTGCATAATAATATAATATGTAATATTTTAATTGCAAATAGATGTTGGGGTTGTGTGCTACGGATAATTAAATGCTGGTGTTGTTTCTTTTTTCGATAACATCTGATGAGAGTTTTTCCGAGCAGTTTATCCGGAATATTGGGGGTGATGTGTGCATGGTTAAAATAATTTAAAAATAATCTATGAACCATTTTAATTCAAAATATCATCGATATCTTGCAATTAAATAAAATTATCAATGATCAACAATTCTAGGAAATGGCTGTGAAATTGAAATTGAAACTTAAATCCCCCTAATCGTATATATGCAGTTTTTTTGAATAACTGGTTATATGCGAAAATATATACTGACTAATGGCGGGATTTGATAACTTTCGAATCATATCATACAATAGAGGGAATTTTACTTTTAGTATTTCTTCAGATAACACTACTTTCCTTTGTTAAAAGATAGTGATTTCAAATACGAGAACCCGTTGTACTCCACACATGACCCCGCATCGGACCATATATACATTTACAGAACTATGGATGGAAAATATTTTTTTTTTCGGATCGTTTGTGAGGCTCCGATTACGTAAGCATTATAAGCTATTTATTGAAAATTATATTGATCATCAGCTTCTTCATTAGAATTACTTAATGATCCATTCATTAACTCTCTGTCGGAAGAGATATTGTTCATCAAAAGCTCGCTATCAAGATTGAAATCTAACCATTGGTCGAACCAAGTTAAATTACCATAAATTTTTTTATCATTTCTTTCTTTCTCCATTCTTTCAATTTCTATTGAACCACCACCCGAATTATCAGTATTACTAGTAGCTGGACCATCTTCATATTGATAGGATAATGAATCATCTCTGGAATGTTTGTTGATGGTCTTACCTTGAACGGAATCATGACTATCGAGTCTTCTCCTTTTACCGGTTCTAATTAATTCAGTGAATTCTTGGACTTCACCTCTAGCTACATCATTAGCTAATCCATATTGAGTAAAAGTTTGCTTGTTAACTTCATTGGATCCTGGATCAATACCTATGGAATTCAAAACATCCAAATCTTGTTTAAATCGTAAAGTCAACATTTTACTAGCATTTTTCAAAGCCCATAAACATTCTTCTACCATTTTAAATCTGTTTTTCACAATGATTTTGTTATCTTCGGATTTAACATTTGCTTTCTTCAAAATTGTAATTAAATTTATTGTCCTCGAGTAATAATCCCTGGCTGTGGGTAAGAAAAGTCCAGCATTGATTAAGATTAAAAAGTTGACACCCACATTGAACAATAATAACAACCCAAAATACCACGGTGTGTATAATAAGCCCGCTTTACTAATTTTAAGATAGATTTCAACAATATTGATACAACTGTCTAGCACCATTTCGATTTTCAAACCTTGGGTAGCAATTCTTCTCCCTACAAAATTGAAAAGAATCTTCCCATGAATACTTAAAATCAAATCATAGTAATGAAGTTTTACTTGAGATTTCACCAAAGAAGAAATGGTTTCATTGGGGTTATTAAAAATTTCATTATTATTGAAACCATTATCATTCAACCAATTATTCAAGAAAACGATTTCTTTATTAATTTGTTGATATTTCAAGAGATCTAATTTTTCTCTACTGGCAGAATGAACAACTGATGATAATTTAGCTATTTGAATCAAAGCTAACGATGGTAAAGTAATCCAATTATCTTTTTGATTTTCCACTTTGAAATCATAACTGGGGAAATCTAATTCGATTTCATCCACGGATAATAATCCATATCTACCACTTTGTAAACCGAATAATCTTTCGAATACGAACACTGACCAGAAAATTCTTTTGGCTTTCAAACCTTCATATGCAGTTCCTGGTATTCTATGGCTGACACTTCTTCTACTTAAACCCATTGACTTTGTCATTGATATAGCATAACCCATGGATTGGAAAAAAGAAGTTTGACGGTGAGTTACCCTTAAATAAAGAGTCATAAGTAACCAACATTGGATTAATTCGAAACTTTCCCACTCGAAACTTAAAATTTTGACTATTCTATGACAATGTTTGAAGAGGATCTCTTCAATGTCTAAGTTTTCCATTTTGAGGTCTTTTTTCTTCTGGAATTCTGTGAATCTGATAACAATCACAACTATCAAATATAACATGGCTTCAAATAATTTGGTTTCATTAGTATCATCTATTTCATTATTGTTGGTCAATGCCAAATAACTCTCAACTTGTAATCTGAAAACGGGTTCATGAACAATTGCAAATAAGGGATTAATCTCTTTGAAGAAATAGTCAACATAGAATGAAATATCGTGATCTAAATTTACTTCAGGTAAAGAAGGTAAAGCTTCAGGACTTAAATAATGTGTACCACTCATATTCCAACCAAAATATTGGGATCTTGGTAAATCAACCAATGTTTTGTTTTCATCATTCAAATAACTATAAGTATTATAACATAATTCTGAAATCAATAAAATTTGATTTCTATTGGAATATCTCCATTTACTAGTAAGGCTGACAAATCTTTCGGTGGTTTCATCTTCAGTTTCACCATTCGAAGCAAAACTAGCAACTTTTTCTCCTTCAGCACTCAATCTGCTTTCAAGATATTGGATTCTATTTTCAAGATGTCTTATATATGACTTGTCTTCGCTCCTAATTACATAGGGTAATTCTTTAGGTGTTTTGGTATTTAAGATGGTTGGTACTTGTTCAACTTCTTTTGTTCGGGCAACTTGTTGATTAGATGAATAAATACATTCTCTTTTATGTTTGGTACAAGTTGTACATGGATAAGTCCCTGAACATTTAATCTTTTGAGTTCTACATCTATCGCATGCTTTACTAACTCTTATTCTACCTTTTGGCTCATTCAGTTTATTATAGCCATCATTGTTATTCAAGACATCCTTGCTATTATCTAATAAATCATCGAACTTTGCCATGGCTAACTTTTCCACTCAGTTTTCGGCCAAAATTTGTCGATCCCTATATCCCGTATATCTAACTGATTATAGAATTTTCGCAATGTGTCATAAACCCATTTCCGGAGTTGAGAATCAAATTGGATAGGTGGACCAAAGGAGAGATATTTTAAAGGTTATATACATTAACGAGCTTTACCATCGGCAGCTTTAACATACAATATATCACCATCTTCAACATAATAATCTTTACCCTTCATCATTAATTTACCAGCAGCTTTAACACTTGGTTCATCTTTATATTCTATTAAATCATCATATTTTATAACTTGAGCTAAGATGAAAGTTTTTTCTAAATCAGTATGAATAGTACCAGCAGCTTGAGGAGCAGTATACCATTTTCTGATAGTCCATTCTCTAACTTCATCAGGACCTCCAGTAAAGAAAGATATTAAATCTAATTTTTGTCTCATTGAAGTAATAATTTTTGGTAAAGCAGATTGAGTACCAATTTCTTTTAAGTAAGCTTCTCTTTCTTCATCACTTCCCATACCGGTTAATTTTTCTTCTAAACAAACACTGATTGGAATAATTAAATCACCTGGAGAATGTTTATCAACCCATTCTTTAATTTTTAATAAATGTTTATTCTTCTTTCTGATATAATCTCTTTCAGATAAGTTAACTAAATAAATACATGGTTTAGCAGTTAATAAAAACATGGTATTAATTAATTCAACTTCTTTAGCAGTCCAAACTTGATTAGCAACTCTTTGTCTATCTTCCAATAATTGAATGATTCTTTTAACTAATTCAGCTTCTTCTTTCTTTTGTTTAACTTCTAATGATTGACCACCTCTTCTGGTAATTTTTTCAATACCTTCTAAATGTTTTTGAGCAAATTCAATATCTTTTAATCTTAATTCATCGAAAACAATATCTAAATCAACAGCTGGGTTGACTTCATCATTAATATGGATAATATCACTATCTTCAAAACATCTAACAACTTGGAAAATAGCATCAACAGCTCTAATATTAGCTAAGAAATTATTACCTAAACCTTCACCAGCATGAGCTCCTTTAGTTAAACCGGCAATATCATAAATAGTCATAAATGCTGGAACTTCACTTTTTGGTTTATATAAATCACATAAAGTATCGAATCTTGGAGATGGAACAATAACTCTTGCTTCTTCTGGTTCAATGGTTGCAAATGGATAATTAGCTGGATTACCTAATGGTGATTTGGTAATTGCTTGGAAAAAGGTTGATTTACCAACATTGGCTAAACCAACAATACCAGATTTTAAATTGTTACCTGGTCTTCCTAATAAAATTGGTTTTTCTGCTACTTTCTTCTTTGGTGCCATTTCTTTCTATTTAATTGAATGTTCAGAAATCTCAAAAGATCAAGTTTGAAAAATTTTAATCGTCCATCACACGACTTTTGCTACGATTTGAGTGCGGGTAACTGCAAAATGAATAAATTCGCACTGAAAAGTTTTTAGGATTTCATTAACCTATACTAACAATGTTTAAAGGAATAAGTCCAATAGTTAGATCATTTGCTACCTCAACTAGGTTATCACAATCATCATGTAAAGCAGGAACTGTGTTGAATTTAAAAATCAGAAAATCCGGAAATGAACCTGTTGCATTAGAAGATTCTGAATATCCTGAATGGTTATGGGATATGTTAAATAAAGATAAAAAAGAACAAGATTTGAAAACTGGTGATATAATGAAATGGAGAAAGAAACAATTGAATAAATCTAATACTGCCAAGATCAAAAATAATAATTTCTTATCACAAATGTAGAGAGAATTTGATTAATGTAGAGCATTGAAAATTGTAAAATAGATATAAAAGCAAATATGTATATAGAGAAAAAAAAATGTCATTAATGAATCACTTCAATATCTTCGTCATCACTGTATTTCATTTGAGCAATTGAAACTGTGTTATCTTCTAAATCAAATAAGGTATAACAACTTCTTAAGAAATTATCACCCAAGATGGTATGATCATCATTAGCTACAACTCCTAACATACATTGTTGTTGATTCATAGAATCTCTTCCAGCAATCATAACCAAATCAGATAATGGAACTTCGATGGATTTTTTGTTATCGAAATTATAACTAACACTATTACCTTCTTGTCTTAAACTACAAGGAACTTGATAACCACCAAGATTTGAATTATAAGAAGCTCCTGGAGCGATTTTACTAATTAATGAATCAACAGCAGCTTGAGGTAAATAAGTTAAGGTAGTACCAGAATCAAATAAACCATTAGTATTCAAAGTAATGACATTATCGTCTCTTTTACTATTTTTACCAAATAATTGATTTATAGTATCATCAATTAAAGCGATAGTAGGATGAGGAGAAGGACTTGATACCAAAGTAGAAGCGGTGGTGGTTGCACTTTGAACAGGAGTAATAAGATTGACAGTTAAATCATTCAAGGGGATTTGGAAATGTCTAACAACTCCATTAATTGGAACAATATCAAATTTAACCAATTCTCCAGTATATTTAGCATGATCAACACCACCAAATAAAATACTTCCCTTTTCAGATTCTGCAGGTGTTAAATATAATGAATAACAGATCTTTTCAATAAAACCTTGTTGTTTCATTTGAATTGGAATATTATCATATTTATCTTGAGCACTTTCTAAAGATTTATAACCAATACCGAAAACCCCAACATTTGAATCAGTTTCATCAGCAACTGCAAGATTACCTTCTTTCAAGATCAAACTTGAAGTTAATTCAATTGTATCTTGTCCCCAAGTACCTTTAGCAAAAGTTTGATCTAAATATTGAATTGAAAATTCTGTATCGTTCTTAGAAAAAGTAGTAGAATTATCTTCATTATAAGTACCATATTGATCGCAATTCATTGAACCCCCATTTTCAGTACAATATGAATTTTTACTTGACATGACCCAAAGATCAGCCGATCCAGTATCTAACAAAACTCTAACATCACTTGCATCTGAACCAATTTTCAATGTGGTGATGTAAAAGGCTCTTTCATTAGTTAAGGGAACTTGTTGAGATCCATTTTCTCTTTTACCAAGTAAATCTCCAACATCTTCAAGAGTATCACCAATGGCATCTCCAATACCTTTAAAGAAATCATCCACCACTTCAGTTAAATTGAAACCTTTTCTAACATCGAAATCTAATTTATAGAATCCATCAGAACAAAGGATTGGTGTAGCTAATAAAACTGATTGAATTAAACGATTGACTAACATTAATGATTTAGAAAAGAGGATTTATGGTACTTATAAAGATCAACCTCGAATTTTTTCTTAACACATTACGTATGAGTGTTTACTTAGATTCCATAGTTTAAAATTTCCCCTTTTAAAAGTGTTCTTTTCATTTCCGATTGTTTCAATTCCTCAAACAAAGACAAATCTCACGCTGGTTTAGAACCACCAGCCAGACATTATATAAACAGTCGCGAACAATCGAATCGAGGGCTTGCAGAGCAGAATTACTTGCTATAAGTCTATGAAATTGTTAATAACTATGGATGTTAAATTTTCTGGGTATCATATTGTTGTAACGAGTGAGTCGGGTTTTTCAGTTGATGCCTTTTTGTGCATTGGTAGGCTTTTATTTGCGTTTGACTTTTTACACGATTGTTTATGATTTTGATCTCTTTGTCTACATTTCACGCTTAAACTCAGGCACGAATTTACTCAGGTACCCAATGACCGATCCCATACCCCGGATATCGTCATGAAACCACACGAATGAGCTTTTATAACCACGGGATATTGGCCAGGGTGAAGAACCACGGTATATTAGTTTCACAATTACTGCCTACCATGGATTATCTTCAATATCATTGTCCCCCCAATTCTTATAAGCCAAAGAACTTGGTAATTGAACAGGTTTGAATAACTCGTCACCTTTGAAGTCTTTAGCTTCATGCTTTTCATCCTCGTCATCACTTTCTTCTTCTTTATCTTGATCATAATCATAAGTATCATTTAAATCATTCTTGTTCTTGGATAACAAATCATCAATATCATCTAGAACATCAATTGGTAATGAGGGTTGATATTTTTTAGCTCTTAAAACTCTAACACCTCCTAAACCTGAACCATAATTATTTATTAGTTCAGGTAAATTAGGTAATGAAACTTTATAAATAAAATTTGGATTTATATAAATATTATACTCCTTGGATAATAATTTGTTTTGGATCATATAATCTAGATTTATAAGTTTGATTTGATTCTCTCCTTGTTCAGAGATTAATTTCTTCACCAAGTTGATGATTAATTTTGGTAATTTGGTTTCATTGATTTCATATTTATAATTCTTAGTTATCTTAAGTATTTGATAATAATTCAAATAATCGAATTGATTGATGGTATTTATGAAACTTTCTTCATCATTTAATGAACTCATACATTGTAAGAATTGTAAAAGTTCAATTGTTGGTTGTAATTGAGTTTTCCCTATGAAATAAATTGAATTATAATAGAAGATTAGATTATGGGGATTTCTTTTATTTAATTTACCACCATCGTCTAATAAATGCTGTAATGTAAAATTCTCAGGTACTAACAGTTTCAAATTCCCAATAGTATCGGGTTTGAAAATTTTATAATTATGAGATCTTAACCAATCTTCGATAGCTGAAATATTCAACCTAATTTGAATTCCTTTAGATCTTGAACAATACTTTGAATTTCCAATAACTTTATTGAATATGATGGAATCGATGTAATAGAATACTTGAGAAAAGCATTGGAATCTGGTCAAATAATCAACTGAATGCAAATTAAGAACATAATCTAAAGCTCCCAAAGTTTGAATATATTTCAAAGGTGAAGGTTTCATTAATTCTATTTGACTTGGAGGGTATAACATATCATAAATATCATCAAATGAATTAGAATGTTGTTTCTTAGATTTGAAAAAGTTCCAATCTTTAGCATATAAAACATTAGAAACATCCACTAAATTGGTGAAGTTCAAAATACAATCATCCACCAAAATATTCAATCTGGAATTGATAGAAAATGATAATGTTGAAATTAATGATTGAATGACATTGATCAATTCTTGTAAGAATTTAGGATAAATCTTATAAATATCATTCTTACAAAAATAGAAATGTAAGAATTGTATCACAGATAACCAATAACTTAATAAAACAATATCTCCAGCACCTCCAATTGAATCAGGATCATCTTGAATTATCATATTGAACACTCCTGATTTAGTATTGGTAACTGTTCTTAATCTAATAATAAAACAATCAAAGGTAAAATTAGTTAAATCTTCACTATCAACTTTGAAATGAGAATATCTTATCAATTGGAATATTATGGCTGCTGGGATTTTAGTATCATGCTGATGTTTGACATTATTTACTCTTAAATTGAATATAAAATCCAATAATGTTGGAATATCACTATCGGTGAATTTTATACATTCATCAGGTAAAACTTTATCATATTCGAATTCTTTCAACTGAACTAATAAATGATCTCTTCCTAACTCTTGCTCTTCATAAAATTCATCCAATTCTTTATTATAATCTTTTTCTTCTTCATATGCATTAACATCAATAGTTTGTAATTTGATCTTATTGGATAATTCATCGATTTCTTGTTCTCCTTGGAAACTATTATCTTGGAAATAATCACTTTGGTCAAAGGATTTATTCAATAAGTTATGGGATCTGAAGAATTCCGTCATTTCCACATTTTCATGATTTAAAATGCTTACAGCATTCTTCCCATCATCTTTAGGGCATAAGAAAGGATCTGCTTGATTATTCAATAAGATTTTAACGATATCTAGTTGATTGAAGTAAACGGCCCACATAATAGGAGTATAATTTATAATCGTATCTGGAGTATCAACATCACAACCATGATTGATTAGACTTTCAACTAATTCTGAATGATCAAAACAAATAGCAAAGATTAGCAATGTACACCCTTTGGATTCTACTGGGTATAAACTGTTAATAATGTCTTTATGATTCCTCAAACCATTCTCTAAAGTAACCATATCACCATCGCAAGCACTCAAGAAGGTCTCAATAATGTCTTTATTACCATCATCTTTCTCCATTGCCAATTGTAAAGCTTTCTTGATAGTAACTATTTGAGTAAAATTCACATCACTATAGTTCATTAACCTACCTAATTGAATAGCATTGGAAATCGTTAGATTTTGATCCAATCCCCAAGCATTCATGTTTCAAATGTTGGAAGTCCTTCGCGAAATTTATTTTAAGAATCATCTTCTAATATGAACAGGTATCATCAGCGAATAACTTTATTTGCTTTGTTATTTGTTGGTGTTATATCATTAGTGATACTTTCTTCCAATTCCAAAACTGTAGGAGAAAACTTACACTTTTTAGATAATCTTACGCATACTCCAATAGTGATAAATAAACCTGAAGACCAAACACAAAATTCTAATAATGAAATTATAGGTGAAACTAAAAGTGAAACCAAAGGTGAATCAGATGAAGAAAAGAAGCCTGAAGATATAATGGATCCTTGTACAGTAATAAATCCATTGAATAGAGGGTTCATTGATTTAAGAGGAATCTCAGCTTTTGGAAACGAAGGTAAACCCTTACCTTTAGGAGCCAAAGGTTATGATAGTGGAGTTAATTTTACTTTAGGTATCTGTTCTACGCCAATGAAAAAAATTCATGAACCATCAGAATTACAAGATGATATCGATTCAAGTAAGATTGGTGGTTATTATAAAGATCCCAAGACTGGTTTATATGTTTCAATTGGAGAATTCAATACATCACCAGTATTCAGAGGTAGGAAACTTACTTTGACATATGAAAATGGTTCATATTGTAATTTGGTTGATAGTAAAACAGGGTTAAAGGTTAAAAAATCAACTATAATAACATTGGTATGTGATCGTGAAATGTTATCCAAAGCTGCCGTGTCATATATTGGTAATGTTAATGAATGTGATTATATGTTTGAAGTAAGATCTCATCATGTTTGTCCAACAGCTGCTAAAGCTAATAATATGAATGCTGTATGGATATTTTTATTGATTGTCATTGCCACTATAGTAGGTTATTTCTCTGGTGGTATCCTTTATAGACAAATGAAGGCCAAGAAGGTTGGTATTTAGCTTTAAATATATAGATTATATGATTACAAAGGATTTTTGAATAACCCTTTCTGACTATTCTTGAGCTCTTCTTACACAGAGACATCTTCGTGGAGATGCCGTTTTAGGGAATTTCCAGAGATAGAGATTTCTTGAGATATATATGGACCTCAAATACTCTTTATTTTATATTACACAGCTTTAAATAAATTAGCTACTGTTGATTGGAAATCTTTGGTGTCTGATTTCGCAGGATCCTGAGGTTTTGTTTGCTTCAACTTTTCGATCTTGTTGAGCAAGATAGTTTTCTCTTGACATTTGAAAAAGTAATCTTTTAATTCATTCTTTGGCCTTATAACATGCATGAAATTACAATGATCTCCTCTTGTACAACTATTTGTATCATAAGCTTTACAATTAGCGTCAGGAAAGTTCTCTACTGGAGATAATTCACAATGAACAGGTCGACTGCCAAACCATTCATTATTTAATTCATTAATGGCTCTAATAGCACCATCGACCGTTTTGAATTTTACATAAACGTTACCATTTAAATGATTGTTTTCATTTTCACAGATAACTATCGTTATGACTTCATCAATTTTGGCGAATCTTATTAATATATCTTTATAGAAGTTTTCAAATACTTCAGTTATTTGAATAGGATTTAAATCTTGTTCATTCTTATTTAATTTGGGATTTTGATATAAATTGGGTAACAATATAGTTCTTGATCTTGTTGGTTTTATGTGTTTCCTTGAACATTTCTCTCCATGCCTACAAGCACCTATTTTAGTGTAAAACTGACAAGTTGACTTATCCATGAGATTGAGATTGAGATTGAGTGAGATGAGAATCAGAAAGATAAAGACACAGAGACCACACAAACTTAGACAAAGAGAAACACACAAACCAGTTCGAAAAATAAGATAAAGAGAACACAAACGATAAATACTTGGATTAATCTAGAAACAGAAAACTTTATCTTGAGGATCTGATTTCATAGTAGTTGCAGGCCACCCTAATTCTTGAGTGATATCAATTAAAGATCTCTTCATTTCTGGTGGTCCACAAATGAATAATCTGTTATCACCTATTGGTTTAGGTAAATATTTTTGGATCATTTCTTTTGAGACATATCCAACTTCACCTTTCCAGTTAGCTGGTGGATCAACTAAAGTATAATGAACAGACAAATTTGGATATTTTTCAGTAATTTGATCAATTTCTTCTTTTAATAAGATATCATTTTCGGTATCATTAGCAAAGATTAAAGATAATTTGGTATTATCTTCAGGAGTAGTGATAATTCTGGTAATAACTTGTAAAATAGGAGTTATACCTGAACCACCAGCTATCAAACCAATTTCATTAGCCATATTGGTTTCATATTGTAATCTACCAACAGGTCCTCTGAATTTAACAGTTTGTCCTTCACCTTCTTTCATCATTGCAAACCTTTTGGAAACTTTCCCATTAGGATAACTCTTTACTAAGATATCAAAAAATCCAGCATCATATTTATTGGAAATTGGTGAATAATATCTGATTTCATCTTTACCATCAATATTAAAAGTACAAGCTAAATGATGACCAGTTGGGATATCTAAAATTTCATCATCATGAATTAATTTGAATCTATAAATTGCAGTATTCTTAGATACAATGGTTTTATCAATTAATTCTAAATCTCTCCATTTAACACTATCAATTGTTTTCCCTCTTTGCCAGGCTTCATAGAAATTAATTGAACATAAAACAATTGCTAACATGGCACCATATTTAATATATTGCAATCCCATGATCCCTGGTCCAATCAATAACAAAGCTACAGGGATAAAGATCCCATGTAATTTGGTTTTCAACAAATCTCTGTTATCTTTGATTTCCACCATGACAAATATTTCTATGAAAAATTTACACTGTGAGAAAAAAAATCTCAAATATGGTAAACACGGGAGAATGAAGAGAAGAGGGATAATTTTTTTTTTAAAATTACATTTATTTAAGGAGCCCAAACGTAGAAAACAAAATATAAGGTATTAAATTAAGAAGAAAATACACTTTAATATTCTTCTTCTTCAGGGAAAGAATCAGTACCAACTTCAATATAATCTCTTTCTAAAGCAGCTAAATCTTCTCTAGCTTCAGTAAATTCACCTTCTTCCATACCTTCACCAACATACCAATGAACGAAAGCTCTTTTAGAATACATTAAATCGAATTTCTTATCGATTCTTCTCCAAGCTTCAGCAATAGCAGTAGTATTTGATAACATACAAACAGCTCTATTAGCACTAGCTAATTCACTACCTTGAATAGCAGTTGGAGGTTCATAACAGATACCGATTTTAAAACCAGTTGGACACCAATCAACTAATTGAACGGATTTTTTAGATTTAGCTTGAGCAACAGCATTTTGAACATCTCTGGTAACAACATCACCTCTATATAATAAACAATTAGCCATATATTTACCTTGTCTTGGATCACATTTAACCATTTGATTACCTGGTTCAAAACATGAAGCAGTAATTTCACCAACAGAATTTGATTCATGATTAGCTCTATTTTTACTGAAAACTGGAGCATAAGAAACTAATGGGAAATGAATTCTTGGGTATGGAACTAAATTAGTTTGAAATTCATTTAAATCAACATTTAATGATCCATCAAATCTTAATGATGCAGTAACTGATGAAACAACCTGAGCAATTAAACTATTTAATGATGAAAATGATGGTCTAGCAATATCTAAGTTTTTTCTACACATATCATAAATAGCTTCATTATCAACCATAAAAGTACAATCAGCATGTTCTAAAGTAGTGTGAGTAGTTAAAACAGTATTATAAGGTTCAACAACCGATGTTGACACTTGAGGAGCTGGATAAACAGCAAATTCTAATTTGGATTTTTTACCATAATCAATTGATAATTGTTCTAATAATAATGATCCAAACCCTGATCCAGTACCACCACCTAATGAATGGGTGAAAAGGAAACCTTGTAATCCATCACATTGATCAGTCATTCTTCTAATTCTATCAGTAACATCATCTAAAATTTCTCTACCAATAGTATAATGACCTCTTGCATAATTATTGGCAGCATCTTCTTTACCTGAGATTAATTGTTCAGGATGAAATAATTCACTATATTTACCGGTTTTAACTTCATCAATGACATTAGGTTCTAAATCAACATATAAAGCTCTTGGAACGTATTTACCACTACCAGTTTCACTAAAAAAAGTTGAAAATCCTTCTTCACCCCCTTTTGGTTTATCTAAACCTTCTTGTAAAAATCCATCTGGTCTGATACCATGTTCTTGAGAGTATAATTCCCAACAAGCGTTACCGATTTGACAACCTGCTTGACCAACTAAAATCTGGTTAGTAATCTATACGCGTAGGGAGATCAGATCACATATCAAACAATTTATCAATTGAATCCATTCCAATTGATCAATCAATTCATTCATGATACCTTCTGTTATAACCTTTGATCTATGTTAATTTCATGAACATACCGTTAATACTAACAACTTCTCTCATCTTATAAAATCTTCAAAGTAATCAAAAATTTTCGTTTGTTTTCATTAACCGCTCATTTTTTTGAGAAAATTCAAAACAAAACAGACGAAAAGATCGACTTCCCAATTAGGTAATATGATCGATAGAGACCGTACATAGTTAGGATTATAAGAAATTTAGGGATTATAAGAATTTTATGGATTATAATTTATTTCTCTAAAATACATTTAATATGAAAAATTCTAAGCAATTTCATAATATCTTTTGAATTTATCATCAATTTCAGTTAAGTAATAGGTACCTTTGGCTAAAGTTTCAATTGAACCAGTTGGTTTGGTACTCTTTTGTAAATGAATTTTTTCTCTTAATTCAATAGCTTCAACATATTGTTCAGGAGTTCTTTTAGTTCTACCTTCACCTAATTTGTTTTCAATATCTAAGTTTTTAGTAATATGAGAAATATCTCCTTTAACAACAACTGATAATAAAGTTGAAGCTAAACCTGAACCATATGAGAAAATACCTAATCTTTTGTTTTGTAAAGCATCAGAACCAACGAAATATAATAATGATGATAATGATGACCAACATGAAGCAGTATACATATTACCAGTGTTAGTAGCGACTTTTAAAGAAGGATCTAATTTAGTCTTTTTTGATTCTTTAGTTAAACCAAGGAAAACTTTTTCTAAGTTTCTATCAACTAAAGATTGTTCATAAGTTAATGAATCAATGGATTTTTTGGTTTCTTCATCAATTTCAAATGATTCTGGGTTAGATAAATAATCATTATATAATAATCTGGCATAAGATTTAGTAACTAATTTACAAGTTGGAACATGGAATGCATTATAATCAAAATGAGATAATCCAACGGTTTTATCATCTTTGGTGATTTTTTTAGAATAGTTTTTGTAACAGTTATCTAAAGCTTTAACATAACAAGATAATGAGAAATGACCATCAACAACAGGATATTCACTAGTAAAATCTGGTTTATAGAAATCATAAGCATGTTCCATGAATGAACCTCTGGTTGAGTCAAATACAATTGGAGCATCAGGTCCAATTAATAAAGCAACTGAACCAGCACCACCAGTTGGTCTAGCAGCACCTTTGGAATAAATGGCAATATCACCACTGGCAACAATAGCATCTCTACCATCCCATGATGAGGATTCAATCCAATTAACAGCATTAATAACAGCTGAAGTACCTCCATAACAAGCATTGACAGTATCAATACCTTCAATATCATTATTACCTTCGAATAATTGCATTAATACTGATTTAACTGATTTAGATTTATCTAATAAAGTTTCAGTACCAACTTCTAATCTACCAATTTTTTTAGTATCAATGTTGTAATTTTTGATTAATTTGGAAACTGAAGTTAAACACATGGAATAAATATCTTCTCTATCATTAACGAAAGCCATATTGGTTTGACCTAAACCAATAGTATATTTACCTTCAGGAATTCCATCGAATTTTTCTAAATCTGATTGATTAACATATTCTGATGGGATATAAATTTCAATCCCTTTAATACCAACATTTTGAGGTCTAGACATCTTTATGAACTAATGAATAAATTATTAAAACAAATGATTGAAGTAAAACTATATAATTCTTAAAAGAAATGATATATCGTTTGTGAAAAATTTGGGAGTATGTCGATAGATTTATACGATGTCGAAGTCGTGCGACACCTTAAACGACTGGATTAAAAGATTGGGTTTAAGGGGGCTGTTCGAGATAAAGGTCATGAAATTGGTACCGGGGGTTTATTGGTGGTTGAACGATGGAAGGTATGTTGTAGAGTTGGGATGATATTTGAATTATGGTGGACTGTTTTCATAGATTGTAAAGCCGTAGTACACGTCTATCGCGTTGTGGCATGATTATATCTTCATATCCCGGGGATCAAGATTCTAAAGAAGATTCTCCATTCAACACTGTTTCAAGTGGTCAAAGCGATCGTATAAAGAAAACTGGGTGTTGGGTGGATCATGGCAAATCAATTTGCATGAAGTCTATTGTGGTACACCTAAACGACGAGATCTCATTATGCTCGATTAGGAAATCAAATGAGATAAGTCTCAACTAGCAGTCACCACACAATTTTTCGACTTCTGTCTGCAATATTGCTCGGATTGTATAGATGCCAATCCCTGGTGGTAAATCGGTAGATTTAATAGCATTTCAAACAAGGAGATTAAATCCGTATTCAATTGCCACCAGGAGCAATTCTCAATAGATTCGATCAATCACTTAATCATTGCTGCTTTCAAAAGCTAACCGACCGATTGATCAACCTTCCTCCAATAACCATACCTCTCAAACTTCTTATCACTCTCCAATTACCCCCAATTGATCACCAATTTGTAATTAATCCGAAACATCTATAACGGATTAATTCATGGGTCTGCGAAAATTTGCTAGTATCCATTTTTTTTTGGAAAATATGTCTATTCCTAAACAATTACTCCCATTCAAGACTTCTCAAGTCTTCCATAAAACATGGGCTGGTACATTCTACTGTAAACCACAAGCTATTTTCCAACCTAGAAATGTTCAAGAAATTGCTGAATTAGTCAATCAAGCAAGGATCAATAAAAAGACTATTATGACTGTTGGATCAGGACATTCCCCTTCAGATTTAACCATGACCAATGAATGGTTATGTAATTTGGATAAGTTCAATCATATTTTGAAAGAAGAACCTCACTATGGTCCAATTGGTGATAGTGGAGAAAAAGAAGTGAAATTTGTTGATTTAACCGTTGAAGCTGGTTGTAGAGTATTTGAATTAAATGAATATTTAAAGACTAATGAATTGGCTATTCAAAATTTGGGTTCAATTTCCGATCAATCAATTGCAGGTTTGATTTCTACTGGTACTCATGGATCTTCACAATACCATGGTTTAGTTAGTCAACAAGTTGTTTCTATCAAAGTTATGAACTCTCAAGGTGAATTGGTGACTTGTTCATCTATCGAAAACCAAGAACTTTTCAGAGCTGCTTTATTATCTTTGGGTAAAGTGGGTATCATTACTCACGTAACCTTGAGAACTATTCCAAGATATACCATCAAATCTAAACAAGAAATCATTAAATTTAAAACTTTGTTGGCTAATTGGGATAATATTTGGTTAGATTCTGAATTCATTAGAATTTGGTGGTTCCCTTATTCTGAAACTTGTGTTTGTTGGAGAGCTTCAAAATCAACTGATGCTTTAAGTGATCCAAGACCAAGTTGGTACGGTACTTTTGTTGGAAGATTATTTTATGAATCTTTGTTGTTTGTTTCTGTTCATTTATTCCCAAGATTAACTCCTTATGTTGAAAAATTTGTTTTCAAACAACAATATGGTAATGTTGAAACTTTAGGTAAAGGAGATATTGCTGTTCAAAATTCCGTTGAAGGTTTAAATATGGATTGTTTATTCTCTCAATTTGTTAATGAATGGGCTTTACCTTTATCCAATGGACCTGAAACTTTATTAAAATTGGATGAAATCATTAAAAAATCTGCTGCTAAAGGTGATTATTTTGTTCATGCCCCAATCGAAGTTAGATGTTCAAATATGACTGTTTCAAATAAACCTTATGTTAATGATGAAGGTGAAGATTCTTTATATCCTTCACAATCTTGGTTATCCACTAGAACCAAAATAAGTCAAGGTCCAATCAACGGTAATAATTTAAGACCTTATTTAGATAATTCCCCTGAAAACTTAACTCATGTTGATCAAGATAAAATCACTAACGATCAATTAACTTTATTCTTGAATGCTACTATGTATAGACCTTTTGGTACTAATGTCGATACTAGACAATGGTTCCAAGATTTCGAAGATATTGTTATGTTAGCTGACGGAAAGCCTCATTGGGCGAAGAATTTCATCGGTTTAGAACATGAAAATATTCCTGAAGATGATGAAAGTTATCAATTGAAATATGGTGGTAAGAAATTCTACCTGATGATTGGTTTTGATTCTGTTATGAAGAAATGGTTCGGTACTCATTTAACTGATTATAATAATGTTAGAAAGAAGATGGATCCCGAAGGAGTGTTTATGAGTGGAAAGAATTGGATTGTCAGAAATGGTATTTCAGTCGATGAATAGATATAATCGTAAATATAAAATTTCTATTTAAAGGGTGCTTTTAAAGGATCAATAACTGAACCTTGTTTGGTGATGATTCTAGGCATGGTAAGTTTTTGATGAGTTTCTCTACTAGTCCATTCTTGTCCAACAGGCATTCTGAGAGATCTTTCGTATTGTTCTTTGGATTCGAACCCATAAGGGACTTCGGATGATTGATATTTTGAATTCTTCTTGTTAACTCTTTCATTAATGATAACATTCTTCATATTCTTATCTTGTCTTTTATCTTTCTGAGCTACTCCATTAATGGTTCTGACGATTTTTCTTTTCTTGGATTTCTTATTACCACCGGCCCAATCTCCCCATCCAGGTAAAGTTAAATCTTCTTCTTGATCATCTTCATCTTTGATGACTTTTCTTTTCTCTTTTTTGAACTCACTTACAACGTTATCACCAGCAAATGCTTCTTTGATTAAATCTTGTTGTTTGAATTCATCATTATCATCATCATTGACATCAATATCTAGATTTTCATCCATGTCAATGAATTCATCAGATATTTGAGTCTTTTTGGTTCTATTTTTGATTTTGGCGGCGGCTTTAGCTTCTCTTGAAGAATCTTTATCGATGATTTTGGCTTTAGAAGATTTTTTAACTTCTCCTGTTGATAACCATGGATTAGCTTCAACTTCAACAGATTCTTTAGGTTCTGGTTCTTTGGATTCCTTAGATTCCTTAGGTTCTTTGGATTCTTTGTTTGCAACAACTTTAATGCTCTTCTTAGATAATTGATTAACGAGGTTTCTTGATTGATCTTCTTCAATTTCTTTTCTGATCTCTTCATTCATCTCATTAACATCATCTTTGATATTGGCAGCTGCTGGAGTATATATTCTTCTTCCTTGGTTAATTACCTTATTTACAGCATTAGCATCTTCGAATTCTATATCTTCACCCATTTCCATCTTTCTTAAATTTTCAAGTTCTTGTAAATTTTCAGTCTTTTTACGTTCTTCAGCATTCTTCATGAAATCCATGGCTAAAACACCTTTACCCAATTTACTCTTGATTTCACTCTGATCTTCATCATCTTTATATTCTTGTTTAATATCAGAAATGTCATCATCACTTTGTTCACCATCTTCATAACCCAATTGTTTGGATCTCAATCTTTCACCTTGTCTTAACATTTCTTCTAACTCTTGTCTATTAGAAGCATCTTTAGTTAATCCACTTTTGATCATAGACTTGGCCCATTTACTTTGAGTTTTATGTTTCAAATTCATTCTTTCTTCAGCTCGTTTTCTATCATGATCTTCTTTATCTGAATCATCTGATCCTTCAACTAATGCTTGTTCTCTTAATCTTTCCTTCTTCTTTATTTTACGGAAAGTTTTAGATTTGATTTTCTTTATTCTTCTAGCTCTTGCTTCATCTCTGAACATCAATTCTCTCATTAATCTTAATTCATTAGTTCTTTTCTTTAAATCTTCAGGTGATAATTTGGCCATAGCTAACTCTTCAAAAGTTGCTTCTTTCTTTTCATCAATTAATGCTGATTTTTCTAAAAGATCATGAACTTGTTTTTCCATATCATTGATAGGAACATTGTCACTTTTGAAGGTTATAGCTGAATCATTATGTTTTACTGTGGGATTTAATGGGAATTTTAATACTTCTGCTTGTCTATTTTGTTGTACTACGTCTTCCCATTTACTAACTTCTTCCTTAGTTATTTCATATGCAGCTTTTCTTTCGTGTCTTTTTTGTATGTTTCTTGGTAATGGAGCATCTAAAGCTTTAGCTTCTTCTTCTATTAAAATAGCGTCTTTTGATGTTGCACCATCAACAGCTGCCATCATATCGGAAATGGATAATTTATTAGTGGTAGGGATATTGAATTCACTCTCTTCAATTGACTCAGAGATCAATTTCTTGGTTTCTTTACGAGGCTTCTTCAATTTGGATTTCAATTGACTGACTGTATTTGATAAGTCAACATCTTCATCATCAGATGCATCGAAAATATCCGATTCGTTTTCAGATTCTTCTTCAGATTCTTCTTCTTCGTCGTCTTCGTCATCTTCATCATCATCTTCCTCTTCATCCTGAGAAGATTCACTTTCCCAATTATCATCAAGTACAATATCTTTATTCTTACTTCCTTGAGATTCAAACTTCTTCAAATCAGCATCATCCATATCCCAAGCTTCAGATAATCCTACAAGTTCACCTTCATCTATACTATCATAAGCTTCATCTTCACTGTCACTAGATACTTCTTCACCTTTAGATCTTTGCTTATTCTTAGTTTTCAACTTTTTTGCTTTATCTCTTAAAGTTTGGGAGAATTTGGAGTTCATTACATCATAATCATCATCAGAACCCAAAGCTTCATCAGAATCAATTTCTTCATCTTCAAAATCTCCAGATTTTTGATTCAAAAATTTTCTTGCATCCATTACACCATCTTGGAAATTATCTGATTCATTACCTGAATTTTCGTCTTCTGAATTAGAAGCATTCTCTTGACGTTCAGCAATTTCAAAAGCATTCAATATCTTTTGATTGCTTCTTTTACTTTTACTTTTCCCTCCCTTTTTAGCCATCACTGATACTTCACTTATTAAAAAATCTGATGAGATGCGATTTAAAGATGTCGCGAGAAGAGACAGAGAGACAGAGACATTTTATCAAAGTCGTAAGTAGTTTTATTATAAAGAATCTAATCTATCGTTAATTTCTTCAGGAGTTAATTTTTTAAATCTTGGACCAGGAACGTTAGTACCTTTGAAACCTAAAGCTTCCTCTTGGGGTTCACTTATAACTGCTATATCTAAATTTTCACCATTTAATTCTCCATCAACTGATTCCTTTAAAGCTAAAAGGGCAACATGAATAGCATCTTCTAATTCTAAATTTTCATTCCATCTTTTTTCTAAGAAAGTTTTAGCTGAAATAGATGTTTTACCAATAGCAGTAGCTTTCCAAGGGAAATAACTACCTGAAGGATCAACTTGATATAATTGAAATACTTCTGAGTGTGGATCGTAACCTCCTACTAACAATGATACTCCAAAAGGTCTTATACCACCACTTTGAGTAGATTCTTGCATTACTTTAGCAATTTCTTGTACTAAAATCTTCACTGGAGGGTATTCATTATAAACTCGTAAATAATTTGTATGAGCCAATTTTCTAGCTTTATCAACAAGAACTCTGAAATCAGGTCCCATACCTGAATATGTCATACCAATATCAGGTGTAATTAATTCAACTTTAGTATTGGTGTCATTATTAATAAGATTGGAATTAGCTTTACGTTCAGTAGCTAAAACTACCCCATTGGTGGATTTTATACCAATGGTAGTTACCCCTTGTTTAACTGCATTCAAAGCATATTCAATTTGAACTAATTTCCCACTAAAATATTTGTTAGTATCAAGTTAGTTAAATTTCAGTTCCAAACCTATAAATCAATGGTAAAAACTTCAATTAATTTTGATTTATCCATAGTAACATACCTTGGTGAGAATGTGGTTAATGAAAATGAATATCTATCAGCCATTATATATCACTTCACTGTTCGAATGTCAATTGATGATGTTCAAAATCAGTAACAGTTTGCCTTCGAGAATCTGAGAATTTTGACTTCCGCGCAGGTTTTTTTTTGGTTTCCAGGATCGTACATTTTTGAATAATCTATAAAATTAAAAAGGATTGGGGTTAGTTGAACTGAACATCTATTCATCTTCATCATCAGTATCAGGAGGTTTAGGAGTACCTTTTGGACTACTTAACCATTCAATATGACGTAATCTTCTTCTTTCAGCTTGAAGTTTTTTATCATTTCTAGTCATTTTCTTTTTACGGATTCTAACTTTGATATTAGCAGGAGAATCATTATCATCATCACGTTTTTTAGAAGGAGCAGGTGATGATTCTTTTGAAGCATCAGCAGAATCTTCACCTTTACCATCTTCGAATCTTTTAGCATCAACAGCAGCAGTACCTTTTTGAACAACTTCACCATTTTCAACATGCCATTGTTCAGGACATAAAGCTCCAACAAATTCATTATTATGGGAAATCATAACAACCCCACCATTCCAATCTCTAATAGCCACAGCTAACCCACCTAAAGAATCTCTATCCAAATAATTGGTAGGTTCATCTAAAACTAATAAATGAGGATTGTTCCACATAGCTCCAGCAATAACAACTTTAACTAATTGACCTCCAGATAATGATCCCATAGGAGTATGATCAGCAATATCACCATCTAAACCAACATCTTCAAAATGTTTTCTAATGACTTTTGGAGTTAATTCTCTATAACCTAAACCTTCTCTCGAAGCTTCATGATCATCGAATTTTTGAATTAATTTTTCAAATCCTTGTTCTAAAAGGACTTCTTTTGGAACCCAAGAGTTATATTTTGGTAACCAGAATTTCCATTTAACTTCATATTGGAATGATTTTTTCAATTTTTGTCTACCAACAATTGCTTCAATAGCTCTTGGTCCTCTACCATCATCAATAGCAAATTCCTTTTTCATTAATTCTTTTTCTTCATCAGAAATCTTTCTAGATTCTTTCATTAAAACTTCACGATCATCACCAAATCTATAACGCCATTGTAAATATTGATTAGCAGTTTTTTCTTTATGTTGTTCAACATGTTGTAAAGCATGTTGAGCAATATAACCAATTCTTAAATTTGGATGTTTTTCAACTTTACCTTCATTTGGAACTAATTCACCAGTTAATAATTTAATTAAGGTTGATTTACCAGCCCCATTTGGACCTAAAATAGCAACTCTTGAAGATAATGATAAAGAACATGAAACTTCTTTTAATGAAGGTTTAGCAGCTCCAGGATATGCAAAAGTGACATTACTCATTCTAGCAACTGATCTAGTATTTGATTTAACTCCTGATAACATACCAGCAGATGGGAAAGCCATTTTAACATTAGAATCAGTTAAAGTATAATAACTTTTACCTTCAGGTTTAACTTCAACGAAAGCTGATAAATTACCTTTATAATAAGCTAATTTTTTATTTTCATAATGAATAATATCAGTACAAACAGCATCTAAGAAACCAGAATCATGGGAAACAATTAATGAAGTGATTTCACCGTGTTCAACTAAATAATCTTCTAACCATTTAACATTAGCAACATCTAAATGATTAGTAGGTTCATCTAATAATAAAACATCAGCTTTCATTAACATAGCTCTAGCTAATTCTAATTTCATTTTCCACCCTCCAGACAATGAACCGACATTTTGAACTAATCTTTCTTCTGGGAATCCAACTTCTTGTAAAGCATCAGCAATTTCTTCACGTTTAACATGAGCTAATTCAGGATCTGATGCAATAAAACTAACTAAATCCATATCACCTTCTTCACCTTGTAATCTATGTTCAACAAAACAAGTTCTGACTTCTTCTGGTGACGGGAATCCTTCTAATTGACCTTTAGAAATAGCTCTCATTAAAGTAGATTTACCTGCCCCATTTCTACCACATAAACCATATCTATGACCTTTTAATAATCTTAAATTGGTTTTATTTAATAACATTCTACTACCATAAGCTAAAGAGAAATCAGCATTAACAATTTCAATAGCTCCTTCTTCATCATCATAATTAGATTGAGTAGTGGCAGTATATGATCCACGTAATTCACCAACAATAGATGAAATATATTGATCTTTGATTTCTTCAGTGATAGTATCATTAGTTGGAATAGCCATATGAAGATATTCATTCAAACGTTTCCAATCATTAACATGAGCATCTGATTGTAAAATAATAGCTAAGTAATTATTGATAAGTTCATCATCAAATTTCAAAGCTTGTAAAATATCTTTGTTATCAGGTTTGGTGAAAAATTCTTTACATTGAGTTAATGATAATCTACCATGGAATTTACCATCAGCTTTTTCAGCATCAGCATCTTGTAAAACTTTTAAAGCTTTACCAGCTAATTCTCTAACTTCTGGTAATGAAGCATTATTAAACACTTTATCAACACCTGGTAATAAAATTGGAATATAAGTTTCAATTTCTCTTTTGTTATTAACTAATCTGGTTAAATTTTCAGTGACAGTAACGGTTTGTCTTAATTGTTCATTTGAAGATGATGACATTTTTAATGATTTATCCAAGATAGGTACTAATAAAGATAAAGCAGGTTCAGTAACTTCAGCAACGAAGGTAACTGATGACAAATTCTTAATACATTCAGGAACTTTCTTTGGATCAGCTAAAGTATCAACAATTAAATCATATTTGTTTTGTAAATCCAAGTTATCTAATACCTTAACAAATTTACTTAAAATCTTTAAACCTTGCTTAGCCAATTCAGGTTTGAAATCAGTTGACATATCAGTGAAAATTGGTACGGCTTTAACGAATTTTAATTCACTTAAATCAGCAGGAACTTCATCAATGAGTTTATCGAATAAATCTAAACAAGCAATTTTAGCATTCCATTTAGCTGATGATTTAAGATAATTTAATAATTCATCGAAAACAATTGATCCTAAAGCTTCAACAGGGAAAATTCCATATAATGAATTAGCAGCTGAAGCACCAGCTTTGACGACATTCTTATCTTTATCGGCAGCTAAATCAAAAGCTGAAGGGAAAAATTGGATCAAATAAGATTCAATAGGAGATTTACCACCAAATTTCATAGCTAATTGTTGAATTATTAAACCTGACGTTTCTCTTAATAATGGTGAATTCTTTGGTTTAGCTAAAGATTTAACAATATCTAAAATTGACCATTCATTGATTACAGAAATTGGATTACTTTCAATAATATTTAAAATACTTTCGATTTCGGTTTTAACTTCACTTAATTTAGTAGCTCTTTCGATGTTATTCAAGTTTTCTTCAATAGGTAAGTCTTTGACGTTTAATTTACTGAAAGCACCACCTAATGAAGATAATGAGGTAGTTGAAGAATTTGGATTAGGAGTTGATCTACCACTGGTTGGTAATGAATCAATTGGACTCTTAATACCTTTTCTTAAATCAGTTGGTACTGGACTTTGTGGTTGTTGGTAACCTGCTGGGTAACCTCCTTGATAACCACCTTGATAACCACCTTGATAACCACCTTGATATTGATCTGGTACAAATCCTTGGGAATATGGATTAAATCCCTGAATTCCAGCATTCTTATAACCAGCAGCTCTATTCAGATTAGCTGATTGTTGAGCTTGTTGTTGCTTCAAGAATTCATCAAATGACTGTTTCTTTGACATCTTCAACTTATATGCTTAACTGAAAATTTTTCCTAAACGTTTTAAGATGCGAAAAAGAGCTGCAAAAAAAAAGAAAGAATCCTCAAAAATCTAAATTATCTTATATAAGTGTAAGCTTGAATCCTCAATGATTATGGAGTTACCTACTCTGAAAATTGGGTTAGGGGTGATGGGAGATTCTTCGAGGAATTTAAAATCAAGATCGTAAAGTTTAATGGAATTATCTGAAATGGCTGCAATACACGATAACGATCCATTAGTAAAGGTGGTATATAAAGCTTTATCGTCAGAATCAATATCAATAATTGAAGGATCAATGGAATTGGATAAATCATAAATAAGTAATTGGTGAGCATCAGGTGATTTATTGGTTAATAATAAGAAATGATTGTTATTCTCTAAATCAAAGGTTAAGTTTGAAGAATAATTGGTAACTATTTCATAATGTTTGGAGAAAATATTAAGTGTCATGATAGTATGTTCATATTTGATTACTAAAGTATAAGGATTAGTATCAGTGTTCTTGTGAGTCTTCTTTTTAGGAGACGAATGATTTGAAACTTGTGATTTGAACCATTTTATTATCTCGAAATTTGATGTGGAATTGGATATTAAGTTTTTGAAGTAGTTACGGGTGAATTCTCCTATGATACTAGCTTTTAAATCATTACGAAGCCCAGTATTCAATTCAAATACCATCACTTTAGGATTAATATCTTCAATAGTAAGTGATAATCCAAAATGTTTAGAAAATTCATTGGATTTTTCACTGAAGTCAATCAAACCTGAAGTTATAATCTCTCCCATTATTTCATCTTTGATAATGATAGTATTCAAAGGATCATCTTTATCCAACACAAATTGACAAACTTCAGTTTTAGTGACAATAATTAATTTAGCTACTTGTAAATCGGTTTCATAATCAATACAATAAATGTCTATAATATTATCTTCATCTAAATCTCCTTTAGTTGATAAAAACTTCACTATTTCAGTATTAGTTTGAGTGTCAAACAATTCAATATAAGTTTTTCCATCATCTGTGGTTTCAAAAATGGTAAGAATATCATTGAATTTATTATTAAACACTCTCGCTTCTTTGACTTCAATTTCAGTCTTGTTGATGGAAACTTGTTTTAAATTTGGTTCAGGTAATGTCACTTCTAATTCATTATTACCATCCAAAACCACCGTTTCGCTGTCACTTTCCAAACTTGGTTCTACATGTGGTTCAATGTTTAAATTTTGGAAATCTTCATTCAAATTTTCAGTTGATGATTGGAAATATTTAGAAATACCTTTATCTTCAGGCTCTTTATTATGGAAATTAAATTCTGATTTCTCTTTACTGAATAATTCATCAAATGAATGATTAGTATCGTTACCATCGGGTATTTCAAGATACTCAAGGTTGGCATTAACAGGACTTCTCAATAAATGAATTACTTCTCTCATAGATTTAGTTAATTGAAATCTTGAATCTTTAATCACTTGTAAATCAACTTGAGGAATTTCCAACAACTTATCTTCTTCCTTTTTAACTTCTTTAACTTCTTGACCCAATTGTTTACGTAATTCGGCATTCTCCTTCTTTAATCGTGAAATGGTTAATTTTTGTTCTTCATTAGAATACTTTAAAGAATTCAATTCTCCTTGTAATTGTGTAATTTTGTATTTCATCTCTGATTTTTCCAAGTTATTCATAATCTTAAACCTTTCAAGGTTAGTGAACTCGTTGGTTAGATAATTTATCACCCCTGGTAAAGTATAATTTGCTAAAGGATTTATGGGACCATTTGGTTGATTTGGTTGGTTTGGTTGGTTTTGATTATTGAATTGTGAAGGATTTTGTAATTGATTGATTTTTGGAATGTTATTTGACATCATATAAAGGTAATCTATGTCTTCAAAAGAACTGTTGGATGAAGATCAGATCAATGTTTACCACTTTTGGTGTCAACTTTTCAATTTTCTGCGATTCTTGTGATCCCTCGCTTAATATGAGATCATTGTTAGTAAGAGAATTCTACTAAAATATCCACCAAACGATGAATGGAATTCAATGGAAGAGATCGTTTGGAAGAGAAACAGAATTTCTAGTAATCTTCTGTAAGGCAAAAACTTACAAGAAAATTCAATGAAATATCCTTTAAGACTTATCAATTAAATATACACTCTATTTACCAACAGCCCAGTCATTCAAACCATATCTATTTCTAGCAATTTCAATAGCATAGAATTGAATTCTGACTACGAAAATAGTACCAAATTGAGTATATTCTTCAGTATTTTTAGTTCTTAACAAAGTTCCAAAATTGTAATCTTCAATTTCTTTGAATTTTTCACAGAAATTTCTCCATTTTTCTTTACCTTCTTTGTTTTTCATTTTTTCTTCACTAATTTCCTTCAAGTTTTCAGGATCTTTGAATTCTGGGAAATCTTCTAATAATTTTTCAAAGATATCATCATCATATTTAGTTAATTTCAATTTTGAACCGGGAATTTTAGTTAATAATCCCCAGTAAGTTTCAGCTTGCATAACAGCTTTAACGGCGAATTGTTTTTCAATATCTTCTAAGTTATCAGCATTTTCAGCATCGAATTTGGTAGCCATGTTTAACAAATTTTTTCAAATCATCTCAAAGTTCGCACTTGCTGCTCTTAAGTTGCAAAAAAAAACTCATGAGAACATTCTAGACATTTCAAAAAACCATCCTTATGAGAGGTTTTAGAAGTTTTAAATGTATGTTATGTAGTAATTATATACGTATTTATAATTTAGCTAGTTTTTTTGAAAAAAAAAAATTGTTTATAATCCATTCAGCTTCCCTTTGACCACTCATATAAGCTCCATGGATACAACCATCACCTTCAGAAATGGTATGCTCACCAGCAAATCTAATAGGTGAATGAGATAATGCTACACCTTCTAATTCTCCAGATAATTGAACGATTATACTTTCTGGATCATCATTTGGTAAAACAGCCGAATATGATCCTCTAGCGTAAGGATTTTGTGTCCATTTGGTAGTCATAACATTGATTGGTTCAGAAATCTTTTTATCTTTGGTGACTATTTGTTCTAACATAGGTTTGAAATATTCCCAAGCTTCTTCAGGATGAGCTTCAACATAATCAGTTAATGGAGATTGAGTTAAAAGCACAAGACTTGCCTTTTCATTTTTATGCATTGCAGCATAATTTATAGCTAAAATAGGATATTTACTCTTTTTAGGTAAACTTTTCAAAGGTTCTCCGATATCTTTATTATCCAAATCTTCTGAAAGTAAGACAAATCTTTCAATTTCGTTATCCCACCAAATATTATCGAATTCAAAAATAACTTTCCCTAAAGCTCCAAAACTCATTTTATCAATGGCTTCTGTCATAGAAGCAGGTAATTTAGGTTCCCATGTGATACCATATTCATGATCTTGAGGTAATTTCAATATACTTAATGGAACGGTAACTACCAAGTAATCAAATTTTATAGTACCATGTTGAGTTTCAATGTATTTATCGGCTCTATTGATTTTTGATACTTTATGGTTTAATAAAATGTTTTCTCTAAAAATACCTTTCAATAACTTGTCAACCAAAAAGGAAAATCCTTTTAAGTTATAAAGATTTCTACCTTCATGAGACATGGCAGAATATTTAGCACTGATCTTATCAGAAGCAACTCCAAACCATAATTCACTGTATCTAGCGACTTGATGAAGGTATTTGATTTGTTCAGGTGTTAATCTATCCCCATAACGTTCAATATAAATATCAGTGATTTCTAATAAGTTCATATCTTTTCTATCTAATGATTCATAGTAATAAATTTCAATGAACTTAAATAATTCTTCACCCACTTTATTTAATCTCCATTTATTATATGGCAATTCACCTTTGTGGTCATTATGATAATAAACATGTTCTAAATCATCAAAATATCCATCTTTGTTAAGATCAAAAGATTTATCTTCAATTGATTCTTTTAATACTACATTGGTTAAAGCATCATGAAACCAAGCTCCACCAAGATCATAACTATAACCCAACTTGGAACTGGTTTTATCAGTTAACACTCTACCACCAATATAATCTTGACCTTCAACTATTAAAACATCATCTTTAGTAAATTTTGATCTTGGATCATTCAATAAAGTATGTGCAGTTTTAAGTCCTGAGATACCAGCTCCTATAATACAAACTTTAACTTCTTTAACACTCATTATCGATTTCCAAGATTAAGAATTATCTATGTTATATATGGAAATGGTAGGGGGGATGCTATCAATGGAGAAGTGTAAAAAAACTAACGAGATTATCTCAAAATGGAAATTGAATGCGGTGGGCCTTTTTGACACATCCTTTTTCCATTGTACGATGACGGAGTAAGTGGTCCGTAAAGTCATATCAAACGTCGTATATATACATTAATCTGTTTCTTATATGTCATGCATTACATAATCTATCTAAATATATCACCTAAGATTTAAATCATTTATAAACCCAAAGACTTCATCACATGTTGTCTAATTTGATTATCATATTCTTGTCTATTATCTCTGAACAATTTACAGGCATCTACATTGGCACCACTTTCACAATTTGGTTCAGCTAACATTGACATTACACTGAGTAAAATTTTCTCTACACTTTGTACTGGAGACCATCTTTCTTCGGGTCTTTCATATTGATTTGGATCTTCACCTGGAGGATGTAAAATTGAAATACATACTGTTCCATCAGCATATATGTTTGGATGTAATAAAGGAGGGTTGAATTTCAATACAGGAGGTCCTAAGGGGTAATCTTTGGGGAAAGTTAAAGTTGCAGGGAACACACCATTTTCATAAGGAGTATCGGGAGGTCCTTCTACAAGACATTCCCATAAAAATATATCATCTTCAGAAACTGGACCTGCAATGATACCTGGAGGTGAATCCTTACAAAGTTGTTGATATTCTTTCAATAATCTCTTTTGAGCTGTACTTTTTGGAGCCATTCAGATGTGATATGAATTTAATAACCGGGGAAGTTTCAATGTTTGTTTAATTAAAATGTCTGATGATAAAGTACCTAATGTAACAAGCCACTTCTAAATCTATCAATGGTATCAAATAAGGAAGATGACAAAATCCTAAATCACACTGTTTCAAGAACTGCGATTGTTGGGGAGATCAAGAATCTTCGAGACGATTGAGACCATAATTTTTCACTTCCAACAGATCTTTAAATCTTACCCTGAAATATTATTGAAACTCATATAAAATGGTGCAAGTGTTATCAGCTAAGGTTAAGAATGTTATAAGTAGTGATACTGTCATTTTAGTACCATCTAAAACAACCCAATTTCCTGTTCCTGAAAGAATGTTAACCTTATCATACGTTAAACCAGGTAATTCATTTGAATCAAAAGAATTCGTTAGAAACTTATTGATCGGTAAAGAAATCAAATTCAAAGTGAATTTCAAACATCCAACTACTGGAAAAGAATTTGGTGATATTCAATCACCAATTTTCACTTCATTAACTGAGTACTTGGTGGAAAGAGGTATTGTTGAATTGAAAGATAATATCGATGAAACTGATTTCACTGATAATTTATTAGATTTACAACAAAAGGCCAAATTGAAGAATGCTGGGATTTGGGGCTCAAGTCCTAAAATTGAATTGGTTGAAGTTGATGAATCAATTATCACCAAATCTCAAAAGAACAGCATATCTACTATTGTTGAAAAAGTTATCAATGGTGATAGAATTATTGGAAGAATCTTAGTCAATAAGAGTCAACATATATCGACTCCTTTATTGTTAGCTGGTATTAAATGTCCTAGAACTGATGATATCAATCAAAGTAAGAACCTTATTTTAGTGGCCAATCAAGCTAAACAATTTGTTGAAGAAAAGCTTTTAACCACTAAGGATACCATCAAAATCAAAATTGTTGGAGAAAGTCAAAATGGTATTCCAATTGCTTTGTTAGAACATCCTTCTGGTAATAATATTCATGAAAAAATGTTAGAGAAAGGGTATGGAGAAATTGTTGATTGGCAATCAACTTTGATAGGATCTCAAACTATGAGTATTTTAAGAAGGGCAGAACAAACTGCTAAAGCTTTAGGTAAGGGTATCTATGATACTGGTAAAACTATTAGTAATCCAGCTATCAGTGGTAAAATTACTGCTAAACATTTAAGACCAGGTTTAACTGTTGATAATGTAGTTGTGTCAAGAGTTTTACAAGCTGATACTTTGAACGTAAAATTACCTTCAGGGGAAGAAAAGACCGTTCAATTAGCATCTTTAAGATCACCAAAACAAAATGATTCCACTATTACTACCAATCAACAATATCAATTAGCTTTAGTTAATAGTGCTAGAGAATTTGTTAGACAACAAGTAGCTGGAAAAACTGTTTCAATGTATATTGATGGATTTAGAACTGAAAATAAAGATTTAGGTTTGGAAAGCAGATTCACCGTTAGTATTAAAGTAGGACAAAATGATTTAAGTGAAATGATCTTAAACAAAGGTTGGGCTACTGTCATTAAACATAATAAACAAACCATTGATGAAAGATCATTGAATTGGGATAAATTAGTTGAAATCGAAGAACATCAAAAGAAATCAGGTAAGCATGGTATTTATTTCAAAGGTGATATTTCTAAAGTGTTAACTGTTGGTACTAGAATTGTTGATGCTTCAGAAAACTTATCAAGATCCAAATCTTTCTTTAGTAATTTCAAACAAAAGGGAAGAATTAGTGGTGGTTATCATGTTGAATTCATTCCTTCTGTCAATAGAGTTAAATTATTTAATCCTAAAGAAGGATTGAAATTAACTTTAATCTTAGGTGGTTTAGCCAATGAAAAATCTGAATTCAGTGAAAAAGGTTTAGAGTTCATGAATTCCAAGTTCTTACAAAAAAATGTAGAATTTGATATTTATGATTTGGATAAAATTGGTGGATTCATTGGTAATTTATACTTGAATGCCAACAGTTTGAAACCAGTTCAAGTTAATTTATTAGAAAATGGGTTTGTCAAAACACACGATATTGCTGTAGGATCAAATTCTTTCGAAAATGATTTCGTCAAAGCTGAAGAATCAGCTAAAAATGCTAAAAAAGGACTTTGGTCAAAAGACCAAGTTGCCACCGTCACTAGTGCTTTCAAAGAAGTTTCAATTGCCAAACCATCATTCCATGATATTGAAGTCACTTACATTGACTCTAACGGTGTCATTTATTATCAACAATTAGATTCTTCAACTAAGAATAAATTTGCTACCTTCAAACAAGATTTCGATGATTTCCATCAACAAAATCCAAGTGCTACCAGTACTTCTTATGATTTACCTTTCAATTTAACCAAGCCTCCAAAAAAGAATGATTTAGTTTCAGTTAAATTACAAGACAATGGTAAATATTATAGAGGTAAAATCTTGTCTTTCGATAAATCATCCAATCTTTATGAAGTTAGACATTTAGATTATGGTAATGTTGACGAAGTTCCATTGTCATCATTAAGAGTTTTACCAACATTTTTTTCGATTCAAACTAGTCCTGTATTCAGTCATTCTTGTAAGTTAAGATTCGTCAAGTTACCTCCAACTAAACCTGTCAATTACTTAAATGATGCTTTAGATTTGTTAGATGAGTTAACATTTGAAAAGACTTTAGTTATCAATGCTTTACCTCTCTCAAATGATATTGCTGAATTCGATGTCATTTTATATGACTCCCAAGAATCGTTGAAAGACTCCAGTTACACCATCAATAGAAAATTGGTCGAAGAAGGTATGGCCATTGTAGATGATTCAATTAAATCAGATGATCCATTATTCATCGAATTAAAGAAAGTTCAACTGAAAGCCATTGAAGGTCATAAAGGTTGTTGGAAATATGGAAAAGTTTCCTATGACGAAGAAGAATTATAAATATAAACATACGATCTCCTTCTAAATGTTTCCAATCAAATCTTATCACCACTGTTATCGTCCAACACTTACCAATCAACTCTTATCATTCGTTCCTCTCCTCCCGAAATCGCCTTGGTCCAATGCCGCAGCTTTTTTGCAACCATTTCTTCTGGAAGGTTTATCTGTGCGGGTAACGGTCTTACGATAAAAGAAAATCTCAACGCTGGTGGAAAATTTTCCAATACGATTAGATTATGTTTGGTGTCAGTCCAGCTGTTAGTAACATTGTTATCATGTTAGTCATGATGCAAGTTTCAAGAAGATTAGATTTAGAAAACCCAGATATCTTATTCTATGTTAGAGTCATTTACGGTTCATTACAAGCTTTAACTTTCTTTGTATTCTTCTTAACTAGATTAAAGATCAATTCAAAGAATGATTTAACTACTTTAAAATATGTTGAACCAGCTAACCCAATGAGTGGTGAAACTGCCCCAAGAGCTGTTGTTACCACCGTTAAAGAATATGATTTAAAACAAATTGATACTCAAATCAGAGGTATTTTCCAATCTTTAGCTATGATGGGTTTCATGCATTTATATTTAAAATATACCAATCCTTTGGTTATGCAATCCATTTCTGGTATTAAAGGTGCTTTAGAATCAAACATCGTTCAAATTCATTTATTTGGTGCTCCAGCTACTGGTGATTTAAAGAGACCTTTCAAAGCTGCTCCAGGTTTATTACAAGCTTTAACCGGTGCTGGTGAAATCCAAACCGATAAAGCTTCTGTTGAAAAAGCTGAAGTAAGTGGTGCCGGTGGTATCAAAGAAGATTAGAGTTCTTATATGTCTTTATTTATGTACATGATATTATTTCTATTTATGGCTTGACTATTATACACTCTTTATCTTTACCTCTAAGGAAACTAATAGTATCTAAAAGTCTAGCACTATAAATCAATTCTTCCACTGTCCAAACTCCACGATCAAACACATCAGGTGCCGTTTGAGTCAATGGTATGATTAGACCTTCGTATAATTCTTGAAATTGTAAAATTTCTTCAGCACTTATTTTATGTTCTTTGGTAATCCTTTCAAAGCAGTCAAAAATCCAATCAGGAATGAAATTTCCTTCTTCTTCTTGATATTCTTTTTTGTTATGACAACGTATAAGGTACAATAACCAAGTTTGATCTTGGAAATTATTATCTATCAATTGTTCATAAGATGTTACCCCTAAAGAGATCAATAAAGAATCGGCAAATCTCTTATCTTTTTTGATAACATTCTTAAGGGTGATTAAATTTGGTTTGATTTGAGCATCGACCAACATTTCCTTTTCAATATGCTTAATACCTTTGATGGCTCTAGTGAAGATGTCCTTTTGGGAATTGATATAAATTCTTATGTTATTGGCATTGATAGAGTTGTTGGTAGGAACTTGGATGGTTTTGATGATTTCCAACTTTTGATCTAATGCAGCTCTCAACTGGTTCAATCCCGCTAATTTCATTCTTATTGATAAACTGTTTTCCCATTCATTCTTCGATAACCATTGGAACAATAAGATCAAATTATCAGGCAAATTATCTCTGGTGATAAAGAATAATAATCCATCCTCATATTGTTCGTAACCTTCCTTTTGTGGTTTTGTAGGGTTTATATCTTTGATGACTGAATTAGTATAATCCTCAATCTTTGGTAATTTGATACCTTTTTTCTCTAAATCAGGTAACATTTCTAAAGGAATTTTAATCTTTACTGCAGCAGAATCAGCTTCATTATTTTCAATACAAAATCCGTATCCTAGCAATAATTCTTCATTACCTTTTCTACCATAATTATTGAATAATTCTTGACCGTTTACAGCAGAATTTGATTTGAAATCAAAATATTTCTTAGATTTATATGTGTTGATGCCCCATTCAACATCTGCTTTCATGTTATGGTTCAACAAATCAATTACAGGTAATAACATAGCTGCATCCACAGGTAATGAGGAATCGATCAAATAAGCAGGAAATGACCTGGATTTCAAGATTAATGACGCCCACAAGTAATTGGGGAAACTTGTCCAGTTATCAATATCATCATTATGGAAATACTCATACAACTCTTTATCTTCATGAAACTTATATTCATAATAAAATTTCATGTTAACGAAATGCTGTTGGGGTTTCGGTAATTCTTGAGGTAAAAGATTGATCAATTGCCACCATTCTTCCACCAAAAGGTTAAGACTTTCCTTCAATGAATTACCCAAGTTTGTACCCTTCAAACAAGCCTTATCTTCAGCTGGCCATGAATAAGGGGAATTGATCTGTTGGAGTGAAGGTAAAAGTTCAATATAATGTTTGAATTTTGCTTTGGGAATGAATTCTTTTGACCGTTCACGACATAAATATAACTTCATCAATGAGTTAGAATTTGTGGTTTGCTTTGAAATTTCTTGAAAATCACCGTTATCACCATTAAATGATGTAATGGCATCTTTAATAGTGATGATGAGAGATTCGGGTAATCTCATATGTTGACGTTCTAAATCGGCAGTATTTTCATCTTGCTCATTATAAATCCCTCCATAATAACCTTCGTTGAATTTTTGGAACTTAATACCAGGAGAAATTATAGCTCCATTACTTCTGGCCCAGTCAACTAATGCTTCAGTCATCTCGAGTTGTCAGAAGTGCGAAGATTTTCAATCACCTGTTAATGTTGTCAAGATTTAGACCTGTTAATTTCAGACCTATAAGGGTCTTACCTGTTCGTTCTTTCACCACCAGTTTCGTCAGATTCAATAACAATGTTGGTAAGAAACCAGAGACCAATGAAACTTCTAATGAAGAAACTAAAAGAAGACCTTTGAGTAGAGTTGCAATTGGTGGTACTCAAGATAATAAAAAATTCAGAGCACCAAACTCTATTGAATTAGCTTCATGGAGAGCTGTTGTTATCCTTGTCATTCTCGGTGGGTTCGGAACTTATTTGTTGTCAAATGAGAAGGAAAAGATCAGATTACAAAAGGAAGCTGAAAATAATAGAGGTGTAGGTAAACCCTTAGTGGGAGGAAAATTCAATTTAATTGACACTGAAGGCAAGCCTTTCACTGATGAAAACTTGAAGAATGATGAAAAAATCTTCTCCATCATTTACTTTGGTTTCACCCATTGTCCAGATGTTTGTCCTGAAGAATTGGACAAATTAGGTGAAATGTTAAGTATCTTAGATAAAGATAAAATAAAATTACAATCAATTTTCATTACATGTGATCAAGCCAGAGATTCACCGGAAGTTATCAAAACTTACTTGGAAGATTTCCATCCATCAATCATTGGTTTAACTGGTACTTATGAAGCTATTAAGAATTGTTGTAAGAAATACAGAGTTTATTTCTCAACTCCGCCAAATGTTAAACCTGGACAAGATTATTTAGTTGATCATTCCATTTTCTTCTACTTGATGGATTCAGAAGGTAATTTCGTTGATGTTATTGGTAGAGAAGTTGATAGTGAAGAAGGAGCTGAAAAGATCAAGAAATACGTTGATTCTTTCATCACAGCTGAAGAAAGTGAAAAAAGAAAAGAAGGATGGTTAGGTTTCCTTTATAAATAGATGTTGTGTTAGAGTAGCACATGAAAACTTGTAAATACATAAATTTAACTTTAATAATTATAACAGCTATCGAAAAATTGCAATTCTAAAGTAAGAACTTTTTCTGTGGCAGACTTGACACCTTTCAAATCTTTTGAACCTACCCGATCTACTTCTGACCTAAGGAAGTTTGTCCATTTGGTGAAATCCTCACCACTATGTAGATCAATCCATTCTTTATACTTATACTCTAAATCTTCTGGTACTGAAGCCATATTTAAATCGGCCCACCCCAAATAAACTTGTTCCATGAAGTATAAAGCAGTTACCAATTCTGGATATGATTTAGAATCTTCGATCAAATAAGTCATATACTTCAAATATTGGTCTACTTCAGGTAACACTTTGTCTTGAATGGTATCATTGACAGTCAATTTCAATTCCTCAATAGCCTTTTCAAAGTAATCATTTTCATCATTTGCAATAAATCCAATCTGCTTACCAAGAACAATCTTAGACTTCATATTGTCACACAAAGTCATTGTCTTTGCAAATAAATTCAATCCAATATCGAAATATTTCAAATCTTGAACCAAGTAAGTGAATAATCTGGAATCAGACAATGTACCTCTACATAACTCTTTAGTCAATTGGTGATTGATTGATGGCAAGTACAAATGATTGAATTCTTCAAACAAATCATCAGTAATTGTCATTTTGTTGGGTTTAACGGGAACAAATCACTCCTTCCATTGATGGCTGCAACAATCTCAAAATTTCTGCAGCCTCTTATCAAATATGCGCTTAAAAGTCCATTTTAGAACATTTGAGATTTGAAAAAAAATTATATATAAAGTGACTAATAACTCATTTTTCACAATTTTTCAATAGTTAAAGGGATTCCAATATAGAGGTGGTATGAGTGAACACCTTGAGAAGCAGGAACCTGTTGAACTGTACGAAAAAAATGAAACTCCTGAAAATATCAAGCAAGAAGAAATAACGACAAATCTGTCAAGATACTTAAAATGGCTTCATGCTTTAGATATTGTTGGAGTCGAAAATAGAGGTATCGAAAGAGTACCTCCAGAAGAAAGAGATGCTGCGTTTGCAGCAACATCACCAGCAAGACAATTTTTCAGAGTCTTTGGGTTATGGTTTTCAGCTTGTGGAGGTTTAACTTCGATGTCATCGTATTTCTTACCCACTTTAGTCTTTGGTTTAAATGTTAAAGATGCTTTAGTTAGTGGTGTTTTAGGAACTGTTATTGGATGCTTAGTTCCAGCTTATTGTTCCATCGAAGGTCCAAGATCAGGTTGTAGACAAATCGTTAGTGCTAGATTTTTATTTGGTCATTGGGGAGTGAGATTAGTAGTATTGTTTGTGGGGATAGGTTTCTTGGGATTTTCAATTGTGAATTGTGTTTTAGGAGGTCAAGTATTGGCTGCTATATCTAATGTTAGTTTGGCAGTAGGGATCGTAGTTATTTGTATTGTTTCATTGATTGTTTCGATTTTTGGTATTCATATATTACTCAAATTCGAAACTATATTCTCCTTCCCCATAACTATTGCTGTGATCTTATTCTATGTTGTTGTATTCAAGAAACATCCTTATATTCATGATAGTAATGAAGCCATTGCAGCTGAAGGATTTACATCTTTAACTAATACAGGTAATTGGTTATCATTTTTCACTATTGGTTTCTCAGTTACTGCTACTTGGGGAGGTGCTGCAGCAGATTATTATATCATGTTCCCTGAAACCACTCCATCATGGCAAATCTTTACCATGACTTTCTTAGGTATTGCCGTTCCTACAACGTTTGTTGCCATTATAGGAACAGTTTGTGGAGCTTTAGCTTTAGGTTATCAACCATGGAATGAGGTTTACCATACTCAAGGGGTTGGAGGTTTAATTGCAGTTTCATTCGAACCATGGGGTAACTTTGGAAAATTCGTCGTTGTACTTTTGTACATATCTTTGATTTGTAATAATATTGTCAATAATTATTCCATTGCATTTTGTTTGCAATTAGTAGATAAACGTTTGGCTATTGTTCCAAGATGGGTTTACTCAGTATTATTCACTGTTGTTTGCTTGGTTATTTCATTAGTGGGTAAAGATCAATTTTCAACCATCATTGCCAACTTTGTCCCTATGTTAGGATACTGGATTTCAATTTACATTGTCATATTATTAGAAGAGAATTTAATATTCAGATCAAATAGATTGAAACATTTACATTATAAGGAATTTGATGTTGATAAGCTGGCTACTATCGAACAATATCCTCAATATAGGTATAACTGGAATGGTTGGGATAGACCTGAATTGTTTTCTCATGGTATTGCAGCTATGGCATCTTTCGCTGTAGGTGCAGTTGGAGCTGTTGTAGGAATGAATCAAGTCTATTGGCAAGGACCAATTGCCAGACATATTGGTGACTTCGGTGGAGACATCGGTTTCTTCTTATGTGGAGCTTTCTCTGCCATTGTCTATCCATTCTTCAGATATGCGGAATTAAAACATTTTGGTAAATAGATATATATATATTTATAGAATCCTTATCTCAAACGCGAAGACCCATCAAGGATGACATTTGAAGGTTTGACAAAGGAACAATTAACCCAATTCCATAATGAAGGGGTATTGTGTATACCTGACTTTTTGAATACTGATGATTTGAAGAAACTAATGGCTAAATCTCATAAGTTGTTAGAAGACATGGATTTGAATACTCATCCCAAAACTCAATTCAAAACTGGTGCTGATGGACATATTGGAGATCAATATTTCTTCAATTCATCGGATAAAATTTCCTATTTCTTTGATATCGATGCTTTTAATGATAAGGGAGAACTTCAATACCCTAAAGAGATGGCCGTTAATAAGATCGGTCATAATGTTCACATGTTAGATCCAGATTTCAAATCTATCACTTTCACTGATAAAGTTAAGAATATCGCTAGAGCTTTGAAATTTGAAGATCCAAGAGTTCTACAAAGTATGGTTATTTTCAAACATCCAGCAAAGGAAGGGGTGGAAAGACTTAATGAAGTACCTCCTCATACTGATGGAACTTTCCTTTTCACTAAACCTCAAACAGCTATTGGGTTCTGGTTTGCATTAGAAGATTGTACTATTGAAAATGGATGTTTATCTTATAACCCAGGAAGTCATAAAACACACCCTATAACCAGTAGATTTGTGAAAAAGAATGGAGGTGATCAAGGTTGTGATTTCATTCCTGTTGACCATGAAATGGAAGTACCTCAAGACAATTCTGAAGATTATAAATTGGTAGAATGCAAAGCTGGCTCTTTAGTACTTATTCATAATTCTGTCTTACATAAATCAGAAAACAACAAATCAAACAAATCTAGATTTGCTTATACTTTCCATGTAATTGATGGTACTGCTGAATATGATAATTTGAACTGGTTACAGGTACCACCATGTAAAGAAGGAGGAACAGAATTTAGTAAATTATACTGAAATTTCATTAATTTTGTTCATTACTATATACAAGGTATTTATTGAGCTATTTCACTCATTAATTTAATACATGCTTCGATATTTTCATTTTTAGTAGCACAAATTGGTAAAATTTTCCATGTCTCTTTGTCGTTATTCAAATTCTCTTGAACAAATTGTTGAAACTTAACAAAGTTTTCATTGGTATCGTTCAAATCTGCTTTAGTAGCAAGGATTAGTTTCTTTTTATCGTCGGAAATCTCTCCTAATTCCTCAATTAAAGTGGTGATGTCTTTGATAGGATCCTTCTCTAAGGAAACAACAAACACTAAACCTTTACATCTTTCTATGTGTCTCAAGAAATCGAGTCCCATTCCTTTATTTTGAGAAGCTCCCTTGATAATACCAGGAATGTCTGCCACAGTGAACGGATCCTTATCTATTGTGGTGAAAATGGTTCCTATTGTTGGTTGAAGAGTGGTGAATTCCCAATGACCAATCCTTGGCCTGGCTCTTGAAATGGCATTTAATAAAGTAGATTTTCCAGCATTTGGTAACCCAACTAATCCAAGGTCAGCAATGAGTTTTAATTCTAGCAAAAAGGACTCAGTGATACCATCTCTTCCTTTCTTACAGAATCTGGGGTTTCTGACATCATTGGTCAAGAAATTCATATTTCCCATTCCTCCTTTTCCTCCTTTCAATAGAAGGATAGGTTGGCTTGTTACTTTATTCAAATCTAATCCTAACAAAGGAAATTTATCCTCGAAGACTTCCTGATTGATGATTTCATGGTCATAATCTTGAACTGTTTTATCCAATTGGGAGAAGAAATCTCTTTCTCTGTAGTAAGATTCTTCATTCTCTGAAAACATCCAACCTTCACCCACACTATAAGAATTCCTGAAAAATTGTATTTGGTGGTTATCATTAATAATATCGAGCCAAATCTTGTCCTTATTGGTTTCTTTCAATTTATCTCTTATGAGGAAAGGGTCAGGAACCCATCTAACAGTTGTTCCCACTGGAACTTCAATCAAAACGTCATCTCCTTTTTTCCCATCCAACTGTGATCCCCTACCCGGTTGTCCATTCTTAGCTACATAAGACCTTCTTATCCTATGTAATGAATTGATATTATCTACAACTTTAAGATAAACGTTCCCACCAGCTCCTCCATCACCCCCATCGGGTGGACCTGTTGGTCTATTAGCATCTCTGAAGAACGAAATAGCTCCGTTACCACCTCTGCCACTTCTGACTCTTATCATTTTCAAATCTTGGAAGGTTTTCTGCTCAATCCTAGCAGCTCTTTTGATACTTTTCTCTCCTTTGATAGCATTAACTGTTTGATAATTATTACCAAAGAAATAATCAGTCAATTTAACCAAAATACTGTTGAAATTCATTGAATCGGGACCTAAATTACGGAAGACAAACTTGTTTTTCCCTTCATATTCTACTAATGGTTCGAAATTGTTGATAAGTGATTCAACTTCTTCTTCAGATTTGACTGAACAAGTTTCTGTAGGTAACTTTGGTTTCTCAGCCAAAGGTTCAATCTCATCTAACCATGAGTCGTTAACCTTCAACCTTATAGTTGTATGAAAATGCTTGGGGAATACCTTAAAGTTAGGTATCGATCTAAGCATTATCACCAAAAGTTCGCAGCGCAGAGCATCTCAAAATTTTCAGATCTCACCCACATCACATTAAATTGAAAGACACTTTAACATGGGTTTCGAAGAGTTAGGTGTATCCAAATGGTTATGTGAAACCTTAAATAATATGAAAATCTATGAACCTTCTTCTATTCAAAAAGCATGTATTCCCGAAATTTTAAAAGGTAAAAATTGTATTGGTGGTGCTAAGACTGGTAGTGGTAAAACTATAGCCTTTGGTTTACCAATGTTGAACAAATGGGCAGAAGATCCATTTGCCATTTGTGGATTGGTATTAACACCCACCAGAGAATTGGCTATTCAAATAGCTGAACAATTCACTGCATTAGGTTCTTCAATGAATATCAGAGTAGAAGTTATTGTGGGGGGAGAAGATATGATTAAACAAGCACTTAAGATCCAACAAAAACCTCATTTTATCATTGCAACTCCAGGAAGATTAGCTGATCATATCATGCATAGTGGTGAAGATACCATCAATGGGTTAAGAAGAGTCAAGTATTTGGTTCTTGATGAAGCTGATAGATTGTTAAGTAATAGTTTCGGTAAAGATCTTCAGAGGATTTTCGGAATTATACCTGATTCCAAGAAAAGACAAACCCTATTATTCACAGCTACTGTTACTGATGCTGTGAGAGCATTAAAAGAAAAAGACGATAAAGTATTTGTTCACGAAGTTGAAAGTTTCGATAAATTCATAATACCTGCTACTTTATCGAAATATTATGTGTTAGTTCCTTCACAAGTTAAAGAACCTTATTTACATCAAATCTTGAAATTACCCAAATATGATAATAAGATCGGAATAATTTTTGTCAATAGAACTAAAACTGCAGAATTAATCAGAAGAATGCTCAGAAAATTAGAATTCAGAGTTACTTCTTTACATTCAGAAATGCCACAAAGTGAAAGAGTTAACTCGATACATAGATTCAAAGCCGGTGCGGCAAAAATCTTGATCGCAACTGATGTGGCTTCAAGAGGGTTAGATATACCCAATGTGGAATTCGTTATAAATTATGACATGCCAGCAGATCCTGATGATTTTGTTCATAGAGTTGGTAGAACTGCTAGAGCTGGTAAAAAAGGTGATTCCATATCAATGATAACTGAAAATGACGTTGTTAGAATCTTAGCCATTGAAGAAAGAATCAACGATAAACTTACCCTTCTTGAAGAAGTCAAAGACGATGTAACTGTAAATGAATATTTGAAAGTTACTACTGAAGCTAAACGTGAAAGTTTGATGGAAATGGATAGAGAAGGATTCGGTGAACTCAAAGCTAAAAACAAAAGAAAGCATGAACAAACCAATTCCAAATCAAAAAAATCAAAACCTTCTAAGAAATCCAAAGACATATAAGCACTTGATGAACTCATCACATAATCCCATCCGCCATTTCTTGTATTTATAGATCGTAACCCTAATATATAATTTTGTAACGAAGTTGATGAATTTTTTTGCAGCCTAACAACATTCGGAGTGCGAAAATTTACATTGTTTACTTTAAAGATAGACGAGACTGAACACCTTTGATATTGAAGATCAAACGATATAAAACACGAAAATGTCCCACTCAAAGACTCCGTTGAGATCACGGTCATCTATAGGTAATTTTAACAGTACCGGTAATAATCAATCATTATCTACACCACAGAATCAAACAGGTAAGTCTCGTGTAAGCTTGACAGATTTTAGAAGACCGCCATCTGCAAGATCTACTAGGCCATCGTCCCCAAGGATGTCTTTTTCCAATTCTGGTAGCTTTTCTCGTCCCGGATCTTCCATGAGCAATAGAAATAGTAGACCATCAACACCTTCATTTATCAAACCAGAACCTTATACAGGATCAATCAAAGTATCCATAAGACCTAATCCTCATACTATTGATGTCCAGCAAGGAAGTCAATGGTATGTTGATGAACATACTAATACCATAATAAATAACCTTGACGGATCAGAGTTTACATTCGATAATGTGTTCAGACCTGACGCATCATTGAGTAACAGGCAAATTTATGATGTTTCTTGTGTAGAATTGGTTCAGAAATTTCTTGATGAAGGTTATAATAGTACAGTCTTTGCTTATGGTATGACAGGTTCAGGTAAGACTTATTCTATGAGAGGTGATAACTCGAATCCTGGGTTTGTCAGATTGGCAATTGATGATGTTTTTGATAAAATTGAAAATGATATTTCTGAAAAAAGATATACTGTAAGTATCACTTATTTGGAAATTTATAATGAGAAGATTGTTGACTTATTAAATTCTGGCCCTGCCATCTCATCTGATTTGAAAATCAGGGATGATCCTGTCTATGGTACCAAAATCGCAGGCATTAGTTCGCCAACTATCACTTCAAAACAACAGATGCTACAACTTATAAATCGAGGTGATAATAATAGAAGAACTAGTGAAACAGACTTCAATGCCAGATCTTCAAGATCTCATGCAATTTTACAAATAAGACTTAATACGGTAGATATAGTATCGGGTACTGAAACAAACAGTGTACTTTCATTATGTGATTTAGCTGGATCAGAAAAAGCAACTTCAAGCGTTGAACGTAGAAAGGAAGGATCTTTTATCAATAAATCATTATTGGCATTGTCAACTGTGATTAACAAATTATCAATATCTTCAAACACTGGTTCTTTGAATGATCATATACCTTATAGAGATTCTAAACTCACGAGATTATTACAGCCAGCATTGTCTGGATCTTCATTAGTGCTGATTCTTTGTACAATTCATATGGGTTCAGCAGGGATCTCTAACAAATTTGCTGATAATCAATTCGTATCGGAAACTTATAATACTTTGAGGTTCGCTGCCAGAGCAAAAGATATTGTGGTTAATGTTCAAAAGAATAAACTGACCTTACTTGGGGAAGCCGACTCAATGAAGACAATTGAAGATTTGCGTAGAACTGTTGAGAGTCAAAAATCTGAAATAGCTTTATTGAAAACTAACGGTTCGATGAATAATATGCACATTGATGAAAATAACGGACAATTGAGTTTGAATCTGGGTAGATTCAATCAACTAGAATCTGAAAATAGGATTTTGACCGAAAGATTAGAACATTTGACTAGGTTGACTGATTTACAAAAAACAGAAACTGTTATATTGAAAAATGATACTTTGAATGATTTATTAGGGGGGAATTTTTCCAATAGCTCTTCACAAATCATGATTGCCAACTTGGAAGAATTTTATAAAAGAGTTCAATACGAAATGGACGAATATAGATCATATATTTCACATTTAGAACAACAATTGAAAATCGCTTATAGTGAAAATTCATCTAAAGTCCAAAATCAACCAGCTCATGGACTTAATGATAGGCAAATGGAAGCTGTTTTGAAAGACCAAGAAGAAGAGATAATGCAATTGAAAGAAGTTATCAAGGATAAAGATCATTTCATCAAAAGTTTAACTAAAACGTCAAAATTACGTCGTTTAGTTGACTCAGATGCTATAAATACTGAGGATGTAGATAAATCCAACAAAGAAAATAAGAAAGCTAGACAATTTCAAATAGGTAATAAAACTGGAGGTGTAACCAACTTCATAGTTTGAATAAAGGTATATATTTTATGTGGTAGATAGTAAATTTTAATGAACGATAATCGGAGGTTAGCTCTATATTGTATGACATGGCTTATCGGTGATATCCTTACCATAATATAGTTTCCAATCTCGATATTTTTTATTCAAAATCGATCCTTTGGTTTCACAAAGTTTTTTCACTGTTATTGCAGTCCTGATATCATCAAAATAAAGAACGAACGCAAGTTTCCTTGAAATGATAGGACTGAAATCTATTATATTACCAACCAACGAGAAATCCTTAATAACACTCTTAATGTCAAATTCACGAGAATAATGCTGTTCTGGTACGGGATAATGTAAGTGATGGTGTCTGGATGATTTATTAGGAATTTCTCTCACAAACAACAACGACCTTCTAGCTCCATTGAATATCTGGTTCAAAAGTGAATCACCAACTGGAGGATGTACCAAATTAATATTTTCAGTGTTAGTTTCATTAGCCCATTCCAAAATGAGTCTTTGATTATTGAAGAGTAAAAGACCAGTTCTACCAAACTCAAAAAACTTGTGGGCATCCTTAGGGAAAGCATAATAAAGTTCCATAACAAATTCCTCTCTATTTTCGTGAAAGACAACTCTTTCTAATGGTCCTCCACAAACTCTAGTTAAAACCGCTCCTGGATTGGACCCTTTTGGTAATCCTTTCAAAATTATAATCCTACGAGATTCCAAGTCAGCTTTACTGAGGACTTTAAGATTCGTCAAATGTGGCTTGCCAATGTCTTGAAGAGAATTCGTGAATTTCTTTGAATTTTGCAAGTTTCTAACATCGTTAGACTTACCCTTGGGATTTGTCTTGAGGGCAGATTGTTTGGAATATTTTGTAGGCTCTTTTGAAAAGATATCAAAATATTGTGACTTTCTCTTGGGCTTAATATCCTCTTTATCCTCTTCTTCATCTGATTCCTCTCTTTCTTCAACCTTTACCAATGTATCTCGGGCATCAGCCGAAAATAAAATGGAAGAATCATTCCAATAATTTGAATATTTTGAGCTTTTTCTAAGTATCCCTTTAAAACCTCTGATTGAATTGAATGATTGGTCTTTCAATAAACTATTCAAAGAGTGAACTCTAGTGCTACCATGCATAATGTCATCTTGCATTATCAACCCTCCACTGTCTCTTCTATTGTTACTATTATCAAATTTTCCAGTCATAATAATCTAGCAAATACCTTGTTTTATAGCAATATAATATCAAACCTTTGAAGTGGTTGTTCCGTTGAGGATGTTCCTATCTGTGGTAAAAAGTTTTTTGCGGCCATATCAATGATTATGAGCGTTGTTATATGGTCGTTATCACTAAATTAAGTTCCTGAGGTAATTGGAGTTGTTGAATCTTTCACACCCCCAAAGCTTACAAGAAACCGCCATATATAAGTCATGATGCAACATCCTATGCTTCAATACCTCTCTAACCTACCTTGCTAATGTCCACGTTAACTTCATACTAATTGAGATGAGTTTATGATGCGAAATTTTCAGTAGATGAAAATACTTAGAAACTGACTATTAAATTTAACTAATAGAGTGCCCCAAGTGAAAAGATTAAGAATCATGGAGTCCGTTAAAAGAATTGGAGAATCTCCAGAACCTCAAGATGTCAAAAGAGTTAGACTTAGTGATGAAGAAAGAGCTTTGAAATTGATTAAAGAATCAGATGTAGGTATTATTCAATTCTTGAATGATAAAAGTGCTGGATTTTCGGGTATGTTGAAACAAAGATATTCAGATTTCATGGTCAATGAGATAGATTTGAAGGGAAATGTTGTACACTTATTGGATGAAGGTGTTGATGCAGGCAAGACAAGAAAAGAGAAAAAGATTGAAAGAAGACAAAAGGAAAGACAAGAATTTCAAGGTAAAACCTCAGAAGAAATACAACAAATTAAAGAGGAAAGGAAAATCGAAGCCATGAACCAACCAAAGTATGAATTGACCGAAGAAAATCGTAAAGCATTACTCGAATTGATCACCGAGAAAGAATTACAAAACATTGAAGATTTATTCGTAAATGGTAAATATACTGAAACTGAAACCAAGTTTGAAGATAAATCAACAAGAGGTAAATTACATCAGTTATTACGTGAATCATTTGAAGGAAAATTAGAAACCATAACTTCCCCTGAAAATACTTTCAGAATCACCATAGCTAAAAACCCTTCAACTCAAAGAGGTAGACATCCTCAAGAAAGTCTCAACCACGTTGATGAAAATGGTGTGATTAACTTCGGTATAGGTCCTTTCAAACATTATTTACATTTTACCGTTTACAAGGAAAATAGAGAAACCATGGAAGTTGCAGGTACTCTTGCTAAATTTTTACGTATACCTTCCAAGAACATAAGGTATGCCGGTACTAAAGATAGAAGAGGAATCACTTGTCAAAGGTTTGCCATTCATAAAGGAAAGTTGGTAAGGGTCTCAACTTTAAATAAAGCGTTGAAAAATGTTGTGTTAGGTGGGTTTTCTTATGAAGATGAAAATTTAAGTTTAGGATCTTTGAAAGGTAATGAATTCTTGATCACTATAAGAAACGTCAAAGCCATAAATGAAGGTGATGATTTAATTAAAATCATCACCACTGGTTTTGAAACTTTGAAAACTAAAGGATTTATCAATTATTATGGAATGCAAAGATTTGGTACTTTCTCCATCTCAACCCATACTTTAGGAGTCAAATTATTGAATGACGATTGGAAAGGTTTTGTCGATTTATTATTAGCTGAACAAGATGTTGTTGACCCTGGTAGTGAAGAATCAAGAAAAATCTGGTCAGAAACTTCCAACCCTTCATTTGCTTTGAAAAAAATGCCCCGTAGATGTGTTGCTGAAAATTCAGTTTTGAAAAGATTATGTTCTGAACCATTAAGTGACAACGAAGATTACAGCAGTCATTCTTATTTCCAAAGTATTATGGCTATTCCAAGAAACTTAAGAATTATGTATGCACATGCTTATCAATCCTATATTTGGAATATAGTTGCATCCCAAAGAATCAACAAATATGGGTTGGATGTTATTGAAGGTGATTTGGTGCTTGTTGAGGTAGAAGAAAAAAAGGAGATTGTTGATGGTGAAGTTTTTGAAGAAGATAGTATTGCTAACAAGTATATTAGAGCTAAACCATTAACCAAAGAAGATGTCGAAAGTGGTGAATACTCCATCTATGATGTAGTATTACCCATGCCAGGTTTTGATATTGTTTACCCGGGTAATGAAAGTATCAAACAAATCTATGTTGATGAGATGGCTAAAGATGGTTTAGATCCTTTCAAGATGGCTAGACGAGTTAGGGAATTTTCCTTAGCTGGGTCTTACAGAAATATCATGAGTAAGCCTGGTAATGTTGATTATAAAATCATCAAATATCAAGATGACGACCAACCATTAGTAAGGTCTGATTTGGAAATCTTGAGAGCTAAACAAGAAGGTAAAGATTTAGATAGATTCATCCAATCTGAAGATGGTGATAAAACCGCTGTGGTTTTGAGATTACAATTAGGTGTTAGTTCCTACGCTACCATGGCATTGAGAGAATTTATGAAGGCAGACACAGCAAGATTTGGTGACACTTTGAAGGTGGCCGAAAACTAAATTGTGGAGTCGCATTTTTAAAATACACATTTCTTCCCACCTCTTATAATCTAAGACTATTTTCAACTCATGGGTAAAGTCAAAGTTATAAACTCCCATGTGTTCAAGCAATTGGTAGAGAAGTCAATTCCCTCGTCTAGAGTAATCAAATTGGATGCCACCTGGTATATGCCCAATAATCCTAAAAATGCCAAACAGGAATTTTTGAATCAAGCCAGAATTCCTGGTTCGGGATACTTCGATTTGGATGAAATTTGTGATCCCAACTCCAAATATCCTCATATGTTAGCTAACTATGACATTTTGAACAGCTCATTAAATGGATTGGGTTTGAATAAAAGTGATAAGTTGGTATTTTACGATAAATCAGGTATTTTCTCCAGTCCTAGAGCTGCATGGAATTTGATTTTGGGTGGTCATGAACAGGTTTTCTTATTGGACCATTACAAAGATTATGTTAATGAAGGCAACGAAGTTTCAAAAGAACCAGTTGATGATTTCAGGCCCCAAGCAGTTACAACAAATGGTTATGAAATGATATCTGGAGAGGCTTATTCAAAGAACTATGCTCAACAAGTGATTGAGTACGAGGAATTATTGGAATTGGTATCAACGGGAAAGTTGGCTGAGCAATATATCACATTTGATGCCAGATCCAATGACAGATTCAGTGGTGCAGCACCTGAACCAAGACCTGGTCTTCCTTCTGGACATGTTCCTTCATCTTTGAACTTACCTTTCACCAAGGTTCTCAATGAAAATGGTAATTTCAAATCCAAGAGTGAATTGGTGGATCTCTTCAAAGCTGATTATGGCTTGGATTTAACTAAATCTGTAAATGGTAGGAAAGGTATAATTGTCATGTGTGGTACAGGGGTCACTGCAGTAATTTTAAGAGTAGCCATCGAATCAATACTTGAATCACCCATCCCCATCAAAGTATATGATGGAAGTTGGACTGAATGGGCACAAAGAGCTCCAACAGAATTGATTGTAAAAGATTAGTTATTAGACATAAATACTTACAAATAAAAATACATTCGTGATCATCATTTCCATAATTTTACACTATTATCCACACCCCCACTTATAAACAAGCATCTCATTTTAGATTCTATATGTTTGAGTAGCTCTTCTCCTGTTAATGGGGTTTTGTTATCTTCTTCGAAACTGGCAAAATCAATACAATTAACAAAACCTTCGTGCCCTGTCAATGTTCTGATACATTTGGCTTTACCTTCGGTAACCAAAGAATCTAAGTCCCAAACTTTAATGGTTTTATCATCACTAGCACTGAAAATAAATCTTCCGTTAGGGTGTACCACCAAACTCCTGACCCAAGATGTGTGGCCAAGTAAATTATCTACTAACCAACCTTGTGAATTATTATATGATGAAGGCATTGGGGGTCTATGTGGTTGGGTGGAAGGTGGTGGTAACAACCAAAGCTTTACCGAATTGTCACGTCCTGCTGAAATACAATATTTGTATCCTAAAGACTCCTCGTATATCGATTCCTCCATCAAAAATGAGGGAATATTTTGAAATCTTTGATTGTATTTTTCAATGAATTTATCGATATACTTGTTAGAATGAAGAGGTAAAAACTTAGCATCTTCAACAACATGACCATGTCCAATCAATAAAGAAACCCCATTCCCTGATTCAGCGTGGGAGATTCTTATAGATTGATCATTTGAGCAAGAAATTACAAAATCTCCAAACGATGAATTTGGTGAACTTACAGTATCGAGATTTCTTACCCAATCACTATGTCCAACAAACGTCTTAATACAATTTGCATTGACAATATCCCAAGCTTTTATTGTTTTGTCTCTGGAGACGGAATATAAAATTTTGTTGTTGCTTGATGAAAAAGATAAAGATGATACTGTATGTTCGTGACCCATTAAAGATCTCACCTGTTTATATGATGAGCCATTCCAAACTCTTACAGACAAATCAGATGAGCAAGATGCAAAATAATATTCTAAGGTTCCATTATCAGTCAAATCCAATGGCTTCTTACTCCAGACTATTCTGTTTACGCTTCTTGTATGAGCTTTGATTATTTTCTCTGGTGTCGTATCATCTACAGCAAGATTCCATACTATTATTGTACCATCAGAACATCCACTGACAATTATAGGAAGAAAAGGATGCATGGAAACCGTAGTAATTTGTTGGTTTGTTTGGGTTTTGAATGTTTGTTTAACTGATGCTGGTATCCAATTTATTTTTCCTTTTGCATTGACGATTTCTTGAACTTCATGAACTTCCATGGATGACTTTAAATTGCTTAAGTCATTTTCTAAATCCAATATTCTTTTCTGTAACCTTAGAACTGTAGACCATTTCTTTTCTAAATAATTAGGTATTATACTATTAAGAGAACCATGATCAATCTCTAGAATTTCATTCAATTTCAGTATCGTTTCTTCGTTTCCTGAATCTTTTAGTAGTGGCTCCACATACTGTAAGATGGCTTTATGTAATTCTGTCTTTTGCTTCGTCGTTAGTATCAGAATTTCTGACATCTTAATACATTAGAATCTCAAATTGTAAAATCGCACTTCAAAACGCACTTCAAAACGCACTTCAAAACGGTATTTAGTCAAACATCTTCAACCTATTTGAAGGATGGAACTTGCTTTCTTCCTCTGGGGTGTGAGTACTCTATGTTTCAACCATTTTGTGGTGATTATAGAGATCGCTTGGATATTGAGAAGATAAGGCATTACGTAAGAACCCCTCTCATGAGTTATTGGGTTTATGGGGATGTGATCCTCTTCTGATGTAAAATTTCCTAAATATAGGGTTTATTACCGAATTATAAGCCAGCTGTGCTCATCATCTTTCGGTTAGAGACTTTGGATCTCTGGAACTGAATATCATGCAGGTGAAAAATCTTAATTCTACTCCGCAAAACATTGGAACAATGAAACTCAAAATTTAATGAGGAGCATTGTATAATAACCCCGAACTTGTGCTCCAAAATGAAATGGCATGAGAGAGGTGTGATCACAAGCAGCTGAACAGATCTGGTAATGGTTCCACCTCTTACGTTGTAACTTCTTTGATGAGCTCTCTCTTGAAGAAATTGAATCTCCACATACGAAATCTTTGTCACTTCACCTTTCACTAAAGTATTTCTGTTTACTTGTATTCAATCTCTATTGTATTTGTCTCCAACTCTGGGAGTCTAGCAATTGAGAACGATACCCTTTTAGGAAATTTGGGATCTAAATCTGTTCGTAAAGTTGATTATTTATGACTTATCGAAATCAACTGTGAAGAATAGACATTCAAGTATTTAATAACTCTTATGACCTCATGTCTGAAAGAGTCCGGAAATGAACATCTTTTGGTTTTTTTTTGCAGTTGTATTTGCATCACCAATCAAATTATTAGAGCCAGAGGACGACTCATTTTACCAGCCAACAGATAACTTTGAACATGAAGAACCTGGCACCATCTTGAAGATAAGAAAGGCACCTTATCAAATGAAGAGTATCCATTTTCCTGTTAATGTTTCGAACGTTTGGCAAATTTTAGTCAGATCTGAGGATGCTTTAGGGAATGCCTCTGCCGTTGTTTCAACACTTTTTGAACCTTACAACTCCAATAATTCAAGATTGGTATCATATCATGTTGCTGAAGATGCTCCTAATGTCAATTGTGGTCCTTCATTTGCATTTGCAGGAGGTGGATTTTCTTCAGTGGTAACCAAATTGGAAATGATTTTGATTCAAAGTGCTTTAAATTTTGGATATTATGTTTTGGTACCTGATTATGAAGGTCCCCTAAGTGCCTTCACTGTCGGTCCCACGGCTGGTTATTCGATTCTCAATTCGATTAGAGGTGTTTTACAAACGGATAACGTCACAAACTTATCGCCAGATGCAGACGTTGTATTGTGGGGTTTTTCTGGAGGAAGTTTCGCTAGCAGTTGGGCAGCTGGTTTGGCCCCTACTTATGCAGAAGATTTATCAAGTAATTTGAAAGGATGTGCTCTTGGTGGATGGCTCACCAACATCACATCAATGTTCGAAATAATCGAAGGGTCCATATTTGTAGGTTTGACGCCCAATGCTATCGCCGGTATGACAAATCAATTCCCTGAATTTGAAACTTACATCCAAAGTCAATTGACTGATGATAGGAAAAAGAGTTACGAAGAAGTATATGGATTTTGTTTATCGGATTCGATAGTAAATTATGTTTTCACTGACTTTTTTACTGGGAACAGGAAGTATTTCAGGAACGGTTGGAAGATGTTTGAGGATGCTGCTTTCAAAAAATTCTTGGATATCAGCATCCTTGGTACCAATGAAACAGACCATATCAAGCCTGACATCCCTATATTCCTTTTCCATGGAGAAAAAGACGAAATTGTACCTTATAAAGACTCTCAGAGAGTTTATGATGTTTGGTGTAATGAAAAAGATGGGATGGATTCTTTTGAATTTGCTTCCTCTACCTCTTCGGGGCATCTATTAGAAGTCTTCGAAGGGTCTGGTGCAGCTCTTGAATTTATTCAAAGAGTTTTCGAAGGAAAAGAATTGGTCAAAGGTTGCAAAAAGACTTCAAGAACAACAAATCTTTTCTATCCTGGGGCTGTGACTCAATATATAAACATTATCAAATCCTTATATAAAAATATCAGAAACCAACCCATCGGTCCAAAAGATAAGAGAAGTTTATTTGATAGCGAATGGGTAGACAACTTCGAAATGAGGTCCTTGCTTGGTTTTCTAGAATCCTAAGATGAATTATAACATTTATGACTTTTCGAAATATTAATTACACTATCTACCCTCTGATATCTACTCTCTGGCAATATGTTCAATATTTTCCTGTATTTATTATCTAACTCGCAAAACTTTTAACCTTTGCACACCTCTTATCAGTCCAAATTAAGTAATCATTTCCTTTCACTAGGTTTAAGCCTGGAAAATTGGCTTTTATTGGTGGATTCCAGAAACTGTATGTCGCGAGTAGTGTCTCAGATCATTGATAAGAATGGACAAGAAATAAATGTTGCAACCATAAGTGATAAGACGTTGGAATATAAATAATATGCTTCTTGCCAAATTATTTCGTGAATCAAATAAGTCAATTTTTTCAATTCCCATACTATTTCATCTTTATTAACGATTTAGAAAGATGGAGAAAAGATACTTTGATGTAGAAAATCAAACCGTTGATGTTGATAAAGCCGAAATGGTTTATATCTTATTCTGTGCACTGGCTGTGTTCCTTATTACCCCAGGTATTGGTTTATACTATGGTGGAGTCTTGAAGAGAAACAGTGTGGTACAAATCATGTTTCAAAGTTTAATGATCACTGCTGCTGTTACTGTTCTCTGGTATTTGATTGGTTATTCATTAGCCAACTCAGCTTCAGGTTCAGTTATGATTGGTAATTTGGCTTCTGCTGCTTTACATTCTGAAGAAGCTAAACCTTTGTTTGAAGGAGCAACAATTCCTTCAATTGCAAACTTCTGTTTCAACACTTATTTCCCGGTTGCAACCATTCAAATTTTTGTCGGTTCAATTGGTGAAAGAGGTAGATTCTTACCAAGTCTTGTTATTGGTCTTATTTTTACTTTGGTGGTTTATTGTCCACAAGCTTATTGGGTCTGGGGTGGTAATGGATGGTTATTGAACTTGGGTGAATTAGATTTCGCTGGTGGTGGTCCAGTCCATATCAGTTCTGGGGTTGCATCCTTGGTTTATTCCATCTACTTAGGTCCAAGAGACAAATCTAAAAGATTTTTTGCTAAAGCTTCTCCAATGAAACCACACAGTATGTTCTGTGGATTTGTTGGGGTCGTTCTCATTAATTTCGGTTGGTTATCATTCAATCCTGGTACCTTGTTGGCTGTAAATGCAAGAACTGCTTATATCTTTGCCAATACCATGATCGCTTCAAGTACTGGTTGCTTAACTTATGTTTTGGTTGATAAAATGATTACAGGTAAATATTCTTTGATTGCCAGTTGGGAAGGTATCATTGTTGGTTTGGTTAATATCACTCCATCATGTGGTTATTATTATCCATGGGCTGCTTTCCTTACAACTGTTATTACTGCAGTTGGTACAAGATACTTATTGATTGTATCAGAAAAATTCGTCGATGATTCCTCCAGAGCATGGCCGGTACATGGTATTGCAGGAATTCTTGGAGGAACTTTGACTGGGATTTTTGCCAGTAAAACTATTGCTGCTGCTGACGGTGTCACTGAAATTGATGGTGGTTGGGTTAATGGTAACTTCCGTCAATTGGGTATTCAAATTGCATCTTGGGTTGTTATCACTTTATGGACTGCTTCATTCACTGCCATTATTTGTTTCCTTGTTGACCATATTCCAGGTTTGAAAGTAAGAGCAAGTGAAGCAGGTGAAGAAATGGGTATGGATCTTTATGAAATGGCTGAAACTTTAGATGAATTCGGTAATAATTATGATGAATTCTTCTTGTCCCACGCCAAAAGATTAAGAGAAATCGCTGATGCTTTAGAAAAAGGTTCAGGTACTGTAGAATTACTTGAAGGAAGTTCTCCAACATCGTCCCCACGTAACTCTCATACTTCAATTAATATTGATTACCAACAAAAGGTCTAATAATGAATAAAATATATATTCCTATCTAAACTTTCAATCGCTTAATTTTTATTTTTCGTTTCTATACATGCTTGATCTAACCGTTTTCGTATCTTAGTCAAAGATGCCTTATGCCAAGGTTATTGGGTTGATTTCTATCTAATCAAATCATATTTTTTGTTCTTGCTGAAAAATGTCTCTCTTCTGATAAGGCAACATGCAGGATTTTTCTGCTAAAACGCAACCTACGGGAAATATTTCACTTTTTAGGTTAAGGATAACTCGAATCAATTTTACAAGGTTTAGCGCACTCTTAGCGTCTTTCCATTCCAGTTAGGGCTTATTGTTGTAAATGTGTGAATAATCCGCTAAGAAGCATCTATTATCTTTGAAACCTGTCAAGGTAAAATCGTTTCACGTCAAATATTTTGATTGCGATGATATTTTGGATTTGGTGATATTTTGAGTCCGATGGATTTTGCGGTGACATAACCTTGATTTAAAATAAACGTTGGCAAGTTGAGTAATACAAACTAGCAACTGTCTCTAATGAAATTCGGTTTCCTAGGCGAGATCGCTTCCAGTTGATGCCATCAATGTGCAACTGTCCATAATGCAGAGATGCATGCGCAAAATTGAATTTTGCAACCATACCACAAACAAATATGTTCCAAGTAAAATTTACCAAACCACTTACCATTTTTGGTTTGACTGTAATAAGTTGTGGATTCTTCTACTGGTCGAATTTTAGAACATTTCAATCATCTATTGATTTCAATGAGTCAATAATTTTCCAACGAATAATTGAATGTAGCGATATAGTAGATGGTAATCTTTGTTTCAAAGAGAATAAAGACGATCTTTTGAAAGAAGTCAAGTTCAACAACTTCGTAGCAAATAAGCAATGGAATGAATGTTTGACTATGGTAAACGAGCAGAGTGATTTGAATTTGCTTTTAAATATTCAGAAGTGCTTTCATCAATCAGATTTGATAGATAAACTCAACCACCAGGGGAACAAAATCCAGCTTTTCTTAGCCATGGCTAGCATAGCAATCCAACTTTTCATTTCAATTCAATTCATGATCAATCATTCGTTCAAGAACCATGAAACTACCCTTACTATTGAACGATTACGGGAATTAAGTTTTTCAGTTGAAGATTTAATCAAAAAAGTCGGAAACCATTACAACGAATTTGTCCAAGCTAGGACTAAATTAAATAGTGATATTAAGCAAACCACCTCAAGATTGAATAAAGGAGGAGATTATTATAGGTATAATGAAATCTTGAAAGAGAATGTAATCATTTTAAATAATGAATTTAACAACTTCAAGATCGAATTCTTTACCAAGTTCAATAAAGATTTTGTTATTTTACCGCCCAAGATTAACACTTTTAGTTCACCAATGATGAAATTCAATACTGGACAGCACCATTCGAAATCATCCACTTCCCCAAAAGTTAGGCTGCATCAAAGTAAAGAACCAAATCGAAATTTTGACAAGGAAAACAATATTCCTAATCCAATGGTATCCATGCCAAATCACAAAGCTTCCTCGACAGTTTCTGATTCTTCATCAATTCCTGCAAAAGTCAATCAACAAAACTTCGATATTACTACCCAACAAGGAAGGGAGCAGTTGAAGAAAATCATTGAAGTTACCAGGAAAGAAAAAAATCAGCTCACTGGATTGAAATATTCAGATGTCATTAAGGTAGACAAACATGAAAAGAAATTTAAGAGAGTTTTCATACCTCAAAGGGGTTGGGTACCTGTCAAGAGACTCGAAGCGGAGGAACTCCATCATGGATCGAACGCATTGGTAATTTCATGAATTCCGAACGGTCTTAAATGCGTTCCAAACGACCCCACAGATACCCCTTATTGTTGTATGTATGTAATTAACTATAACAATTTCCTGTATCTCTAATTCGATTTGCTGTGTGTGACTTCAGATCCCCCTCTCTCATTCTTTGTTCAATAGGTTGCAAAAAAAAACATTCCCCCAACGTCGTGTGCAAACCTGTTGCAGCCTAATAAAAAAATTCTTCACATGCGACGGGGAGGTAACAACATTTTTCAGAAGACCATCTGAAAGTTTTAAGGGTATTAAGGTTTCATTATAAGATAAGAAAATATTTTTATTAAAAACTTTATCATTGAGTAACATATCAAACTGGTGAATTAACAGTGATTTTATTTCAAGACGTGTTAAATTTGAATAAAGACAGACATATACGAAACAATAATGGCAGAGAGTAAACGTAAATTATCCATCTATAATGATGATTTCGAGGATCCACCACCTTACAATGAAGAAGTTGGAAGCACAATTAACAGTGGTACAAGTACACCAACTTTGAATGAAGATTTGGTAGCTGCAGAAGCTTTGACTCAGTTGAATGGTACTCCACCACCAACTACTCCCTTATCAAATTTGACCATTGAAGAAAGACAACATCCCATAGTGAACAAAGTTTCCCAAGTTAGTAAACATCCATTAGTCACAAATGCTTTTAAGTATTATGAGGATTCTAAAGTTAAGTATCCTCATTTCAACTACGCTGCTGGAATAGTCGAAAGAGCTGCAATCCCTGTTGTTGCAAAGATTGAAGATAATTTAAATAACAGGCATATGAAGAGAATGACCAAGAGAAAACTGAAAAAGAGAAAGGTTGTTGATGACAAGAATGAAACTAAGAAGAGGTTACAGTTTTGTTTACATATTTTGAGGTTAGCTAATGATCAGATCAATAATCAAGTAATTAACCTCCAACAAAAGATAGTTGAGAGGGAAACCAGAAATCATTCCGATCCTCAATCACCTACTGCTGTAAACACCTTGGCTGTTGGTGAGATCCCAAGTAATGTGATTATCGAAGAAAAGCAGGATAAACCAATGGTTCAAACTCCAACACCAACTGAGACAGAGTTTACTGAAAACAACACTTCAGCTGAAGCTGAGAAGACAAATACTGAAATCATTACAACTGTGAAAAAAATAATTCATGTAATTTCAAACTTCAAAACTAGTACTTTAACTAATGACGTAGCGAGTGAATCGAATGAGTTGAAATCCACAATAAGAGATATCATCCTTAAATTACCAAGTCAAGTGCAACAAAATAATTGCCATAACCCAACACAGACAAATGATAGGATTTTCCTTTTTGCCAAAGAATCCCTTGACATGATAGGAAGGTTAACAAAGGTTTTCAACGAACAATTACAAAAAGCTGAGGACTGGATCAATTCTGATGAACAACAGAATCTCCATGGGGATGACGATTCTTTAAAAACTCCGGTTCCAGAAAGGATCAATGACAAGTTTCCCTCTTTAGATAACAAGATCCAACTTTAATGTATAATGATTGATGATTCAATGTACTCTCTTTCTATCAAGCGATGTGATAATACGCAAATCGAAGGAAGGAAGATCAAAAAAAAATCCCTAGACTTCAAAAAAGGTGTAAATGGTGAAGAAAGTTTTACACCCACCATTAAGAAAGGTTTTATGGCAAAACTTTGTTGCAATGACACTTGTTCATAATTTATACTGTTCTGGTTCAGCCCCATCATTCCACTACCCAACACTTAACATAAAGTAAAAACCAATGTACTTCTACTTTGAGAAATTAAAAGATTCCTGAAAAGGTAAAGAGAATATCACAAAATAATTGTTGAAAATTTCACCAGTTGAATTATAAAATACTGTAGTATATTATATAAGTTATTATATAATTATTTACTATTTAGGCATTAAAGGGTTAAACTAATAGCTTAATCAAAGTGTCAACCTGTGGAGATTTGAAAAAATACTCGATTTAGATAACAAATTGAATTGAGTTTCGCACTAATTCAATAACATTTCCTAAAAGGGAAATTGTTGTTTACTTGTGACTACAATGAGATTTTATTTAAATTGCAGCCAATTTTCAAAATTTGTTCTTTCCTAAACTTATTAAAGTGTTATTATAATTAAATTATTGTTAAATATTCTACTTAAAAGTTCAAAAAAAATGAGTTTAAATTTATCTAAGGATGAATTAAATTCTGTCAGGAATTGTTGGAGTAACGTTCAAACAAACAATAAATATCACAAAGATCAATTCATTACCAGATTATTTTCCAACTTATTGGTTTCAAACATACAATTAAAACAAGTTTTGAATAATGATTTAATCATTAGAGAGCATTCGATGTTTTTCAATGATATTTTAAATTATTTAGTCATTTACTTAGACAATGTTGAAAGATTGAATGAATTCTTGAATAGCTTCTTCAAGGAAAATCAAGATATTGTTGAAGAGATAAGCTATTTAGAACCTATGGGTACTGCTTTGATTCAAACTTTCAGACAATGGTTGGGAAGAGGATTGTTTAATGAATCTCAAGAAATCTTATGGGTTCAGATTTATATTCACTTGGCTAATAATATTTTGTTGTTCAAAGATGAACCATCAGATTTTGCTTCAGATGCTTCCTCGATTGAAGAAGATGTTGAAGATGTTCCTGCTTTACAAATCAACAAAAACCCATCTGTTGAATCCTTCAAATATTCCAAATCTTCAAGTCCAATGACTCCAGTATCACCAATTGTTGAAGAGCAAATTGATGAACTTCAAGAATATGTTGGCGAAAGACCAATCGATTTGAGTAAGCAACCATCAATTCAAATCAATATCAAATCAAATGAAAAGTACAAAGGTTTCAGAAGAAACGATTCGAACATAATAGACATCAAAGCTCCTATTATGAAACCAATGGAATCAAGTCCTGAACCTGTCATCACTCCAAGATCACCTAAAAGGAACTCGAGTTCCCAAGTCAATTTGGTCTTAGAGAAACCCCAAGAAAAGGAACCGGAAGTGAGATCAATATCTCCAAGATTGAGTAAATTCAATAACATTCAGCCAAAAATGGTATATGATTCTGACGAAGAGGAAAACATCAAATCTGGATTTGACCCAAGAATCAAAAGAAAATCTAGAGATTATAAACCTCCTTTACCTCCAAAAGATTTTGTTCAATTACCAAAACAACCACAATCTTCTTTTGTTGAAGACTTCAACATTGATTCAAAACCAACGGAATTGGATTTAACATTGGGTGCTATTGTCGAAAGTGATGATGACATTGATGTTGATGACTTGCCAAATGACAACAGCTCATCGATATATCATAGTGATAACAGTGACCCATCAAGTCACGACAATTCATTATCATTACATTCTTACCATTCAAGGGGAAGTGATGGTACTGAAGGCACAGAAGCAACTGAACCAATGTCATTAAATTTGAATAAAAATGAATTAAGATCCATGTCTTCCAATGAATTCAAATCTGATGTTGAAAATAACAGTAGGGTATTCTCTAACAAATACAACTCCAGAACCACTTCCATCAGTTCAATTGAACCAGATTTCAAATTACAAAAATCTATTGAATCAAGACAAAGAGCTTCATTAGGTTTCATGAGATCGAGTTTCATTTTGAAGAAAGAAATTGAAACTTTAGGTTATAACAGACCTGAAAATGTATTTGTTAAACCACCAACGATTCCAGCTGCTACCCAATCAATGAGTAATTTACCACTCAATTCTAACAAGAACTTATCAAATTCAACTTTGAAAAGGGATTCGTCTGATGAGGAACAAGATCAAAGCTATGATATGATCAATTCTTTCATGCCAATCACAGATGTTTCAAAAGAAAAATACAAAAAATTCACCTCAAGTTGTTCCAACTTATCAAGCTACAAATCGCCATCAATGAAAAGACATACTAGATCTGTTTCTAATTTATCAATTGCCAGACACAATAAATACGAACCAATGGAGGTTGCTGAAGTTACTTCTTCATTAAGACCTTCCAATAAGAGTATTGGAAGAATTAAGACCAAGAGATCTTTCAGAGATAAAGTTAAATCATTCTTTGGTGGCTCTTCAGCTCCAGTTGAAAAGAAGATTTCAGCTCCAGTAAGCACAACCTTCTCCACGAACGCTTCAGTTCCAATCGATAAGGTTAATAGAATGGCTTCAAAATCTACCATCAATGTTTCAACTGTCGATAGTACTAGAGAATCATTGGATAGATCAACCAATTTACATAACTTTGATAGATATGATAAATTTGATAAAAGAATGAGTAAAATGTCAAGTGTTAGTGATTTGAGATCAATTAATACCATGGATACCACCGAATCAACTTCGGGATTTTCATTCTTTTCAAGAAGAAAATCCATCGATTCAAAATACACAACTAGAGGAGACAGATCAAAAAAGAACAAATACAATGTTACTTCTGTCCCATATGATGTGTTCTCTAAAAACAAATTAGTTTTTAGTAGTTAGTTAATTTAATGTGAACAATGTATATATTTGGGTTAATTTCTCTCTCAATTTTTTTGCAACCATTTACACAAAGATGTCACAATCCCCCTTGGAAGAACAATTAGAGGAGTTGGCTGGTGAGTTGGCCAATGAGGTTTCTTTCTATGAAGACAACAGCGAAGCCGATGATTCAGGCGAATCTATTCTTGTCCAACAATCCACACCAAATAGAGGACAATTTCCTCTGAATTTTAAGAACATCCTTCTGTGTCTAGTTAAGAAGAATAATGAAAACGAGCCTTTGTTGCCTTTTCATAGACCAGCATCAAACATTTCCCACCCAACCTCTGAATCAACATTACGCCCAGAAGTCGATACATACGTAAGTACACTCCTTACATTTTTTTGGGATTCCGTGTTGACTGACACGATCAGAGCTTGGTTTTTAGATCATCAAATCATCTTGTCGATGATTCTTACTGTTGTAATATTTGGTATCACGATTTTTTTGTTCGTCACCAACCATCTTCTGTTGGTAATGTTGATGCTAAATTTTATTTACTGCAAAATTGTTGCTCTTTTCGAATTCGGACCACCATGGGAAGGAGTTTGCAGTAATACTTCATGAGCTCAAAAATGTAATTTTATACATTATGTAATATTATATACAAGATATTTACAACTATTCTCTTCTATCTTTAACTTTATTCTTGTTAACATGCTTGAATTTTCTAGTTTTGGCGAATTTTTTAATTCCCCACATCGATTGTGATACTTTATTGGACTTGGATTTACCTCTACCACCACCATGAGGATGGTCATGAGCGTTCATAGCTACACCTCTTGTCATAGGTCTGAAACCTAAATGACGAGATCTACCTGCTTTACCCAATGACACAGCTTGGTGTTCTGGATTGGAAACAATACCTAAAGTAGCATGACAGTCCATATGGATATAACGATGTTCACCTGAACTTAACCTCACAACAACTTTCTTCTTTTCTGGATGTTTTGATAATAATCTTGCAAATGATCCAGCTGATCTGACTAATTGACCTCTGCCGCCTGGTTGTAAACCAATATTGTGAATTATACTTCCCACGGGTAACATTTTCAAAGGTAAACAGTTTCCTCTTTGGATGGTTCTACCGTTTAATAAAGCTTCATCGACTTCTCCACCATTAGTTTCATTCATTTCGTTAATAAAATCTTCAGGGATACCAGCTCTAAATGATTCAACTTCATCACCTGCTCTCAAACCATTAGTAGCTAAAATATAAGATAAGTCCCCGGTCTCATTGTGCTTCAATAAAGCGATATGACCTGATCTATTTGGGTCATATTCGATTCTGACAACAGTTTGCTTTCCAGGTGTCAAACGATGAGTATCAACCAATCTAACTCTCCTTCTATGACCACCACCTCTTCCTCTGATGGTAATTTTACCGGTATTATTTCTACCTGAGGTTTTCTTCTTTGCAATAGTTAATTCTCTGATTGGTTTTCCCTTGTATAAATGATCATGAATAGGTTTTCTGAAATTTCTTGACCCAGGTAAAGCATCACCACGAGAATAATCCTTAATTTTCGTTTTGGTTGCTGATAACTTTTGTTGCATCTTGAAAATCTTGTCTCTTTTTTCTAATTCTGAAATTTCTTCATCTAATAATGATGTTTTATTTATTATTGGAATTGATCTAGTCACAGTCGATTGGAATCTCAAAAGACCTATTGACCTCAAACTCTTCCAAGGATTTATCATCTCGTTCCCGGTTGGTAATAAATTATTTAGCCTTGATCGTGTATAGACTGCCTCAAAAGAATTTACACAAACTTAACAGTTATTGAATGATTAGGTCCTTCACAGTAAATTGCACCAACGCTTTTGTAAGTGTGAGAAAGTGAAAAAAATTTTGATGGTACGTGCGAGGCTCAAACTCTTGAACCAATTATTATTGAGAATTTTAACAACCCGAATTAAGTCTCAGTGAAAAGTTTCAACAAACTGAATTATCAGATTTTGAAAAATAGATTGAAAGATGATTGGAAGAAGTTTCTTACGTTCAATGGCTACTGCCACCAAATCAGTTAAACCACCAATCCAATTATTTGGTGTTGATGGTACTTACGCTAATGCCTTATACAGTGCATCAAGTGAAAATATTGACCAAACTTTCAACAACTTATCAAAAATTAACGATTTAATTGCCAAAGATCCAAAAGTTAACGAAATCTTAACTAACCCTGCATTATCAAAAGATGACAGATCATCAGTTATTGAAGTTATTTCCTCAAATTTAAAATTAGACAAATCAATTGTTAACTTCTTAAATGTTTTAAGTGAAAACAACAGATTAAACGAATTCAAATCAATCTTCGAAAAATTCGAATTATTAAAGAATGCTCATGATGGTATCGTTGAAGCTAAAATCACTTCATCAAAACCTTTAGATTCAAAAATCTTAAAAAGATTACAAACTTCAATCTCCAAATCTTCAATGATTTCCCAAGGTCAAACTTTAAAAATTTCCAATGTTGTCAACCCAGATATCTTAGGTGGTTTAGTTGTTGAAGTTGGTGACAAAACCGTTGATTTATCAATTTCTGCTAAAATTGCCAAATTAAACAACACTTTAAACGAAGCTTTATAATCATATTTCAAATACACACGGATAGAAAACCATTTCTTCTTACTAACTCAATTAAGATTATGAATATATTCCAATGATCCCCGGAACAAATGAAAATTCATCAGCCTTAGTACGGTAGTGAAATATCTCTTTCTCTAGAAGCTGTTCTTCGAAGTCTCTTGAATATTTGTTATTTTTGAAACTATCTGGAGTAGATGCTCAAACATTTTTACATACAGAGTATAGATTGTAGGAAGGTAAGGAACTTCAATGGGCCTCTCAAAGCTTAAAGTGGCCTCAATGGAAGGGTATCTAAAAGTCACAGATCGAATCGAATTGAATGCGAATTTTCATGGGTTACTTCAAAGTTATTAGATTGACAGTTTTGATTACTGCGTTGGTCCTCAATACTTTCGTCTATTTTTATCCTGACATTCTTAATGAATCTTCTAAATGTCAATGGCATGAATTTTCCGGCTCCCCAAGTATGAGATCAAATAATGCATTGGTGAGAAAGTTGCCTGATTTTGTTCTGGAGAAAGTGTTACTATACTTTCCCAGTTTAAGGGATGATGACAACACAAAGACTAATTCAACAAGATACGAAGATGGAAGAATTAAGGATATACACATGTTGACATTTGGAGATCCACAAATTAATGGTAATTGGCCCAGCACACCTTATATCAAACGTTTAGATAATTATGGAAATGATTACTATTTGGGTCACATTTATAGTACTATGAAAAATAGATTACAACCCAGTCATGTAGCTGTGATGGGAGACTTGTTTTCCTCGCAATGGATTCTCGATTCCGAGTTTTACAATAGAACCTTGAGGTTCGTGGAAAGGCTTTTCCCCAGGGATCAAGCATATAAGCAAACTGCCATAGATGTTCATGCAAAGCATGAAAATTACGACTGGAGAGGCTGGTTGGATCGTGAAGTCAACATGAATCCACGTCAAAGATTTGACTCAAGAGTCTACAACGATGTATATGATTGGTATTTTGATAATAAATTCCCCAATTATAACGAACCATTATTCATAAATCTTACAGGGAATCATGATATAGGATATAGTGGTGATGCTACATGGCAACATATGGCCAGGTTTCATCTTCTTTTTGGACAAAATAATTATGTGATAAATTACAATTTAGATTCCGAGGAACCGTGGAGATTAGTTGTTCTTGATTCTTTGACCTTAGAAGGTCCTGCTCTACAAGAGGAGTTTGTTCAATACACCTGGGAATTTCTTAAATATTTGGAAGAAGTAGAAAATCCAAAATTCAATGGTTCAACCGTTTTATTGACACACATACCTTTTTTCAAGGCTGAAGGGCTATGTAAAGATGGTCCTGAACATATCTATTATGAAAATTACGAAAGGGAGCCTTACAAAAATGGCAAATTGAGATCACAAAATCATCTTTTGTTTGAAACATCCCAAAAGGTTTTGAATACAGTATTTCCAAATGGTGACCAAAGTGGTATAATCTTGACAGGCCATGATCACTATGGATGTGATGGTTGGTACAATTATGAGAATGGTACCTGGGTAGCTTCCAAAAATAACACTGGCTCCAAACAAAAGAAATCGATCAGAGAAGTTGTGGTACAAGCTATGATGGGCGATTTTGATGGGCAAACAGGTTTAGTCACAGGAAATTTTGACTATGAGAATCACAACTGGAACTTCGAATTTTCTTATTGTTCCTTTACGGTTCAACATTGGTGGTGGGCTTCCAAAGTCTCGCTATTCCTTTGTATTTTCCTCCAATCTATAGCATTTCTAACAAGATAGCAGAAAACATATATTCAGTAAATAGGGTCTATCTACAGTTATCACAATTCTTTGATACTTTCTAAAGCGCCATTGAAACTGTCTTCAGGGCTGATTTGGATTTTTTTGATTTTCAATTTTCCATCAACAAAAATCCAATGTGATCTTTTGATACCAGTAGGTGACTTTTTGGCACCTAAAACACCTATCAACTCCTTTTTAGGATCACTCAACAAATGGTATTCTAACCCTTGTTTTTCAACGAATTTCTTTTGAGCTGTTGGTAAATCAGCAGAAAGTCCGAAAATGGTCACATCCAAATCCTTGAAATCACCCAATTGAGCTTGGAATCCACAAACTTGTCTGGTACATCCAGGAGTAGATGCTTTTGGGTAAGCAAAGATGACAACATATTTGGTTTTTTTGGCAGCTTCTACTAAATTAATTTCGTTACTATCTTCATCAAGTAATGTCAAATCAGGAATTGAATCGCCCACTTCAATTTCTTGTTCTTTAATTTCTGGTTTTACTTCTTCAGACATTTTGGTGGTTTTAGTTTTCTTGACTGGTTTTGAATCAATTGGTTCTTCAGCTTTTGACTTTCCTTTGTTTCTTGTTGAACGACGTAATTCGACCATTGAAATTTTACTGAGGCGAGACTCCACAATTTTTGAGATTTCCGAAACGATACCCAATCTCTACTTATCTCTCAAACTTCATAAAAGAGCTTGAGCCAAGCACCTCCAATGGTGGACTCTAAAACAAATAAGGTTTTTTAGACATGCTGAGCCTATTCACTGCTCTCTTTGATAAACGGAAAATGAACTGCATTGATTTCGGAAGTACACGTTCATTACCCCCTAAGAGGAAGAATTGGCTTCGGCAACTCCAAATTTCTTCATCTACGGGCGCTTTATGAAGGATCCCATTATAGTGGTACTACCGGTGTAAATTGGGAAGAATGTTATTCATGGCTACATCTTGGAAAAAAGGTGTAAATTATTTGCAATTTTCATTACTCGTATACGCAAATTTGCAACCATTTGACTTTTAGTGAAAACAAGGGATATGCTAAGCGGATTAGAAATTCTTAACCAAGCAATCGACATATTGGAAGGAAGCGAATCGGATGATAGTTTCAATTGGTTTAATTCTGACATGTTCACTTCAGATCTAGCTAATGGGGATACTGAAAATTCATTTACCAGCTTCGATAAGGGATGTATAAAAACCTCGTCCCCTGATCTTGATCAAAGTTTTGAAAACAGGAATTTCCTGGACTTTTCGGAGCACAAGGAACATATTCTATTAAAAAAGACGAGCTTCGGTGGATACGGTGGCTCTACAAGTCACGATGGCGGTAAATTGCTGGAGGGTGTTTTTAGACCGGCAATTTTCAAGACCCTCTCAGACCAGTACTCCTCAACACAACCAAATAAGTCCACGGGCCGTCCGATCTCCAACCAAATGAAGTGTAAGTTCTTACTTCATGAAAGTCTCGAAGATGCAATAAATTTCCTTAACAAGACAGGAACCGTCAACGTCCCCCTGGTCAGAGACATGATGTTCACAGATTGTGATGTTGGCTCAATATTATGTGACATCTATGAAGTTGATCAGATCTATTTTATCAAAAGCTTTAGATCTGGTAATGGAAAAACTTCTAGAATCGAAGTGAATCCAAATTGTAAGAACTGCCCGATAAAATTGTGGAAGAAGAAATTTTGTTTTCCTAGGTATAAGTCTGGTATGAAGCTCCATCTAATCAAAGGTTCTGATGGTCAACGTTAGAATATACTTTGACCTAAAAGAGTATACCGCCTAGGAATCGTGGATTTAATTGAACTTATAGTTCGACGATAACCCTCATTTCTACCGTTTATTTTTTCATGCCAATGCCTATCTGTAAGTGTTGGGATACCACAAATCAGAAATTTTTACTGAACTGTTCTGATAAGGTACTCCTGATAAATAGATAAGAAATTTTGCAGTCGCACTCTATCCTCATGAGATTATTCAAACGAAGGTCTAGCGTTCCAGAAAAGTCACCCAACACTCAACAACCGAATCAAGGACGGTCTCTCAGTTTCTCAGGGACTACGGAAGAATTGGAAGAAAAGGAGCAAGTCGATTTGACAGATGAATATATGATTTCTCCAACCACCTCGATCCCATTGTCCGAGACCGAAACTTTAAACGGAGATAGAGACCATTTGCATAGATTGGAATTACAAAATACGTACGTGGAGAACTTCAATAGCTATTTGCCTTTTGTTCTTAGAAGGTTAAGACTTCATCAACATGAAAATCAAAGTTTAGGGGATGGGACCATAATAGAACCAAACGCTAATTTTGATGATGATGATGATTTACCGACAATTCTAGATGAACCCATAGACGATCCTTATGGTACCACTATCATGGAAAATAACATTTCCAGATATTCTGTCAAGAGAGAATTCATCATAGTCAATGAATTCATCAAGCACAATACTTATGTATTCCCCAGCATCGAGAGTTTTGAACTCTTTAGAAAACTAAGGAACCAAAATAAAAAACAACGGAAAAATTCTATCACTACCTATGATAATGAGGAAGAAAAATACAATGTGATTAGAGGTCATGAAACGGCTGGCAATTCGATCATTGATGATCGAAACCATATAGTTCCTGTGGAATTTAAACTCGAAGGTCAAGGTTTACCAATATTCAGGGTATCTGTTCCATACATGTCCAATTTCCGTAAAAATTCTCCTTTCATTGTGTTTCATAAGTTCAAGGAGATTCCCAATCCACCAGGAAACGAAGATGAAGAATTCGAGACCTATCCATTCTGTCTTGTGACTTTGAAAAGATTTCAAGAAATACGGCGATACACATTTGAATTTCCAGAATATGGCTTCAGGGTAATTTCATTCCAGCACAATTTTAGACCTTTCGCTGACTTTAATTATAAAAGTACAAGATTCAGGGTATTGGGCACTAATGTCATTAGTGCTTTTGCGTTGAATTACAACCCCTCCTTGAAATTGTTGGTGATTGATGAAGGTAAGGTCTCTCTTTGCGACTCGGTTATCAATCGTAAGCCTGGATTCGAAATTTCCTCAATCATCAAGAAGAAACAAGTCAAGGTGGAAGAAGATGTTAGTGGCTTAGACCCCGCTGATTATCCCAACCCATATCCCGCTCCCGACAATCCGTTATTAGAAGACTCATACTTTCAATACTACAACAGTACTGGTTATACCAATGTAAGGGACTATATTCCTAACGATCTTCCCCCGTTTGGTAATTTCCTCGATGCTTTAGTTTACAAAGATCGATTGAATCTTATTCCAAAAAAATACTCTGAAGTTGGTAAAATAGAGACATATCAAGATCCCCACGGTGACGTTAATTCCACTAAATCTTCGTCAATCGACGACATGGTTCTTTTGTGCATTTTGATGACTTACAGAGAAAGCTCCATAAGAGCTAATGCAAGGCCATCAAACTCGAGTGCTATGCTTTCCTCGAGACTATCATCTTCCACTGCATCCAACAGTCTAATATTAGGAACTGATTTCACTTAAATAGCGTTTTAATATTTGTCGATTAATTTTACATCCTATATATATCTAATTACAGTTAAGATCTATCAGGTGATCTTGATCTATCTCTTGTGGGCGACCTTGAGGGAGATCTTGAATAATTCCCCCTTGATCCGGAGCCACTAGCTGTGCCTTCGTAAGAATCTCTTTCACCTCTTCCTCTACCTTCATTACCAACTCTGCTTTCATAACCTCCTCTTGTTTCATATCCTCTTCCTTCGTAGCCACCTCTTCCTTCGTAACCACCTCTTCCTTCGTAACCACCTCTTCCTTCGTAACCACCTCTTCCTTCATATCCACCTCTGCCATATCCACCTCTTCCCCTATATGATCCTCCATATCCACCTCTATCGTAGCCTCTTCCTCTTGATTCATATCCTCCTCTACCATATCCACCATATCCATAACCTCCTCTACCATAACCTCCTCTTTCGTAGCCACCATATCCATATCCATCGTCATATCCGTAGTCATATCCACCTCTGGAGTAACCACCTCTTCCATAACCGTATCCACCTCTTGGATAACCTCCTCGGCCACGTCTGGAAGGGTAAGGATCAGATCTTGCCATTTGCACGACTAAACCGTCATTCAATGAATATGGTAATTTGGCACCGTTCAAAGCTTCCATTGAGCTTTCACAATCCTCTAAAGTTTTGTATTCAACGAATGCATATTTTTCACCGTCGTCAGTTCTTGGTGGTGGGATATCGAGTCTCACTAATTCACCGAATCTAGTTTTGTTAGTTTTGAATCTTCTTACAGGTGGGGTGGAATGATGAAAAATGGAATTCTGGAATATTATATGGAGAGGAAGTTTTCATGATCGTATATATCAAAATGGGTTTTGATCAAATGATTGTGTCAATGGAAATTCGGAAATTACTACATTATTGGTATGTTTTATGGTGGGATGAAAAAATGAAAGAACTGATATTAATCAATGATGGATGAAGGGTCCTAGAATAGAAGAAGTTGTTTTCTACCATAAATATCACTAATTACTAAATCATTATTAATACCAAGTAAACTAAGAGCAACATATAATAACCTCAAAAACCAAAATTTACCAAATCAACTCAACAAGGTGAAATGAATCAATGATAGCCATAAAACACCTCTTACTAATTATACATACTTCTCGAAATCAGGGGCCAAATCAGCGGCTTTAGTATCTTTTGAGAACCCTGTAACATATAATGTATTCTTCGGCATCGTCGTTGAAAGTCTTTAACAATTCGCACACTCAAATCTGAAATCAAAGAAATCTAGAGAATAATTGTGTGACTTATCACGTGATTCTACGCGTGAACCGTTTTGAGCATCACCACTTTTTCGAAAAGGTCAACCCAACAAAAAAAAGATTGAGAAATTTTCAAGTGTCTACACGTATTGTGCATTAAATCAATTAAACAAACGGCTAATCAAAGATTAAACCATTGAACTACGGTTTCAATATATTTATTTTCATTATATTAATATAGTTCGAATTTTAATTACTAATTTTCGCCCAGTTTTCGGGAATTAAATTTCAATTTAATCACCAGTAACATGTCATTTGTCAATGATTTAGAAAATCAGTTCAATGAAGATATACTAGACGAATTTTTAGATCAAAGAGTCTATGACTATTCACCAAAGGAAGATTTTGATTTCGATAATCAATACCAACCTGATCAATTAAGCCAAATACATGAGACTCCAACTAATCAAGACAGTATAAATGAAGATTTGAGTCAAAATCAATACAGCTACAACTTGTATAATTTAGATGAAGTCAGTCCTAATTCCAGTCTGGTTAAAGAAATGGATTATTTTCCTGGTCAAACAATAGATCAAGGTCTTAATCTGCATATGGATCAAACAATAGATCTGAGCTTCAATCATTCTAACAACAATTCATCAACTAATTTATCCAATAACATGAACTTTATGAATAATAATAGTGGCCATAATACATTAAATAACTCCGCTGCCACCTCAAGATCAGTTTCGGTTAACATCAATGGAGATAAAAGAATGAATGATTACGACTTGTTAAGAGATGAAGTGTCCAAATTGAAATTTGGTAAATATAATATGAATTATGTTCCTGATTCCATCAATCCTTCCCCAGATATGTTGGACTTTTCCAGTACTAAAGCATCACAGTTACCATATAAATTAGATATTTCAAATTTACCAGACTATTCAAGAGTGGAAACACAAATCAAGATCAATTTAAATGTATCTCCTTCTCCTCAAGAAAATTTATTACATATTCCTCAGGATTTAGTACTGAAAAATAAATTTTGTCTTTATGATTCAATTGGAAATTTAAATCCTGTCATTTTAAGAAACTTGTTGTTTTTAGAGTGTTTTGTTATGACTTCAGATTTGAAGAAGAGTTGTAATATCTGTTCCAAATGTATCAAACGTGAACAAAAGAGAGCTAGTAGAAGAAGGGGTGCTGATGAATCTTCCAACAACAATCAGGGAAGTCCAGAGGGAGGAATGGTGAAAAACAACCCTAATGTTTGGAGTGATGATAACATGATCAAAAAAGCTGTGATTTTCAATTGTAAAGAAATTGTATCGTTCCCAGCTCCCACAGGTATGGATCTTTCCAAGTCCATTGAACTCAGTGCAAGATTGATTTGTTATTGTCGCCACCATCAAGAAACGAAAGGTTTTAAGTTATTGTTTGTATTGAAGAACCACCGAGGTGAAATCGTTGGTAAACAATTGAGTTCCCCTATAATGATCATGGATAGAAAGAAACCAACCACTAGTACGGAAGAACAACAACCAATTTCCCCAAATTCCATCGATGAGTCTTCAGATTTGACAACTGATGAGAGAGGAGTGAAACGTAAGAAGTTATCAGTAGATGAAAATCTTATGTATAATGGCTCAATTGGATCAGTGGGATTCTCTCCCATCAGCAATAGTGATACCAGTAGTATGAGAGTAACGAAGCCGTTGAGAAGTAATAACTTAGTGCCTCCTTCGTCGAATTTACCAACTATTTTACGTATAATCCCAGCTCAAGGTCCAATAAGAGGTGGTATCGAAGTCACATTATTGGGATTCAATTTCCATCCGAATTTATCTGTAAAGTTTGGTGCCAATGCAGCATTAGCTACTCACTGTTGGTCGGAGACTACTATTGTTACGTATTTACCACCAGCTTCCATTCCTGGCCAAGTTCTAGTGAGTTTCGAGGGACATGATACCACAAGCCAACAACAAGTGTTTACCTACACAGATGATACTGACAAGCAATTGATTGAATTGGCCTTACAGATAGTTGGTTTGAAAATGAATGGTAAACTCGAAGATGCTAAAAACATTGCTAAGCGTATTGTTGGAAGTGGTAATTCTCCAAGCGTTTCCTCCAATACTAATTCGCCAATCAAAACCGAAAACACTAATGATTCTAATATCAATTCACTTTCGATGAGTAGTGAACCTGTTAGCAAAGGTTATAATGATGATGATAAAATTAATGATTCTAACGAATATGATAATACTAATGACTGGTATACAAACGCACAAGGAAAAGTCAATCAATTGAATACGACCCCGACTGAATCTACTGTAATTTCATTCCTTAAATTAATAGATTTACCAAATTGTCCAACCATTCCTAATTGGCAATTAACTAATGGTCAAGGCCAAACTTTGTTACAATTAGCTACCATCAAGAGTTACAATAAATTGGTTAAGTTCTTAATCAATCATGGGTGCTCCGTAGATTATCGTGATAATCTTGGATGTAGCGCATTATTCTACGCCGGAGTTTATGGAAATCGTGATCTAATTTCATTATTTCAAAGCTATGGGTTGGAAGATGAAAAAGTCAAAGACTATTGCGATTTCAATGTCTTGGATATGCTTAGCAACAAAGGATTAAGAAAAATCGAAAGTCTTGAACTGATCAATGTCACTCGTAGAACAGTTGTTGAAAGTGATCATGAATTTGATGGAGAGTTCGAAGACAGTGATATGGAAACTGATTATTTCAAGTCTTCAGACGAGGAAACTATTCATCAACATATGAACATCGGAAAGGAAGATGACGCACAATCAAATGAAACTATAACCAATATCAACAACGAAGACAGAGGACTCTGGCAAAAAGTTAAAGATGTGTTCAATAAATCTGATGATGAATTACCAAATTATGACGATTTATTCCCTTTTGGCCCCTCGTCAAGATCTTCGAAACCAAAGACTAGAATTGAACAACAATTGAATGAATCTTTAACTACCCCAAAGATTGGAAATAGTAGTCAAGAAGGGGAAATCGATTCAGACAGTTCAGAGGACATGATCATCTCATACATCAACCACCCTCGTAAAACGGTTGAAAATGATAAGATGTTAATATTTTTCTGGGTTCCCGTCTTGATTTTATTAGTGTGTGTATTCATTTCAGTTTCTATGGGACATAAGTTTGAGGTTATTGAAAATTTCAAAAATGTGATAAGAGATAGTTTGGGTAATTTAATGGTAGGTAATGAAAGAATAAAAAGGGTTTTTACTGAGTAGTAATAAATATTTTCTTTAGTATGGTGTTTTCTTTAACAAACTCTATCTCTGCAAAACAGTTTCTGTTCAATTCATTTCCCCAATTAGCTGGTGGGCTTGTGTATTATTCTTTCAAGTGAACGATTCTCTTGATTTTTTCAGAAATTATTTTATTCATATTTTTTGCAGATTTTGTAGAAATCTGGGTAGATTCTTCTGCTGGACTTTCAAACAGAAAAAAAAAATATAAAAAAAATAAACACTGTAAAATTCATATGGAGCAAATCCATACTGATAGAAGATCTAGGCTTGTTTTAAGAATCACCTGGAAGCTTCTAGATATTCGAAAATATAGTAATTCAAAAATCGTATCCTGAACTCTGACCCTCACCAAATAGGAGAAGTAATGAGAAAATTCGAAACTCGTCTAAATGAGCCACGGCACAAAAATCTTCGACGATGACCGTAGATACGAGTTTATGAACTTTGGACTTTATTGTAATGATAGTCTTATCAATATCTATCAGTATAGCTTATCTCTGAGGCTTTCAAAGGGACTGGATGGCAATAGATACCTATTGGTAAATATTTACATCTGTCAAAAGGTAAACAAACTTCTGCCAACCAAGAAAAAAGTTTAAACACGAAACAAACAAATGTTACAAACCCATAACAAAATAAACAAACTTGAGAGATTAGAGAATAAAGATGGTATTAAGCAAATATATTAAACTAGTACATACTACAAGGCAGCTTAGAATAAAGCGGCAACAGCAGCTAAACCAGCAACGGCACCAACGGCGACTTTGTTACCAGCGTTAGCGGTTTCAACTTCTGGAGCAACAGTTGATGGAGCAGCTGAAGTGTAAGTAGTTGGGATAGTACATTCACCAGTGATGGTAATAGTAGTAGCTTCAGTAACAGTGATAGTTTTGTTGTTAACAACGAATGAAGTTGGTTCTGGACAGTAAGTGGTGAAGTCAGTGACAACAACATCGGTGGTAACGGTAACGTTAGCAGCGGAAGCAATTGAGGCTAAAGCGGTAGCAGTTAATAATTGTTTGAATTGCATAGCGAATGAATATAAACTTGAAGTTGAAAAAATTTTTAGTGGGACGACGATGGGTTTTTATACCTGAGTTTTCTGACTAATTGCTTTTAAAATTTAAAATTTTATTGTTTTATCTAAATAGGAAATTGAACGACATTATGCCGCACACGCTTCTAACAAATTCCAGTTATTGTTGAGGACCATTTCTCCGATACCGTTATTTTTGCGAGACTCTGGCTGGCTGTCGCACCATGTCCCATTACTTTTGCCCCTATAACTGAGACTTCCGTTACGAGGTAGGTTACGAACTCTACCATGTCGTACGGGTGTATTTTGGTAAATACCAGCGACAAGATTTTTGATTGGACTATAATAGGCAAGTTAATTCCCAAATAGGGAAAACAAGTTAAATCTCATCTGTCGAAAACCAAAACATCTGGCCATGATGAAATTTACTCTATAAAAGTAGTATCTTAAAAAAGGTTTACGAGCTATTTTTAGCGTGCGGTAGATAAGTGAATTAAGGTAAGAGGTCTCAGGATTTGTGTCAACAATACAACCACTCATACAAATTTCAATTGTAATAGATAGTAGTTAACTAGAAGATGAGTTGTATATGGTTGAACAGGAAACATGTTTTCTAAAATTAGAAAGCTAATAGCGGGCGGTCATAAAATGATAATCATCGGGATATTTCTTCGGCCATGGGCTTTGATGGTTGCTCTTCATTGTGGATTATTTTGAATATTTTGAAACATTGTTACAGTTACTCATATTAGTATGACGAAATACATCAAATTTCAAAAAGAAATACTAGAATAAGTCAAATATCTTTAGTTGAATTGTTTCAAGTGTTATCTTTGTTCCATGTAAATATAAGGGGTTATTGTTGAATGTCAAAAACTAAATATTAAGGTAACATTGTATCATTACGGAGGGCTTTTCTCGTCAACTATTGTTAAAAAATGTTTATTTGAGTTCGGGACTTAATATCCTCCTTGGTATTTTATTTTTAACTACGATCTTAAGAGTGACTCTCGAATGGCCTTTTGCACGGGATAATTGGTCTGTTAACCCTACCATTAGAACAATTATTGGTTGTAAAACTGTAATGAAATTACAAAAGTAGTTATAAAGTTTGAATAGAATAAGTCCGTATTGGCTTGAAGCCAGTATCTTCAGGGAATTATTATGAGCACGCTTGAAAGGCTTAAAACTAATTACATTACCTTGTGTGGAATTTTAATTACTATCCAAAAAATTTTTCATGTGATTAGCGTAAAATCTGTCTCAGCATAATTTGAAATCCCGTTATTCCCTCTTAGTATTTTCCCCTTAATTAAAAAATTTATTGCCTCTTTATGGAAATTTCATGCGAAGTGAATTTTGTTGTAAAATGATGGAATGGAGACATTGCAATTAAGTGATAGTTATCTCCTATTGAAGTAATTGTTCGGACTTTTAGTAACATCCAAGTTAGAAATGTAAGTTGCCCATCGACACGGAGTAGCTTATTCGAAAGACACCTGAAACTATCCGAAATTCGGATGTTTTTGATTAGAGAAGAGTTTGAGTATTCATGGTCACATACTCCGCAAGGAAACATACTTATCCTTTGGATTCTAGACAAACTGTGCCTATCAGTCCTCAGAGACAAGTGGTCGATTTGTAGAGATCGATAATCAATGATAAATCGAACCTCTTCAGATGAAACCAAAAATTATGAGACCCACACTTTAAAAAAGTTGGAATTATACCCTTATAGCGAAGTGCAATGCCGTTAAGGGCTAACTAGTAAAAGTCTACTTGATCTCTTTTACTATCTCTAGGTAAGTATAAAGATTTTCACAGCGCGTCCACCAACTTTTATACTTGCGAAGAGTAGTGAACTTACCAAATATGTCACGTTATATATACATTTGAGTTGAATCTATAAATGTGCCAGACTATCACTTCTGACCTTTGTGTCATGCTCTTGTTAATGCTCTTTATTTGATTCATGGATCATTCGGTTTCTAGAAGGATAAATATCAATTGCTAATTATTAATTTGAATTTCCCATATTGAACATTGAGCCATGGAATGTTGGAGTGTTATTCCATTAGTTGATCTTTCGTTTGATGCATTGTCTTAGAATTTGGATCCGATATTTTGAATTCATCTCGTTTGTCCAACTCCTCACTGTTACATGGAATGAAGATTTTGGGTCGAAGTCAGATTGGATCAAATAGTTTTTGCACCAATATCTCCACCCAGCGATTCTACATTGATGGTAAATTCATTGAATGGACTGTTTTTATCGTTTTAATCCTTTTGGCTCATGACACCCTTGATCCAGGGGTTTTCGATACGAAAGTATTTGGGCACTATCACACTCACACGATGAAGAATATCCTTCGAATGATTATATGGAACGTAAGAAATTAGCACTTGACATAGAAACACAATTCACCTAACTTTACATCGTGGGCTTTACTAAAACTCATAAGCTTTCGAGTAAGATTGCAGGTGAGATCTTAAGCCTTTGCAACCACCCGTTGTACTGGAAAAGTATTACTAGATCCCATATTTCTGATAATTAGGTTGGCATGATCAACACCTTCATCTTGACAGATAAACCCGATACCAGTTCCAGAACCTTCTAGTAAATTGTTACCACCTGAGGTGACGAAACCAACAAGGTTGAACAAATTGACACTTCCCTGATAAATTCTGGCTCCTGGTTTACATTTACCGTTAACCGCCAAGGTGATGGGTTTTATATGGAGCTTCTTCGGTTCGGGGTGAATTGAGACACACAATTCGTTCGTTCTTGACTCGTTAATATACTCAATTAGTTCCAATTCATTTTTTATAACTCTCTGAACTCCATTAAATTCGCCCATAGTCTTTTCGCTGCTTAAATCATCATTTTTGTATTTCCTTGAGTAATACAAGAACTCCCAATCAGGACCGAATGGAATTAAACCATGCTCATGATCAAAGTGGTGCTGTTTGGATTTAGGTAATTTGTCGTATTTGAGCAAACCTAATTTGATTTCCAATTGATTTTCTTCCCATCCTGAGGATAGGAAAGGAAAGTCTCTTGGATATCTAGGTATATTACGCTCAAAACAGTATTGTTCTAATTGGCTTTCACCTCCAAATTTCAAGGTGGGAATTTTCTTCAACGAGTGGAAGATAGGTAAGACCCAAAACCATGGGCACATCAAAATCCATTTCCCTTGCGCTTTAGTGAGTAGAACAGGTATATCCGCTGGACTAATTGGATTTTCTGCGACCCTATTGATCAACTTTGTAGTTAATTGGTCCTTGTAGGACTCAGTCCTCCCTGACGAGGTAAGCAACCCATCCAATGCTAATTGGCTGTGTTGTGGTTTCGACATAGATATGACCAAATCATTGTAATCGATATTGGACCTTGGTTTGATCAACTTCGAAAGTCTTGGATCTTTGATTGTAAACAGTAAAGTGGTTCCATCCCTTAAAGAATCATTATAAACGAAATTTTGCAATTCGGGAGAATCGGAACGGAGAATTCTATTCAAATTGTAGAGCGACTGTGGTCCAATTAGCTCAATGCTGCCTAGTGCATATCTACAGTCCTCAACTTCAACCAAATTTTTTAGATGATTGAACAAGATTCCGTATATCAGAGGATGTACTCTTACGAGGACCTTGCCGTTACTACAAAACATCAACCCCTCACCAATAACGGATGTTGGGTCTTGGGTATCTTTGTAGATCAACCCAAAGTTTGACTTTTCTCCTTTTAAAACTCCATTGGTAACTTTCATGATCAGTTTCACGACTGACTCATTGAAATCGAATGTTAAACAATCGTACCATGAGGTATCTATAGCCACGCAATGGTTCCTCATGCACCTATTCATCGGTCTATAGCATTTCATGGTCGGTGACAAAGGATATTGATATCCATATCTTTTAATCATATGGAACCTCTTTGCATGCCAAACATGTGTATTTAACCATACAAACATCTGTTGACGTTTGTGGTATTTCTTACCCATGGGACGAGAACTAAATTCATTTACACTTGAAATATCATATGATCCCATAAGATTGTTTAATTGTGGCTTGGACTTTTTATGGTCGATTTCCTTCAATTGAAGGTTCAATGCCTTTAATTTTGTCTTGATCGTTTCATTGGTTAATTCGGGGATGTGTTTTTGTAATCGAATTCTTATTGCAAGTTTCATTAGCTTCTTTCTCATTTTCAACTTATATCGATCTCTTCCATTTATCTTTTTCTTCTTAGTAACATTAGTGTCACTCATTTCACGAAGAGCCCTATTCCTCAACCTCTTTGGAATTCTTTTTACATTATGAGAGGCAGTACGCCTTCTCATTGATCTAGGTAAAGATTGAAATACTCGTGTACTCGATGCTGTTTTAGTACGTAATTGAGACTGTTCGAAGGACTCGATTTCGAAAGCCCTTGATTTCAAAAAATCAGGTATCGATAGTTGTCCATTTGTGTAGTTTGTGTTCTGCGTACGTATTGCCCGTGTATGGAATATCTTACTCTTCTTGTCCATGGTGGAATGTTTTCGCATCTCATCACCTGGTTTATTTATCGAATACTAGCACCAAACAAGAGATTGAAGAGTTTATTGGATTTAGGGAGACATTCCTGTTTTTTAAGTATAATACATTAAATCATTATTTAATTTTCTATCGAGGAGTGCCTCTAAGGTGTTCAATAGTAAGCTACAGTGTAAATCGTTTGTAAGTGTGAATGATTTTTTTGCCATTCTGTTAAGATTTTCATCATCTGATCTTCAAGAATATTCTCTGACGGATCATCAACTTCCTTTTTGTTATTTCTCCTGAATTCATGTATCATATTAACCAATTCCACGATACCATTACCACCAATGATGGCATTTTCATTATCATCCTTTATATCAATATTAATTACGTGGACTATTTTACTCACTTCGTTCTCTGACTGACCTTTACCTAATCTATACATTAGATCATCTACCACAGAATCAAAACAACGCTCTTCACAGGTTATGACCAAGTCAAACTTACCAGCGTAAGAATTTAAATGCCATTTCTCGGGAGCAGTTTTCACTTGTCTATTTCTGTTCAACATATGTAGTAAACCATTTGCCTCATATGTCTTTCTATTGTTTTGACTCATTAAATCATTGAGGATTTCTTCATAAGGGGTACCAAATTCATAAACGTTAGGTTTGTCTACCGAAGGTCCTGGTAATCTGACACTATTACCAGTTCCAAACGAATTGATATTATACCCAGCGTCACGAAGTTGCCTATGTGCCTCCATAGAACGGTTATTATTGGCGGCACAAACAGTACAGATCTTCAAACTATCAGGTACTTTGACCTCAGATTTAACTATAGTTTCAGACATGTTGAGTTCTATATTTTTGCGAAGTTTTAGGTGCAAAAAATATTGAAGAGAATTTAGAACAGAGACTAAGTGTGTCATGATATGTAATTCCATAATAATCTAATTCAAAAAAATGCCCCCTTTATTTAATCAAGTCATAAGAAGAATCGATCTTGCTGTTTTCTATTTCTACGACGTCTTCATTTTCTATATTATGATCTATAGATACGAAGTCGTTATCTTCTTTATCGTTTTTTTGAGTATGGCCCAAATGATCATCCAATTCGTCATCAGCTATAGACTCAACATCAGCAATGTCTTTGAAGGTGCTCTCCTTCGATTGGAAATGAACTATTTTAGTTCCTTTCAATCTTTCCTTGAGATTTTCGTAATCTTCCCAATTTTTGATCACCAAACCAACCATCATGGAAGGATCTAAGTCATCGATTTTGAGTCTTTGATAGTTTTTAGTGTAAAAGGATTCTTTAATCCCATCCTCGGCACATTGCTGAGGATAATGAGGATCTAAGTAGAGAAGGTCCTTATTAATATTGTCGAATCCCACAAAATAGAAGCTTGAGGATGGTCTTCCTCCTGCAATTCCAATGGACTGAGGCAAATTCAATAACTGCAAGATAGAATCGTGATAAATAGAATTGATCTTGTCGATTCCCAAACGAATAGGCAACAATACAAGTAAGTTGCCTTTCATTGATTTAATTTGATCGTCGTATAAGTCTGAGCTTTCACTTATTATAACATTCAATTCACCTCTACACAACCTTTGTATGGATAACGATGCTGCATTTGGACCAAACCATTGACCGGGCCTGACGTGCAAAGGAGACTCGTTAGCTACTTTTATAAAATTGTGAAGTGAATAAGTTGCAGATTCATCGTCTTTGAATAACTTGATCACCTCCTCTTCTTCATTACCAAATTTTACCAAAGCATTTGCCAACAAACTTTGTGATGTACGTATCATACAACCCCAGCCAACGTCAGTAGTGAAGAAATCATTATTGATGAAACTCAGAAATTGGGCCAGGAAAGGATTCCTATTGAATACCATCGATGATATGAACTGCAAAGGATAAGGTCCGTCTTCATGCTTAGCAATTGGTTGGAAGCCTGTCCTGTAACTCAACCAAATCAAGCTCTTTATCTTATCTGCTATACTATCTCCTTGATAGTCATGACCTAAAATAACTGCTGACGTATCCGCATGAACCTCATCTTCGATGGTGCCTTCCCCTTCATTTTGTTGCAATGTAGCTTCAGTATTGTCGGATGACTTGGGTCTTGGAATGTGTTGCCAAATATCTTTCATAAATGTAAATTTATCCTCTGACATCCTTTGTACCACGACCCGCGCAGATTTACAGATTTACGTTATCTATATTTAATACAATGCCTAGACGTGGTGGCGGAGGCCGAGGAAATAAGAAATCCCATGGAGCCAGGTTCAGGATAAGTAATAGTAAGAAAAGGAAGAGCAAAGGTGCTTCCAACAATCATCGTGCCCCCCAAGATTTCCATCAGCTAGAAGACTTTAGCGGTTTACCTGATGTAAGTTTAGGAAAGATGAGTCTAGCTAAAATGAGTAAACGTCCCGGCAGACTTATGAATGAGGTCAAATTTACTAGTGACAATCATGACAAAACTATGATGGGTCCCTTGAGGAAGAGACCGATAGAGTTTGTCAAAGCTAAAGAGGTTTATGATCCCAATGAGGAATTACGTAAAAAGCTCGAGGAAGTAAAGTTCCTGCCAGAGCCTGAAGTAATGGAGCCAAGGCAAGTTACAGATGAAGACAAAGGGCTCGATGAACAGCCGTTAAGGAATGCTCTTGAAGAAAGAGAAATCTCTACGAAAAATGAGGGAATAGAGGTAAATGAAGACGTACAAGGAGAGGTCAAGCAAAAATCAGTCGAACCTGTTGAATTCTCGATTGACGAGACAGGTGACGAAGATTTGAAAGTGGAGGTTCGACTGAATCCAACTCCAGGACCAAATGTGGAAACAACTTCAGTTGCTATCGGTAAAGTGTTATTAAAAACTCATTACGAGGATGGAGAGATGGTAACAGATTTGATGTCTCAATCTAAATTGAACAGCTTGAAACCCGGATTTGTTAACGAGAGCAGTTACATCTCGAGTTCTGATGACTTTGATGAAGATGATCCGCTAGGCTACCAAGACTACATGTCTCAAATGATAAAACAGTTAAGGGAGGACACAGACGAGTATGAAAGTGACACAAACTTCGATATCATGGCATCTGATACAGACGATGAGCCCATTCCTCTCAAAGCAAGTTCGAATAAGGTTGAGAAGCAACAAGAACCAGTGAGTGAAGCAAAAGAAGAAACCCCAGAGTATGGATTTCTTGAAGAAGATTATGAGTTCGACGTATCCAAGATTTCCATATCCAATATCAGGTACGGTGTAAAAAATCAATACTACATAGTTTGCCCTGAACTCACGGGAACAGGAGATTCCATTTGGATTGACGAAGATGAAGTTGTGGACTACATCCTTGAGAATGGTGTTAGGGAGAATAGGTTGAGTAGTTTCTTCAAATTTATGACGAAGGGTTTAGTGGATAATTCAGAGTCGGAAGAGTCTGAAGTTTATGTGTCAGATCTGGAGATGGACGATGAAGAGGAATCGGAAGAAGAAGAAGAAGAAGAAGATATGGATAGTGATGACAACGATTTAGCTCAGTTGATCAGTTTTAGTCAAAATCATCATTTCGACATGAATATGACCATGGACACAGAAACATCTTCCTTGAGAACCAAAGGTAAGGGAAAGAAGAAGAGATTAGATTTGGAGAAATTTGATATGGATAATGAATTGAGACAGTCGTTACAAGATCAATATCAAACTCAAAGGGAGGCAAAGAAATTAAGAAAACTACGTAAACACGATCAGATGGTCGAGGATGGCTTGAATTCAAATGACTTGTTAATCAAATACCCATACACTTTACATATCAAGGATATCAGAAATGAAATGCTTGCATTTCTACATGACAGTTTGAGATCAACTTTGAATTTCCCTCCATTAGATCCACATGGAAATAAGACAATTGGTAAGATGGCTGATTGCTACAATTTCAAAAGTAAGAGGGTTGGGGGTAATGGTTTGAAATCCTTCATGCAAGTGGTGAAAACCAAAAGAACATTCAATTATTTGCCTAATGAACATAGAGCAATTGCAATCACAAAGCAACGTCCAGTATTTCACAGAGTGGATGTTCAAAGGCCAAAAGATGAATATTTAGAGACCGACGGGAACAAGGAAAAGGATAGAAAACGTCAAAGGGGAAAATCATCCAACGCTAATGTTAAAGAGGGTGACATTGTGGGTGATAAAGCACCAGAGATCCCATCGTCTAACATCGGAAGACAGTTGCTTGAGAAAATGGGTTGGAGTAAGGGTGAAGGTCTTGGTTTGGGCAAGAGAGGTATTCATGAGATCATCCAAGCCAAGGTAAAGACCAGCAAACTAGGTTTGAAATAGATCAACTTTATATTTATTCTATCTGGTTATCTCTTGTTTTTTTTCTTTGAGTTCGTTTTTGGAGCTGCATGCTTTGTTTCCTTGACGTGTTGAAATAATTTATTACGGGAGGTAAATGTTTCCTTGCAAGTTTCGCATATCTCTGTATCTAAAGGTTCAGAACTGGATAAAGAGACAGAACTACCAATGTTTTGAGCAGGGGACTTTTTCTTCTTTTTTTTACTCTTCTTCCCGGAACTCCAATCATCGTAATTCACATCATCGTCATCCAAAGTAATTCCAGTTGCAAGATCAGAAGAGATCTTGGCCAATTCCTCATTGAGGTCTAATTTTTTTGCCTTTTTAAAAGATTTAATTGGCTTTGGTTTTTTGGTTTCTGGCGACTCTAATTCTTCTTCTTCTTCGAGCTTTCCGGAAGATTTACTCTCCTGTGACTCTTCACCGGGGTATGATCCATGAATGTCCCCATTCATATTATTCACTTCCGAAGAGGAGTCAGAGTCATCTTTCTTGTTTACTGCTTGATAGAGTGAATCTGATACCAGATCATCTTCCCCCTCACTTGCAGTTTCAAACTCATCAATACCTAACTCTTGCCCTTCCTTTCTCATTTCCCATCTCAATTTATTCAAGGCTTTTCTGTGCTTATTCGAATTTTCATGTATTTCCAATTGTTTTTCACTCTTGAAAAACTTATCACAGACAATACATTCGAATATTTCCTGCTCTTCGGGTTCTTCAAATTCATCAAACTCACTGTCATCAGAGTTATACTCCTCGTCCAACATTTCCTCCAACTCATTTAATTCTTCTAAAGATAGTTTCTGCCAGTCTTGGACTTCAAATTTGTTCAAATTTTGCAATCTTTCTTGCTTGTTCAATTTCACTTGATTATTGATTTCTTCCATTTGCTTTCTTTTCTTTTCTTTTTCAAATTCTGACAAACCTTTCTTGACTCTTGGATCTCTCTTCTTTATGAATTGAACATAATTCCTTACCGTTTCATTGAATTCTTTTCTTGCATTATCCCTGAATTTTTTATTTTCCTTCTCCATCAAACGACGGGTTTTCCTATCCGGTGCCTGCGATATCCTGTACTCATCTTTCCAACTGAAGGTCTTACAAGTTTGGAATGAAGACCACACATTATAAAAGTTTCTCACGTCTGTGGCATAAGTAGTGGAACTAGTACCGAATTTAGGGAACATTAGGACAGAATCATCCAAAGCGTTAACATTGGGTGCATTGTCTTGAAAATTTTCATATTCTTTTATGCCCTGTTGTCTTCCATGATTTATCTCCTCGGATGCCAACCTTCCAAATAAAGACCCCACCACATAGTAGAAACCTGCTTGAGAATCATCTATTTTTCCATAGAAGGATGGATTGAAATATCTATAAAGTTCTTCGACTGATATACTGGGTATTATAAAGTCTTCTGTTGTACTATCATAAACTTCGCTGTCATTCAATATTTGATTTTTGTGGGAATCATACCATGATCTTTCTTGAGGATCTGACAAAACTTCATACGCTGCCCTCACTAACGCAAATCTGGCAGTTGCTCCTTCAACATCATCAGGATTTTTATCAGGATGCAATTGAAGAGCCTTCTTTCTGTAAGCTTTCTTTAAGTCAGTATCTGAAGCATCTGTCGGCACTCCAAGTAACTCATAATAATCTGTCTTCATCGATGAGATTTGAGAAAAATTTGAGATTTTGCAACCGATATCAGACTACGCTAATCAGTATTTTGGAAATGGTAACTATAACGAGTGCTCTGTTTATACCAAGACAAAGATTGAAGGATGATAAACCTACGAGGCATGAGTAAAGAATCACTATAATTCTCAATTATTTACAGACTATTTACATTCAAACTATAGTTGGTAGCTGGCATTGCAGCTAATTCACCATCAGTATAAGAAGCTCTAAAGAATGAGTAGTGCAAAACCACATCATCGATATTTCTGAGATTAGGATCTTTGGCAAAATCGGGGTCAAGGAAGAAGAAAACAGGCATATCTACTTCTTCACCGGGAGCTAACCTTTGTTCTTCAAAACAAAAGCATTGAATTTTGTTGAAATAACCAGCAGCTAATTCGGGAGTTACGGAGTAAGTAGCCATACCAATGATATCTTCTTTGGACATATTTTTGGCTCTGTAGAAAGCTAATGCAGTTTCACCGGGTACAACATAAACTTCTCTTTGTAAAGGAGTGAACTTCCATGGTAAAATTCCCGAGCTTTGACAGGTGAATGAAACTCGAATTCTCTTATTAGTGTCAACGGGTATAAGTTTATCAGCTGTGAACTTTGTGGCATCAGTAATTGGGGTTCCACCCCATCCAGTTCTCTTACATAATGCTCTATATAAGGGGACAGCAGTGAATGCCAAGGCTAAGAAGAATATACCCAAAGAAAATGCATAGTTAGTTGTTGTCTGCATACGGTACTTCTGTTGAGATTCCCGTTCCCTTTGGAGTCTTTCAAAATTTTCTACATAAAGTCTACTCTTCTCTTCTTTCGAAATATCTTGTAACTTTTGGTGACTGAAACTGAAATTTCTGTTCACAATCAATATTGTCGACTGGTTAGATGACAATAATCCTGACATTCTGATACCCATGGGGACATTGAAATTTGACCTTAACATGGCCCTTCCAACTATACTAATGTTGGTGGGAATCATACTATAATTTGAAAAGGTGCGATCTTGATTAATATGGTGTTGTCGTTAACTGCGACATCGAACTGAGACACTCTACAATTCTACTTACTATAATAGGTGCATAGGTTTGGCGAATGCCGGCAAGCATTATGGCAGAAAACCATTAAATGGACTGAAACTCTAGAAAAAGAAGGGAAAATCTTCCGAGGTACGAGAAAATTTTCAGTTTGCGGAGATGAGACAACAGGTAATTGTTCGATACTACTTTCAGTTTTTAAAAAGCTGAGACTCAGTATGTTCGGCTTTGAAAAGATAGAACAAAAGCTTGTATTTGATTACATAATTTTTTGTAACTGTTCGATTGAGTATTCCTCATTCATATTCATCAATTGGTCAAACTCGTCGTTCGCTAAGGTTGATTTAAAACTGTGTATCACCTCGATTAGGAATTTATCAAGCTGAACTTTAAAAACAGGGTCTGCCTGATCGAGCAATTCAACGTAACGTGTCTTCTCCCCATTCTCTTTGATATCGGGATCCAAATATCTATAATCATCTATATCTTCGTAGATAAAATCCAGATTATAAGCATCTACTTTTCCATCAGTTTCCTTCACTTCCTCTAAGAATAGAAAGGTCTTCTTGATAACATCAGGGAAAATGGATATGAAGTTTTGCTCTTTTATTGGTATAGTAATCTTTAATAATGACAATAAACCAAGTAAATTAATTTTCTTATTTCTTGGGTTTCCATTATTCACATAATATTCTGTCCAATGTTTCAAGAAGCTGTTGATGTCATTAGATAAATAATTCAACATTTTCAAGAATATTTCGTTATTGGCAAAAGCCAATCTTGATAAAATCAACAATAACTTGTTGATGCAGACTATTGAGTTGCTTTCATCAAGAACATAAGATAACATGCAATTGAACAACCCACTATCAACCAAACTTGTTAAAAACACTTCGTCATTATACAATTTTAAAATCAAAATGTCCATCAATGATATAAAAACATTAAAAGCATCATCTCTCATACTATTCAAATAACCAGACAAAACCTTGAAAATTTCATTTATTGAATGTATTTGGAACACTTCAGGAGATAATAAAGAATAACTTCTTATGATGGACAAAATCAAAGGTAAAACCTCCGTTGAATTGAGTAAACCAAATTTGATCAATTCGAATAATTGTATAATTTCGACATGTTCTTTATGTTGGTTGGGACAGAACTGTAACATCGATAACCACAATTCATAACCGTCTTCAGACAAAAGTTGATAGTCTGAGTTTTCACTACAACATGACTTAATCAAGGGAATACAAATGGAATAAGTTTCAGGAGAGTTTTCATTCAAGGAGATGATCAAATTCTTCAATATTCTTATCAATGACGTTTTCAAGATGACTTCGTTATCATTGGAATTGGAAACTTCCCAGTATTTAGGAATGATGGCGAGAAGTCTTATCAAGGTCTCGTAGTTAATCAAAGGATTGCATCTTTCAATAACAATGGCCAAGGTATTTAAGATGTATAGCTTAGATTCAGTGAAGGTCATTTCATCAAGAATCTCAATAAATCTGGTTATGAATTCAGTTAAAAAGGGACCAAAATCTTTTTTGTTAAAATCCCAATCATTGATAATAGTTTTCAAACATTGTATGGCGTTTAACTTGACTACCTGGTCATTTATCTTATTTTCACCAACCAATAATGTGCTTAAAAATTTATATATCAAGATCCTACTCTCATTAGAACAATTTATAACTACCCATTCATTAATTATCAAACAAATTCTTCTTTTCAAGATTTTCTGCTCTAGTTTGTCATTCTTTGAACCAAGAGGAACAAAGACATCATTCAATAACTGGTTGAAATTAACCTTGTCACTAATAGAATCTGCCGAAAGTTGGAAAGTACACAATATCGAATCTTGAATCAATATATTGCCATCGTTTAAGTTATTCGAGATTTTGTTTAAGATATAATTTGATAAATCGTCTTTGAAAAATTTGACCAAATCTTGGAAGAAATTTTCTGCACAAGGTCTGATTTGATATTCCCAACTGGATTGGAATTCTTCATTGCACCATTCTTCTGGTTCCAAAGACCAATTTTCCAAGTCATTTGGTTTGATAGGAAGATACCAATTGATTATAAGGTCACAAAGTTTCTCAATTAAGCCTTTGTTGAAAAAACCAGAAGCGAGCTTCTTCAATGCAATTTCTATTTCCTGTTTACTTTTAGGTTGTTTCAAAGTTATTGATCCCTGTTTAAAAGTATAATTGATGACTTTTTTCAATATTAAGAACCCTTTGAGGGCAATGATCTCCCAAAAGTCATTTTCTTCGTTACTTTGATATATTCTCTCTGCGTTTTCTTGCAAATAATTCATGTAGTAGGAGAGAATGGTCTCACAACAAGGAAGTAAAATAAAGCTCGTTGGATTTATACTGATCAAATTGAAATATAGCTTGCTGTAACATTTAGCATATCGTTCTATCAAATCCGATGAATACCTACTGTGTTCATTTATCAAGCCTCGGAGATGGTCAACACTTACTTTCAAAAATTCTGTAACATCATGATTTGTTTCTGGCTGTTCAAAACCTTCAGGAATTATTCTTCTTAAATTTTTAAGACATAGATAACAAACTTCCATTAATGCTAGATCAAGATTATTTGTCCATTGTTGAAAAAATTTGACATATAGTTTGATCAATAATGGAACTATAAGTGGTGATTTGCTTTGCATGGCATGTCTTGCTCTACCTATTCTCACAGACGATAAAGTCTTTATGATTTGATTCAAAATAATCAAAAGATTATTCACAGAACTCAAATCCTGATTGACAAACACAAAATTATGCAAACTTCTTTCAATCTCTTCAAACAAATTTGGCCATTCTGTAGGAAATTCAAACCTTACGATTTTACCTATTGAATGAGCATGCTGAATCATTAATTGGTTGTTCTTCTCATGGAGTAAGGAAAATAATCTAGACTTAATCTTGGACTTTTCATCTTTACTTATTGCATTGGTCCTAGAGCTTCTCCAATATTTTTCTACCCCGTTCTTGAAACATATTATGGCCAACCATCTAATTTGTAGAGGTAACTCCAAATTCAAATAGATGGATTGTAAATAGTAATGATACCCTGGAACAACTTCCCAAGTTTTCAATTGATTTTCTGCTTCCTGCTGCCGACTATTTCTTTCGGATTCATTAGCTAGACTAAGAATATTCAATAAATTATCAACATTCAAGTCCATATCGTAATTTTTTTCTCATCGATTTTTGCACCTATAGAGGATGTGGATTACATAATCGATATATATTCTATTTAGTTTAATTCAAAGCACAAAATTCTATTTCTTTTCATATTTACCATCTTTTGGATTCATCACCTTCGCTCCAATCCCTTTCTTGATAACCCAATTGTTGTTTAACTGATTTTACCACTGTCTCATCTCCCATATTTTTACTCAAATTGTCACTTATTTTGATTGATGGATGACCACCAGCTTCCTTCAATTTGATGACAATATTAAGTGGGGTCGATTTGACGGAGAAATCACTTTCTTTGGTGAAATCATTGGTGAAGAACGTACCAATACCAAAAATCGGTATTAAACCCAAACTTTTGGCTCTTTGCAGATATTTCAAACATTTTTCAATGTTCAAGGAATCACTGAAACAAATCACTTTGGAATGATCTGGGTAGCCAAGTTTCTTGTAGTGAGTACTGATCTTTTCAGCATAGACCAAAGGATCACCTGAGTCTTGTCTCACACCAGCATAATGATCTGAGAAAGGTTTGTTGAAACTTTTTAAGAAAGCATCAGTACCAAAAGTATCAGTTAAAGCTAATCCAGCATACTTTTCACCAAAAGTATCAATCCAAAGTTTCATAGCAGTCTTATTGGCCTCAACATAATTTTGAGTGATGGATGCAACTCCCATGAACCACTCATGAGCAACGGTACCAATAGGAGTTAAATTATAAATTTTTGCCAACAACACGTTGGAAGTCCCTGAGAGATATTGTGCTTCGTTTGGATTGTGTAAAGCAAAATCAGATAAGGCTCTCACAACAATATCTTGAGATTTGAAAGATCTTCTTCTTCTAGTACCAAATTCACTAAATCTACATTGATTATCGAAAAGTGCTTTGCATTTACTGATAGCTACATGTTCTTGATTTTCATAGTTCCAATCAGTATCAACGAATTTGAAGTATGACTCAGAGACAATTGCCAATATTGGAATTTCGTACAATATAGTTTCCTTCCATAAACCTACTATTTCGATACCGAACTCTCCATCTTCTTGATATTTAACTTGACTTTCAGGATCCAATTTGAAGGTTTTCAAGTATTCAAGATAATCAGGAGTCAATTGAGGTAATTTAGATTTAAGATAGTCAATCTCATCATCACTAAATGTCAAATTTCCTAAATGGTTCACTTGTGTTTTAATCCATTCAATTGCATCAGAATTCAATTTCATTGAAGGAGTTCTATTCTTATAGGTGTAAACGACCTCCACTTCAGGATAATGTGCCAAAACAGCATTCTGCATAAACAATTTGTACACATCAGTGTCAAGTAACGAATTTACAGCGTATGACATATTTGAGACACAATAATTCAATTAGGGATCCCGCACCTTTTAACCACTCTCGCAACCTCAGCCCAAGAACAGTGAGTCAAATCTCGTAAAATTTCTTGCATACGAATTTGATCATGTAGATTACTTTTGTAGGAAGTTTACCTTGAATTGAATAAGATGAGTCACTGTGAAGTGGGAACGAGTGAGTGAGTGAATGAGAGGGTCAACATGATATCCTTATTAGCAGAAGGGAGATTTGATCACAGATGGTAGTTCACTTCAATGGAGTATATGGGGAGATGTATTGACAGTAGATCCAATACGTCATAAAATCATCTATTCGGAAAGACAGATCATGTGACCAAAATGATATATGTAAAAGATTATTCTCTAATCACAACATTGTGAACATGTTCTTTAGTAGAAAGGCAATGCCACTCGTAAATTGACAATTTCAAACTTTCAACAAAAGAAACAATGCAAATCTTGAACAAGCAATCTGTTACGATTGCATTCTTTTCAGATCAGTGATAGTACAGCCCGCAAAATTTTTTTATCAAAGGAAGACGATTACATAATCGCAGAATACTTCAATTATCGATTGCAAAAATATTAATATATAAAGAGAAGAGTTTAATGTTAAATTCATCAGTAAAATAAAATGTTAGTGCTTTCAATGGTTGCCAGAATGCTTGGAGGAGGAAATAGATGTCATCATCACGAAAGAACCATAATTGGGAATAGAGAAGTTATGATAGTCGATGATTGTGTTAGTAGAAGAGATGTCAGAAGACTTCGTAGGGATGTCAGAAGACATTCAAGAAGAAATCACACTTATGTTTATGGAGGAGATACAACCATTTACGAACAATCAGCTACTTCTGTACCACCTGTAACAGTTACACCTGTGTCATCAACCGTTACCCGTGTTGTCTCATCTTCACCTCCTCCTTATGAATTCAAATAGAGAAGTTTTTATCAATAATGTTTACTAGTTTTATGAAATTGGAATGATTTTTATAGAATATATATTTTATCTTTTACTTACTTATGGCAATTCTCTTCGTTAAATTTATAATAAACCTTTAGATTTGAATTCGTTTAATAAAGAGTTACCTAATCTAGCTGGGGATTGTTCAACAACAACACCAGCAGATTCTAAAGCAGCAATCTTGGATTTGGCATCACCTTTACCACCAGCAACAATGGCACCAGCATGACCCATTCTTCTACCTGGAGGAGCGGAAACACCAGCAATGAATGAAACAACTGGTTTTGGAACATCTCTAGTTAAGTTATATTCTTTTAAGAATTCTGAAGCATCTTCTTCGGCAGTACCACCAATTTCACCAATTAAGATGATACCTTCAGTTTCTGGATCGTTTAAGAATAAAGTTAAGGCATCGATATAGTTGGTACCTGGGAATGGATCACCACCCATACCAATAACTAATGATTGACCTAAACCAACTTTAGTAGTTTGAGCAACAGCTTCGTAAGTTAAAGTACCTGATTTTGAGATAATACCAACTTTACCTCTTTTATGAATATGAGATGGCATGATACCAATTTTACATTGTTCAGGAGCAATTAAACCTGGACAATTTGGACCAACTAATCTGGTTTTACTTTGAGTTTTTAAAATTTGAGCAACTCTGACCATATCATGTTGTGGGATACCTTCAGTGATAGCAACAGCTAATTCAATTTCGGCTTCGATAGCTTCTTCAATGGCTTTAGCAGCAATTGATGGAGGGACGAAAATACCAGTAGCATTAGCACCAGTTTCTTTAATAGCATCTTTAACAGAAGCAAAGACTGGTTGACCTAAATGAGTAGTTCCGGCTTTCTTTGGATTGGTTCCACCAACAACTTTGGTACCATAAGCGATAGCTTGTTCAGCGTGGAAAGTACCTTGTCTACCAGTGAAACCTTGGTAAATAACTTTAGTATCAGCATTGACTTTTAAGTTTTTAATGGTTGATGCATAATTAGCAACAGGTCTAGTAGAAGCAAAACTACGGATAAATTGTTTCATATTTAATATTAATTAAAGTATAGTTTTCAACGAGATTTTCAATCAACACAGATCTGAGGGCCGAGGAGGTGAAATACACGACTTCTCATCGATTCCCCCCGAGACGTTGAAATTTTTCGCCCCATTTTACCACGATTCACACCACTTATGGTAGTAATTGGGCGCGCGTTTCCAACACCCGGGTCAATGTTGGCCTACCTATTTCTCCTCAAATGCGTATGTCGGTTTTGGCTGCAAAATCGTATGGATGAAATTTTATACATTTTATATATTCCTAACTACTTTTTTTTTACCCTTAAAATCTAATGCATGTTTTGATCAGTAGTTGAATAAAGTTTTATAATACAAACATCTACTGGCCAATAGATCCCAATCTTTCTTTGTTATCCACATTTCATTAACGACTTTCAATCTTCCATAAACACTACCTCCTTTCCATGTCAACATTTCCGGGTCAAATTCTCTGGGAGGTGGTAATACATTGACCGGGATTAATTGAGCATTATCACAAACTGAGTCTAAATAGTCAAGATCAAAAGTCATTTGGCATTTTTCATCAATTTCTTGTTGTTGTTCTTCAGTCAATTCTACTTCATCATTACCACCAGTGATTTCGTTAGTTAACTTACGTCTTTGGAAATCTAATTTCTTTTCTTGATTCCCAATATAGTCAAAGATGTCATCGATATTTGAAGTTGATAAAATCTTTGGTCTCCAAATATTTATTCTATCAGTTAATAATAGATCAAACCCAGGAATTTTACTCAATCCTCCTCCAACTACCAACAAATTTCCATAGAATTTTTTAGCTTTTTCAAAGTCAGTTGCTAAACCTGAGTTTGTAATTGATTCAATAATAGCTCTTTCAAGGGGGAATGAGATTTCCAATTCATTTAAGTCTTTATTGGTTAGTTTGGCTTTTGAATAAGGGTTGGTATTCTTCAACAATTTGGTTTCTTCGTTCAATTTGCTCAATAATGATTCTTCAGTTATACTGGTAAAGTTGTTCCCGCTGATAATATTCTCTTGAGATTTTGAAATAGGATTATCACTCTTTAATGAATACTGGTCAACTGAAGGTGGGAAGAAATTATGCTCTTTATTGGTTTTATTTGTGAAACTTTCTGGATAAAATAAACCCAATGGTGCTAACATCACTTCATCAAAAACTTTGAACTCGTATTTTGAAGTGGTTTCGAAAGGTCTCCTCTTGTAGAAGTTATATAATTGTACAGCTATGTCAGCATCTTGAAATGTTATAAAATTATGCTTCAATGTTTGTGCTAATTCCCAGTCATAAGCATAATTCAAGTTAATCTCTTGATATGGAAACAGTTGTTGTAATAACATTTTCATGAATACTTCAGTGATATTATCACCACCAAAATTCAATTTTATTCTGGAATCATTTATAACTAATCCTTCATCGATACAAGAAACAGTAGTGGTTTGAGCTCCGACGTCAACCACACATGCTGATGAGGTACCTGCTCCGAAAGTTGCTGCTAAACTTTCTTGAATGATTCCAACTCTCCCGAATCCAACTAACTTGAATAACAAATCAATGAAGTTCTCAACCACCATTTTATCGTATAAATCTGGTATAATGAGGATACATTTATATTCTGATAACTTAGTCTTGTCAATATCTAAATTATCCAATGCATAGTTAACAAGGTTGGTCAAATCACCCAAAATCTCTTGTTTGGATGAGTAAGTCTTCTTATTCTCGTTGAATTTACCATTGATGATTGGATATCTTAATTTCCAATTGGTGAATTTTTCGCTGATGGGTAATTTCAATGCTTCCTCACCAACCAAGAATTGTTTGTCTTTAATGTCTTCCAAGTCAATCCAATCTTTTTTATGAGGATCATTATGATCAGGAATTAATTCTGGTTCTTGACGTTTATTATAATTTGCAGCAGTCTCTCTTGAATTTGGTAAGATTCTACGTTTATAGAACCTCATTCTTGCTTTAAAATTCTTGGTCATTTCTGATTTAATATTTTCAAAGTCTTCACCAAAATCTGCTACTCCATCTTTTGACATTTCTCGTTCAGGACTTACTGGTAGGTAATCTTCAGGTTTTGAAGCTTGGGCAACGGCAACTACAGTTGGAATGGTTAATGGGACAGCGTCGGTAGCCTTACCAATTCTGAAGTTGGAAGACCCCGGGTGGATGACTATTACATCACCACCAATTCTTGCCTTTTCTGCGATTACCTCTTCAGTTTCACCTTCGCCGGCTTCGTTCTCTTCATCATCGTCATCATCTTCATCGTCGTCGTCATTGTTCTGGACTGTATCATTAACATCATCAATTTTACCGCCGTCCATTTCTAGTTGTTTCTTCTTCATTTCTTCTTCAATTTCGTTCAAATTGAAATTATCGAAATTTTTGATTTCGATCTTTTTGCCTCCACTGGCATTCAATTTCTTCAACTTTTGTTTCAACAACTTTTCGGTCCTCCAATTTCTTATAAAGCTGATTTGTTCATCTTTTTTAAGATAATCTGTGAAATAATTTTTTTGATTGATTAATGGTATAGATTTGATATTTGTAGTTGGGAAATTGTTTTCATCATCAACTCTCATGATCCCGATTTTTTTCAAATTAGAAGCCATAGTAGCAGCAGCTTTAAGCCTACCTTCCTTACGTTTTTGAAGAGCTTCTGGTGTTGCTTTCTTCACTTTCCTCTTTTCGTCCATTATGAAGATATTATTCGCGATGGTAAGATTTGATTATCGTGTGGATTACTTCTATGTACAGAGAGTCATAATAAACGTGAATAGTGTTTCTGTCATTCATAATTGGAATTTTTTAAATATTATTGAACTGTTGACACCACCAAAACCAAATGAATTATTTAAAGCATAATTAACTGTTTTAGATTTAGTTTGTGGCACGTAGTCGAATTGGAAATCTGGTTCTAGATGTTGGAGATTTAAGGTTGGAGGTAATTGGTTATTTTTCACTGCCAAGATGGTGAAAATGGATTCCACACTTCCTGCTGCCCCTAACAAATGACCTATTGAAGATTTTGTTGATGAAACAGAAACTGATTGGGGGAATATTGATCTAATGGCATTGTTTTCAGCTTTGTCACCAATTTTTGTTGAGGTAGCATGGGCATTGATATAGTCTACTTGTTTTGGGGTGATATTAGCATGTTTCAATGCCATTCTCATGGAGAGTGCAGCACCTTTACCGTCTTCAGGAGGAGCAGTTATATGATGTCCATCGCCTGACAAACCGTACCCTACCATTTCTGCATAAATATCTTCCTCTTTGACCCCACGATCCAATGCATGGTCCAAACTTTCAACCACCAAAACACCTGTACCTTCTCCAAGAACAAATCCTCCTCTATCTTTATCGAATGGTCGAGATGCCTTTTCAGGTTCATCGTTGAATGAGGTCACGACACTTTTAGCTCTTGCAAATCCCAGTAATGCTAAAGGGTGTATAGATGCTTCAGAACTACCACTTATCATCATCTTGGCATATCCATTTTTTATGAAGTTGTATGAATCACCTATTGCATGTAAACCTGTAGCACAAGCTGTTGCAACTGCGTGATTGGGTCCTTGGAATTGGTATTTGATAGAAATATTACCTCCTGCCATATTCGTCAATATTTTGGGAATGAAAAATGGCTGAACCTTTTTATAACCTTGTTGAAATGCTACAGCATTATCATAAGTATCTTGAAAAGACCCGATACCTGATCCAACATTTACTCCTACTGTAGTTTTGTCAATAGAATCTAAGTCAATTTTGGCATCTTTAATAGCCTCTTCAGCAGCAACAAGTGCATATTGTGTGAATAATGATAATCTGTTGCTGTCACTTCGATTAAAGTGATCTGAAACGTCCCATTTATTATCATTTTTTGAACCAGATGGTACTTTACCTACAACTTTGCAAGGAATATCCTGCCACTGAGGACCTAAGTGTTGAGTAGAAATTATACCACTCTTATGGTTCAAAAGTTGAGTCCAATTGTGTTTGGTACCAATTCCAAGTGGAGAAATTGTTCCTAAACCTGTCACCACAACTCTCATCTTCGCATTTTTCGAATTAACCGATCCATCTGTTTTATGATAGACATTCGAGATAGCATTCTAGTCTTTTGGTAGGGCCGACAATCCAATTTAGTTCGTTCTCCACAATTTCACGGGGTAAGTTCATGTTATTGCACAAGCTTACCCATTTTTCCCAATCATCATCACCGCTAATATCGACCTTTTTCTTTTTGAGGAGTGGTTTCAAATATTCTGTTAGTTTGAGCTTTTTCAAATTTACTGTTTTGTCCTTCTTGTATGACCTTTCAAAGTCTGTTTGGTTATTGAGTACATTCTTATATTTGAGGAAGATTTTCTCCTTCTGTGGAACATTGAAGGAACTTAATCGAGATTTAAATTCCACAAAGTATTTGGTTTTGATATCTTTTTTATGTTCAAAAAGATAGTTCATCATCAATTGCTTTTCCGTAGGAAATTTTTCCTTGGTTTCAGGAGTGCACCATTTGTTATATATCGTTTCTCTTTGAGAAAATGATAAACCGTAAAAAACTGGTGATCGAGAAAGAGTACTGATCAATTCTTCTTCTGTTATTGAATATGGGTCATAAATCGATATTTTATCCTTGTTTTCATCAAATATTTCGATAAGCTGTTGTTCTAATGAACTTGTGTCTTCTCCTTCTTGGTCTTGGTCTGACTCTTCATCATTCAAGATATTATTTACCAAATCATCCACATCTACATCTTCTTCAGATTCTACTTGGATGGAATCGTCTATATTATTGGATGACACGACTTCTGTTTCAGCTTCATTTTCTTGGTCCTCTTCACTTTCTTCACTCGACAGATAACCAAGATCAAGACCTGCATTCGCATCAACAGGTTCGTCTACTTCCTGCACTAAATCAACAGGAACTATTTCTTCATCTTCTTTAGGTCCTTCTAATGCATCTTCAATACTTTCAGTTGAAGGAAGAGATACGTCAGCCTCATTTTCTTCCTCATTTTGTGACTGAACGGTTTCTATCTTTAAACCATTATATTTTGCAATAAGAACGGATATCTCATCAACGTTGAGATCTTTGAAATCAAGATGTTCAGGTAATTGCCATTGACTTTCCTTGGTTTCAACATTATAATAATAATGTCTTTCGGCCACTATCAACCACCATTCAGAATTAATCTTATAAACAAACATTGAAACCAAATCCTAGAGAGTGAGAAAAATTCATTATCTCATTACAACTATAAATACTAAATAAATAAATATTATGAACCAGCATAACTTAAGTAATCAACATATTAACTGACATTTTTAATTTGTTATTTGATTCAGATTTTTGTTGTTGGTTTGATGATGGTGATAATTCATTTATGTTCAAATGAATATAGTTAATACCATCAGGTTGATTCGCTGAATTTTCATTTGTCTTGAAATTGTTCCCAGTTTCGATTTCATTTACATTATCGTTAGTTTTTAATCCTCCTTCACTATTAGATCTCTTGTGAGTTCCGGAGATTTTCATATTGTTCATTGTATTCATATTTGTTGACTCTAAATTTTCCAAACTTGATTTCTGCTCGGTATCTTCTTGATCACTGTGCTTAATTTTTCTAATCCTACTAATGGATTTTTCCAGCCCTTCATGTAGGTTTTTGGCATGTCTTAACAAAAGGTCTCTTCTGGAGAATGGTCTGGAACAAATCCCACAAACAAACGGCTTTAATTTGTTGTGAGTGGACAAAATATGTCTAGTTAAATGTTCTTCTCTTGTGAAAGCTTTTGAACACTTGACACAATTATAAATTCTTGAATTCCCACTAGGGGTTTTACTTCCATAATTACTCATATCTGCTTAACGGTTCTCTTTTATATTGTTCTCTAATATCTTTTCTAGAAAGTGTGAAGGGAAAATGGAAGATGGGAAATTTATTTATTAAATAAAAATCGGTTTAACATTGAGTGGGGATGGAAAAATAAATGATTTTAATGAGGGACAATAAATTTTTTTTCTTAAAAAGTTTAGAGGGCAAGTTTTCATACCTGAGAAGAGGGGGAACGGTGCAATGAACAATATACTGCCCGAAAATTCAGATGGAATATAGCTGATTATGACTATTGGCATTTCCATGTTAAAAAATGCATCTATTTTGAAAATTTGCTAACTCCATACTTTCCCCATATGTCGCAACTGGCAGTGTCGCGGTGTCGTTTAGGTGTAAAGAATTGCGCTAAATGAGGGCAATCTATTGCAACACAAAAAAGTGGGGGATTCCAGAGAGCCTAAATATTAAAGAGGGGGAGAATCTTCGTAATGTGAATATGGGGTCAATTCATGCGAAGAGTTCTCAAGACTCTGGGGTACTTAAAGACTTACCCGGGTCATGTTGCTAGCTTCAGTTGCTAGCTTCAGATAACATATTAAGAACTCCGCAGTGGATCTCGCTTAACCTTTAACTCCAACTTAATCTATATTCTTCCACCTTGTTGTAAATCAATCCATTAGTCTATAGCAAACTTAACTCACTTGGAGGGCTCCCGTATTCACATCCTGAGACCGCCGTTAACTTGTTTAGGAACTTCTTTAGAAGGTAAGTTCTTCATAATTACTTTCTTTTTCTTAATCCTTGGAATTTTTAAACTTCGATTCGGTCAGAGGGGGCTTACACTTCGCTGATAGATTGATTTTCGTTATGTAAGATCACTGTGATCATCAATCACTTAGTGGGGTAATTCAATTATCAAGCTGCTCTTCTTCATGATTCAGGAGACACATGCCAGTTTCTATTGGCTGCAATTTAAACTTTCATTGTTGATTTGAATATTGGAAAACCATATTTCCATTTAACTTCATCATCATTGCCCCGGATTAAGGTGATTTACGGTGAAAGTTAAACAAAGGTTAAGAACTCTAAATTGTCATTTGATTTTCTTTCAGTTTATATTATATGTTTTATATCTTGGTAATGTTTATGGGCCAGTCATGTAATTGCTAGTACCGGTATTGAAGACCTGTCTTTCCTAAAGTTTGGATTTGTTCCTGGCACTGAACAACACCAGACCTGATATTAAAGCAGTCCTAGGATTTCCCATACATACGGAAACACAATTTATTAAAACTAATCAATGTCCAATACCACCTCCCTAAAAGTTCTGTCTGCTTGTTAACGTCGACACTCTCATGTTGACTACCAGTTGACCATCAATTGACTGTCTTATCGATGATCAAGTTCAATGATGAAGTTCAATAGGAATACTGGGTGTTAAACACCGAGGTAACCAATTACTGCTTTAGCCATTGATCCCCCATAGGTGGTTTAACGAATAACCCCTTTCAACTGTCATTTGGTTCGACATCCTCTGCCTTCCTCAAACTCCAGGGACATAAGAGTCATATTCGGAATTTTATGAGGTGACAGCCTCTCGAGTCCTGGGCATAATACAAATAAATTATAGTCGGTAGAGAATTCCTCAAGCAAAAAGAGCCGTTAGAAGACAAACGTGAATATTTATTAACCTATTTATCAACCCTTCAAAGACAAGTAGGAAGCAGCAGAAACATAAGTTTTAGTAGGTGCCTTTTTGGTTTGAGGTTCTTTATGGCTATTCGTATTATCCTTTTTCGGTATTACTTCACTATCACTACTCATGACGGACTTACTGTCAGTAACTACTGAAGATTTGGAGAATATTCTTTTTAAACCCATAATTTATTACTTTTTGACTCTTTAAAATTTGATACACTTAATTCGGATAAAACAATATTGATTATTGACTGAAAACTCAATTATGCTTTAATTATGAATTATTAAAGGAATTGAACTCATATTTATACTTCTTATGACACCACCACGTCTTGCTTTCAAACTCTATTGATGAGTAATGATATCTAACTTATAATCTCGTACATGGTATCCTGCAGATACCTTGTCGTGTGCCTTCCAGTTTAGAATGAGTACTCATCAGAACCACATGCAATGATGGAACAGCTTGTTCAATCAGCACTTTTGAAGGGATGCTGATTCGGCGAACATGCACCTTGGCTACTACAATGGTTGAATTCTCAAACCAACATTCAGACTATTGATATAGACAGAAATGAGACTTATAACTTGAAAAGATTTTAGATGACTAATAAGTTTCCTTTCAAAAAAATACGAGAATTTCTGGCCAATGATTGAAAGCTGGAGGCTTAAGAATACTTAAACCAATCTGAAGACTGTGGTGCAGCTTATCTTTCCACCTTGATCACTAATACAAATTATTTCTGGGTGAATTTATTATTCCACAAACAGTATCATTGGAATTAACATGTAATATAAGACTATATCCATCTCTGATGCTTCACTGGTATCATAGTAAAGAAATTATTATACAATTCCGTTTGTAGCAGCACGTACGAGGGGCTGAAAGAATGATAATATTTAGATTTTGAATTCCGTGAATTTTCTCCGAGTCCCTTTCGATGATTGAATTGGGTGCTACAAACTCGAACCTTTGAGAAATACAGGTTGTTTGTCCGCTACGTGATCTCTATCTTAAGGATGTACCACGAATTCAATAGTATCTGACATTCATGAGCCCTTTAATTCGGATTTTTCACTCAAGTTACTGGATTACGTAAGCCGAATTTCCGATTTTTGCAGCCATACATTGAGAGCACTCTCACTCAAGCAAACTATGAGCCATATAAACCTAATAGAGCGAGTCGTCAAGAATCTTTTACATCAAAAATTCACCATCTTGTACATAACGTACTATTTGAAGTACAGAGCATACACACTATATAATTTTGTCAAAACGTCTTCGCCATTCAAGAGCCTATCCAAATCGTTCTTGAACATGTGAAAAACTTCATTCTTCAAGATCAACTTACTTTCTATCTTCAAATTGATGATGTTTATAAGAAGATTTCCTCTTGAAATATTGTCGGTGGGGACTTGTAAATTAATTAAATTATTCAAACAACTTGATTTCAAATCTTTCCCATTAACAGTGAAATTAGGCTTGGACAAATAGCCGTATAACAAGTAGCATATAACTAAGGATGGACTTACGGACACAATACCCAATAACAATTGTTGTGATTTGATCAATTTATCAATACCACTTATAACAACATCCCCATCAACTTTGGTCTTTTGGATTTGGATCAATAAACTACGAATCATATTTCCCCCAATTAAGTTTTTGATAGGACTTCTTAATTCGTTTTCGTATCTTGACATCATTGATGTCAAATCTCCACTAACGATCTGTTCATGTAAATTAGCTGGTACTTCAATTTTAGAGTCTTTCAAGTAATCAGTTATCATTCTTTCTAATGAGGAAAGGTCAGAATTCAAAGCTTCTTTGGACATAATAATATTATCGTCTTGTTTGATAATGTTAATACATTGTTTAAGGGGGGAGACAATCCAGTTTTCAAAAAATCCTTTGGTTATAGCAACAAAGTTCTCATTAATCCAATTGATGATATCAAACTTGTATTTGTTCAATTTAAACGACACCAAAGGACCAAAGAAAATCAATAATGCCACAGGAATCCAGTATTTGATATAATTATTTGGTTCATAATTCTTAATTTCAATCTCCTTAGTTGTAACAATATTGCCATCATTTAATAGTTGACCTAATATCTCATATTTCTCTGTTAACTCTTGTTTTATAATCTTCTTGTTCGAGGATATATCATGCTTGATAATTTTGAGTAAATTGAATTCGCCTATCTCCCCGGTTTCCTGATATATTTTGAAAAAGTCATAAATCTTGAAAGGTAAGATTTGTAAACCATAATAACCTTTGTACAAGATTGAATTTTGGATTGAATTCCAGTATTTGTAGTTTCTTCTCAAAATCAAGGTTTGGTAGATCAATTGATTTGATATTTTGCTCAAACCTTCATTTTCATTTAGTATGTTATGCTTGAAGATTTGATTCTTCAAAGAGTGGGTATTGAATATGTCCATTGCTTTTCGCAATCAGTGAGAAATGAGTGATATTAACACTTTTTGATATTTATTTTATAGATTTATATACTAAGTCTATTCGTCATCTTTGGCATCTAACACACCAGTTTCTTTAATTAATAAGTCAATATCTTTGTCGCTCCAAATTTTACGGATAATCTTACCATCTTTACCTTTTGATAAAGTTGCAAATTCGACTTTTTCACTATTTAAATTAGATGAATCCATAGTTTTGGATAAGATTTTGATGGCTAATTCACAACCTTGTTTTAAAGTTAAATCATCCTTGTAATCTTTCTTTAATAAAGTTTGAGCAGCAGAATTATTAGCACCAATTGAAGTTGCTTTCCAACCACTATAATTACCTGAAGGATTTGAAGTAAATAATTGAAATTCGTAACGATCATCATAACCAGCATAAATGAAACTCACACCGAAAGGTCTTAAACCACCATGTTGAGTATAACCTTGTTTAATATCACAAATTTTTTTAATTAACATTTCACAAGGTACTGATTCATTATAAGTCTTTAAATATTGTTGTCCATAAACTCTGGCATTATTTACCAATATACTGGCATCGGAAGTCATACCTGCTACTGCTGCAATCATGGAATCATTGATAATATATAATTTTTCTGCTGTTCCGTCATTATCTAAAAGTTTAGAAGTGATCTTTTTTTCACAGGCCAAAACAACACCTTCGGTAGTTAATATACCAATTGCAGTACCTGCTTGACTAATTGCTTCTTGTGCATATTCAACTTGATATAATCTCCCTTCTGGGGAGAAAATCGTTGTTCTTGAATCATATCTTCTACTCATTGCCACTGACTTGAATGTTCGCGAATTCCAAATTTGAGATACTGCAAATTTTGTATGGGTGTACTGGAGAAAAGACGTAGAGTTTATAATATGGAAAATGAACTTGATGATATATTGAATTTAGAAGAACAATATTATAATGAAGGTTTTATAGAGGGACAAAATGAATCAACGAAGAAACAGTTATTAGAAGGAAAAGAATATGGTTACCAAACAGGATTTCAAAGATTTCTCATTGTTGGTTATATTTCAGGATTAATAGAATTTTGGTACAAGAATATCAATTCATATGACCAAAAATCACTCAAGAATCATCTCGATCAACTGCAAATAATTTTAGATGGTATCAAAATGACTAATTTCGATGACGATGTAGAGAAGTATGAAAAGTCGTTAATCAAATTACGTAATAAAATAAGAATAATCACTAATTTGGTTAAAGAACAATGGAAATTTAAAGATGTTGATGATTTAGTCAAGGAAATTGGTGGTATAGTCCAATTGAATGAGAACGTCAACGATATGTGGTAATTTTGTATATAGTCTGGGTTTGGTATAATTTATAAGTCATTACACTCTGAGAGATGAGAGAATAGTTTGGTATTTATTTAAAAACTAAGATCAAAATCCAAGCATTTATCCCTACTTTCCAAATTGTAACTTAATATCCCTCCTAATGGACAATCATTAACTCCTACAATTAAATTTTCATTATATCCATCATATACAAAATTTGCCCCAGTACATTTCCCAATAAACTCAATAGATTGAATTCTATCAACTTTGTCATTATTAAAATCATTTACATTCATAATTCCGATGTGATCCAAACTTTCAGCCCAACAGATAAATTCACCTGTTCTACTGAATTTGGTGTTTCTTACTGGACCTGAATTATTATTCCCATCGAATTCTTTCAGACCTAAAGATCCACTCCATGTGTATAAAGGATCTTGCCATCGTTTATCCCATATCCTAACACAACCATCTTGATTACCTGACAATAACCAATTCTCGTTGCTTGGACTCCAATCACAACTGAAACTATAATCTTCTTGACCTTTATATCTCGGTATATTGGAAAGATCAAACGGTATTCTTTGATCTATTATGTACAGATTTGTGTCATCACCAGAAATGAAATATTCATTTGGATTCTGATGATTTAATGCAAGGCAATTCACAGCAAATGGTAATTCAACTTGTTGTTTAGAATTATTTGATAAATCAATATATCGTATAAATTTATCATTGGACGATATTATTAATTGGTTTTCTTCTTCTTTTATTATTATACTGTTGGTGATCCCATCATAATTATTAGTTAAATTATATTCTCCGATTAATTCACTGTCATCATAATCAATTCTATTCAAAATATAATCACCTTCAAATGTTCCCGAAACTAAATAATTCTTCGAACAAGCTAATGTACTGATTCTACTATTCAGATTCTTTAACAAGCTCCTAGAATCAATAATGCAATCAAGTTTTGCATCATTTTTGCTGTTCAATAATCTGTTGATTTTGAAAAACGAATAAACACTTTCGTTCAGACTTTCATAATTGACCGTCTGTAAATTAAAATCATGATCATAACTCAGAGGATAAAATATTCCCTTTCCAAAATCAGAACAACAAACTAAATTTCTTAATTGGAAATGAGTGATATGAAGTTTTAATTTGCTGTAAAATTTATCATATTTGTAAAATTCCGTTAACGAGTCAAATCTTTTGATATTGATACTCTAAAAATGAAGTTAGTAACCGTTCAGATTCCTTGAAATTTATTTCAAGATATCATTAGAATCCCCATATTCGGTACAACGTTTGGATACAAACGTACCGTGTGATGACTAGATATCCTTATAGGGAATACATACTTTCTTTGACAATTCTAAAGAATTAGTGATATTATGAAACCAGTTTTTTGACCCAATTCTTTTCCTATCCCGTAAGAATTTCGTTCTTAAACCAGGTGGCCAACTAACACCTTGATTATCATTCGATGAATTTTCTATGAATGAAAAGGGTAATTTTTCCTCTCTTAACTTTAAGGAATTAAGAATACTTAAAATGTCTGACTTTGATAAATAAGACTGATCATCATACAATAAATTGTATAAAAATGTTAAGGATTCACTTTGATCCAATTCATACTCTGTATCATTGGTATTGGCCTGTTGATGGGTTAAATTTTCTGTCACACTTACCACGTTTTCAGTAACTATTTCCTGAGTTAGTTCTACTTCCATGGTACTGTCCCCTTGTAATCTGTGTTTCCTTCAGTGTTTTTTGTGGTGTTATTTAAGTGTATAATTAAAAGCTCGTGCAATATCAATAGATGCTAAAATGATAACCTGAGAAGAATCAATTTCTCATTTCCCAATGTCGTGTGACTGTTGATTAGAATTTATGGTTACATACTTCAAGGGTAAACTCCTGAATAAGGTCATGATTTATCGAGGAAAGGAGAGTAATCAAAACGGACAATCGTTATGAATAGTAAAATTCCGAAGGTTGAGGATCGATCATGGTCAAAATAGCTTACTTTATGTAAACTGTTCTGACGACATTCTTCAATTTCAATGATTTTGACTATTTAAAAAGATATTCACATAGCTCATGGTCATATTAATATTAAGAGCTATCTAAAATGCAATTTAGTTATCAAGTATCCTTGGATGTACCTTCATCATCCCATCTGATGGATGTAAAAAGAAATCCGCACACCAATTTGTAATCCCGATAGAGGAATTTATATTGAGGTAATTGTGCTAAAAAATCCTGTCATATAAATAATCCACAGTTGCAACCAAAAACTTCAAGATACTAATTATCAAAAATGTCTAATCATTATCAATTCGACGTCACTATGAGTTGTGGGGGGTGTTCTGGTGCTATAGAAAGAGTGTTAGGTAAATTAGATGGAGTTGAAAATGTTACTACCTCATTAGAGAAACAATCTGTTGATGTTATTACTAAGGAATCCCTCGATTTTGATACTGTTTACCAAACAATTGCTAAAACTGGTAAGAAGATCAACAAAGGTATAGTGGTAAACTAGAATTATAACTAAATTAATATATGAATACTATGTAATGTTCCTGAATTCTATTATTTCATTGATATAATTGTCTCTTAAATCGGATTTGACAAAACATAATTGAATAGTAGCCACCAATTCATCGGTTGATAAGTTGTAAAAGTCTCCGGAATAAAACTTTTCGATAATTTCTACCAAGTGGCTATTAATGAGATATTCGAAGTTCAATAATTTGTTCAAAGATTCTGGTTGTTCTGTTTCTTTCAATTGTGATAATCTTTCCATGAATGTCCTCTTGAAGTTTTGGATGATATCAGTCAATTTACTTGATCTGAATTCGGTGATTTCATTTGATTTCAATATCAATTTCACACAGAAATTACAAATATAATCGATGGAATTGTGAACAATCTCTTTAAATTTCAAGAAATTAGTGAAACTCAAATCATTTTTGAACAAATCATTGTACCAATTGGATAGGTTATCGAAAATGGCTTGGTTACTGGTTTCATCGTCAATGTTCAATTTCTGGAGAATTTGTGATAACTCATGGAAAATTTGATTCTGTAATTGTTTTATCAACATTTCTGAATATCTATTGAACAACCTGTGACCCATATTTTTACCCAAAAATTGTAAATCGTTATACTGTAAGAATGACTGGTTGATTGGAGGGTATGATATTGAGGATATTGAAAGGATTGTAGATACTAGCAAATCAATCTCTTGAGTAGATTCGATTTGGAAGTCGTTGAGAATTTCCATTAGTTCGTTGGGAAGTGATGAAATTTTAATGGTAGTTGTAGTACTCATATTTTGACTAGCGGCACTAGCACTGGCGACATTTGCTTTGGGCTGTGATTGTTTAACAGGCCCAGCTTGAGCTTCTTTTTGCTCAGGATCATCCCATTCGTTCCATCCATCGTCCCACCCATCTTCATCTGCTTTATTGTCACCCGTTGATTCTTCTTTTTCCCAGGAATCCCACTGGTCATCCTCATTATTCTTGCTTTCTTCTGTTTTTGGTTCACTTTTGGTTGGGCCCTTCAGTGGTTGTTCCTCTTTATCCCATTCATCCCATCCATCTTCATTCCAATCACCGTCGATGGTATCATTCAATGTTCCATCAGGATCTTCTTTATCACCCCATCCCTGATCCCAACCATCTTCATCTCCTCTTTCTTCAGACATTGCTCTATCCAATTTTTGATCCATCATACTCAATCTTTCTTCCATTTGTGCAAGTCTGGTCTTGTCGATATTAATTTTGATCTCATTCAATTGAGTATCTTTAAGATCATATGATTTGAATTTACTTCTTATTTTATCAATGTAATTTTCCATCAACCAATTCTGATAAACAGAATTCAACTTCTCTTTCATATTCAGTAAATTTAATTCGATTGATAGATTCCAATGCGTTTCATTCAAATCTTTGATTATCTTGACCAAATTTTCATTTGGAGAGTTGATCAATGAATCAATGTTTTCTGATATGAAATTAATCAATTTGTTACTTAATTTCAATTGGTATAAGTTTTTCAAACTCAGCAAATTAATCATATTGATGAATTTTGTGAAGTTAATTATTGATTGGAAGAAAGAATCTAAGGAAGATTCACCCTCATGGAATTCCAAGGATTCATCGAGGTGATTGGTTTTATTGATCTTCAATAATATGTTTTCCCAGGTTATCTTATAATCGTTCACTAAATCATTCAAATTAATCTTTTCTGAATATTCATTCAATTCATCAATAATCTTCATAAATTGATCGAATTGAATATCATTGACAACTTGGTGAAATTCTCTAGCACTTGGAAGAAATTTATAGAATAATGTGGAAATAAGGCTGGAGATTTCATTCATCAACTCCTCATATTTCATTAATAGCTCGTTCTTGATCAAAAGATTATCGTTTAATGATGCAAGTTTATTTTTAAGTTTGTTGACATTCACAATCAAGCTTTCCAAGTCGGTGGAATCAACATCAGGGTGTAACACACCTTCAATTTCTTGTATCAAACCTTTGACTACCCACAAATCATTCAAGTTTTTCATTTGCAATTCATACTTCTTCAAGTTCTCATTTAAACTTGTTAAACTGTTCAGACTTTTATCATTCAAGGAGTTTTTGAAATTCTCATCTTCGATTATACTGAAGGACAGTATGGAATCATGATACTCATTGATCTCGTCGTTGATTTTAGACAATCGATTCTGATTATCTTGCTGTAACTGTTTGATCATGAGCTTGATTTCGCGAGGTTTAGCATTTTAGAATCCTATTTAAAGAAATGTATATATTTTTAGTGTAAGTTTTGTAAAAAGAAATAATAGAATGCAATAACTGCAAGATGCCCGTCGATGGGATACATCTCATCTACTGAATGGATATTACTATCTTCGAATCCAGTACCAGGTTGATATCTGAAGATATTGGTAGTTAAGTCCCAATATGATTTCGTATCAGTATTTCCACCGGCCAACAAAGGTGAAACAACATATGTTTCATTCAATTTGGGGAACATGATATCTTCGTAGAAATATCTCAAGGATCCACCAAATAAATTCCAAACTTCAGTTCCGGTGGCAGTCACAGGTGCAGGTTCTAAAGCTTCTCTTAGAGTATAATTAAAATAGCCATTTTTAGTCGGTTCCACTAAAACTTTCCCGTCCATAATGATACCAAGCTCGAATCTCTCAGCAATTTCTTGAATGTTACCTAAGATTTTTTCTGAAGTCAGTTGAACGGATTCTTCGAAAGCAATTCTATGATTGACCACAGCTGAGACATGTTCTGGTAAAGCATTGGATTTAACACCTCCGGTGATCATATCTACTGCTTGACTGGTACTAATGACAGCTTTCTGTTCACCACCTTCATTTATCAAATAGTGAACAAGTCTGGCATTTGCTTCTACATCAAATTGAGCTCTCAAAATATCCGATTTCAACGACTTTTCAATATTGGAATGTTCAGCCATACATTGTAACAAACCGAGTGTTGGATTTCCATTCGTCACCATACTTTTGAATTCAGTATCTTCAATTAAAGTGATCAATCTGGACATGATACCAATCCCTGTATTTTTAGGAGGCACTGAAGAATGTCCCCCAGGAGTAAACAAGTCAATTTGGGAATCCAAATAACCTTTTTCACTGGTAGCTGGAGCGATGAATTTTGTACCTCCAATTTCCATGAACCCTTCACTTCCTTCATCAATCAACATATAAATTGATTGTGGTCCGTAACGATCAAGTAAGAAGTCTGCGATTGCTTTAGCTCCTAAACCTGCACTTTCTTCATCGTACCCGAAACCAATGATGATGGTTCTCTCTGGTTTGAATTTGTTTTGAAGTAAAAGTTCGATAGTTTCCATTATACCGATCAATAAATTCTTACAATCGGAAACACCTCTACCATAAACAAACCCATTACTTTCTACTCCTTCGAAAGGTGGAAATGACCACTGATCAATAGTAGTTTCCTCAACTGGTACAACATCTTGATGAGCATTCAAAAAGATGGGTTGTAATGATGAGTTCTTGCCTTCCCAAGTATAAATCAATCCAAATTTATTGACCTTCTCCACCTTTGTCTTCTTGTGGACTAATGGGTAGGTTTCATTCAAAAAATCATGAAATTTCTCGAAATTCTTCCATAAGGGTTCCAATTTATATAATTCTTCTTTATCTTCAACAGCATCTGCATGAATTGTGCCATCAAAGAGAACAGTTGGGATCTTTACCGAATCTGACCACCTTTCGGTTGATTGCTTTCTGAACTTCTTATCATTCAAAATCATATCAATTACATCTTCATCGTGAGTAGCTTTAATTTTAGGGACTAATGGACAGAAACTATCGGGATTTGTTGGTTCCGCTGATGTTGTGAAATAGTCTAAGCTATAGGTGAAAACTAAGATAACAATCAATCCATAGACAAACTTCTTGGCTATATTCCACTTATCAGTGGATTTTGGTGCCTTAGGATATAAAGGTAAAGTCTCTGACATTGATAAGATTTCGCACCTACCCATGCACGGCTACATGTACCCATTAATATATCCCTGATATACAAAATTCTAGTAAGAGTACGAGGAAGAGTTGAATAAAAGTCGGAAGAAGTTAATCGTATTATCAAATCATATTAAATCCTCGGTAATGTCATCATCAATATACTCGTCATCCTTATTCATTCTGTAAATTGTCATGGCCATACTTGAGAAGTTCAAAATATTCATCAACCAATCTGGTACTAATATACCTGACAATTCTATAACATTGAAAGCCAAATCCAAGAAATTACCAAATAATTCCAAATAAAGCATAGTTTTATCAAACTTCAAATCTTTCAATACTTTTTCATATTTTTTGAGTAACGAATTATCAATTTGACCTTTTGATGAAGATTTCAAGATATTCAATTCGATTTTGACCTTATTCTCTTTTCGTTTAACATTGAGTAGTTGTGAAACGGTTTTCCTGATCAAAAATATCAAAAGTATGACCCATAGTTTGTTGGTTTGCTTCAACAATCCCAATAAACGTTGTGGAAACATGGGGAATTTAGAAAATAAATGCAAATTATCAAGAATATTAGCTAGGACCTCTAATATATTTATGAACGAGTTTTCAAGTTTTTTGAACTTTGATAATTGGCTTAGTTTTCTGGGGGGATTATTCTTCGGAATTGGTAAGGTAAATTTATCAAACAAGGGGCTATAACTTGAAGTTTTTTGATTTCTTGATTCGTTGTTTGACCTTTCACCTCTAACGTCACTTAATCCTGAACTTTTCGGTATGGGGTGGAATTCACTATACTTCTTGTAGTTACTACTTTTGCTTTGATTGATGATATATGAGGATAAGGAATCCAATTTCTCTTGGGTTATTGACTTATTACCTTGCTTTTGTTCTTTCTGGGCTAGCTGTAATAAGTTATTTAATAACTCCTGTTTCTCACTCATGCCATATGATAATTCGCGAGGAGATTGATTAAATGAGGGAAGCAGTAAGTCACCTACCAGTTTAACGAAAGATAGTGGGAGAAAAATGTTAGGATTTGTTCCAAACCTTCTTAATGTACATTATTTTGAGATACTCATGAGGATAGTTCCACGATAATTTTCAGTATTGAATCTATTCTATCCTCGGTATCAAATTTTATGGGGTCTATACTACAATTACTCTCAATTAATGATAAATTCAGTTTTTCTAACTTGAAATAACTACTGCCAACGATTATTTCAATCACCTCATTGATCACTATGTCGAATTTGACGGTGGTGAATTTACTCAAGATTTTGTTAATTTCGTTTATCCATTTTCCGATATTATTATTCTCACTCTTGATGGAATGGTTGTTCGACAAGAGTAAATCGTTTAGAACTTGGTTCAATTCTGAAATTATATCGGACTGTTCAGCAAACTTCTGATTCTTGTACTTAATGTCGTCGTCAAGCTGCCTTAATAATGCTTTACCATCGTAAACTTTTTCATTTTGTGTCCTAATATAATCTTCAAGACTGGTGAAGTTATCAAGTTCCACTTCATCCAACAAATATTTATCAACATCCATGAAGTCAATTTCTTTCTCCAAGTGTTCCATTTTCTTTAAGAGTTCCATATTTCTCTGATATTTCTCGTTGAATTTATCGTTCAAATCAAGTAATTCTTTAGTCATTTCATCAACTTGGCTTTGTTTTTCGTTCATTTCCAACGTCAACATGGTTTCTTGTTGAATTGTCTGTTGCGTCTCTATTTGTGTTTTGTTCAACTCCTCATGCTTAATAGTGATGGGATCATTATTCAATAATACTCTCAAAAACTTATCTCTTGCCTCTTGTTCCAAATATTGAAATTTCAAACTTTCAAATTGATTTGTCTGCTTTGAAATATCTTCAGTAATGGTTTTGGGATTGTTGAGCCCCGATTTCAAGAATTCTTCCTTAGAATTATTGATCGATATATTTGGATTTATCTCTGTTAACATTGTAAACAACGCGAATTTATCTTTTTTTACATCACCTTCTCAAGTCTACGAAATTGAGTTGATGTGATTCGAAGTATCAAAGAGGATTTTTGAGATTCTGATGAGTCTTTGATGGGCTCAATAACTCCTTCTTGTATGAACACCAGAATAAGAGTTAAACAATAACTTGAAATATTTCACTATTGGTCTTATCGTCTCATATAGACCCCGCAAAAGCAGACTTTTGACTTTCATTTTTGATTCGAGCAGGAAAAGAGAAGAGATTGGAGTCATCGACTTGCTGTTAGTGGAACTGAATCAAATTTTATTCCATAAAAAAGACAGATGGTCAAATAACGAGAAATTTGCCGACTAATTTATAGGTATATTGGTTAGCAGCGCTGCTTTGGCTGTGATCGAGGTGTGCTTTAAAGTTTTATCATAACCAGGGTGACTGGTGGAACCTCAAGCTATCTTATAGAGTATTGCAAGCTTTTTTAAGAAGAAACCCCGGTTCTGAGATGGCACTCCTTCATTTTGACAGAAAACGGACTATATGATAGTCAAATGTCCGAAAAAAAATATCTTATCACTAACAAAATCCACTCATGACAACCACTGCAATCATCGAAATGGGGTTTTGAGAAAGTTCCAGCAAATTTGAAAAATAGTTACAACTGTGGTTCTGGAAAATTTTTATTCAACAGGATTTAACGGGACATACAGACTTTAAACCCGGAGTTATTGTTGGAAGCGCATAAGAAGAAAATACATGAGAAGTATATTGCTATTTATTTGATTTAGATTTTATTTACTTATACCAACGTCTTTGAGTTTTTCGATTTGTTCATTCAATACCACAGGAACTTCTATACTCTCATGCTCTGAAGGGTCAACAGTTTTTTGAGGTTTTCTTTCACTTGGAGTCATGACTAAATCATTGAAATTCAATTTCATTACATCTTCATCTTCAGCGGTTTCATTCCATTCTTGTAATTCGAGAGCGTGTTCTCTTTCAATGGCATATTCAACGGCTTCTAAGACGTTTTCACATAATTTCTTAGGTTTATATTTTGGTTCAGTTCCAGCTTGATAAACTCCGGTCTTAACCAAAATTGAATGCCATGAGATATCATGAGAATTGGCAAATCTAATATCACTTTCTGGAGTATCACCAACGAAATATACTGTTGATGCAGGAGGTAATTCCAAGGTGATAGTATCTTTTTTCTCAACAGCTAATTTCTTAGATTGTTGTTTGAAACCTTTGATGTCTTCGTCTTCATCTTCATCTTCAGAATCTGAGTAGGAATAAGTTTCCAATTTGCTTTGATTTATAATTTCCTCACCGGCATCGTTAATTAAGATGTCTGCTTCTTCGGCGTTTGGATCATTAATTGATAATTTCTTCAAATGTTCATCCAAGACACCTTTTCTCCATTTAGTTAACACTTTGTTAGCAAATTGGAAAGTACCCTTTTGTGGTTTACCAAATCTGTTGACTTTTAATTCAATACCGGTATGTTCCCTGTATAAAGCGGCAATGGAAACTTGTAAAGCACCCATTCCATATCTGGATAATTTATAATTGGTAGCCCAAATGAAATCTGAATGAGCAAAGTAGATTTGTGGACCTTCATCATAAGTTTTGGATTCAGTTCCCATTCTACCTTTTTTACTCAATAATAATTCCAAGATGATTTGTTGATCAGCTGCCCAATTTCTTGAATCGGCAAAAACCAAGATTGCATCAATATCAATCTTAGAGAAATCAGCTTCTCTACAACATTTGATTTCTTCTTCAGTCAAATCATGGTAAGGACTGACAGCTGGATTCCATTTTAAGATATCCAATGGGGTGTAAACTTTTTTAAACCCATATGATTCAGCAACATTTCTACAAACATTTCCAACACCTCCAACAACTAAGACGGTTTCATAAACACCGACTAAATCTTTCATTGGAGTATGACCTTGAATAATTTGATCTGGGGTAATGGTACATTCTAATCTTTTAGATAAGTCAGTCGCACGAACCAGTTCGGGCTTACCACCACCATTAGTGACAAAGATTGATGGAACTTTGATATTGTACTTGTTTTCACCATTTAACAATTTCATGGCTTCAACTGCTTGAGGTATAGTATCTGGACCTCTCAATATAACACCGTCGATATCGAAACAGAAAGCATAACTAGCGACTCTGACATGATCAATGATAGTTCTCTTCTTACGTTTTATGATTGAAGAGTTTCTTGACAATTTAGCCAAAGAATCAATCTTAGTTAAATTGGTTGATGATGATTTGTTTAATGAAGTTGAAGATGACAATTTGGTTAAACCAGTTTGCCATTGATTTAAATCTGAAAGACTCAATGATGAGACTCTGTGTTTTCTTAAAGCTGGTTGTAATTCGTCAATTCCATCGTTATTAAGATAACTTTGGAAAGTTGGAGATTTGACTTCTTTGTCTGACATTTTCTATAATTTTGTATGGGAAAGTTTACAGAAAATGTGGATAATAGATTCAATTTATAGTTTTGGTGCGAACCCCATGACAATAATGTCTGAGACAATTATCTCTGAGGAAAAAACCAAAGGTGGGGAGTGAAAATGAAAGGAAATGGCTTTTAATTACGCCTTTTTTCTCCATTTTTCGACCAAGATATATAGTGATGTTAGACAAACTGGTAGTGGTATGATGTGGCTTCATCGAATCATCTAAAAACCATCGATTCAATAAGTTAGTAGAGTGAATCAAAAGATTGTAGTAGTCGACATCGCGACATTTGAATCAGCAATAATTGCTGAAACTGAGCCCATTGCGTAATGATTATTTTTAATTTAGGTAATAGTGCTTATCCATCTTGATGAGTGAAACACGGTTACCTTTTTGAACTTCCATGCTTTCATGGCGACTATAAGTGGCATGATTTTGATGTGGCCGAAGCAGAAAGCATAAAATATTAGGAAAACAAAAGGTTAAAGTGGTTTGTAGAATTTGGTGGAAATCAGTAGAAAATTGAATTCTATATATGGATCAAATTATTTCCGGCAATCTTCGTCTCGAAAACGACAAAATAATAGCCACCTGGCATGAGTTCTAACAAATTCTAAGCAGCTCAAGCACATATTATTTTTGATGGTCATGAGCCACCTTAGCCACAAATTTTGTTGAGATCTGACAGAACTTCTAATGTTGCTGCTAAGATTGATTTAATGATATCTTTAGCTCATAAATGGAAAGGATTATTTTTTTTACTCTATTGTGTTTGAATTATTTTGATTTAAAATTTTTTCATACCAAGAGTGAAAAAAGATGGTAAAAATCACAAAAAAAAGCTTCCGAAATTTTTTTTGTCGATCCTTGACTTGATATGCAATGAAGACAGTCCAGTGTAACTACTCTTTCAACATGAAGGAATTGCTTAGAATCTTGAATCTGTTTCGGAAAAAGATGAAGAATTGAAATCTAAATAGGTGTCTCAATTTTGTGCTTTGACCTCAATCCAGTCTCCAAACATTGAATTCTATCAACCATATGATATTATTGGATCAGTGACACAAAATCTCTACCCTGACGCTTATGATCTCTTATCTGCCATAATTTTTCCTTTAAAATGGTAGTGCCAAAAGGTGAGAAATTGAGAACCGAAAAATTGAAAACTTTTCAACCATGTCCCAAATTACTTTATCAGACGAATCCAAAGAAAGAATCATCAAATTATTAGATTACGCTAGAACCATCAGTCACTATGGTTTTATCCCAATGATCTTATACTTAGGTTGGTCATCAACTTCAAACAAACCAAATATTTTCAATTTATTGAGTCCTTTCCCAACTGTTTAAATTGCTCATAAAAAAGGTAACTTGAAATTTCAACAATTTATCAAAATAAGGTAACATTTTGATGTCCGGATAACACAAAGTGTTGGGATTGTTGAATCCAAGGTTAAGGAATGTTTAAGGGATTTGATGAATTTTATATTCTTGTATAGATGGTTAATGCCATAATGTATAAACTCGCACTGATTTCTCACCCATCGCTAAATTATGACATCAAAATCTGCCACTCCCCTATCTTCAACCCAGATAGAGATGATATCGGGAGTATCAGCAGGTTTGATATCCACATTAATAACGCACCCTTTGGACTTGGTGAAAATTAGATTACAGGTCAGTAATTATAATTTAAGAACTATTTTCAATCACATTACTAATAAACCCGATTATTTGAAACAATTTTATCAGGGTTTGACTCCGAATTTGATTGGTAATGCTAGTAGTTGGTCATTGTATTTTACCCTTTATGAATATTTCAAGACTTATAATATTAGAAATGACAGTTTCATAGATCAGTCAAAGAAAAATGATCATATTTTGAGATTTTTTACAGCTTCCAGTATATCTGGATTAATCACATCAGTAACTACCAACCCCATCTGGTTCTTGAAGACTAGGTTAATAAGTGAGAATAATCCCTACACTTCTTTGCATCAATCCATTTTGTACATTTATCGTACTGAAGGTTTGAAAAGTTTTTGGAAAGGTTTAGTACCGTCGTTATTCCCTGTTTTCCAGAATAGTTTACAATTTACAGTTTACGAATCGTTGAAGAAATGGGTTATATTGAACGAAGATGATCAACACATGGGTAATTATGTCACCTTATCAACTATATCAAAGTTTAGTACCATGATTGTTATGTATCCATTTCAGGTTCTTCGATCGAATTTGCAGAAAATTGATGGGAGAAACATAACATTCGAATTAAGGAAATTGTGGGAGAACAAAAGCTTTTATAGAGGATTCACCATTGCTGTGGTCAAATCAGTTCCTACAACTTCGATAATTTTAGTTTCTTATGAGACTATCAAAAATAATTTGACGCGTTCCGCACCTAATGACAAAGGAAGAGATGGAAATATCTGATGTAGAGTCGGACATAACTCCCACTCAAGAAAGACAGTATGATTCAGAAGATGAGTCAGAAGTAAAGAAATTAAAACAGGACAAGTTTTTACCTCGAACTTTGAGAAACTTGAATACTACTTTCGATTCCATAAATTACAAAACACCACTTATAAAGTCTACTGATCCGATTATTTTGGGAGTTGACGAAGCTGGAAGAGGACCAATTTTGGGACCTATGGTATATACAGTTGCATATTGTTCTGAGTCTTTCACACCAAGACTTCGTCATTATGGTTTCGATGATTCCAAAGTGTTGAAACATGATTTTAGATTAAAATTAATGAAGGATATGGATAACGAAAACCATGAATTATTCCAGGTGGGTCATTTGACCACTGTTATGCTGGCAAAGGATATTTCTTCAGGTATGTTAAGAGTTCATGGTCAAGGTGCTTATAATTTAAATGCTCAAGCTCATGACACAACAATTAATTTAATTAAAGATCTTATCAAACAAAACGATGAAAATGACGGTGGTTTGAATATTGCCCATGTTTATATCGATACTGTGGGCCCACCAGAGAAGTATCAAGCCAAATTAAAATCCATATTCCCCAATATTAATTTTACTGTTGCCAAAAAGGCAGATAGTAAGTACCCTATAGTGAGTGCTGCTTCAATTGTTGCCAAAGTAAGTCGTGATTTATACTTAGAGAATTATAACGAACTGGAAACTTTACTCAAAGGTACCAAGATTGGTTCAGGATATCCAAGTGACCCTAATACCAGCGCTTGGCTAAAACAACAAGTAGACAAAGTGTTTGGATGGCATTATGGTTTAGTAAGATATAGTTGGCAAACGGCTCGTGATAGTTTGATCAATAATCATGCAGCCAAAGTCACATATGAAGAACCTGATGTCGGGTTGGATGTAAAAGTCAGTTCTAATCTTTTCGGATCTAATGCAACATTATAGCTCAATTCCAATTCTTAGCATATTTTAACGATAATAATACGCATATTCATTACATCTGTGTCAAACTAGCCTCTTCTCGAATATAGATTTTGATAAGTCTTCAAACGCGACACTCGGGTGATGTCGTCCCCGAGATCGTTATTTTACGGTTGACAAAAGAACTAGAACTGCCTCCAATGGTACCAAATTCGATCTTGAGACTTCAATAATTACATAGATGTTTCCAGCAGCTCTACATTGTGCACCCTACCAACTTTTGTATTTTACTCATCTAATATATGACTATCCGGACATTAACCTCCTTGAAGTACGGAAAACATTGATGCGACCTCATTTTCCTAAATCTCAACTTTTTCAAAAGTTTTCAAAGATTCTGAAAATTAAGGATGTTTAGAGCTGGATCATTATTGAAAAATCAAATCGCTAGAGGTATTTCCAGACCTTTTGTTAGTAGCAAAGTTGCTGCCCTTAACTTACGTTATTATTCATCAAAATTTCCTGATCATGTTGTCATTAATATGCCTGCTTTATCACCTACTATGACCCAAGGTAATATCGCAGGTTGGACTAAAAGTGTTGGTGACCAATTAAGTCCAGGGGAATCAATTGCTGAAATTGAAACTGATAAAGCTGTCATGGATTTTGAATTCCAAGAAGAAGGTTATTTAGCCAAAATTTTATTAGATGCTGGTGCTCAAGATATTCCAGTTGGTAAACCAATTGCCGTTTACGTTGAAGAAAAGGGTGATATTGCTGCTTTTGAAGGTTTCACTGCTGCTGATGCTGGTGAAGGTCCAGCTCCAGCTGCTGAAGCTCCAAAAGAAGAAAAAACCGAAGAAGCTCCAAAAGAATCCAAATCCGAAGCTCCAAAATCATCAACTCCAACTAAAGCTCCAACTGATAGAATTATTGCATCACCTTTAGCTAAGACCATTGCCTTAGATAAAGGTATTTCATTAAAAGAAGTTAAAGGTACTGGTCCAAATGGTAGAATCATTGCTAAAGATGTTGAAAACTTCAAACCAGCTGCTTCATCAGCTCCAGTTTCATCAGCTCCAGCTGCTGCCACTTATGAAGACATTCCATTAACTAACATGAGAAAAGTTATTGCTTCAAGATTATTACAATCAACCACTGATATTCCATCATACTTTATTTCATCAACTATGTCAGTTAGTAAATTATTGAAATTAAGACAATCATTAAATGCTACTGCTGAAGATAGATATAGATTATCTGTTAATGATTTATTAATCAAAGCCATTAGTGCTGCTGCTTTAAAAGTTCCGCAAGTTAACAGTGCTTGGTTAGGTGATCAAGGTGTTGTTAGACAATATTCTAATGTTGATGTTTCAGTTGCCGTTGCTACTCCAACTGGTTTAATCACCCCAATTGTTAAAAACGCTCACGCTAAAGGTTTAGCCACTATTTCCAAAGAAGTTAAAGAATTAGGTAAAAAAGCTAAAGCTGGTAAATTACAACCAGAAGAATTCCAAGGTGGTACCATCTGTATCTCAAACTTAGGTATGAACCCAGCTGTCAATAACTTCACTTCAATTATTAACTTACCACAATCAGCTATCTTAGCTATTGGTACTGTTGAAAAGAAAGCCGTTCCATCTGATGCTAATGAACAAGGTTTTGTTTTCGATGATGTTATTACCATCAATGGTACTTTCGATCACAGAATTACTGATGGTGCTTTAGGTGGTGAATTCATCAAAGAATTGAAGAGAGTTGTTGAAAACCCATTAGAACTCTTACTTTAAGTATAGAAATGTTAATAAAAAGTCCTTTATAAACAAGTAAATAGTGACAAATCCCAATATTTAACTTGATTTCTCTCTCAAATTTAATTGCATGTTTCATTGAAATCTCTCATCACCAGACTGACGAAATTTAACCCAATATAAATATAAAGCTCTATCGCGAAATCAACAAATATAAAGCACGATGACAATTGATAAAATTTATATCGCAAGACATGGTTATCGAATGAATTGGTTACCCCCACCACATCCACCTAATCCCACTGGTATAGATAGTGACCCACCACTTGCTCCTCATGGAGTCGAACAAGCAAAAGAATTGGCCAAACACATCAAATCTTTCCCATCGGAAGATCAACCCCAATTTATTTTGAGTTCGCCGTTTTATCGTTGTGTAGAAACCGGAGAGCCAATCAGTGAAGCTTTAAATATCCCAATTGTTTTGGAAAGAGGTGTAGGTGAATGGTACAAAGTCGGAAGAGGAATTATCCCCGAACCTGCTGATTATGATAGATTAAAGTCATTCTTCGGACATTTGAGTAATGAGAAGGAATGGCATCGTGACGAAACCGTTGGTGTTATTCCGAGTCTACAAGGGGAAACGGAAGATGATATCTTCCAACGTTGTAAATTATTTTGGTCCAAATTTATTCCAATTTTTGAAGAAAAATACCCCCATGTAAAGAATATCTTGATCATTTCCCATGCTGCAACTAAAATTGCCTTGGGGATGTCATTAATGGGATTCAAAGACGTTTTCCAATATATCGATGATAATAATACTCTTTTAAGAGCAGCTGCATGTTCTTTGGATAAATATGTTCGTAACGATGATAAATGGGAAATTGAGGTTAATGGGGATTGTTCATTTTTGACTGATGGTGAAGAAATGAACTGGAATTTCCATAACGGGTTTGAAGCTGGATCAGATGAAGATATAAAGGCTAGACAATTAGAAGCGGAGAATGAAAGAAAGGAGCTTGAACAAGCTAAAAATCTTGACCAAGCCGATACCGAAGTACGTAAATAGATTTTTTCTATTGTATTCTATTTTTGAGTATTAATAAAGTCAGAAGATCAAGCGGGGGTAATATTTAATAGTTAATGATAGATTTAGAACAATGTAGTTAATATACTAACATCTAGGATTTTTATGTCACCATTGATTTACCACAATTTGGTAAGGTAAACGAGAAAATCAAACCATCGTCAACTTTTCAAATAACTAATATCAATGATGACAACCCGTTAATGAAACTATCCAATCCTCTTCACGAAGAGTCAGAGAACCGTCAGATGTCGGTATTAAATGACCAAATCTATAAATTAGAATGGTCACAATTGGTAGGTACAGATTTAATAGTAGATGAAAATGGTGAGGTTATTGGTAAAGTTAAAGATCATCTTAATTGGGTTGCAAATGCCAAATTCACGGAAAAGAGACAAGATTTGAAATATGAGAGAAACAAGAATAACACAGACGCAACGGGATTTTTCAACTCAATACAGCAAAGATTAAACCAAGGTGTGATTGACGTAGACGAAATGGAAGTTGACACTCCAAGCGAATCTGATAAGTAGGTTGGATGTTCTTATGATAAGAGGTTTGGTTCTGAGAAGGTCTTAGCGATCGGTTATCAACGGTATAATGAATTTGAGTTATGTAGGTAATACATTTGATGATGTCACTTCCTGGACAACTCCGTGAAAATAGAAAAGGATTTTTCCTGTACGGAAATTCTTATCACCATGATCTACCGCACGATGTTAGGCACGCGGTTCTCACTATGAACCACTAAATTTTAATTCTGCGCACCCTACCACGATCTAATAGCACGGTCCATTGGCACGGTCTGCCAACACGATCTGATTACACGGTCTTTTCCCAGATAAAACTGTGGCTAATATGACCACGGTCATCGCTATTCATGGTTAAGTATCTTCATGTCAATGATCAATTGATGGTTAAACTTACATAGATGATAGACTCTAATATGAAAATTCTCATGTTACTTAAAGCGGAATCTCTGATAAGATATTGCACAAGATCAATGACTCGAAAGGTACAAATTACAGCCGTGATTTCAAAACCGGTAGTATATTCCTAACAGCCGATCGTATATTTTGATTAATAATTTCTCGATAATTCAATTCCACAGGGGTAAACAGGTCATCGTTTTGATAAGATTTCGTAAATCAATGATGAATCATATTCTACGGAAATAGAAGGCATCTGAGGATTGATATAAATTAACACTGGATGTCGAGCTGGAGACTTTCATCAGAATCAATTGAATAGCAAATAATCAATTTATGAATACCGAATTATCAATTAAAATTTTACACGATCAACAAAAGAATTTATTACCAAGAGGTTTCAACAAAGGAGAAGATTACACAAGTAGATATCAAGTCAATTATGAAGAGAATAAGAAACGATGTGTCAGTTGTTCTCCCAAAAATTGTTGTAAAAGAAGAAAAGTTGCAACCAACGATTTTTCAAATCCTGCTGAAAAATGCTTTGATGCTAGAAACCTGGTTTCAGTCGGTAACTTGAAGTCAGGTAGGATGACAAGCCTGTTGAAATACCATTATAAAGAAAGGCCAACAAAAAGAGTCTCCTGGAGTGACGAGATTATTTGGGAAGAACCTGATAATTATGTTGAAACCCCAGAAGCCAACTCCATTCATATATCCTTATATGAATCAACTTTTATGCTTCACGCTGGTAAACGTGTTTGCTTTTAGAATCAATCCATTTGACATGGAATGCGATGTTTATGAATATATGTAACAGTTTCTGAATCTATGGTTTTTAGCAACTTCTTAGACTGCGTAATCTCAAATTATGATTGATTTATCGAGATATCAAGTAGTTTTGGGTAGCACTTCTGAGAGGAGACTACAGATACTTAGCGATGTCCTTAAGATCAATTGTGAAGTAATTAAACCAGATTTTGAAGAGAACCTATCAAAATGTCTTCCACCCAGAGATTATGTTTATGGAACATCTAAAGGTAAGATCGATGCTATCATCAGAGACAATACTTTTGAAAAACCAACAATAGTTATATGTTGTGATACGATAATAGATTGGAATGGCAATATTTTGGAAAAGCCTATCACTAAGTCCAAACAATTGGAGATGTTTGAAAATTATAAAACAAATCCACATCTACATGTATTATCATCGATTCAAGTGGCCAGAGTAGACAAAGAAGTTGAAATTGTGTCCGAAGTAGTTGAAACAAAATTGACATTTGATTCAGGTCTATCACAAGACGTTGTCCAGTCTTACATTGAATCCGAAGAAGGACTTAACGTGGCTGGAGGATTTAAATATCAGGAATCAGGGAATATTTTGTTCAACTCTCTTCAGGGAGACTATTTCAATGTAGTTGGATTACCTGCAAAGGTAACATTCAAGTTGATTCATGATTTAGTAGTATGATTGAGTAAAAATAAATATCCATAGTAAATTATATCTCATCTCGCATCTCAAAAAAAATTGAAAAATTAAGATGGCTAAAGTAGTTAAGTCTAAAGGTAAATCCGTCCCAGCCAAGGGTAAAACCACTAAACCTGTCAAAGAACCTGTCCAAGATAAACAAGAAAGTGAATTAGATAAAGATGAAATTGTTTTAAGTGAAGAAAGTGATAGTGAAAGTGAAGAAATTGAAGAAAGTGATGTTGAATTAAGTGATGAGGAATCAGAAAATGACGAAGAATCTAGTGAAGAAGATGTTGAAATCAAAGGTTTAGAAGAAACTAATAAACACGTCGTCATAAAACCAAGTAAAAAAGTTGAAGTCACCAAGAATAAAGATAAAAAAGGTGTGATATACTTAGGTAGAATACCTAATGGATTTTATGAAGAAGAAATGCAAAAATATTTCAAACAATTTGGTAACATAACTAGATTGAAATTATCAAGAAATAAGAAAACGGGTAAATCAAAACATTATGGGTTCATAGAATTCGAAAACTTCCAAGTTGCCAAAATTGCCAGTGAAACTATGAATAATTATTTAATTTTTGGTCATTTATTGAAATGTTATCTTGTTGAAGATACTTCCAAATATGATTTGATCTTCAGTAATAATAAATTCAAGATCATACCATGGAAAAGCATAAGTAAATTCAGAAATGATAAACCAAAGGAATTAAAACATTTACAAAAATTAGACAAAGCATTTAAAGGTAAAAATTTGAAAAGGGCTGAAATTTTAAAGAAAAAGGGTATCAACACAGATTATTTAAACTAAATATAAGTCATAGATCCATTCTTAAATATTCGGGTTTAAAATCCCTTCATCTATTTTGAGATCCCATCTCCTATTTTAGTTTTGCCTATAATACCTAATATTGGTTGTTGGGTGGATACTGATTCCGCTTCCCGATCTCATTAATCTCTTTCCACATTGTGAAGTAGTTTAGGAACTTGTAATCCATAGATTTTCCCAATATAGTTAAACGATCCATAGCTTCGCATCTGATATGTACAAATGTGCACCTTATGGGAATAGGGTGAAAATTGAGTAGCACACGAAATTCCGCTTATGATTTGATCGATATTAATTGGCAGTTATCGTTCACATGAGAAAAAAACTTATTTATCAACTGATATAAATTTTCAACTTGTTGGCAAAAAAAATATTTTGAGACAAACCATGAGTGAAACCGAATTAACTATTTTTACATTAGAAGAAGTTGCTAAACATAACACCAGTTCCGATTTATGGATGGTTTACAATGGTTTAGTTTATGATTGTTCATCGTTCGTTGATGAACATCCAGGGGGAGAAGAAGTTTTAGTTGATTGTGCTGGTACTGATGCCACTGAAGAATTCGATGATATTGGTCATTCTGATGATGCCCACGAAATTTTAAAAGGTTTATTAGTTGGTAAATTAAAGGGTGGTGTTACTAAAGAAATCAAATCCCAACTTAATTTTGAAGAATCAAGCAGTAACTTTCCATTATTAGCTGTCGGTGCTATTGTCATTGCTGCTGGTGCCTATTATTATTTAAATATGTAAATTTAATCAATTTTCCACGATTTGTAGATCAAACAATATTCCATATAAAAAATCACTATTTTACCACATACCTTATTTTTTAGAGGATCTAAAGAGAACACTTGAATCTTTACCTGATTCTTTGTTGCATTCCAATGTCATTTGTGTTATGTATAGGTTTTATAGTTAATTAATTATTAATGTCATCGATGGTCAAATGATCATGATCTATTATCGGATCTACTAGCTGCGAAATCGATCTTGAGTAGGCTCATGATTCGATAAGTTTAATTATATAAGACTTTGAGCTTTTAATGACTAGATGGGCTCAATTTCATCATAGATTTTAGTCTAAAGTCAAATGAATGATATTTCCGAATTGTTGTATAAGAAAAGAGGGGGGGACAGCACATGATAATTATGCGTTTCATTTAAATACTATATACAAAATATTAATAGAATCCTAAACCTCTACCTAATCTTAATTTAACACCTTCCCATGAGTTCAATTTTGGTCTAGCATCAATAAATACCCCATTTTCGATGGCATAATAATCGATCACATATTCTATTTCAGTACCACATCTATCTACTAACCAATCATGTCTATCAAAAGGTTTTTCAGCCCCTATTACACTTTTGACCCATGCTCTTGGAGTTAGTTTCTTGGGATTACCTTTGAAACTCGTTAATTTTAATCCACCACAGGAAGATGTATCAAATGACCTCTCCCAATTAAGAATATGGGCCCAAGTACGTTCATTTACATTATTATGGATCGGAACAACAGTTTTCATATCACTGGCTTCTGGAGACCAATTCTTACGTTTCATAGCTTCGAAGAACTGTTTTTCTGAAGGATATATCCAATTAGACTCAGTTGATGTACGAGGTATACTACTGATTTCTCTATCTGATGGTAAATTAGTGGTTGAACCAGCAATTGATGTTTCTTTATCTGAAGTACATGATTCTAATTTATCAACTTCTATAGCTTCAGGAACGGTGGCTGTTACTTTAATATTCTTAACCCAATTTTCACGAGTTTCATGATCAACTGGGCATACAGGTTGTTCTTGATCGGGTATCTTCTTTGGTATGCTATTATGATCTACTGGACACGAGGATCCTTGATGTGGTACAGGGCAACTTATATTGTTGGTTGATGATTCTGGTGAAGCCCAAAACCATGAAGTCCATCCCATTTTAAATGCTTATTAATTTCTCATCTCGTTCGCACTTATTGGTCCAATGTGTAAGATCTTTGTTCGATCCAAGTAATAGCAATGTACCGCATAAGAGGTGGATATCAAACCTAGAATTAAGCTCGAATATTGCACAAACGTCCTTCGTCCTCTCAGGGGAAGTCATTAAACTGAACGAAACTTACAATCAACAAATGCGAGTGGTTGCAAAAAAGAGACTAAACTAATGACAATGTGTTATTTACTACAACTTTATATGACTTGATATAAACTTAGTATATCTTTTTCTTTTCATCGATTGAAAATTCACCTGCACCAGCGTTGACAATAATCAATAAACCACCAACAATACTTAAAGTTTGGAAGAACTCGTATTTTAAGAAATCTCTTGAAGAATCATGAGATCCATATTTCCAGAATTGATTTTCGAATATGTTATAAGTGAATAATAATACTGTTAAGATAGAAGCTGAAAATTTAGTTTTATAACCAACAATAATTGATGCACAAGTAACAAAACCACCAAGAATGACAAGGAAACGAGTGAAAGATAATGAAGAAGAAAATACAAAACCAAGGAATAACAAGACTAATAATAATCTACCAGCTAATAAGAAATATTTCTTATTGTCTTGATTATTAATCATAGGTAAACCTGGCATAGATAATCTTCTTTTATCTCTTATTAAACTATCAGAAAAAGCTAAAATCAAACCTCCAACAACACTTAAATTTCTTAAAATGAATAAACCATCGAATATTAAACCATAAAAGATCCCTTGTAAAAGAACAACAGCTACCAACGAAACGGTGGCAATTTCATTATGTCTTCTTAAAATTAATAAAGTGGAAGATGTTAACATGGTAACAATATTAATAAGTAAAAATAAAACGGTTATCCATTTCCAATAATGCTTGTAATTATGCAAGTAATAAACTTGTTCATTCCATTGAGTGAAAATTCTCCAACTGTCTTCATAAAATGTTGCAACAATGAAAAATCTACCAATACCTGGAATGTAAGGTTTAAGTGGTTTAGAATATTGATCAACAAATTCTTCTAACTTACTACTTGCAGATTCAAAACTTTCATTAAAATTTTTTGATGGTGAAACTGGACCAATGTTACTAGCACCAGGATAAACTGGAGCTGGAGGTTGGTTGAATTGTCTATTAAATTGATTTGGTTGATTTGGACCTCTGTATGTCATGATTATTAAATTCTTTTCACAATAGAGAAATCCTTATAAAGCAATTAATTATCAATGTAATTGATGAGTTATTCAATGATTCAATTTATTGTAATCAATTCCGAACTTCTTTCAAAGAAAAATTTCAGTGATCTGTGTTGATTTTGAAAATTTCGTGGAGTTTTTTTAACACGATTGAGATTTTTGCGTCGTGTCAATGACAGGGTTCTACCACGGATACTAAATATAACTCTAATTATATATTGTCATAAAAGGTATAAATGAAGTAATTAGGAGGGTTCAATTGAATACTTCAATAGAATAAAGAGTATAAATCATGAGTTTTATTTAGCATAAGTTTTTCTGGTGGCTTTTTTCATGTGGTAGTTTGCGGGTGGCTAATTAGACTTAGCATATGTCAAAAATCTACCTTAGTAAATTTACTATATATATTAATTTAAATTCTTTAATCTTAATTTACCATGTCTTTTGACTTCATTATCCATTAAATCTCTTAATCTATGACTTCCTGCTATTGCTAAACTTATTAATTCTTCTAATTTGTCTAAGGGAACTTTATTTTCCAACATTAACATTACTAATTTATCTGATTTTCCAATAACTCCAACAGTTAAATAACTTAATTCGTTTTCTTCTAATGTATTTAAATCTAATAATGGGAATTGATCGAATAATCCTACTGATATAGATGATACATAATCATACATACTTATACCAGCATCTATTAATGACAAAGTCATGGCATTGGTCATGGATGATAGTAATCCACCATCTTGTGATAAGACTTGAATATTTATCAGGATCAATGTTCTGGGGTAAAGGGTTGTTATTATACATTGTTTAACAGTATTTTCCAAGGTATTTTTTAATTCAACTATTCTTCTTTCATTTTTTGATCGTTTTTTTCTTTGAAATGTGGCAAAGTTAGCTATACTTATGTTAACTTCTATATTGGCTTCATCATGATTCATTTGGGAACGTAATTTGGGTTCCATGGGTCCTTGAACTGTACATATAACTTTAGAATTTCCTTGTTCAACATAACTTGAACCATCTGATGAATTAGGATGGGTGTTTATTTTACACTCAAATCTTCGAAGTTCATTCCATCTACGTCCATCTATCCTTAATCCTTCGGGTGAGTATAATTCCAAACGTGGCATGCTTTATTATACAAGATCTAAGTATCTTACTGAGATGAAGAAAATTTTTTGCTGCGAAATTTAAGATATGTAGAGTCTGATAAGATGAGTTTATGTATTATGGGAAGGAAATTAAGGAGCTGAAATATTTAAATCATTGATGAAAACTCCTAAGATCCAACAATTGGATAAGAAAAATCCACAAGATGCCATTAATAACCCGTTATCGAAGGTACTTATACCTAAGAATTCTAATTTATAGGCAAAATATAACCAGATTCCTTGAGTTGCAACCCACATGACCAATACCACAATCCCCTGCACGTACTGACCTTTGATTAATTGTGAGTTGGATAAATAATGGGGAAGGAGGAATAAGAACCATATGAAATATTGAGATGTGATAACCTTATTGAAAGTAACAAATGTAAATGTTTGAAGGAATAAACATGAAATAAAGTCTCTGGTACCAAATTTAAAAGGAACCAAAATACCTGAAATAAGTAATTGGGGGACGAATGCAAATTTTTCAATGTTTTGCATCATTCCAGTAGTGTCAGTTATACTTGACTTATAGTATAACATAATGTTATATACCGAGAAGTTATGTCTATGATCCAACCTGGTCACGTGATACAAGTAAGTGTGATACAAAAATTCATATCCATAAATCTGGTACATTATCAAATTCAAAACACCGAATGTGCTGATTGTAATCAATAAATATTGGATATTTTGTTTATTCAACAAATTGAGTAATGGGATATTAATCAATGGGTTTCCGAATCTTATAAGATATAACATCATAGTAGGTAAATAAATGATAGGATAAATTTTGAAATGAATAGCAATACCCAACCAAAAGGCTGATAAATTGAATGATTTCTTTCTGGCATAATAAACCGATAACATAATCATGACCGTTAAAACACTTTCTGCTGATCCTCTTGTGCTTATGGTGATGACCATGGGATTCAATAGCCAGATTGAAGAAAGAATGAGTAATTGTTTACCTTTAACTCTGAATTTTAATAATTGAACGATCAAATACCCCGTCACCAAATCACTGACCATGAAGACTATTTTACCGAAATGTGGCCACCATTGATTAGGTACCAACACCCATGCCAATAATGGAGTGTATCGATATGTTTCTCTAAGATATGGTGATAAACCTTGGGAAACATAATTGGCAGCATCAGAAAAGACCAGGTAATCAATATCTGTATATTTCACCGTCATGTAATGATCTTGATAAAGACCAAAGACAAAGAACCCTATCCGTAGAATCACTGACAAGCTTATGATCCAATTGATATTCAAATCCATCTGTCAATCTGGAGTTTCACGCGCGATGGTTCAACCACAAGTAGAACAAGTGTTTAAGGAATATAGGGATTATGATTGGGATCATTTCGATGAATTCCAAGATGGGATAAAGGAAATCTTAGATAACTATTTAGAAAGTTTGAGAGATCAAGATCCATCGATCAGTGCTATCCCTGCATTGGATCAACAGCAATTGATCAATCAAGCAAAGAGTTTCTTCTATTGTACAAAAACCGGTAACATTTTGAATCTTGATGATTATGAAAAATGGGAAAGAAGTCAGAAGATTGTAGAGATCAAAGACGACGAACAAGAAGATGTACAACAGCCGACTCAAGAGAAACAACCAGAACAGATCATTGAGTTAAACTCTTCGGAAGCTAACGTAGAAGACAAACAAGATGAACCTCCTTATTCATCGAATTATCAAGAATTAGTAGAATTAATAGTATCGGGAAAGCCAGTTCCTGGTATCAAACAAATACCAGATACCGTTTTAACAGGACAGAGCTCAACCGCTTCAGCAACTCAAAGAGTCAAACCTTGGGAGAAGAAATAGTTATCTATAATCTATATATACGAAATTTAATGTAAAAACCTCATAGCTGCTTCGAAAGCTGCCAAAGCAGCAGCGTTAGCTGGAAATGATCTGAGAATTGAAGGACCAAAACCTTTGGTAAAACCTCTTAATCCATTAGTTGAATAGATATGTTTAACAGCATCGATCCAACGAGGGAATTTCTTTTCTGCCAAAATTGGAGAATCTGTCATAATAGTTTGTTTCACAACATCAGCTGGATAAGCGAAGATCCAAAAAACTGTGGCACTTAAACCTCCGCTCCAAAAGTTGATGGAAGGTTTAGACATCTTAGTGTTCTGTTCAAACCATTGGGTAAAAAGTTCGTAAGACCCCCACCAGAAAATGAAATTTGTACGGAAAATCATAGTGGAGAAAAGACCACTATAAATACCTCTGATTCCACTAGTTTTATACAATTTCTGTACCACATCAATCGGACCTTTATATATTCTTGATTTGGCATCGTATTGAACTTGAAGTCTAGCTTTGAATTGTTCAATAGGAGCTGCAACAAAGGAAACAGTCAATCCACTCCCAAGACCTGCTATCACATGACCCATAAGCGGAAGTTTCGATTCTTGAGGGTATATATAATCTTTAGCCCAACGACGATAGACATGTAATGATCCAAGCATAACGGAATCCATAAGTACCCAGCCAACCAATGGCGGGGTGAATCCTTTATAGAATCCTCTGAGTCCTTCATTCTTCACAGTCTTGAAAACACAATCCATAGGTCCTTTAAATTGACCTTTAGGTGCAGTTTGAAGTCTAACTTTGATAGTATCGAACGGATGCCCCACAGCATTTTTCATTACACCTGAGCACATTCCAGCAATAAAACCTACATATTTAGGGGGTGGAGTTTCATTCCCATCCGCTTGAGCGACCTTAGAAGCTTTCTGAATCTCGTTATAGACTCTATCTTCTTCGTCTACTACTGCAACTGACATAGATATTTTCAAAAGTGCGAGCAGCCGTTACCGGTACGATAAAATGCCGGAGATTTTTTAGAGTTATGGTCATTAGACTCGAAGATACTTTGTGATGAAACTTAATGGAGCAACACTTTACGTTTCAAACTTTCTAAATACCCTACAATTAAGCAACAAATGAAACTACAACCTTCTTCACTCTTCGCGGTGGAAATTTTCATCGAGTTTACATGTCTAGTACTATCAAGCCAGATACTCCTTCCAACGGTAACAGTTCGATCCCAGGATCCATGTCATCCAGTTCTAAGCCTTCAAGAACCAGCACACCTGATGGATGGCAGGAAATTGGCTTGTATTGTTATAATGAGCAAGATTTGAAAGATAAGAAATACCATATGGCGAGATTCAATAATAAGAATGATGTTGATATTGTTCGTGATTTCACTAAACCAGTAAGGTTACATCGTAAAGATCCAACAAACTTACAGTTCCATTTGAGCAGGAAAGAAATTGCTGCCAAAAAGCGTGAAGAACAACAAAAAGCTGCAGAGAAGGCTATAAGGAGACAACAGCGTCTTGCAGGGATCCCCGTACCTGATGAAGATGATGAAGACGACGGAACCCCCGAGGGAAAGGTCAAGACTGAAGGAGGTTCTGATGAAGATAAAATGGATTTATCTCAAGTTGCCCCAGAAGGTGGGGCTAGAAATTTCAGAAAGAATATGTTCAAGCGTAAAACTCGTAGAGTTAATTTAATGAATGATGATCAAAGACGTTTAAGATATGAAGAATTTTATCCTTGGGTTATGGAAGATTATGATGGACAGAATGTTTACGTAGGAAATTATGAAGCAGGAGCCACCGAAACAACACAAGTTTTATTTGTGTTTGATAGTAATGGGTTCAAAATGGTTCCTGTTGAAAAAGTCTATAAATTCAATCCAAGAAACAAGTATGCTACTTTGACTTTAGAAGAAGCTGAAGCCAAAATGGAGAAGAAGTCAGCCGTTCCAAGGTGGTTGATGAAACATATGGAAGATGATTCCAACAAAGATTACAGATTCAAAAATAATGGAGAAGGAAGTAGTGGAGTTGGATCAGTAAGAAACCCAGCAATTCCTGATTCCAGAAACAATAGAATGAGAACAGTTACAGGAGGTTCAAGTACTAATAATGATAGAGATTCAGATCATGATGATATTGATTTTGAAGAAGAATTTGCCGACGACGAAGAGGCTCCAATTATGGATGGTGACGAAGAAGAAAACAAATTGTCTGAACAGAAGATTAAAAGAGAAATGTTGAAAGCCGCTCATTTTGATGCTGAAGATGATGCCAAAGATGATGACAATTTGGACGATTTATTTGAAACGGAAAAATCAAGAAAGATCGATAGAGAAGGTAAGAAATTACGTAAAGTATTAAACAAAACTGAAGGTGGTGTTTATGATAGTGACGATGACGATGATAATGCTAATCCATATTTATCAAGATCGGATTTGGAAAGTGACGATGATGACGAAGTGGAAATCAAACAAGAACCAGGACTTGAATCATTAACTCCTTTAAAACCTCGTCAAATCTTTGCCAAAAATTATGGAGAAGGATTCATTGTAATCAAAGCTCCAGGTCAATTCTTGAAAGATTTTCCCAAAGGCGAATGGTTACCCAATGGCCGTAAAAGACCAATGCAACCACTGGATTCTCCAAATAAGAAACAAAAACTCGACCGTGAAAAATCCAATTCCCCTACTCCTATTACTGGAGACTTGAATGATGCAGGTGATGGTTCTTTAGTAACTGTTAGAGAAGTATTGGATATCCTCAGAGGTAACCCATTAACTACCAAAGAGTTATTAGGTAAGTTGCGTACAAGGGTTAGTGCAAACAAGGAGAATAAATCAAGAATCATTGACATTGTCAGAAAAAACTTGAAATTGTCTGACGGTAAGTTAGTTTTAAAAGAATAATGAAAAAAATATAGAATTTATTTAATCTACAAAACCTCTATAATAGCATCGTCATCATCACTTTCTTCATTAACTATTTCTTCAACATCTTCTTCACCTTCATCTCTCATTAAAAATTGAACTAATTTATCACATAATTCGACAACATTTGAATCCAGCTCAACTTTATGTAATTCACGAACAATAGCATACACTGCCTTTTCTCTTAAATACTCTCTGATTGGTCTGGTGGTACATAATAATAATAAACTCTCTAAATGGATACATATTAAACCTTTTAAAGGATCTCTTACTTTATCAGAAGGTAATAATTGTAATTCTTCAGGTAAATCGAACATGTAATCCTCATCAATTTCTTCAGGTCCAGCAATAGGGAGTAATATGTATGGAAGTAAATTAATATTTGGATTGGTTAATAATTCGTGATGTTTAGTAGAATCAAATAATGAATTTTTAATGGTTGAAGCAACACCTTCTCTTCTTATTTTAGAATCATATTTTTCGGTGAACACTAATAATTTGGTTATAGGCACAACTTCGTCATAAGCTTGTTCAGTGATAAAATAGTCTCTACCTTGTTGGAATCTCGAAATATCAGCAAAAAAATATGATAAGTAATCAAAGTTAGCATATTTATTTAATGATCTATCAGCACCTTTAACGAAACAATCCATTAAACAATCCATAACTTTATCACTTTTGAAAGTATTGTTTTCTTTATCATGACTTATCTTGAAATCAAGAATCTTGACAATATTATCGTTCTTTGCTAAGTTAGTTAACAATATACACATCAAATCAGCATTTGAATTAGTAATGTTGACAATAGATTTGACTAAAAATTTCAAATAATCGATATCTTCAACAATTAAGTCTCTGACCTTCAAATCAGAACATAAATTAGCTAAACAAGTGGTGGCTTGTTCAACCATTGTTTTACCTTCACTTTTAGACAAATTCTTTAAATCTTTAATAGCTTCATAATTATCGTAAGCGAAAATTTCTTTATTTGCTTGAGAATATCCAACTAAGTTATCCAAAGCAATTTGGACAACGGCTGGTTGGGGAGAATGAAGTAATCCTACCAAATCTTCTAACTCTGTAGGCATCTTTAATGTTCTATAGGTTTCTAAAATTTTTTTGAAAAGTCGCGAAGAGCTGCAAAAAAAGGCTGCAAAAAAAGTTGCTTACAATTCTATTTATTGGAGACTATCAATAACAGGGATGTAGAAGTAGTAGAAGGCAACAACAGCGGCATGAGTATCCACTGAACCCCTTTCATTAACAGAATGGACACCTCCTGACTCCCCTAATAATGCTGGCATATATCTAAAAATATGAGGTGTAAGATCCCAGTAACATTTAGTGTCAGTATTTCCAGTGGATAAATATGGAGCAAAAATATAAGTACTATTATCTTCAGGATAAGCCAATTCTTGATAGAAATAACGTAAGGAGCCACCAAATACATTCCAAACATCGGAATCAGTAGGAGTGACTGGTGCTGGTTCAAGTGGTTGAGAAAGGGTATAATTGAAATAACCAAAATCTGTTGGTGGGAAAATTTCCTTATTGTTGATATAAATACCAAGATTGTACTTTTTAGCAATGATTTTGATATCGTCTAAGATTTTGGTGGATGCTGATTCAACGGATTCTTCAACAGCAATTCTTTGATTAACCAATACTTGAGCATGTTCAGGTAAAGCATTGGACTTGGCACCACCCAGGATGATATCTGCTGCTTGAGAAGTTGTAACTAAATACTTTGTTTTTAAGTCTTGTCTTAAAACATCCAAAAGTCTTCTATTGGCGTTTTTATCGACATTAGCATTCAAAATGTCGGATTTTAATGATTTATCCACATCACCATGTTCAGCAATACATTGATAAAAAGACAAAACTGGGTTTCTTTGGGTAATAACACTATCAAAAGGTTTGCTTTCAATCAAACCAATCAATTCAGACAAAATACCAATGGAGGTATGTTCAGGAGGAACTGAAGAGTGTCCACCTGGAGTATAAATTTCAATGATAGAGTCTAAATGACCCTTTTCGGCAGTTGCAGGAGTGATCATTCTCAAATCTCCCATTTGAACGAATCCACCACCACCTTCATCAATAATTTGGTACATTGAATCTTTACCATATTTATTCAACAAAAATTTACTGATCTCTTCAGCACCAGTACCTTGACTTTCTTCGTCATATCCGAAAGCTAAGATTAAGGTTCTTGATGGTTTAAAGCCTTCAGAAATGAGTAACTCAACAGTATCCATCAAACCAGTTAACAAATTCTTACAATCCAAAACACCTCTTCCATAAATTTCACCATCCTTAATGTGACCTTCAAAAGGTGGGAAGTCCCATCTATCAATGGTTTCTTTTTGAACAGGAACTACGTCTTGATGAGCAGTTAACATCAAAGGCTTTTTGGTGGTATCGGAACCTTCCCAAGTATAAACCAAGGCAAATTTATTGACTTTGTCAAGTTTCAAGTTTTCATGAGTCAATGGATAAGTCTTTTCAAGATAATCATGGAACAATTCGAAGTTCTTCCATAAAGGTTCTAATTGGTATAATTCCTCATTTGATTCAACTGATTTGGGGTTAATCATATCATCATAAACTTCAGTGGGAATTTTGATAGCACCTGATAATTTTTCTGCTAATTTCAATTTGGTATCATTATCATGAAGTAATTTATCTAAAGTATCAGCGTTGTATAATTCAGCAGGTGGTGGATAAGAATCAACGATAGGACATAATTGTTCTGTTGGAAGATCGGCCGATTTTTGGTGGGGAATAAAACCAACTAACAAAATCAAAGGTATTAAAGCCAATAACTTTTTCTTTGAAGTCTTTGGCTTGTTATGAATTGGTAAAAGTGGTTCTCCTTCCATAAGTGAAATCAATGATAATTGAAGGAAAAAAGTGGAAAAGAGCTCAGTTTTATCCTACTCGAAGGAGTTAAACGGCGAGCCGCATACTTTGATGCGAGGTGATAAGAGATCAGAAATAATTAGATCCAATAAAAATTCTTTATTTGTTAGCAGCAAAGAAGGCTAATCTTTATTTATTAGCAGCAAAGAACGCTAATTGATCAGTCAAAGCTTTTTCTTTGGCATATTTGACTTGAGGGATTGAAATATCACCTCTAACTGCAAAACCATGTGAAACTCCGGCAAATAAGGTTAATTCCCAACTAACACCTTCCTTTTTGGATAAGATTTCTTCAGTTTTATGTCTCAATTCAACGGTGAAAATAGGGTCAATTTGGGCGGCAGAAATAGTTAAAGGTTTGGCAACATCTTCAACTTCTTCAACTGAAACGAATGATGGATGAGCACCTGCACCAGCATCTAATAAACCATCTTTACGTAAGTTTTGAATAACGTATTTAGCACCAAAACAGTAACCAATACCACCGAGGAATTTTGGTTTATATTCGGATTTTAATGAAGATAAGAAACCATCAAAAATTGGAGTGGTGATTTCTGGCCCATGTTTTGGTAACCAAGTAGCAAATTCTTCTTCAATTGGATCACCTTTTAAAATGTCAGGAATTAAAACTTGGTATTTACCGACCTTGGCAATTTGATCAGCAATTAACAAAACATTTTGTAATTTGTAACCGTATATATCAGTAGCGATAACGATTATGTTATCATTACCGTTCTCGGTCCCAACAACATAAGTATCAAGACCTGCAACGGTTTTGTATGAACCAATTGGGGTACCTTCATGTAAGGATTTTTCAAGACAACAAGCACCTGGAGGATTAGAAGCCATATTCAATAGTTAAAGATTATATTTAGTGAGAAAAATCGCTCGGTAAAATAAACTATTGCCATTAGTAATTCTAGTAGTGTGAAAAACACAGATGTGTCAAAAGCATTTTTCCGCTATTTAATTGATAAAACCGTTGCAGTAATAGAGGGAGGATAATCAAAACATATCGTATTAGTCATCAATCTATAAAGTATATTTAATTTTCAGCATTAGTTTGAGCAGAATATTGAGCTTGTAATACCAAGTTACTTGAAGCATCCATTCTTGGTAACATAACTTCAACCATTCTAATTTTATCATTGGTTGCAAAAGCTTTTGAAGTGAACAAATCTTCAGCTTCACCAATATTGGAGATTCTAACGGTTTCATAGTTTTTAGCATTGAATAATGGTAATAAAGCTAAATTGTCCCATGGTTGAATATCATTATAAGAAGCATTTTCACCATGAATCAATCTTTCAATAGTATAACCATCGTTATTTAAAACGAAAAGATATGGTTTAGTGTTCCATTTAACCATGGTGGAGATTTCTTGAACAGTTAATTGTAATGAACCATCACCAACGAATAAGATGACTCTCTTATTTGGGTCAATTTCTTCAGCGGCCATAACAGCACCTAAAGTGGCACCAACAGTATAACCAATGGAACCCCATAAGACTTGAGAAATACCAATGGTGTTATTAGGGAATTTAGATTGAACAATACCGAAAGCTGAAGTACCAGTTTCAGTAATAATGATATCACCTTCTCTGAACCATGAAGAAACTCTAGTCCATAACCATTCTTGAGTTAAACCTTTTTCTCTTGGAGCTGGAGTATTAACTAATTTGACTTTTGGAACTGGAACTGGTTCATAATCGGTACAAGCATCACCAACAACTCTTAATAAATGTTGTAAACATTCTTTCATTTGAACACCTGGGAAAGTGGCTTGTTTAATTTTGGTGTAATCAGAATGGAATTCAACAACATTCTTAGTTCTGTAACTATAAGAGAAAGAACCAGTATTGAAATCTGATAATAAAGCACCAACAGATAAAATTAAATCAGCATTTTCAACAGCTTCTTTAACATGAGGTTCAGATAATGTACCAACATAAACACCACCGAATCTGGCAGCTGCGGATCTAGTACCATTTAATTTAGCAGTCATTTTCTTGATTAAACTTGGATCGTTATCATATAATTCACCACTAACACCACCTTCATCAACACCACCTTTACCCATAGGAGTAGTAAATACTGGGAATTGGGTGATTTCAACTAATTCTTTAACTTCTTGTTTACAATCATGTCTTGAAGCACAAGCATCAACTAAAATGATTGGGTTTTTACTTTGTTTGATTAAAGTTAAAACATTTTCAATGACTTCTTCTTCAGCATCTGGATCATTTTGTTTTAATGATAAGTCAATTGGAATGTTTAATAAAGATGCTGGAACTTTCAAGTCAACTAAATTAGCTGGTAAACCAACGTAAACTGGTCTTTGATAAATGTAAGCATCTCTAATACATCTATCTAATTCAGCAGGAGCTGAACTTATATCACTGATAAAAGCAGATGTTTGACTAATGTTATTAGACATTCTGTGGAAAACAGTGAAATCACCATTACCTAAAGTATGATGTAATAATAATTGTTTAGCTTGAGAACTAATTGATGGTACACCAACAACATGTAATAAACCAACATGTTCAGCATAAGCACCACCAACCCCATTTAAGGCTGATAATTCACCAACACCAAAAGTAGTAACTAAACAAGCTAATCTTTTGATTCTACTATAACCATCAGCAGCATAAGCGGCATTCAATTCATTAGCATTACCTGCCCATCTCATACCATCAACTTCATAAATTTTATCTAATAAACTTAAATTGAAATCCCCTGGTAAACCAAAAATGGTCATAACCTCTAATTGTCTTAATCTTTCGAAAAGATATCTACCTAAAGTAATTTCTGCCATTGTTAATAATTTGTCTGTTTTGTGTTTGGAAACCTTTTCCTAATTTTTTTTGATGTATTCTATGTTTTTTAGAAAAAAGATTGTTAAACGAATAATGATTCAAAGAAGAGAGAATCTGCAATATTTATATTTGTCAATGTGGGTGACAACAACTTATGGTAATTAATCCGGAAAATTAAACTACACCATCATTTTAGTTTAAACGCATAATGTTGGATGATTAAATGCATTATTGCATTTTGCATCAACTGATTTTTCCGACATCACTCCTGCGACATTTTTCACACGATAACCACCGAGTTTTGCAACTTATGAAAATGGCTGTTTTCGGGGTGCTTGACTTCGGGGAAATTGGCCTGAAGAGACAGGATGGCAAGTAGCAGTATGTTTGAATTTGAAAATCAGAGTCAAAGTCAAACATTCACTATTGAGTTGGCTAAATTTAGCACTGGGGTGAGGTGGAGTTGTCAGATGTTTGAGGGTGTCGGAGTTTGAGACATCTTTTGATCAGATGACCCCCTGGATGCCTTAAGTGAATAATAAGAAATCTTGCTTCCCTGTTAAAGATTTATCATGTAATCTCAAAGTATATGTAAACGCATATTCCAAAGTTGATGAAAATGACACTATATAATTTCAACAGCATAATTTTGAAATATGCTTTAGAGAGGTAGTTTCCAGAATGGTCTTAGATTATGCTACGTGAAGAGCCGGGCAATTGGGGATCATTAATTTATACTTAATTCGTCATCGTTTGATTCTTTCTCTACGATTTGTTTAGATCTTGAGAAGATTCTGTAATTAGGATTACCAACAATATGCTTTAATCCTTTGTTGAAATTGATCATTAATATTATTTCCGTTATCACAATCCCTAATAAGAATAATAAAGTGATAACACCGAAAGTGATTAAGGAATTTCTACCAGGGAAATATGATCCTGGAGTTACTGAAATTGAATATGCTGAGGTATATTTTGTGTATAATCTTATCATTTTGAAAAGAACATAAGCAAGACCTCCGAAATAAATAACTAAACATAATATAGAACAGATCAATATTTCTTTGGCTATGAAATAATCACTAGCTACCAATAGTATTATCGTCAATGGTAACACAATCACGGTTAAAATGAATTCAACTTTTTGCAAATTACTACTCATGATAATAAGGAATTGGATGGTGAAACCAAGGAAGAAAAAGAACCCAAATATCAATAAACTTCTGTGAATCTGGAACACCTGATATAATCGTTTGGTCATAATATCACCACCAATGGTCTTAAAACTAAACCAATTGACATAACTATTCAAATGTCCTAAGATCAAATAAACTTGAAGAACCATAGTGACTGCAAGAACAACGATAGTGGCAATATTCATAGCTCTTGTAGCGATTTTCCAGTTTCCCGATAGTATGATACTAACAAATTCACTTATTTCCTGATATTGGATCCCAGTATATATCAACATACATGCATAAAAGAGGCATAATGTCAATAGTAGTAACATATTTTTCGATCTCAATCCTACCCAAGTAATGAAAACCTGGAAAATCGATGCAAAAATGAATAAAGCCAAGTAAATAGATATCTCTTTATACTTTACATTTGACCCAAACTTAAGTTTATGAACATTTATCACAGCATACATGTAAATTTCGAAAATCAAGATGAGAATGGCAGAAACTATGGAGATGGTGAAGAAAATTCTAGCACTCAACTTGTAATTTCTAAATTCAGTTGTGTTGGGATTTTTTGGATCATTATCATATCTTTCATGTGGAACTGAATCTAACGAATACAAATCTCTTTTATTTTCAGTTTCCATGGGTCTATTGTAATCGCTTATGATATCTTGAGATGAATTAGATTTGGCTGCTGAAGGTTCAACATCACTATCTACTCTCATAAATCGATAGAAATCATCTTGAGATTGATTCTCTGTCAGTATATGTAGCTTGGGCGGCGGTTCCATTTTTATCTTCAATTCTGGAATTGGCTTCGCTTAAATTCTCAAAATCAGTGCCTGGTTATGAGATCTCATATGACCTAAATGAGAATGATCATTCCGATGATCTCATAGAAGAATGTTTATTTATATACATTAAAAGAGACCAAGATAATCGTCAAAGTTTTCTTCGACTATTCCGCTACTCTCTTCTTCAAGATCCAACCAATCAACTACTTTTAAAGTTTGATCTTTGGCAGTGGTATCAATTATTGACGGAATTGAGGAATCTATGACAACTAATGAAATAGCATCATAACCACCCGCTCCGGGAACCACACCGCCTAAAACTCCAGGTAATGTTGTAACTTCATCAAGTAACACAGTTTGAGATTCCGGTTCAATGTCGGCTTTCGACTTTACGGTTAATTGTTTAAGGTAGAACCTCATGGATTTGATAGATTTTATAAGTTGATTAAATTCCGTGAACTTACTCTCAGTTGATGAAGCATTGGCTTTGTAGAATTCAATGGCTTCAAGGTATTGTTCACGGTTACTATTGTAATACGCATGTAATCTCTCTAAGCATTTAATGAAACTTAAATTGGCATTATTCAAATTAGTGAATAATTCAAGACCTTCTTCGGGATTACTTTTTTTCCATCCTAAAACGAGATTAACCAATTTGGGGGTTTCGGAGCCCCCTTTAATATCTCCCATGAGAATCTTGAGATGTGGAGGTAATGCACTTGAATCATGTTGGAAATCCCATGAAGCTTTAGCAGTAGCTTTGAATTTTTGAACGTCGATTAAATCGTCATTAATGAAGTCATTGATTACTTCTGGTTTGAACCTTCTATAATTAATAGACCCAAAAACAGCAGTGCAAACATCAAATCCAGAACCTATCTTTTTCTGTGCTTTACAATGGGCGATTTGACCAAGATTATGGATGAGGTTTTTCAATTTTTCAATATCTTCTTCAATGAATTGGGTTACAAGAACAGTTGTTACTACTGAAACTAAACTAGCTGATGACCCCAAACCTGTTTTAGCGACTTCAGTAATAGGACGACCATGATACAAGAATCTTTTCTGGCCATTGGTTGACTTTTTGGTGGTAGTGTTATCTTGGGTATGGAATCCGGGATCTGAAAATATAGTGATATCGATTTTTTTCCCTTCAACATCATCAAAATACTTCATGACGATTTCGACAGTGGATTGTAAGAATGGGTTCTTCTTGCCTTCAATCTCAGTCCATTTCCCTCCAGTCAATTGATATGTCCAGTCAGAATCGAATTGTGGTGATGAAATATGTATCACTGTCAGGTCATTAGCTTCCAGCTTAACAGCAGCATGTGTACGAGCAGACAAGGCTGTAACATAACTGGAGTAGATTGGATCCAAAACCAAATACCCACCAGCGATCAAAGCTTTCCCAGGAGCACTAAATACTTGACTCATTTGTAGCTATACGACTGTTAGTTCGCGAGGTGAAGATCGCGTTAAAATCTCCAGATGATTTTGAGTACAGACAAGATAGAACAGTTGAAAAAGACCAAAACGATAGGGATTATTGGTCTTGGGGATATGGGAGCACTTTATGCTCGTAGATTCTCACAAGATGGATGGAAAGTTGTGGGTTGTGATAGAGAAGAAATCTTCGAACAAACAGTTGAAAAATTCCAAAATGATAAAGTAGATATATTTAAGAATGGACATTACGTTAGTAGAGTGAGTGATTTTATCATTTATTCAGTGGAAGCCAAATTCATAGATAGAATTGTATCTATTTATGCCCCTTCCTCCAAAGTTGGTGCAATTGTTGGAGGTCAAACATCATGTAAAGAACCAGAAATTCAAGCATTTGAGAAATATTTACCCCCAGATACTGATATCATATCATTACATTCATTGCATGGACCAAGTGTCAGTACAGCAGGACAGCCATTGGTTTTAATTAAACATCGTGGTAATGATGAAAATTTCGATTTCGTGGAGAGTTTAGTATCATGTTTGAACTCTAAACATGTCTATTTATCAGCCAAAGAACACGATCAAATAACTGCTGATACTCAAGCAGTCACACATGCAGCATTTTTATCCATGGGGACAGCTTGGAAATCTGCCAATCAATATCCTTGGGAAACTCCTAAATGGTCAGGGGGTATTGAAAATGCTAAAATGAATATTTCAATGAGAATCTACCTGAATAAATGGCATGTTTATGCCGGTTTAGCCATCACAAACCCTTCGGCCCATGTCCAAATTTTGCAATATGCCAAGTCAACATCGGATTTATTCTCTTTAATGATTCAAGGTAAAAAGCAAGAGTTACAAGAAAGATTATTAACAGCTAAAAACCATATATTTAAGAATGTTAACCATAGTCAATTACTTCTAAACGATGAAATATTAGAAAAGTATTCATTGAGTAAAGAACCTCCTGGTGGGAAACAACCAAATTCACATTTATCAATTTTAGCCATAGCTGATAGTTGGTGTCAACTTGGGGTTGTTCCTTACGATCATATAATTTGTTCTACTCCATTATTTAGAATTTTCCTTGGTGTGACAGAATACTTATTTTGTACTCCAGGATTACTCGAAGAGTGTATAGAAGTTGCATGTAAAGACCCTACATTTAGGCATGAAGATTTGGAATTTGTAGTAGCAGCTAGATCGTGGTCAGATTTAGTAAGTAGTGGAAGTTTTGATTTATATCGTAAGAAATTCGAAGATATCCAACAATTCTTTGCACCAAAATTCAAAGAAGCTAATGCTGTTGGTAATGAAATGATCAAAATTATTTTAGCTAGAGTTAAAGAATATGAAAATTGATAAAATACAAAGTTATTTGATCATATTTATTTATGTATTAATGAAAGATTTCTTATAATTGCTCATCTTTTATAACGTCCATTAACCAATCTAACCCTTCAGTTAAACCTTCACCTTTAATAGCACTTGATGCAACTATACTCCAACTTCTATCTTTTAATTCTGTTAAATTCAAAGCTTGAGATACTTCAGCTGCTGTTAAAGCACCAGGTTGATCTTGTTTATTAGCAAATACCAATAATGCACTATCTAATAATTCTTCTTCTTTTAACATTAAATGTAATTCTTTGCTAGCAATATCAATTCTATCTTTATCCGTTGAATCCACCACGAATATAACAGCTGCTGTATTAGAATAATAACATCTCCAATAAGGTCTGATTGATGTTTGGCCTCCAAGATCCCATATATTTAATGTTAAATTTTTATACTTTAAAGTTTCGACATTGAATCCAATAGTTGGCTTGGTTGTAACAACTTCTCCCATTTGAAGACGATACAAGATAGTGGTCTTACCAGCACCATCTAGACCTAAGATCAAAATACGGATTTCCTTTTGAGTATAGAATAGTTTACCGAATATATTAGTAAAACTAAATGTTTGACCCATTCTTAATGACAAATAGACGATAAACCGTGGATATGAAAATTAAAATATTAAAAAAAAAGTTCTGATGGAATCAAAGTACAATTACAACAAGAAACTATGATTTATTCTATGGTTTCGATATGTGGATGTGTTGTTTAATTGTTATAATTAACTGATGAAAATTCCAATTGATCCAAGTATTTGTCAACAGTGCGAAAGTCAGCCAAATTTGGTAACTAAAGAAACTTACCACATTTTACGCAAAATGGAACCAAAAGGTATATTAAGAAATAAAGATGAAACTGAACCTTATCATTCAAATAGTGATGAATTGGACCGTAAGGAAGTTATAAGAAATACCCAACTCAATTCCCATATGAATAACGAAACTTCAAAAGGTGATAAAATTAGAGCTCAAATCAATCAAGCCAAGAGAGAACAAGGTTTAGATGTTGATGACAAACATGCAAAATGGGATGAAATAAGTTTGTATAAGAATGAACAAGAAAGAAGTGCCACCATGAAAATAGATGAACCCAAAACTCCTTATGAGGGAGGTTTTGATCCTAATGGTGAATATTACCAAGAAGATGAAATACCCAATTTCGAATTAGGTGAAGGTGCTCAAGTCAATCATGAAAATGCTCAATCTCTTGAAGGTGGAGAGGTCTTGAAGAACGAAGATGATGATGAAGAAGAAGAGGAAGAGGAAGAACCTAAGAAACCTCTCACAGCAGAAGAAAGACATCAACTTTTTGAACAAAAGAGGAAACAACATTATCATATGAAAGCTGATGCTTTACACCATAAGATTCAAATTGATGATGAAGATGACGAATAGGTTTTTTTTTTTTGATTTTTTCGATTTTTAGTTAGTTAACAGTTATGTTAAAAAAAAAAATAGGTGAATATAAAAAGAGATTATGATATCTATATTTAATTGAAATATTTCAATAATGATTTATCAAGTTTGCTAGCACCTGATAATTCACTAACAGCTTCTTCAATGGCAGCTTTAGCGGCAGATTTATCAGCAACTTTACCAGCAACTGAAGCTAATTGTAAATCATCTAATTTATCAACAATCATATCTAAATCAGCATCAATATCAGCAGATTTACCAGCATCACCGAAGTAATCAGAATCTTTACCACAACCTCTAATAGCTCTCTTTTGTTTCTTCTTAGCATTTTTAGCGGCTTCTTTAGCTTTTTTACTATTAACTTTTGAAGCAGCAGCTTCTTCAGCAGCTTTCTTAGCAGCTTCTTCTTCAGCAGCCTTTTTAGCAGCAGCTTCTTCAGCGGCTTTTCTTGATCCAGCTTCTCTTTCCCATTTCTTTTGTTCTTTTTCTTTCTTAGCAGCTTCTTTGAACATCTTAATTCTTGGATCTTCAGAGTAAGCTCTTTCGACTAAATCAATAACTCTCTTGTTATCTTCTTGTTTCAATTTCTTTCTAGCAGCAACATTCTTACGTTCAATATAACGTTTGTGATCTCTGTTAGCAGTGTCATCTGGAACATCTTCATCTTTGAATTCAAAAGTTTTCCAAGAATCAAATTTACCCCAGAATGAGTAAAATTTGTCAACTTCATCTTTTGATGATTCCAAAGTACCTAATGAAGGAACTGGCTTTTTCTTAGAAAATCTAGATTCACTTTCGAAAACTGGGGCCCAAGCTTCAAAGAAATCATATTTAGATTTTGGAGTTGGTGGTAAGACATCAGCACCTTCATCAACGGAATCGAATTGTAATCTTTTGGTGGAATCTAACATAACTTCAAAAGCTTTTTGAATGATTTTGAAGAATCCATCTTGATCTAAACCACCACTAGCTGATTTTTTATCTGGGTGATGTTTCAAGACTTGTTTACGATGAGCTCTTCTGATTTGATCTTCAGTAGCTCTCCATCTCAAGTGGGATAAACCTAAGACAGCATATAAATCAGCAGTCTTCCAATCTCTTGGATCATGAGCTAATAAATCTTCACTTTGTTCTTCATCACCTAAATCTTCATCTTCATTGGTTTCGATTTGTTGAACGTTCTTTTCAGCTTCGATTTTTTCATATTCTGACCAAGTGTGACCTCTTAAGGTTCTGGTGGCATGGGATAAGAAGAAACGACCAACTGGTTCAATTGGACGACGGATAGGAGCGGTAACTTGAGCTTTAGCAGAGGTTTCTGCTTGTCCGGCTGGTAAAACAATCATAGTTAATGTTGAAAAAATTTTATTGCGATGTCCGCACCCACTAGTAGATTTAAGAGATTACAAGATTATATTCATTTACTCTGTTTTTAAGACAGCCATATCCAAAACTTCCACGGTACCTTCACCTCGTTGTATCTTAGCATTATCACCTTGTAAAACTTGAACAATTGCTTTGTAATTGGTAGGATCAATAACACTAGTTGATTCAAATACTTTATCATTACTTGTTTCTTCTTCAACTACATCTAAAAGTGGCCTAATAAATTGTTCATATACTTGATCTTTGACTCTGAGTACCAAGATTACCTTAACTTTCATTTGGGCTCTTTGGATAGGGAATAATTGCTTTGATACCAATAATTTGATCGCTTCTAAAGCTTGAGTTTTGGTATTCTTATTAGGGTTCAAATGGAATTTCAATTCTGACAATGCTTTTTGAATCATACTTGGAGGATATCTCTTTCTTGATTTGGGATTTATACACTTGGTGGATATGATAGTCAAGAATTCATTTTGTTTTTGTCTTAAGTTTGCAACTCTTTCCTTTTCATTTAATTGAATTTCTCCTCTATCCAAGATATCACTGATTATAAGATCTTGGTTTGTTGTACCAAATGCAGTCAAAAGATCTTCATTGTTGGCGACTTGACCTTTAGAAACATTAAGGAACACTTGAGGAATTTGAAGTACTTCATCAAGATCCTTCTCAATTTTCAGTCTCCAATCTTGAACTTTGTTTTGATAACATGCAATTTCAAATCTCTTCTTTCCCTTCTTCATTCTAACCAACGATACGTTGGTTAATTTGATCTGGGTACCTGGTTGATTAATGACAGCCATTACTAAGAACTTCGCGATGGTTTAGATTTGTGAGAAGAGATAAAGAAATGAGTAATACAGCAGTATCTCTAAAGTTTGAGCCCCTATGGGATTACTGTGGTCAGTGAAATCCCAATAATGATCGGAAACAGAATTAGAAAGTGAGTTTACTATATAATGCATTATTTCTATGTAATGGTTTTTTGAAATTTAATAAACTGAATCATTTATTCATCATCTTCGTCTTCATCTTCATCACCACCTTCAAGAAATCTTGGTCTAACATCATGCCATAATTTACCTTTGTTATGGTTTTTGTACCAAGCAGTGACAGCAGTATCAAAGAAACTTTCAAAAGCAAAAGCACCTGCAAAGATAGTAGCAACAAAAAAAGAATTTCTTGGGAAAATAGCACCTAACTATAATGGGTTAGTAATTGTGGTCGGGATATAAGTATAGATGGAGGTCTGGGAAGGTCTAAAGGTCTAAAAAGAATGGATGATTGGGGAACGTTAAGTAAATTGTGTATAACTGGTTTCTGAATTTTGGGAAATTTGGATAATTGAGACAGTCTCTCATCACAGATTCGTCTCTACCCGTGTAATATCCTATCACGTTGTCTATCTTCTATTGATCTGAAAGGTATAAATAAATTTTCACATCCTCTTCATCATCATAAATCTATCAAAATTCAGTCATTTCTCTTTGGAAGAGGGGCCAATAAAAATGGCTTCCTAATAGGTTCATCTCCTTGTCCATCAAAGGCAACAATAATAACATACCATTTGTATATATAAATCAATATCTTACCAAACTTGAATAAAACTGTTGATTAAATTCGCACTTATTTCAATGAGTGGTGATTGGTTCAGATTGACTGCGAAAAGAGACAGAAAAAGTTTTTTGTGTAACATGAGAAATTCTCATTAAGATTATATAACTCTAATGTATTTATAAGGTTGTTTCGTTTAATTTTTCAGTAACTTCAGCTTCTGGGGTTTTGGATTTATCACCACCTGGGTATCTAGTACCTTTGTTTTTAGGTTTTTTATCCTTTTTAGTTTTAATTTCAGCTGCAGGGTAACCTTTAGCTTCAGCTTCTTGGAATTCTTTATTATTTTCATATTCTTCCTTTATTGGAGCTAATAATTTTATTAATTGATCGGCTAAACCAGCTTTCAAATCAACTGGTGATAATTTTTCATTTTTGAAATCATCTTTTAATTGTTCAACTGAAGTATAATTGATAGCTCCACCATATTTTTCTGGTCTATCAATGAAAAATTCGAAAACTCCTTCTTTATCAGCTTTCAATTCTTGAATTGGTTGAATAATATTTTCAATTAATGAAATAACACCATTACCTTCAATTTCACCTGGAGCACAATAAGCACTACCAACTTTCTTTCTAACATTCTTATCGGTTTCGATGATATCAATTTTAGAGTTTGGATCTGAAGCACTCATTTTTCCACCTTGGTTTAAACCTGGAACCATACCATTCATTAAATGAGCTCTCTTTTTATAACCAAGACTTGGTAAATATTCTTCAGCTAAGACGAAAATCTTTCTTTGATCAACACCACCAAATTGAACATCACATCCTAAATGTTCTTCATCTAATGCTTGCATTAAAGGATAAATCAATCCGGATAATAAAGGATTGGCAACTTGTTTAACAACATCAGCACCAGCTCTTTTAGCATCATTTTGACTGACCATATTTGATAATCTGAATAAATCCATGGTATATTGACCTCCTTTTTGATAAGATGATCCATAAACGAATTTCAATTTATCAACTGGAACATTAATGGATTTTAAAATGGATTTAACTATAAATTCATAATATTTAGCTCTATAATTAACAACTTCCAATGGAGCTTTCATGTTATCTAAATAAGCATGTAAATCAGCTACGAGAACAGTTAATTCACATCCAGCTTTTAAGAAATGAGCTAATTTAATCATTGGAACAAAGTATCCACAATGTGGTTTACCTGTTGGTGCAGTACCCCAATAGATTTTTAAAGGTCTTTCATCATCATTTAAAATTTTTTTAATGATATCACCATTTAAATGTTCTTGTAAATTCTTGGTGATCAAGTTAAATTTTTCATCAGGAGTCATGATTCGTTATATTATCAAGTTAAACTTGGAAAAATTTTCAATTTCCTTTCTTTTTGACTCACTCTCTGTGGTTTTTTTTTTCTCTTCAGATTCGCGATGTCGTGCGACATTTATCTTTTCTCTCTTTCTCTTTCTCTTTCTCATTTTCTAAAGAAGGTATCATCACGTGATGCCGATAGTTAATTCCAGAAGATTTCTCAATTTGGATCATTATAACTAATCCGTTTAGATTTAACCATAATTCGGATTAGCCAGTTTTTGATCTAAAGTATTGAATAACTCATCGGATTAGATAGTTGTTAAGTTATAAACAGAGTTTCAGTTGACAAAACTTCAACGTTAACACTAATTGAAGGTATCAACATGAATCCCCAATTACTCAGACAATTCTTAGTATCATTACCTTCAAAATTCCAATATGAAAATACAAAGTATATTGAACATAATTTATATAAAGCACTTTTCTATGCTATCACCAATGAAGGAGAATTTATTAAAGATTTGTTCCCCAACATCACTGATATAGAGATTATGGATTTGAATGATTACAACATACAAATTGAATTAGCTGATACTCCTAATTTTTATAGTGAATCCAAATCCAATGCTTATTATCATGCTAAAGGAACTTCTTGTGCAAGGTCTTTGAACAAGGGAGAACCGGTTTATAGATGTGATGATTGTGGATTTGATGCAACTTGTGTTTTATGTGTTCATTGTTTTAACGAAGATGATCATCAAGGTCATAATGTTCAAATGTATATTGCTAATGATGCTACCAATGGAATATGTGATTGTGGAGATCCAGAAGCTTTCGTGGATACTTTGAAATGTAAATGTACATTAATTGACACACCACCTAGTGATATTCCTGAAGAATTCAAACTGAGTATAAAGTCCACTATAAGAGTACTATTGGATTATGTTTTAGATGTAACGAATTTTTCCATATCTCCATTACCTTTCATTCATGAACATATCAATAAAGGTCATAGCATTTTGACATCTGAAGCATTATCTGATTACTCATCATTACCGGTTTCGAAGTATGGAATTGTTGATGAAAACCCTCTGAAATGGGTCTTGGTACTATGGAATGATGAATATCATACATACCCTGAAGCCACTGAAGCTATAGAATCAGCCGTACATGTCAGCTCATCGGAAGCAGATGGAATTGCTGTTGATATCAATGCCACTGGAAGGTATCCATTAAAAATTGGAGATTCTCCAGTTTCCTTGTACAAAGCTTGGGATGCCATCGAAGCAAGTGGTTTGGTAGCAAGTATTGTAAGTGTCAGGGATTATTTCCGTGAAGAAATGATCCATAATATCTTTGCTTGGTTTGGTGAATTATTGGCTTTCGATAATGCTCCATTCCGTGATTATTGTAGATTAGCTTTAGGTGAATTATTATTGGAACCAAACTATAAGTTTGAAAAATCTTTACCTAACACTTTGATTGAAGGCTTATCCATTGATATTGAAAGAAGATGTTTTGAAAATAGTTTACTCTATGGGGGAAAATTAGTTAAGGGAGGATTGACTCGTGTAAGATCAGGCTTCACTCCTAAAGACTTGAGTAAATCTTCACATTTAGTCTTAGAACCATCAGTCGAGGATTTTGATAATTCAAGGGTTCAATTCTTATTGGTTTTCTCCATTAGATTTAAATCCATTTTAAGGAAATTATTATGTCAAATCATCATTCCTCCAGTATTAACAGATTCGAAATTGAAATCAATTTTCTGTAGACAATACACCCAGATATATCCTCAGTTGATAACTTCCCTTGCGTTAGTCGATAGAGAAGAATTATTGAGTTGTGTGGGAGAAATTAGTACCCAATTGATGACATGCCCTACTAGTGTGAAATATATCCTAGAATCAGGTAATATAGGTAATGTGGTAGGTCCATTAGCTCAAATAATTGAGGAGCATGCAGGTAAATGGAATTACGATACAGGATATCCTAATTTTCATGAACCTTTGACTGGAAGATCAAACAGACGAATCTATGAAGCCATTACAAGATGTCTCCACGATATTAATTATATTGTTGATTCCAATCTTGCAGAAAAATCTTTACATGTATTATTACAAGATTCTAATCTTGCGTTGATATTATTATTATTAAGGAATTTCCAAGGTTATTGGACTATTGAAAGGAAATATGGTGATCATGTGGAACGAGAAATCTTGGATTTCGTTATTCATTTACGTTATTCTGTTCCTATCCTCAAACTATCCAAACAAGTGGGTGAAGCATCAACCAATAATGATTCTATGGTGCAACAAGCCTGTAAATTAATCATGGATTATCTTAATTTGAGGAAAATCAACCAAAAAGCTCCTGGAATTGCTGAATTCACTGTTAGTAGAGAACCTGTTTCTTTTGTTCATCCCATTAATTCATTATTATCATATTTAATCCAAAATCATAATTTCGAAATATTCCATGATCTATTGAAATCCTATAATGCACCATTTATGAAGATTTCTGATGTGTCTTTGAGAAGTATCGTACTTGGGAATCAAGTTAAAATTGGTTTTTGGATAAGAAATGGAATGTCAGTATCTCGTCAAGCTTCTTTATATATCAATAGTGTAATGGCAGATTCGGCTTATTGGAGAGATTTCCATTTGAATCAAATTTGCTTGTTAAAAGATGACCCAAAATCAACATTATATAATTTCCTTGATAGGTGGGAATTACTTGAATGGTTTAGTGGTGATGTTACATATTCCGAAACCATTTATGAAGAAAAATTCTCTGCTATTAGTGAAAGATTCATTTTATTTATTTATAATTTACTTGTTGATAGAACATGTTTCATTGAATCGACTAAAGAAAAAAGGATTGCAGATACAGCTAAGAAGACCATCAGTTATTCATTGAGTGAAGAGCCAAAACCTTATTCCAGTGTCAAAGATGAATTAGATGTTGAAATCAGTGGTAATGCTCAATTCGATAATTGGTTGATGGAAGTAGCCGATTACCAACCACCAACTAATTTGGTGGATTCGGGTATGTACAGATTGAAACCTCATGTTTATGGAGATTTAGATCCTTTCAGTATTCATTTAGATTCAAGTCAATCCCTGGATGTTGGTGAATCTATCGTCAAATATCTTTCTAAAATTCAAAAAATCCCTGAAAATGAAGTTAATTTGAAACCTAGGATAATCTTTTCTGACAACAATTTTGTTAATGATAATATTGGAGAATTTACCAGAACAAACTTCTTTGCCAAGTTGATCTATAAATTCTTACAAGTTGCCATTGATACAAAAGATGAAACCTTCTTGCCTCACTTACTTCAATTGATTCATGCTTTGATTCTTGATAATGAAAATGTTAGAGGTTTGAATACGATTCCTGAAGCTTTTGTTACTATACCTGTAGGAGATTTATTATTGAATATTATTGAATCTACCATGTCAAAGAATTTAGTTAATAAAGCCAATTTCTTACTCAATGCATTTATTGAAGCCGACCAAAGAGTGATTGATTCGTTGACTGATTGTTTTGGTCAAGATCATATTGATGAATTCATGAAAAGAAGAGCCAGTGTTTTCGAATCTGAATCTGAAAAGAGGAAAAGAATTGCCAGTGAACGTAATGCTAAAGTTTTAAAGAAATTTGCCAAACAACGTAAGAAATTCTTAGACAAAAACACCGATTTAAAAGTTGACGATAAATCACCAGTTGATCACCAAAAGAGAAATTGTGTCCTTTGTGGAGAATCTGAAGATAACGATGAAATCTTTGGATTGTTAGGAAGCGTAGTCAATTCATCTATTTTATGGAAAGTTACTCAAGATGATCCAATCACTTTCAAATCAGCATTTGCTAATTATGGTGATCAAATACCTTCAGGTGAAGTTTATGGTAAGGGCCATAAATATCATTCTAAACCCACCTGGTTTAACAATTTAAAATATGATGCTTTTGTAGCATCAACATGTACTCATGGTATGCATTATCAATGTTATAGAAGAGCCTGTGGAAGATCTAATCATTTTGCATGCCCCTTATGTCATACTATTCAAAATATCTTCATTCCAAGTTATTTACCTCCAAGTACCGGTGGTGGTTTAAACGTTTCACAATTAGAATATGACCCTATCAATACCAGATATAACACAATATCACATTCTAGCGGTGAATTTAAATCTAGAACTTTAATTGATTCATTATTCCATGAAAACTTAACTGAATCTTCAATGTTGCAATTAAGACGTCATCTAGATGTATTTTCTGATGATTTCAATCTTAAATTAAGGAAAAGTAATTTCCTTGATGGTGAAAGTAAACCCATAAAATATTTCAACATCCTTTCTAAATTATCAACCTTAATTGCTGATACTATTAGGATGCATGAGATTACTTCAAGACTTCAAGGTGATGAAGGATATCATAATTTCTTGAATATTCCTGGTTCAGCGAAGACTTTGATCAAAACTTTGATTCAATGCAGAGCTTTATTATTTGAATTAAGAGAAATGCCTTCATTATTAGGATCTTCAAGTAATTTGGCTGTTGAAATTGAAAACTTCTGGGAATCGAAATATTTGGTCGACAGTGTATTCAATGAAGTTATTATGTTATTCTTCCAAACAGATGAATCTTTCAAGACTTTGGTAAGACTTGGATTTACCAAAATTGTTACTATATGCTTCTATTCTTTGATTATAAGAAGTAAAGAAGGAGGATTTGATTTGCTGGATTTAATGAATAAACCATTAGAAGATACTGTTTTGGATGATTTGTACAAATTATTCGATCATGGACAACAACAGAATAATGTCAATTTTTTCATCAAAGGAGAAAGCAAATCATATTTTACTGCCATCTACTATTCGGTTGAAAAATGTGTTTTACCATTTTTAAGACAATTACTTATATTTAAAGATATCTTAACATCAACTAATGACGGTGATAATGAACATACCCTGATTGATAGATTGAAGAACTTACCTTTTGAGATAAAAAATCAAAACAGATTGGAAAGTTCTGATGCTTTATGTAAAGCTTTAAGTATCCCCACATTGAAAGAATTACTTCATGGACTTTTCCCTGGCAGTTTGGAATTTGAACATAAAATTCATGATATTGTTATTAGTGCTAAAATTCCTAAATATTTGGATTCGGGAATTTTAACCATTGATTATCCTGGAGTCATCAAGTTAATTGACTTACCTAAAGATTACATGGCATGCTTCATGGATAAGGAAAGTATTCACAAAAAAGTTTATGACAATTATATTTGTCTTCATTGTGGTGTGAAATTACCTGGTGGCAGATATTATCGTCACATGAAGAAATGTTCAAGTCATACATGTGTTTTCTTCCATCCTTCCAAAAACACTTTCAGATTGGTTACACATATTCGTAGTGGGCCTGTTAGTTTGATAACTCCAGGTCCGTACCTTACAATACATGGAGAGGTAGCAGAACCCAGAAGTAATGGGAAAGCTACTTTAAATGATGCTAGATATCATGATTTAAGCAAACAATGGTTGAATTTAGGACTTTACGGTTTTATTACTAGAAATCTTTATGGAGCAAGACAGACCAATGGAGTACCTTTAACTACTTTTGATTTCACCACTCCTGATGATCTTGGTGAAGATGCCAGTAGTGAAGAAGAAGAAGTGGATGATTATTTCTATAATCCATTCGCCTGGTGATAATACTCCTACATATGATTATATATATATATATTAAATAACGTTACTCATAAAGTGTCCCAACCTCCGGCATCTATGACACTATCTAATTTTCTAACTATTATGTTTGATACATTATGTTCAAGCCAAATGTGTTTTATAAGATTATTATACCTTGGGGTCATTAAATATAAGGTTTTACTTCTTTTACTCTCATCAGGTAATTCTCCATGTTGATCTAAATAAGGAGCTTCCATGAATGAACCTCCATTTTTATGTAATAAAAGAATGGTCTTATCTTTAGGGAGTAAGAAAATTCCAACATTATTCAGACATTCAGTTAAATAATGGGTGGTACATTCACCAAATTTCTTCCCTAGAGCACATTTTTGGGCATCCATTACTTCACCACAGAACAAACAAATTGCAGGATCTTCAATCGACATATGAGGATTATTGTACTTATCCAGGTAATAAAACTTAGTAAAGAAATAATCAAGTCTCTCGGGTAAATCAATTAACTTGATTAATCCTGGATAATCCATTTGAATAAGATCTTCATTGTCCATGAACTTTTCCGACACTTTGTAAGATTCGAAAAATTTATCAAACCTTTCTCTTTCGAAACTAGCGTCCTCACTAATGAATTTAAGTATGAAATCATACATGTTTTCAATATTCATAAGTGAACACAATCTATCGGCTTCTAAAAATAATGTGTGGAATTTGGTCCATTCAATGTTTTTGTCCTCGGCACTAGCAACAAAGGCCAATATGGCAGCTCTTCTTAAAAATGGAGTACAAGATTTGATCAACATGGAATAAAAGACAAATCCAAAATTCTGATCATTAGATATCATATCCTCATCATCGTCAGGATGTAAGATTCTCTTAACTTTTTTGAATAATAAAACAGCTGCGCTAGCTCTGTCTTCATCCACAGTAGTTATAGCTGGAACATCAAGAATAGAATATTCTTCACATTGGTAGAAATCATGGTTGATGATTTGTGTAACAAGTAATAGAACATTTTGAATGATTTGTCCCATGAAACAAGCTTTCAATAACAAATTGAACAGGAATCCAGCACTTGGTACTGGGAACATTGAAGTGAGTAATTCAAAGAAATCTTTCTGTAACACATTTTTGTAGAACAATGAATCATCATAAAATGATCTGATTCCTCCTAAGGTAGCGATGAAAGGGTTAACCCCTTCTTGAATACCCAAGTATAAGGAAGTTATTCTATATTCTTGGAGTGATCTTAAATTGATCAACACATTGTTAGAAAGTTGTTGAGTCACCAAGGTTTCATTCGATGTTTCTCCTCTTAAGGAGATTTCCGTTGCTTTGATGGTGTTAGCTATAATTTCAGCTGCATCTTTTTTGAACATATTGGGGAATGAAAATAACTTCATCAATTGTTCAATATGAGCCAAAGCTTCTCTCAAGAGTACTTGATCTCCAGAAAGAGTACCGGTGGATTGAAGCGAATGTTTAGCTTGAGGAGTAAGTCTTTCCCATTGAATCAAATCATTCTTGAATCTATTGGTGAATTCCTGAAACCATTGGTGTTTATCGGTTTCGAATTTCAGTAATGATTTGAATGACGAAAGATCTCCTTTATCGATCTCTCCTGGTGTTAATAATTCAACAAGATCTCTGTCATTGTGGGTAGACATTATAGGTACAAACATATTCCCAATAGCTTTACATAAAGGACATAAAAATTCTTTATGGTCGATATTTTCCGGGGCATTTCTAGTAATTTGATTCAGTTTATTCTTATTACTGTTCAAAAATACCATATAACATTGAAAATGCATTCCATGACCACAACTTTGTGATACTAATTTATTATCGATATGTTCAGCTTGTTTGAAACCTGGTCCAATTACATTATCTTCGTCTATCTTCTTGATATAGTTCTTCCACTTCTCAGTAAAAACATTCTCGTTCTTTTCTGATTCATCGACATCAAGATTGGCTGTATCAGAGAAGGCTTTCAAAAACCAGTATTTGTTGTCAAAAGGCACCGTCCTGAATTCGGAGGACTTAGAAACATGAGCAATGATTCCAAAAGGTCCATTATTTTGAGAAGTATTTTGACATAACATACAATGATTTTCAGGGAACCTCCATCCAGTTTTTTCAGAATCTTCCATTTCTGTATCACTCATATCAACAGAATTCATCATGTTATTCTTAAGAAACAGTGATTGCTGTTTTTTGAACTTTGCCATAAGTTTTGCTTGTTTTTCCTTAGCCACTCTTCTTTTTCTATCAGTTTCACTTTCCATGTAATCTTGGTTGCCTGAATCTTTCAAATTTTGTTCTTGAAAGCTTGGGATGAATGACATGGACGAAATAATATCGTATTTTGATCCAAAGACTGCAAATATGGCTCTGGTTTTTGAATGATGAGATTTAAAATGTTCGTTCAGTAAAACTTGATAAAGTACTTCAGCCATAGAAACATTGAAAATCTCCGATTTACTGATGAACTTATGGTAAAACGATCCATACTTTTGGATATCCAAATTGTTTTCAAATGAACAGACGTGAATCAAATGTAACAAAGTCTCCAATACTGATTCGTCTCTACAATCAGGCCCTTCTTCTAGTAACAGGATAAGGGTTCTAATGATGAAGTCAATGAAATATTGAGACGTTGAAAAATTACCAATGAATCTAAAAATTCCAAGTTCTTGGGGGTCTCTTAATTTAGGTTTTATGACTATCTCTTCTGGTTTCAATTTCTTTCGACTACACAATTTCTCCTTGACCAATTTCACTGCATCTTCTTTTGTGTTAGTAGAATAATTGAAATAATAAGGATTAATTCTGGAGAAAAACTCATCTTTCAATCTATAAGTACCCACATCTTTAGCATTGTTTGGTGGTGTGAAAATGGTCAAGTCCTCTAAAATAATATCAAATCTTTTTTCAGCTATTATATGGTCAGGTATGGTTGAACAGAGTTTGGTATAACTCATTTGACCAAAACATAAGTTATGGATGATTTCATTTTCGATTCTATTTTCGGTGATCTGTTGGTTGGATAACTTTCGAAGATGGATATCCTCACATAACAAATGGATGAAGAAGTTAATACATTCTTCAACCATAACAGGGATGTTTTTCTTCTCGTAAGGTACTTCCGTGGTAATTTGACGAGTGCTTTTTGGATAAACTCTACCATCAAATTCCAATTCTTGGAGGGTTTCACTGTTTGAAGGCATGACATAGCCATATAAAAGTAGCCATCTACTCAAAACAGTATAACAGAATAGAGACGGTGAGGCCATAATGGCAAAGATTTGTGTCATAAATATGTCCCTCATGTATCCACTTTCCCTCAAACTTGTGCTCTTATACAATTGTAATTGAGATTTGACACTAAACCCATTTCTAACCCAAAACCCAGTTTTTATCTGAGACATCAAAACGATAGTTCTAATGGAATATTCAAAGATAAAAGTTTGTGGGATATATGTTTTTAGTTGAAGCTGATTGGCATGATCGACCATGGATTGTTCGAAAATTCCCTTGATGTCCGAAACCGATGAAAAGCTGGATAATTCAATCAACCAAGAAAGTAAGGAATGAATAGGGTGAAGGAAACTTACCTTATCTTTAGATATATCAAAAAGTTGAATGGCTGTTCCATCTACAGGATCCACACTAAATTCTTTGGATTTATGAAGGTCTACATCAACTGAGGCATCTTCTAAACCTGGGTATTGTCCTTGTTCGAGTTTGAGAAGAAATTCATAAACATAAGAAACAGCCTCATTAGAAATTTTTGTAATTTGATCGTCTTTCATTTCTTGAATTCTATTGAGACATTGAGCAAGGAACTCTCCAAACTGATAAATTACCAGTATGGCATGAAAGAATGCAGTATAATCTGGACTCTCGTATTCTACATGAGCTTCACCTTCTCTTTTCAAAACTGGTCTTCCCTGGAAAAGTGCCAATATATCACAAGCCATACCAATAACTTCGGGGGATAATATGATAGCTGGATGTCTACTTCTACTCAAAATATATCCAATATCGAAAAATATTTGGCCCCATCTCCGATTTTTCAAACTTCTAAGAGAAACTTCATGACAAACTTCCAAGTCTTGAGGAGATTTGATCTGTTCTACAGTCAAAAATCCATAAATTGAAGCAAATACTCGTGACAAATCACCATGTTGAACAATACAAGTAGAATTCGAAGGACATGTAAATAATTGAGTAGATAGCGTACTCATGATATTCAATTCTGGTTCTCTATCCATGGTTAAGAACATATCAGCAACAACCGGATAAATATCCACGTATTGATAAGATATGATCTTCTTGTACTTCAAATTGGTGATAAGGGATGTGGAGTACATATCATGTAATAAAGATCTTATAGACCTCCAGAACCTAATATCCATATAAATCAAATATTGTAATCTTGAACCAAGGTGATTAGTATTCAATTCATAATCTTTAACATTCAAATTATAATCACACTCTTCACAAATGTCTTGCTGTAAGGGCCACATTGAAGGTTCAAATTTCCAATGTTGGGATTCCTTATTTTCATGTTGTTTCTTTAAAGCAGGAATCTTGGGGATCTGATTTAGTATATCCAATCTCCCGGTGTTGTAAACCAATAATTCATCAACTCCAACTGAAGTTTTCAATCCTGATTTCCATCTACTACAAAACGCAATACAGAAAAGATTCTTAGCTTGATTATAAGTCTTGAACATTTCACTTTCAGTCAAGGAATTAATCCATACCAAAATTTCATCACACATATCTTCACGGAAAACATCTCTATGACTTCTTATAGAAGTAGCCAATCCTGTAGCAGCTAAAATCTTTTGACGTTCTTGCAAATGAGCAATGTTTTTAGAACTAACAACTCTACCTTTACCATAGGATTGAACCCTATCGGTCACCATGATGGCGAAATCTTGAACCCTTTTACTAGCTAATCGTATTCTTTGTATAGCATCTCTATAGTGTCTTATTTGATCGTTATACACCATTAAGAAATAATCAGGACTATTGATATCTTCAATAGCTTCACTTTCTTGATACCCATAGGCAAGGGAATCCAATCCTGAAGCCATAGAATAATATTCAATGAATCTTTGATCCATTGATTCGTGAGGCAAATACTGTAAATCAGATCGAGACATGATATCAATAACAAAGTCCAACAATACCCCTATGGTAGCTGAAAAGGACTCTACTAATTCTTCAGGCAAATCAGAATTTCGAATTTCTGTACTATCGCCATCCTTGGAAGCATAAGGACAATGAAATTCATTAACCCAAGCTTCTGGATCCCCACAATCACAAACTCCTCCATTTTCTCTTAAACATATAGTTATATGTACTTTATGACCTTGATGAAACTCAGGTTGATAACAATGTGAACAAAGAGCACAAGTATCATCATATCCACAAGTCAAACATCTGTAGATTGGTTCACCTTTTCTGAATATACGAGAACACGGCAGACTTGAATGGAAGGCATGATGATTATGAGTATTATACTTTGGATCTCTCCCATGCAGATTTAGTTTATAGTAATTTGAAAATTTCCATTCAAACTCTTCATCTAACTGTTTGAATTTGTTATTCAAATCCTTTTCTGAAGTTTTGTCATCATAAATGTTAGGGAAAAGCCAATGTAAATACTTTCCTCTATTAGATATTGCCATGAATAATTCTCTTCTGATTGATTTCCTAACATCATTATTGAAACAGAAATCATGTTCTGCCGGTAAGGCAAAAAGATACCTCTTCAATGAATCGATATTGGATAATGTCATTAATCAGATAGAGATCTGTAAACTTTTACTATCACCACAGGTGCGACTTTTCAAGGTATATTTTCAAGGTATATTTTCATTGATTGTAACAAAACTTAAGGGTATCTTTGACACAATGAGTGATAAATCTATCAAGTTCTACGGTCCCAATGTGGAATCTAATAAGAAAAACTTGCAATATATTCATGATGTGATGTGTTTATCGTTAGGAGTCGGCGCAGGAGTACTTTCATTAGAATCATTATATGGATTCTTATTTTATATAGTGGGTATGACCTTGACCAATGTAGGTTTCATAATAGTGTGTTGTGAAGGCAAGCCAAAGGAATTCTATCGAAATCCTTTACAACAGATATTTTTAGATGGTTTACAAGGAAATATAGCCGGATTTGTCATGATGTGGTGTTTGGTTTACGCTTTAGTTAAATAGAGAGCTTTCTATCGGCTTGATTACGACCATCAGTGGTGTGTTATTCTCGAAGTCCATTCATACGGCTAATCATATGGTCAAGAGATTCAAGATCAGAATACTCGATACAACCCATACAATATCTCATACTTAATGCATGTAATGTCAACATTTTTCCCCTTTCTACTCTCCGAAAATTGTAAATCCATTCATTCACCTCCAATCCACACAATTGTCACTCTTTACAGGTCAATTGGTTGTAATCGTCACTTTCCAAATATTATCCATAACTTCCAACCGTTATCAGACAAATTCTCAGTGTTCACGCTTTTGCTGAGATTTTCAGGAATCAACGATCCAAATAAATTCCAAATTCTTTTTGAATATTTCAAATTCATAGTTAAAAGTCAATTATGGAGAAAATCGATTTATCCACCAATGCAAGAAGCATTGAAGATGCTTATTTAAGAGTTGTTAGAAATCAAGACATTAATTATGTTGTTTATACTGTTAGTAAAAGTTCCGTCGTAGATGTTGAAGCTACAGGATCAGGAGATTTAAATGATTTTGTTGAACATTTCTCTGACGGACACGTTCAATTCGGTTTAGCAAGAGTTTCAGCTCCAGGATCTGATGTTTTCAAAAATTTATTATTAGGTTGGTGTCCTGATAATGCTCCTGCTAAAGCCAGATTATCTTTTGCTAGTAATTTTGCTGATATTTCCAATATCTTGAAAGGGTTCCATGTTCAGATCACTGCTAGAGATCAAGATGATTTGGATGTGGATGAATTCTTATCCAGAGTTAGTGCAGCTTCAGGTGCTAGATATTCAATTCAAAGTACAACTGGTTCAGCTAAGCCAACAACTGCTAAACCAACAAGGGTTATTCCACCTCCACAAAAAATCGAAAAGCCAATTGAACCAAAACCAATCGTCCCCAAACCGGCTGCTAAACCAAGCGTTTCTTCAAAGCCAAGTTTCATCCCTAAATCAACTGGTAATCCAATCAATGTTTCAAATGATTCGCCTATCATTAAACCTAAACCTCCAGTAACTTCCAAGCCAGTAGTCAAATCTGAAAATGAAGATGAATGGGGTGGAGAACAAGAAATAGAAGAAAGAGATTTTGACAAGAAACCATTGGAAGATATTCCTTCTGCTTACAAACCAACTAAAGTTAATATCGACGAATTAAGAAAAGGTAAGTCAGACACCATTTCTTCTCAACCTAAACCAAATAAACTCAATGAAGAAAAGAAAGAAGAAGAAGCACCAAAATCATTATCTGATAGAATGTCTGCTTATAAAAGCAACGAAGCACCATCTGATGGTAGATTAACTTCATTACCAAAACCAAAAGTCAATAATTCTGTAGCTTCCAGATACGCTGGTGGAAGTTCTGGTCCATCCTTTGGTTCAAAACCTTCTTTCATCAAACCTGTTGAAAATAAAACTGATAAGTTGGTTACTGACAATAGAGATTTTGCTTCTGAAAATGGAAAGACTCCAGCTCAAATCTGGGCTGAAAAGAGAGGTAAATATAAAACTGTTCCTCAAAGTGATGAATCACTTTCAACTCCAGAACCTGTTTCAGAAAACGAATTAGCCGAAAAGTTCAGCAAAGTGGCGGTTGAACCTAAAGAGGAACCTGAACCTGAAGTGGAAGAAGAAGTAGAAGAAGAAGAAGTTCAAACTCCAGAAATCAAATCTGAACCAACTATAATAAAACCTTCAGCTTTCCCACCTCCTCCAGCTAGAAACTTACCTCCAAAAGAAGAACCTGTCGAAGAACCTGAACCTGAAGTTGAAGAAGAGGTTGAAGAAACCGAACCTGAAGTTGTTTCATCTACCCCTGTACCTTCATTACCTGCTCGTTCCCAACCAACTCCTCCTGTGACCAAGAAAAACACTGCCGTAGCCGAATACACTTATGAAAAGGATGAAGATAATGAGATTGGATTCGAAGAAGGTGATTTAATTATTGAAATTGAATTTGTTGATGAAGACTGGTGGTCAGGTAAACATTCTAAATCTGGCGAAGTTGGATTATTCCCCTCTTCCTACGTGAGCTTAAAAGAAGAATCTGAAGACAAGGAATCTGACATCCCTGCTCCAGCTTTACCTTCGAGATCTGAACCTGAACCTGAACCTGAACCAGTTAAGTCAGATAAACCTTCAGCAACTGCTGAATATGATTACGAAAAAGATGAAGAAAACGAAATTGGCTTCAACGAAGGTGATGTTATCGTCGAAATTGAATTTGTCGATGATGATTGGTGGTCAGGTAAACATTCAACTTCAGGAGAAACTGGTTTGTTCCCTGCCAATTATGTTAAATTAAACAATTAAAGATGTTTCTATATTTCTATAAAAAAGTTTTTTAAATAAATAAATCATTAGATGTTTCAAGTACTTAAATATTGTTTAACAGCTTCGCCCCAAGCAGCTCTTCTCTTATAATGAGCAACTTCAGCGGGTAATAAATCAATAGCTCTGATTAATTCTTCTCCTAAACCTTCAGCTTTAATTTGACTCATTGGAGTTAAATAAGTTCTGACACTCATAAAATTAGCTCTCAGTTTTGGCATTCTAGAAACAACTTGTCTTTCACATCTTAAAAAACAAGCATTGTCGAAATCCATATCTTCCATTTTCAAAGCTTCAACCTTTTCATCTCCATAAGCATGACTGTTTTCAAGAGCGAAATGGTTAGCGTGAGCTTGAATTGACCAATTATGTCTAACCCATAAATCTTGCGGGGTCAATCTGTTGAAGAATCTAGCCATTGAAAGTTGTAACCTTTCTTTATATTGAGGAACTGGACCATGAATAACTGAAATTGGTTGATTGTGATTAACAGAAGGATCGAATCCAGCAGGGAAACCAGTAATAGTAGCCCTTAAGACATATTCTTCATCGTGATTATCTGGATCATCTTTAACAAAAATAACAACATCCTCTTCCATGTTTCTGGATAAGGTCAATAATAATTCCTTAGGATCTTTGTTTTTCAGATTAAGTGGTAAATATTCTTCAGTAAGTTTGTTATAAATCTGATTGTCTTTCTTGATAAAGTATTGAGGATATCTTTGAGTCATAAAAGTAATAACAGTATCATAATATTCTTTAGCGGCCAATTGAGCTCTTGGTGTTGAATCAACAGAGATGGTCTTTTCGATATTTTCGGAAATAAGCTTTGATTTCTTTGCAACGATATCTTTATAAGTGTTTTCAATCAATAACCATTCTTCAGGGGTTTTGAATAAATTTTGAATTGCCATATTGGTATTGAAATTTTTTCTACCAACAAATGGCCTGATTACCTTTGGTTTACATTTATCCCATTCAAAATCATCACCAATTGGGTTTACCTTTCCAACAAGTGGTGTAGGTGTAGATTTGAAACTTAAAAAGTATCTGACAGCAAAAAAGATGATTACTGGTAAAAGTAATAAAGGATATTTATTTAAATCAATCATAACTAATAAAAAATTTCATAAACTAGGATCCACCCACAAACTTATGAGAAACTTATGGGGTGATGGAATGAGAAACCCGTTATCTCTTAAAAAAGATAACAGAGCGGAAAAAATTTCCGCAGCATTTTGACATCCCAAATTTTGCAGCCGCTATAATTAGAATATCAAGTCTTTCATACTTAATGATGATTCACTGGATAATTCTATTCTTTCAATACCGGGATAGTTACGCAACAAGCAATGGATAGGGAAAACTTTCTCCCCTTGCAAATCAAAATCATCAATAACTATACCTCTTATACACCCCACCATGAAATTTATCTTCTTCAAAACATCATTTACTATAGTGACTAAAAAGTTGAAACTGTCTTCAAAATGCATATCTTCAGCAACGAAAATTGAAGAGTCAAAATAAAAATAACAATTGTTCAATTTGTTATAGTTGTTCAATCTATTTTGATATTTATAGACATCAAAGTTCAAGTACTCTAACTTATGCAACATCTCATAGTGCGCTTTAGACTTCTCACTTATATATCTTTGATAATAATCTAATGTATCGGAAATTACCCCCTGTATGAAACTTAAACCATTGAAAAACATGAAAAATATCTTACCATTAAACTCTACATCTATTCTCTTATCTTTTCTAAAATCATCTAAATATTGTATTAATTGACCAAAACTTGAAAAATATGATACTCTATAGTTATCATGAATTGGCTTGTCTAATTGATTATTCATATCTTCTAATTTATTTTCCACTTGCTGAATTGAGCCATTTGTCAACACGAGCACGTCATATTCAGAGCTTGGTATACATGTATATTTCTGGATCATTTTTCTTATCCTAACAATTTTATTGGCTTTTGATAAACTATTTATATCGATATCTTTGGTCAATTTCAAGTGTGGGGACAAGGTTACAATTCCTTGGATTATACTTAAATACCCCAGAGTTCGCCATTCTTTCTCCTTTACATACTTACCAATTCAAGTGAAATTGCTCGAAAAGTCTGGGGTTAAACTTTCGGCCCTTTTTCGTGGTTGCAAGTCCGAGAGTAACTTTTTTATTATTTCCCAAATTTGACTTCCCGCATAGTAAAAATCGCTTTGAATTTCCGATTCGAAAACGTTTTGTGGAGACGAAATATATAGGCCCATTGATCCATATAATCCAGTTGGAGATGTTGGGTATAATTCCGGAAGAATCAGGAATGAGAGATGAGATCATTGTTGAATTCAGAGAAGAGGCAAAGACCAACACATCTATAAGTATGATATTGATGTACCCTAAAAATAACCTTAAAAAGACCCTGGAATTATGAAATGAAATATATGAAAGGAGTGGGATTGAGTTCAGGAGCAATCTCAGAATGCCTAAATTTTAGTTTTCTCCCGAGTCGGGAAGGTCAGCTTCGCTGATTTCATTCACTGTCTGGAAATGTTCGGAATATTCATCCTCTCCTGAAGATTGTTCGTGGGGTAGTTCATCCTCTGAAATCAAATTCTGGTCATTTACAGTGGTGCTGGAACTTCCTTCTTGGGTAGCTTGTTGTGAATTTGTGGTATCAAGTTGTTCTGAATTTATTGCTTCAAATTCTTCTGAATTTATAGCTACTATTTCTTCTTGGTTATCCTCCTCATCTGAATATGATGGAGGTTTAATTGGAGGCATCAAACTATTCAAAGTGATTCTTTCATCTGTTGAATTAACATCACTATAAGTTTTGAAACTGAATTTGTCATTTGTATTGTAATCATACTCGTCATCGGATTGAGTTTGCCAAAAATCAGGAGGGAAATCGTTTTCACGTTCGCTCAATTCATTTTCATCGATTTCTGACCTTTCCAATAAAATGTCACCATTGAATTTATTATAAGCAGGTGGAGCAGGGCCTGAACCTTCCAAAGGAGCAAATCCCCATTTCTTCACTTGACCTTCAATAAAATTAAATCCCATTTGACCAACATTGACGTGGACCGAACATAAGTTATTAGCTCCAACAATTGGGAATATTTGACCATTACTTGGGATTTTAAAATTCTTAATATGACCTCCAATTTTAGATTCACTCAATTTTTTACCATTTCTGGTGAAAAATATCGTACCAGATCTAGTTCTATAGCCTACTCCTATCACATCACCTTCGATGAATTTGGGGAAAGGAGCATCGGTTGTGAACTCAAAAGGTTGATTATGCCTTCTGTAACCATCACTATCATAACTAACGGAATGAGCATGTCTACCAGGTAATCTGAACCATGGATAAGGTTTAATACCGATACCGATACTAATTTTAGTATTTTCAGGATCAGGTAAACTATAAATTTTACTTTCAAAATAGTAGACTTCATTCTTCTGAGGGATAGGTAAGTTGGTCTGTGTTGAGCATTCAAATTTTTTGAAGAAATTCAATTCATATTTATTCAAAATTAACAAATCATTAGATGTCAACATTGAATCCCTTACAAATTCCCAAGCATTAACACCTTTCTCTTGGATTAATAAATTCTGGGATAATGTCAAATCATTCCTATAATAAGGATTTGATGATAAATAATCTTTTGATTGGAAATATAACTCTTGTTCTTCAGAATCTAATTCTAAATAAACTTGATTTTCTTCTTGTCTATTGAGTTCATCTTCTGATAATGCTAATTTTCTTTTCACATAATACATGATTAATGTTATAATGGAGAAAATGAAAGTAACTCCAAAGAAGGACCCAAAGACTATGAAAAACGTAATCACATTTAATGACATTGAATCATCATCGGGAGATGGACGTTCTAAATTCCCATCTTTGATGTTATTATTGAACTCATTAATACTTTTGTAAATGTTTTGTCTTTTTATTAGTGGAGCACCTTCTATTCCATGGAAAAGGGATCCTAAGATTAATCCTTTAAACATTATGCTCAGTGGCTAGAATTTGAAAAGCTTACTCTATGACTGAATCTAACGAAACTTTATAAATGAAAGTACCAATATTATTGACTGTTTTATTATTCTATGGATGTCAAAATATGCTTTTAATTATTAACTAAAACGTTTGGGAATTTAGACGAAGTTGAATAAGATGCTTATCAAAGATGATTCAAATTCCTTCTAAAAATGACAAGTTAATGAGCATGTCGTGTGCGAACAGAATTATATGAGATTTTATTTTAGCAGCCAATTTTCTAGAGGAAGTTCAAATGAAGGTGATGTAAAAAATAAAATCACCCGAGTGATCCAACCAAGAGTTTCAATTAGACGAACTCTTGGAATGATAATGACTTTTTGCCTTTAGGTTATAGTTAATATGATTATCTTTATTGTTAAGCAAATACTCCCAAGGTTTGATTTAGACGGTAGTTAACTTGAAGGTTTTCACAAAGGTAATTTCAATTGTAAATGAATGATGAAGTAGTTATAATAACCATCAAACTATCAACCTTGACCTTTAAAGGTAATTACCACCAGCTGAAACTTCAAATTCTTTCTTGAATCTATAAATTTAGCTGGTGAGAAGTCTCAAAATAATCAGCCAGCCACCAAAATTCACTTCGTGAAAAATTATTTTGTGGGACTAAGGCAAAATTCTACATGTATTCTTTCGAATATATGCGGCTTCATAATGGCTGGATCAAAGCTTCTTTCCATTTTAGGCATTTCTGATTCGATTCAAGATAATTTTTCATGATTTGAGTTTATCGTGTTCTATATTTGGAATTTCGGTTGCCAATCTGATGTTCTGATTCCTTGATGTGCATAAGATTTTGTAGTAAAGTTAATGCCTTGAACATATCATGATGATCTGATGTGAAATTATAAATTGACCTTAATTCCCGTTATTGAAAATTATTATCAGAATCATTCTAGCTTTAACTTTATTCTGCTACTTACATTAATTCCTACCCCATGAGATTATTAAATAATTTATTATTAGCTGCTGCTATAGTAAAGACTGTTGTTGGTAATTGTAATCCTTTATCAGCATCCAACTGTGATCCAGATCCAGCTTTAGCTACTTCTTTTATTGAAGATTTTAAAGAAGAATCAAAATATTTTGATGTTTTACAATCTAAAGGTTTATCTTATGAAGATGATGGTTTGAAATTAAGTTTGAAAGATAGATTTGATAACCCTTCAATTAGATCAAACTTCTATATCATGTTCGGAAAAGTTGAAGTTGTTTTAAAAGCCGCCTCAGGTCAAGGTATTGTTAGTTCATTCTATTTACAGAGTGATGATTTAGATGAAATTGATATCGAATTATTTGGTGGTGATGATACTCAATTCCAATCAAACTACTTTTCAAAAGGTGATACCACAACTTACACTAGAGGTGGTTATCATAATACTCCAGGGTCACCTATCGATAATTACTTAACTTATACAATTGATTGGTCAAAGGATTCTTTGAGTTGGGCCGTTAATGGTGATGTTGTTAGAACATTATATCCTAATGATCCTCAAGGTTATCCTCAAACACCAATGCAAATCTTTGCTGGTATCTGGGCTGGTGGTGATTCATCCAATCCTGCTGGTACTATCGAATGGGCCGGAGGTGCTACTACTTATGGTCCAACCTATTCCATGTACATTAAATCTTTAGTGGTTACTGATTATTCTACTGGTTCAAAATATGAATATTCTGATAAATCAGGCTCTTGGGAATCCATTGATTCGATTGATGGTCAAATTAATGGAAGACAACAACAAGCCGACAAAGATTTTAGTGCATTGACCTCAGGTAATGAAATCAGTGAAGTTACTGTTTCCGGAAGTACTTCAAGCTCAAGTTCTTCAAGTTCTTCAAGTTCCGCTTCAAGCTCAAGCTCATCCTCAAGCACTTCAAGTACTTCACCTTCAAGTACTTCAACTTCAACTTCAACTTCAAGCTCCTCCAGTTCATCCTCAGCCAAAGCTTCTACAAGTTCATCAGCAAAACCTACCACCTCATCCTCATCTACCTCAAGCCCAACTACCTCACAAAAAGTTACATCAACAACTTCCACTGAAATCGTTGAAACTACCACTGCTGAAACTTCAAATACTCAAGCTGCTGCAGGTCCGATCACTGTTATTGGCTCAAGCACTGTTTGGTGGACTCCAACTCAAACTGTATGGTGGACTCCTTCCCAAACTGGTTTAGCTCAAACTGGAGCTACCCAAGCCACCAACGCTGATACTCAAGAAACCGCTGCAGCTACCAATGCCCAAACACAAGGTGTTCCAACAACTATTAGGACTTCTGTTTCAAGTACTTCCTCCAATGTTGGTGCTTCAACTAGTGCTCCTGGAGTGAGTGGTTCTCTCGATAGTGAAAACTCCGGTTCAAGATTCTATCCTGCATTCTTGATTGTTCTTCCAGCCATTGCATTTTTAATTTAATCTTACTTCATCTGCATTTTAAAAGTTTCAGTTCATTTCATTTCGTTTCCATTTTGCATAGTACTAAGGGTTTGGTCTATAATTATAATTATAATAATAAATATTTGCATTTTTAATTTAACAAGAACTCTTCATCGCTTTTCTGGCTATAGTCTCTCTAACATCAACTTCAATAGACATTTAAATGAATGAAAGCTACTTGTTCAAAGATAGATTGAGTTGGCTGCAAAAAAAGAAAATAACGACCTCGGAGAGGATTGAACTCTCGATCTTGTGATTAACAGTCACACGCCTTAACCAGCTTGGCCACGAAGTCTTAACACAGGAAATTTAACCCAAAGGGCATAAATCGTCGCATTTTGGTTCGGGCACTACGTTATGATTTTGCTGTCTATCATTATCAGTAAGAGACATTACCTATCAGAGAGACATATATTGTATTGAATATATATCTCTGGTGTAAAATTAAAATACTCGAGGTCTGTCTCGTCCCACTTCGTGACTATATAAGGTAACTGTACCAGCAAGACTAATCCGAGATATACTTATTGGCCTCCCCAACGATTTTTTTGGTTTTAACTATCTCACCACTTTAAAAATGCGACATTCGAATAAGTCCTCTGGAGATTAACGGCTATGGCTCTATTTAAATCTTCGTGAGAAAGTTAACTCCTAAATCTTTCAGGGGCAATCAACTTCAGCAATGAAAGGATTAGAAGAAAAGAAGCCTGTTAAGAAGGTTCAATCTAAGTACAAACCTTTATTCCGTTTACTCATAGTTTCCTATTTTGTATTACATGCTTACTTTGTGACTTATCCTAACTATTTAAATAGTAAAGCTTCAATTGATTATAAAGAAATTTTCTTAAATGCTTTGGATACCAATTTGGCCGGTAATTGGTCAAAAACTTATACCTCAGTTCCTCATTTGGCTGGTACTGGTAAGTCTTTAGTCAACTTCACTAGAGACAAGTTTGAAGAATATGGATTGAAAGCTACTGTTGATGATTATGAAATCTTAGTCAGTTATCCAAAAGATCACGATTTAAACTTAATTGATTCTACCACTGGAGAAATCTTGTATAAGGCACCTTTGAAAGAAGATGTTCTTGAAGATGATCCAACTACTCAAGGTAATGATACCATCCCAACCTTTTTGGGTTATGCTGCTAATGGTAACGTTACTGCTGAATATGTTTATGCTAATTACGGTACTAAAGATGATTTCGAAACTTTAAAAGAATTGGGAATCGATGTTACTGGTAAAATTGCTGTTGTCAGATACGGTGGCATTTTCAGAGGTTTGAAAGTCAAGTTTGCTCAAGACAATGGAGCTATTGGTGTTTTGATTTACTCTGACCCTGGTGATGATGGAGAAATCACTACCAAGAATGGATATGAACAATATCCAAAAGGTCCTGCTAGACAAGAAAGTTCTGTTCAAAGAGGAAGTGTTCAATTTTTAGGTGGAGTTGGAGCATATCCAGGTGATCCTACTACTCCTGGTTATGCTTCAAAACCAGGTTGTGAACGTCAAGACCCACATAAAGCTATTGGTAAAATTCCAGTGTTACCAATTTCCTATCGTGAAGTTACTCCAATTTTAAAGAAATTGAATGGTCATGGAGTTAAATTATCTGATAAAAAATGGATTGGTGATTTAGATGGTTTTGATTATTACACCGGTCCAAATAAAAAAGCTGAATTGAATTTATACAACAATCAAGATTTCAACATTTCAACTTTATCAAACGTTTATGGTGAAATCGAGGGTGAAAAAGCCGACGAAGTTGTCATTATCGGAAACCACCGTGATGCATGGATTAAAGGAGGTGCTGGTGATCCTAACTCAGGCTCCGCCAGTATGATGGAAATTGCCAGAGGTTTAGGTGAATTAATTAAAGCCGGTTATAAATTTAAAAGAACTATCATTTTGATGAGTTGGGATGGTGAAGAATATGGTTTATTAGGATCAACTGAATTTGGTGAATATGCTTCCAAGATCTTACAGAAAAAAGTTGTTGCTTACTTGAATCTTGATGTTTCAGTTTCTGGTACTAATTTGAATTTAGAAGGTTGTAAATCTATTTATGGTTTGATCAAGAAGGTTGCTGCCACCTTACCTTACCCAGTTGAAGGAGTTGGTTCTTTATTAGATCACTACTTATCTGTACACGGTGACAAAATCACTGCTTTAGGTTCAGGTTCCGATTACACTGTCTTCTTAGAACATTTAGGTATCCCTTCAATTGACATGGGTTTCGGAGGTGGTAAGACCGCCCCAATCTATCACTACCATTCTAATTATGATTCTTACCATTGGATGGAAAAATATGGTGATAAAGGGTTCGTTTATCATAGTTTGATGGCCAAATTCTTAGGTCTTATTGCTTTGGAATTAACCGATCAAGAGGTTATTCCATTCAGCATCAAAGATTATGTCGATGAATTAACCAGATATTTTGAAATTGTTAAAGAAAAAATTCCAAAAGATTGGGAATCTAAAGCAATTGAAAACGAAGCTACATGGAATGAATTATTAATTACCCCAGTTGAAGAAATGAAGTACCTCGATGAATCAACCAATGGATGGTATCAAGAAAAATACATCCCATTCCCTGAATTAGTTGGTAAATCTGATTGTATGCACCATAAGAACCATTTGATGTTTGATATCAAGAAACATAAAAACTTGACCTTGAGTGATATCGTTCAAATCACCATTGATGATTTAGCTCAATTAGGTAATTCTTCAGCTATTTTTGATGGAGAAAGTGCTTCTCTTCAAACTCAATATGATCATAGAGATTCATTATTCTTCTGGCAAAAACTCAAGTTGCATTATAAAATTCTCAAACATAATAAATTGATGCAATATTTTGAAAGAAATTTCATCTATGAAAAAGGTTTATATGAAAGAGAATGGTTCAAACATATTATTTTTGCCAGTGGTAGATTCACTGGTTATGCTGGTCAAGTCTATCCTATGTTACAAGAAGCCATTGAAGATGGTGATTTCGATAGATTGGTCAAAAGTTTAGGTATTGTTTCCAGAACTTTTAGAAGAGTCTCTGATCAATTAGTTATTTAACTTAATTATATCAAATAGACGATTTTTCAAACTCTGATTTTTTTTATTTCCTATTTATTTGTCTTATAAATAAATTTTGCAACTTTCACAAAATTTTATGATAAAAAAAAGAATTCTTTCGAAATGTCTAAAAAAAATTAACAAGGCAATAAGATAGGAAATATCATTGGATATGATTTTTCAATAGTACAGATTGTTCTACATCATTGTCATCGTTCTTAAATTTGGCTTTGGCCTCATAGTTTTGACGAGGATGAATAATCCCATAGCGATTCCTACTAAAGCAGTGATACTAAGAAAATGGAAGGCAACAACATCAAAAATGTCTTTTTCTCTGAGTAGGGTGGTATTAGAACGATTTTCGATACTTCTTTTCAACTTTCTGTTAATCTTGGATAATGAATATTTCTCTTTTTCATTGGTGGGATTCAAAACTTGAGTAGGCAACATCACAGGGGGGTAGTATTCTAGCCATAGAGGTTGTTTTTTACTTCCATCGAAGCCAAACAATTGCAACTTATGCTTTCCATTATAACCATCCCATTCAATAACGAATTTGGTGATTTTTTCAATCTCGTTGCATCTCATATAAATGCTTTCATCAACTTTACAGGGATCACTGAAAAGTTTCCTACCATCTGACGGATAAGGATTTAAGGTCAATGACCCATCTTTGTTCATAGTGTATTTCCCATGTTGCCATAATATGGATGCTGTGGGACATTCAGGTTGTATTGGATTCGAGGATACCTGGTAAATTGCTTGTTCCCAATTTCCATTATCATCAAAGGAGTAGCTGATACCTGGCAAGCTTGGCTCGAAAATGAGTTCATCAATGGGATCATATATTCTGGGTCCGGTGATAACGGTTTTTGACTTGCTCATCCATGTTCCTTGAAGTCCAATACATTCAATAAAATGAAATTGAATTAATATAAGCACCCATGCAGTAAGATTCATTGTGATATGCTCCAAGGAATAGATTTACACGTTTAACATGGTATTTATATGATAAAACTTTCACTTAGAGAATTGTCTAGAATTGACAATTATATGTAGGTTGATGCCATATGGGGAAGGAATAAAATTTTAGGTTACAAAATTCAAGGATTGAAGATAACGAAAATGAAATATGAAATTTAACCAACTATAAACCAAAGGTATCAAAAATGATAATTTTATGGAGTTCTATAAAAGGAACTCAGGGGATTTTTTCTTATAAAAAATCTAAAATTTACAATCAAGAGAGTATTTTAATGATCTGTTTTCATCGTAAACACCCCAGTACTTTTCAACATCTGATGTACCAGAAGTGTCAGGTTTCCAACTTTCATCGAAAGCTTCGAAGATGGCAACATTGACACCCCAAGCTCTCATAGCACAAACAGCATCTTGGAAGAAATTTTTAGCATTTTCGACACTTGGTTCAGAAGCTTCGAAAGCAGTACCTTCAGTTGGCCATCCAGTTTCACCAACAAAGAAATCAATATCAGTTGAACCTTTAGTGGTTTGAATGACTTGTAAAGCTTGCATAATATCATCGAAGAATGAGTAAGAAGCATTTTTGTTGGTTTGTCCTTGCCAGTATGAGAAAGCGTTGGCATAAACAAAATCAGCAGCTTTGATAGCTGGTTGAGAAGCACCGTCAACAATGACGTTCCAAGAATCAACGGTACCAACTTGATGATCACTATAAGAGTCACCGTTTTTATCTTTAATATCTTGTAATAAGTCTTTGATTTCGGAAATTTTAGAAGCTAATTCTTGAGCGGTTAAATCTTCTCTGTATAAAGCTTCAGAACCAACAGTGAAAACTTTGATGGTATCTTTTGAAATTTTTGGTAAATAATCTTGTAATGCTTGTTTTTCGTCAGCGAAATGGCTATCGTCATTTGGCCAAATACCAGCAATAATTTGAAATCCGGCTTCATCAGCTGCTGGACCTAAGATTTGTAAAGTGTTACAATCTGAGACGGCATAGGTCTTGATAAGTTTTGAGTAACCTGATAATAATTTAAAATCTGAAGCGTATTCTTCAGCAGATTTACAGTTACCTTGGTTATCCTTGACACCTAAGTTGAACCCAAACTAAAATTGTTAGTATATATGATCCACGATGGAGAAGAGAACAGTTATCTATCCTTTGAATATATTTCAAGTTCGTGAAGAACCAAGATCGAAAAAATATTCCAATCCTTAAATCTCAATATGGGCAATATTGAAGTGGCCAAATTTAGATTGAAAGTTGGTAAAACTCCTCTGAAACTTCATATATACATACGTCACCCATAGCACTAGCTGATGCTAAAACACTTGAAATGATTGTAAGATATTTAAATTGCATTTTTAACGAATGTAACTAAATCTATCGAAGTTGAAAGGTTTGTGTGTTTGAAAATTTTTCCTCAGGTTTTGTAAACATTAATTTTACCAAAAATAGCACACATTCTAGATTCGAAAATGTCGCGTTTTTACGGGGGAATTTTTGTCGGATCTGAGACATATGTCAAAACAGGGGTAAGTAAAGATTATTGGTATAGAGATATCTATATTCTAAGGATTATACAATTTTGTTAATGCAATCATCACTGCATCTTCGATTCTGATGTTAGTTGGAATAGACAATGTTTTATCAAATAACTGTTTGAAATCTGGGAGGTCTAAAGATTTGTCTTGGTTGAAACTGAATTCGAGATCTTTAGGATTTCCAAATACCAACAATACCTTGTTATTTTCCTTTGTAAATGTTGGTAATTCACTACTGAACTCCCCATTATTACTGAAATAGTTATCACAATCTATGTAAACCGAAGATGTGTAACCTTCAGGGATAGCACTTTTAGTGAATAATTCATTGAAAGTTTTGACAATTCTGGTGAAATAACCGAATGACGATTTACTTCCAACAGTACCATAAGCAGTTAAAGGACTGACGATTTTCTTATTTATTAAATCAACTGTTACTCTGACATTAACAGGAACTTCGATTGATAACTCGAACGGTTTGGATTCTCCGATGTTAACATATTTGGTGACTTTCAATTTATTCTTCTTCTTCTTCCCTGGTGATTTTTTAGCAATGGTGATACCTTCTTTGAAATTTTTTGACACTTCGTTATTATTCATGAATGGTAAAGTGGATATTTTAGGAAATTTATCAGCATATGTGAATTTTTTGATGATTTCTGGTTTAAAAACCGGCTTTGTAAGATATGGAGGTGTTATGAAATATTGTAATAAGTTTGCAAATAATTCACTGTTATTTTCATTTTTGTCAGATCTTTCTTTACTTATAATGTCATTCAATTCTTCTTCTTGAACTACTTCATTAAACTTTATTTTTTTATCCAATTTAACAGCAGGAGTTGATTGTTTTTCTATTATGTTATTTCTATCTTCTATACTTGGAACATCTAATATGATGATTTCGGGTACATTGTAAATGGTTAAAATTTTTGAAATTTGATATGCAATGTTGGTAATTTGTTGTAAATTCTTAGCATTTGATGACGATATTATTGTTGATGGAATACATATTGAAAATTGGGTTTCAGGTAATGATTTATGAGGCTTCTTTGTTGGTTTATCAACAACTTCAGATTTTCTTTTAGCCATCAGATGAGATTGAGAATAAATTTTTTGCACCTAAATCGCACACTATTTCTAACATTAACTTTTATATTTTTGAACTATTTACGAAGTCCCCTAAGGGCTTTTTAAAATAACAATAGGCATGAAAGTAGAAAATCAGGTATCAAAAGATTTAATTTTCTTTATCTTCAGTGGCTTCTTCAGAATCTAAAGCAGCGATTTTAGCTTTAGCTTTTTCAATGTTAGCTTTAGTTTGTTCATCTTGTTTTGATTCTAAAGCAGATAAAGTTTCTTTTAAAGATTTGACAGTACCTTCAACATCTTCTTGTTTGGTTGGTAAAGGAATTGATAAATCACCTAAAGCAGTAATAATATCTGGAGCAACAACGAATCTTGATTTTGATTTTCTTGAAGAATTCTTTGATTTTTTGGCAGTACCTTCGAGGTAAGATTTTTCTTCTTTTTTCAAGATAACAACATCATCTGGCATTTCAATGGTTCTAGCAGATGAAGTGTTGGTAATGAAAGATTCATTACCGAATTTCTTTGGTTGAGGTTTAACATATGAAGGATCAAAGTAACTTAATAAGTTATGGATTGAATTAATTTCAGTTTCAAAAGCTGGTTTAGAAGCTTCTTCTAATTGTTTTTCAGCTAATTGTTTTTTCTTCAAAATTTTTTCTTGTTCTTGTTGAATTTTGTATTCTTCTTCTCTCTTTTTCTTTTCTTCATTTAATTGTTGTTTGAAGCTTGAGAATTCTTCATTGAATTCTGATTTTAATTTCTTAATAGCATCGTATTTAGAATCTTTTTGTTTTCTTAAATCATTTCTTTTAGTAACTAATGAACCTTTTTTATCATAAACTGATTTATTTTCATTTCTAATGGTGTCTAATTCTTTTTGAATTTTTTCATATTGTGATTGAACTTCTTTGTTTTGGATTGAGTTTAATTTTTTCTTTAATTCAGCAATTTTAGCTTTATCTTGATCAATCAGTTCTTGTTGTTTTTCAATAGAACCAAAATCTTTCTTTAATTTTCTTAAAGCAGTCATTTCTTTGACAGTCTTTCTTTCTTCAGCTAATGATAATGATCCACCACTAACTAATCTATCTAATTGATCAATTTTACCATCAATTTCTTTAGTTGATTTAAAACTGTTTTTAGAAGTTTGTTGTTGAATTTCTCCAACTTTTCTCTTTAATTGAGTATCGACAGCTTTAATTTGATCCATGATAGTGGTTCTTTCATTCTTGATGGTGGCTTGTTTGCCAGTTAATTCTTTTAATTCTTTTTGTAATTCTTGTTTTTTAGAATTAGTAGTTGAATCAATGGAAATTTTATTGATTTGATTGTTCAATTCATTGATATTTAAATCCAATTTTTCAATTTCTTTTCTTAATTTTGAAACTTCAGTTTTCATAATTGAATCATCTGGACGTTTGATGAAACGTCTAGCGTTGTTAGTTGCTTTGGTAGTTTCAACTGACATCGTAAAATTTTATCGATTTTATCTATAATCTATGAGTTGGTTTCTAAAATTTTTCACTGTCTCGACGAAAATACAAGAATAGTGTGTATGTCGTGCAAATACCAGATCAACAGAATATCATGGAAGTTTATTGACATAAAATCACCTATTAAAGAGTTATAAATCCTTGAGTCACCCTGATTGATACCGATAAGAGTAATGTGTCGAATGTTCCAAATTTTAAATCACCAGATAACTTGGGGAGTTGGTCATAAAAGCTCACCAATGGAAGGACATATTTCCTTTATGGAGTTGCAAAACATCGTATAATCGCGATAAAAGTTTTTCTCTCGTTTGATTATTCACTATGTCATACGAACAATTGGTTAAAGACCTTAAAGAACAAGAGATATTAAGTAAATGGAACGATGTTATTCCATTATCCAAAATATCTGGAGTTTCTACCACCTCATCAAGTTCTCAATCCAATGGAGATGATGTTTTCGAAGGCCATGATGAAGAACAAATTAGATTAATGGATGAATTATGTATTGTCTTAGATTACGATGACAAACCAATCGGTGCTGGTACTAAGAAACTATGTCATTTAATGGATAACATCAACCAAGGTTTATTACATAGAGCCTTTTCTGTTTTCTTATTCAATGACGAAGGTAAATTATTATTACAACAAAGAGCTGATGAGAAAATTACTTTCCCATCAATGTGGACTAACACTTGTTGTTCCCATCCTTTATCTGTTAAATCAGAATTAGGTCCAAATGATGTTTTCAAATTAGAAAATGCCATTGAAGGTGCTAAAGTTGCAGCTCAAAGAAAATTAGAACATGAATTAGGTATTCCAACCGATCAAGTTATTATTGAAGATTTCAACTTTTTAACCAGAATTCATTATAAAAGCGCCAGTGGTGATGAAGCATCTAAATGGGGAGAACATGAAATCGATTATATTTTAATTTTAAAAGCTAGTAATGTTGATATCAATGCTAATTTGAACGAAGTTAAAGATTATAAATATGTCACTCAAGATGAATTAAAAGAAATGTTCACTAAAGAAGATTTAGTTTTCACTCCATGGTTCAAATTAATCTGCCAAACCTTCTTATATAAATGGTGGGATAACTTGGATAGTTTGAAACAATTTGAAGATGAAACCATTCATCGTTTATTGTAAGTTGACACAGCTTGAAAGTCAAAGCTTAATCTTTATAATCAGATATTCAAATAAGACGGAAACTAGCATAATAGGACTAATAATTTGTACTATAAATAATATCAAAAACTTTAAAAGCGACTCTTACCGGGATCTGACTCTCTTTCTACTCTGCGCGCAGACTTAGGTCAATAATCACCCGATAGATTTTTAATGTTAAGAGGTGGAATAAAGAGTAACATAGTCGGTAATAATATCGTCTACTTATCAAGAAGATGTTTAGCAACTGAAATACCCAAGTCAGCTGTTCCCCAAGAAGCAAAGAAACCAAGAAGAAGAACTACAAAGTTTTCTGACAAATTAAACAAAGGACCATCGTTTGATGATTTTATATCGGGAAAAGCAGCAGAAATTATACCTGAAGATCCTTTACAAACTGCTAGAAGAGACCCAGATCAAAGATTACCAAAATGGTTAAAAGTTCCTATTCCAAAAGGTCAAAGTTTTCAATCTATAAAGAACGATTTAAAAGAATTGAAATTATCAACAGTTTGTGAAGAAGCTAAATGTCCTAATATTGGTGAATGTTGGGGAGGTGATAAAGCAGAAGCTACTGCCACCATTATGTTGTTAGGGGATACCTGTACTAGAGGTTGTAGATTCTGTTCAGTGAAGACAAACAGAAATCCAACAAAACCTGACCCTATGGAACCTGAAAACACCGCTGAAGCTATAAGTAGATGGGGTCTTGGTTATGTTGTATTGACCACCGTTGATAGAGATGATTTAATAGATGGTGGTGCTAATCATTTAGCTGAAACTGTTATGAAAATAAAGCAAAAAGCTCCACAAATTTTGGTTGAAGTATTAGGTGGTGATTTCAGAGGTGATTTAGATATGGTTAATATCTTAGCAAAATCAGGATTAGATGTTTACGCTCATAATTTAGAAACTGTTGAAGCTTTAACTCCTTTTGTCAGAGATAGAAGAGCTACTTATAGACAAAGTTTAGCAGTTTTGGAAAGAGCCAAGCAAGTTAAATCTAATCTTATCACCAAAACATCTATAATGTTAGGTTTTGGAGAAACTGATGATCAAATCTTACAAACTTTAACAGATTTAAGATCAATTGATTGTGATGTTGTAACTTTTGGTCAATATATGAGACCAACTAAAAGACACATGAAAGTTGTTGATTATATTACACCTGAAAAATTCGATTATTGGAGAGATAAAGCATTAGAAATGGGATTTTTATATGTAGCAAGTGGTCCATTAGTTAGATCTTCTTATAAAGCTGGGGAAGCATTTATTGAAAATGTTATTAGAAAAAGAACACATAATGTTGGTGAAACTCCAAGATTGGCTCAAGAAATAAAACCCAAACTTTTTACATAATGAATACATATGACCCATTGGCTCTCTTTACCCTTTACCACATGAATTTCAAAATACAAAGGAGAAGCTGCGAAAAAAACGTCAGATCGCGAATTTAATAACAGCGCAACTTGGAACAATACACAAAGATCATCAATCCTGCAATGTCATTGAAAGACAAGTTACAGGATAATGATAGTGAAGATTCGTTGATTTCACAGTTTGAAACGACTTTGACTATTAAATCAACGGCCAACGAGTATGATGATGATATATCAATGGCTCACTCCACATTCTATAATCATTCAGTCAATTATAAGAATGAAGATTTGGAGGATGATCCAGAAGCCGTGGAGAGGGAGATGACCTCTTTCAGAGGTAAGAGACAAAGTAGATTAATACCGTATGAAGCAGTGAAGATCAAACCTGAAATTAAACATGAGATCAAGGATAAAGAGAAAGATAAGGAAAGGAAAAACAGATCACGCTCCACATCAAGATCAAAGTCTAAATCTCCAAGTCCTCCACCTCCATCCATAGCACAGCATTTAAACGATCAATTAAAGAATTATGATAAAGTATTGAGATCTAATTCCTTGATTGATAAATCATTAAGTAAATTTACTAGATCATTTAAAGAATTCTTAAATTCAAATCCTCAAATTGAAAAGGAATCACCAAAATTTAAACGTGAAACCGAAAAAACATTAGTCATTTTATCACCATATTCTGCTGAACATGCTTTTGGTAGAAGTTGGGTTACAAAAAGTTATTTATCAACAATATTCGAAAGACCTCAAAGATTATTAGCATCATGTATTGGAGTTTCAGCTGCATTAACCATGTTTCCATTTTTCTACAAAATTGTCAATAGTACAAAAAGAGGATCCATTTTTTCATCTCATGTATTAAAAATTCATGGGAAGAATTGGCCAACCAAATTATATGAACTTTGTTTAGAAAGTCATGAAAAATTAACCAATGATCAATTGGAAGTTCCTGAAGATTGGAATACTGGTGATATTTATTTAGTTCCCAAAACCATAAATGCCATTGAAGGGGTTATTGGGGCTATTGAAACAGGGATAGATTCTTTGTATACTAAAAATTATAATTTATCATTTGTATTGATAAGACCTCCTGGTCATCATAGTCATGCTTGTTTACCAAGTGGATTTTGTCTTATAAATAACGTTCAAATCGGTATAGAATACGCATTTGAGAAGTATGATGTTAGTCATGTAGCTATATTAGATATTGATTTACATCACGGTGATGGATCACAAGATATTTGTTGGGAAAGAGCTGGATTTGCAGGTGATTTTGGTAAAGATGAAACTGATGAAATTGAACGTTTAAATGATGAAAAGAATCCAAGAAATGAGTATGGGAAAAGATTTGCTTTATTTCCAAAAGTTGGATATTTTTCATTACATGATATTAAATCATATCCTACAGAATTAGGTTATGCAACCAAAGAAAATATTAAAAATGCTTCAACATGTATAATGGATCATGATTTGAATATTTGGAACGTTCATTTACAAGAATGGCAAGATGAAGAAGATTTCTATAAATTATATCAAACCAAATACGTTCAAATTCTTAATAGAGTCAATCAATTTTTAAATAATGCTAAAAAGCAGTATGATTCAGATTTCAAAACTTATGTCGAAATGAAACAACAAGATAGTAGTTTAAAACCTCCTTTACCATTCAAACCATTAATTATAATTTCAGCAGGATTTGATGCCTCCGAATATGAAAATCCTCAAATGCAAAGACATGGAATCAATGTTCCTACATCATTTTATGCTAAATTTACTAATGATGTGGTCAAATTATCAAAAATCCATGACTCAAAGATCATGTCATTCCTTGAAGGAGGATATTCAGATGGTGCATTAACAACAGGGATTTTTTCCCATTTAATTGGTTTAACTAATACCATTTATGAAGATCAAGATAGTAATTTATGGAATAACACTTGGGGTTCCGAACAAGTAATGAAAGAATTAACCAAAGGTTGTAAGAAAAACTGGCTTCCTTATAAACAACCCAAAGCTGATGTTACAGTTTGGGCCAATGAAGTTATTAAATTAGGTAGAGCTATGATGCCAAATTCCATATTACCAAGTAACTATATTTATGAGTATAAAGAGAAAGATGATAAGGACAAAGAAGACAAACTTTTGGAAAAACTCACCGATGAAAAACAAGTTCGTCATACAAGATCATATTTCAAAAAGTTACTCGAACAACAGAACCTGCCTAAATCCCCTAGGTGATGATTTAGTCAGGGGTAACCCGTAAATAGACAGCCGTGCATATATAAATTTTTGTATTGTTCAATCAAATTCCTCTACATCTTCGAATTGCCTGGTTTACAATGGGAATAACGTTTGACGAAATCGCCTCGAGATGATGATGGAATGAAATTCTCTCTTGGATCTTAGAAATTACCTTAACGCGTAATGAGATTTAAAATTTTCTTCCACTTTGAACCCCATATCACAATCATTTGAGGTTATACGAACCTTAAATCTGTAGACAATTTTGAAGATAAAACCACTCAACCTTTGAACTGTGAATAATATCAATAGAAATTCAAATCTAGTTGTTCAAAAATATCTTCAATTCATTGGGAAATCAGATCAAGATATTGAAAAGTTCTAATTATGATAGAAGATATAACTCCATCACATCCCAATTTTGATCGATCTGGTTTAACAGACATTCAATTCATCGAACAATTGATGTTCGAAATCAGGGAATTGAAATCAACCATCGAAAGGAAAGATCTATTAATTAAAAGTTTACAAGGCAATTTAAATGTTGATCATTCTATTAGCCATAAGAAATCATGGGATAGATTATCTGACAAGAAAGCTGAATCCAATTCTGAAGAAAGATCTTTGAAGGAGAAAGAAGCCAAGGATTTGAAGGAAAAGAAAGAGAGAGAAGCCAAAGAATTATTATTGAAAGAGAAACAAGCAAAAGAAGCTAGAGCGAGGGAAGCTAAGGAGAAGGAAGCTAAGGAGAAGGAAGAAAAGGAAAAAGAAGCAAAAGAAAAGGAAGTAAAAGAGAAACAAGCCAGAGAAAAGGAAGCTCAAGAGAAGGAAGCTAGAGAAAGAGAATTAAGAGAAAAGGAAGCTCTCGAATTAAAGGAAAGAGAAGCAAGAGATCAAGAAGCGAAGGAAAATGAGATCAAAGCACAAGAAACTAGATCAAAGATTCAACCACAAGAAGAAATCCCAGAAGAATTACAGGTAGTTCCTCAAAGATCATCCAGAAGAAAAAAACTTGAAGATAACCAGGATAAAGAAGCTAATAAATTGAATAAAATCGAAGAAAGTTCTCATCAAACTATCCCAGGGAGAGAAGAATCTGAAGAATCAGTTTCAAACAGATCTTCAGTATATTCAGATGAAAAGATGGATACTCAAGATAATACCAATACAACCATTGAGGTATCGATCAATTCAACTTTGGATGATACTGATATCGAGAATGAATCAAAATCAGTATTGACAACTTTGAAAACCAATGAGACCTTAATGATGCACAAAAATCCAAGTAATAGTAGTTTCCAATCATACAAATCTAGAATAAAGTTACCAGTTCATCTTCAATCTCAACAAGATTTCCATGACAATACATCCACAGTTTCTTCACATGCATCGGAAGCTAAATCAATTGAAGCTTTGAGTAGAAATAATTCTCATCATAATGATAGTGTGTTAAGTCCACAAACATCCCGTCAAAATTTATCTCCTCAATCATCAAGAGTTAACAATCATCCATCATCAAGTGAGGCTTTCAAAAGAGCATCTTCACCAACTCCTTCAAATATCCAAACTCCCCCTTTACCTTCAGATCCTCCAAAAATTCCTTTACCTGTATCACCTGACGATGCTAAAAGTATTCTCTCACCAAAAGGCTTAACTCATAGTAGAACTTTGAAAGATCTTAATATTAATAACTTAACATTACCAGGTAATAATTATCCTAGTAATAATTCCAATTCCACAATCAATACCAGTAATAATAATTTAAACACCTTGAGATCACCAGCGGTCGTACATCAAGATTATGACATACCTATACCTCAGACTCCTGAAGGCTTTTATAACAAGGATATTAATGAATCAATAAGTAACATATCTTCACCAGCACAAACCAATTATTCCCAATCACCAGCACATTTCAATCAAGGATTCTATGATGATTCTATAAGAACGCCAATAACCAATGATTTCTCTCAAGATTCATTCAAACGTGAACCAAGTAATTATAGTGGATCCCATTCAAATTTGAATCCTTCCAGTTATTCCCAAAATCAACCCAATCAGCCATATTCTAATAATAATAGATCAAATATGTCATTTAATGACGATGAAAGTTTATTCATCAAACCTGAAGATTTCCAGACAATTACCATTAATATTATAAGTACCATAAGCGTAGGGAACATTCAACATCAAATGAAAAAATTAGATGACGTTTACATCACTATTAGTGTGAATGATAGACAAAGTGGTAAGGAGATGTGGAGAATCAGGAAAAGTTATCCACAATTGGTTGCTTTTGATAATGAAATTAGACCTGTGGTAGAATATTTTGGATTACCAGTTTTACCTGATAAATCCTTATTTTTTTCAACAACTCCTAATAAAATCGATTTAAGAAAAAATGGATTACAAAATTATTTCAACACATTATTTGTGATGCCCCATATACCTCATTTAATTTTGTTCAGAATTTGTAAATATTTATCATTAGATTTTGTTAATCCTTTAGATGATTTCAAAAGTGGATCAAGAAAGGAAGGATATTTAGTGAGAAAGTATAAAGGTTTGGGTACTAATTGGAAAGTTAGATGGTGTCAAGTTGATGGACCAATGTTGGAAATTTACGATTTCCCAGGAGGTAATCTAGTTGAGTCCATCAATTTGGTTAATTGTCAAATAGGCAGACAAAGTAATGATACAATTGCTGAAGATAAAGGATATCGTCATGCATTCTTAATCATGGAAACGGTTAAGAGCAAATTATCATCATCAATGCCCAAACATTTCTTTTGTGCTGAAAGTGATGAAGAAAGAGATGATTGGGTTGAAATTTTGATTGATTCTACGAATAATGATACTAGTAGTAACGCAAGTATTGTTGAAGACAGTAAAAGTTTCAATGGGTCAGTTGATAAAAATCTCGATAAGAGTTTCGCTAGTAATGAATCTAAATATGATGAAGAGATGTTGAAATCACCTGGAGATGATAGAAAAGTATCAAAGAAAAGAAGTATTTTCCCATTCAGAAAGAATAACAATTCTAATAACAATATTGCTAGTAATCAAATATTTGATGCCACTAATATTGTTGATTCTGAATTAAATAACACTATTACGTCACCTCAACATAGTGAAGAGATCCAACATTATTTAGATAAAATGGGACTTGATGATACTTCAACGAAATCAATCTTTGGTAGAGAATTGAGTAAAGTTTATGAAATTTCACATCATGAATTTTTAGGTAAACAAATACCGTCAATCATATACCGATGTGTTGAATTTTTACTCAGAACTGGAGCCATCTTTGAAGAAGGGATCTTCAGATTAAGTGGATCAGCTTCAATGATAAGACAATTAAAAGATTCATATAATAAGAACTTTGATATTGACTTATTTGCTTGTGAGTTGAAACCCGATATTCATACAGTTGCCGGATTATTCAAAACTTATTTGAGAGAGTTACCTCAACCTATAATTACAGAGAAGCTTATGAATGAATTGCGTCATATAATTATGAATAGAGGAGGTAATAGTAATAATAGTGCTACGGCATTAATTCTCAAAGAATATATCAAGAGATTAGATAAAATTCATTATGATACCACATTTATAATCATCAAATTCTTGAAAGAAATCATCAATAATTGTAATGTTAACAAGATGAATTTAAGAAATGTTTGTATCGTTTTCGTACCAACATTAAATATTTCTTTAGATATTTTAAGTTTATTATTGATTGATTTCCATTGTATTTTTGAAAATCAAGATCCAGTTCCTGATAACCAAAGGGAAATCATTGAATTGAACATCCCTAACTTTTAATCTTAATCATTTGTAATATTTAATATATATAGTCATGTAAAAAATTAGACAAAAGAAGGCTTGATCGTTATCGCACTAAAACTATCACCATTCATTAGAGAAATCCAAAACTCGCACCTTATCTACCACCGCATAATTGAGCAATGTTTAAGAAGAAACAATTATCGGTGATTGAGGAGTTACGAGAAACTTATGATGATTGTGTCAACTTAACATTGAAAAATATAATGTATGAGGAACAAGATAGATTAGAAGATTCGTTGAAAGGTTGGAAATCATTACATACATCATTACTTTTTAAGTTGGAGTTGTTCGAGAAGAACTTGACTAAAATGTCTAAAGAAGAAGTAGCAATCTTTCAAGAACTTAAAAGTATAAGAGATCAAAATGTGAAGCATTTAATAAGAGTTCAATTGAAATTAGATGAATTGAATAAGAAAAAACCTGTAAAAGTTATACCACCACCAAAAATGTCAGTACCATCATTAAGGAATGGCGGCATACGTAATTTTAATAGTCAACCTAAGAAACAAATGGTTAAAACTTTAAGAAATGCAGGTAATTCCAATAGTTCCACAGGTCCTAAAGAAAAACATCAAGCAAATATGGCAGCTAATTTATCATGGCAGAAGCCTAAAAAGGATGAGTTATTTGGAGATTTTGATCAAGATTTTGAAATAAAAAATTGGGAGAAGATTCAATCAGATGAAGAAGTAAATTTAATTGACTTAGATCCAGGGATGTCTTCATATTCAGCCTCAAATTTAAATACTCCTGGAATGAATGAAATCAATAGATCAATGGAAAATTTGTTGAAACCTAAGAATTTAAGAGTAACTAAATCTAATCCGAATTTACTAGAAAGACCTGAGAAATTAGAAAGAGAAAGTAATCCATCGTCACCAAATAATTCAATTCTACAATCAAGGAATTTTAGTTCTGATGAATCCCCAGTAAATTCCCCCATAAATTCCATGAAAGATAAGAAATATGTTTATAAGCAACCACAACCTATGAATCTCAATAAATTAATGAAACAAACAAAGAAGAAAGCATCATCCTCACCATCCATAGCTGTAGCTCAAAATTATAGTTCAAGCTCAGTTCCTACCATACAGACTTCATCATCAATTCCTGTGAAGAAGACTAATGTCAAGAAAAATATCACTTATAACTATGTACCTGCCAAACCTAAGAAACAATCTGTTCGAAAAGAGAGCCCCAGTCCTGAACCAGTTTCAGATGAAAGCGATGATTTCAAATTTACTGATCCATTATTAAATCCAAAAGTTCAAGATGAAATATTAAAACTGATCAGGGGAATCGATTATGAAAGTGGGAAACAAATTTTAAATGATATAGTTGTTCATGGAGATGAAGTCTTTTGGGATGATATAGTAGGATTAGATCAAGCTAAAAATTCATTAAAGGAGGCAGTTGTATACCCATTTTTAAGACCAGATTTATTCAAAGGATTAAGAGAACCTATTCGAGGAATGTTATTATTTGGACCCCCAGGTACTGGTAAAACCATGTTAGCCAGAGCAGTTGCCACAGAAAGTAAATCTACATTTTTTTCCATTACTTCATCAACCATTACATCCAAGTATTTAGGAGAAAGTGAGAAATTGGTGAAAGCAATGTTTCAACTTGCTAAGAAATTATCACCCTCTATTGTTTTCATCGACGAAATCGATTCATTATTAGGATCAAGATCAGAAGGAGAAATAGAAAGTATCAGAAGGATCAAGAATGAATTTTTAATTCAATGGAGTGAATTGAGTAGTTCAACAGCTAAAGAAACTAATGAACTTAATAGTCAAGTATTAATTTTGGGAGCAACTAATTTACCCTGGTCAATTGATGAAGCAGCAAGAAGGAGATTTGTCAAAAAGCAATACATTCCATTACCAGAAGATGAAACTAGAAAATCTCAAATCATTAAATTATTAAAATATCAAAATAACGAATTATCAGAAGATGATTTTAAACAATTGATTGATTTGACTAAAAAATTCAGTGGTAGTGATATTACATCACTTTGTAAAGATAGTGCAATGGGACCATTAAGATCATTAGGGGAATTATTATTAAGTACACCAACAGAAGAGATTCGACCTATTAACATTGAAGACTTCAAAAATAGTTTAAAATATATTAAACCTTCAGTCCTGGAAGATAGTTTAAAGAAATATGAGGAATGGTCGATAAAATTTGGATCAGGAATTTAACGAACAATAAGAAAAAGGGTTGTCACAACAAAGACCGAAAGCGAATAATCAGGACACCAAACCTTTTGCGAATCAGATATCCTTATTTTTAATGAAGATCAGCAGTGATGGGGAATGTTCCTCGATACATTGATAGATTCAGGAACGAGAGATAATATTTTTAAACTTTTACCAGCATAAATTGCATGTCATACTGATTTAAAACTATAAGATTTAGGGCTAGATTTAGTGTATAATTTAGGAATGCATGAAATTCTCATCACATTCTCATCTAAATTCTCATCAATTTTCTCAAAACGGTTAAACATGTCGTATTCCTTATCGATCTAGAAGTAGTAAGTTAATGTGTTACCAAGGGAGGAACATTACATAATCTTTTTTTGGTTAAATTTAACAATTTATTTAACCAAATTCATCTATATTAATCGAAGACATTATCGAGTCCAGACTCATCTCTATTATACATAACCATCGTTAATAATCTTAAGGGCCTGATTCATCTGGGAATCTAATGTGTTTTACGAATTTAAACGATTTTGAAAAAATCAACAATAACCGAAGTGCATGAGGATTCGCAGCAAATTCTATCTCGAAACGCATATGCTAAAATCTCATCAAATCTCCTACAAATTTTTATCAGCCAATACTTGATAGTAAACTACGGTTAGTCAACCTCATATCCCGATGTTATTATCGATATTTCATCCTCATCTAAAATGATAAATCCTTTAATAGTTTAAAATTTAATCGAAATAACTGTGTGAAACAAAAAATGCCGTGTTTTGAACAATAAAGAATAATTTAATTTTCCTATTTAATTTTTTTAGAGACATTCTAATATTAAATTTGAACCCCTTAAAATTTATATATAAACTTTAGTAAATCTCTCTAGAGATAAATCCTTTTAATTTAACAACTTGTATAAAAAAAATAAATTTAAAATGAGTTTATATCAATATTCATATAATTATCCATATTATTATCCAAATCAAAGTCAATTACAACCACAAATAAATCAGATACCTGGACAAGGAAATCAAATATCACAAGTACCAATATCACAAGTTCCAATATCACAAGTACCCATACAGAATCAAGTATCGGTACCTGTTACCAATCAAGTCAATGGATATTATCCAAATAATTATATCCAATTACCATTCTATTATTATTCCAATATTGAAAAGAAATCAAAATCTTCAACTACTTGGACTCAAAAGGAAGATAAATTATTAAGAGAATTAAAAGAACATCAAAAGTTGGGATGGAGAGAAATATCAACATTCTTTAACGATAGAACTCCTAATGCTTGTCAATTCAGATGGAGAAGAATTATAAGTTCTATCAATGGTAAAACTAATTCCAGATCTTCATCAATTCTGTCAATACTGTCAGTCAGCTCAGCATCATCATTATCATCTAATTCTTCGAGTCCAATACTTAATAAAAAGACTCATCATTCAATTAATTATATTTTAAATTAGTTTATTTCTGTAAATGTATTATATTCGGGTAGAGATATTTTACTATTCCTTCTAAATCTTCTGAGCTTCCTAAAAACTCTATGGTTGGTGTTTTGAGTGTTCAATTCGCCAAGTAACCAATTGATAAGAGGGTTTTATTATCTTTTTTTTCTTTACATAAATGTCTCGCGAAAACAATTCAACGGCACCCTATTGTTTTGCATAATTTAGATATGACTAAAACTTTGTTTCGTCTAAAGATTGTTAGAAAATAAAATAATAATGATCATCAATAAGAAAACCGTTTCTTTAATGTTCAGTACATGGCGATATTTGTTATCGTCAACAATCGTCCAATCAGTTTAGGTTGGGTATTTTGGTTTGTCGAGGATTTTGTCGATAAAATTAATAGTAGGGGGTTAAAATCTCAGGTGAATCTGAAATTTCGTAAATGCTCAACCCTGCAAGATTTTAATTTGGTCAATTTTCCTTTTTGGAATTTAATTAACCCTAAAACAGTTAATTTTATGCCGAATGGTTAAATTGATGATCTTCAGCACACCATCAAATTAATTTCATCTTATCCCTTAATCCCTTAATTATTGATTTTAACTATTCTAGGTTATATACCACTTTCACAATTAACCCTTTTTATACAAATTTTTCAAGTAGTTAAATTTTATTTTATTGTTCCTTGGTCTATAATTAAACCCTTTAGATCATTAATTTATCTATTTGTGGTAGTTGTAAGGTACACTAATAATTTTTTTTTTGACAAAAGACTTCGGATATTCCCATTTTTATTCTTATTGTTAATGTCGTGGTTTTCATTGCTCATTACCTAAAGTGATTTATCTAAAGATTTTGGGTTTAAATTAAAGGTTGGGGCAATAGTTGCCTAATAAAAGTCCTTTGTCTATCTATGAACTTCATACACCTGTAGGTTTAAAAGTTCATCTGGCAATTTTCAATTCTTGCTTTCTTCATGGTTATAAAAAACAAAAATCAGCATAACCGATTTTTTTCGAACCCTGGAGAGAGAGTCACGTGAGAAAAATGTTTATGATTTATATGGCCAAGGTTTGAAGGTTTTGGTAGCACTATATGGCATGCAATATACAGGGTCGATTGAATCCATGTCATATTTGTTACCTTCATAGAGTTCATCATTAATTATACTTAATCCTGTTAAACTGAAACACGTATGATAAACATCAGTTTGATTACCTTTTCTATCACTTACTCCACCTTCATCGTCCTGACAATCAAGTATGAATTGTTCAAGTTTGGATAAGTCGATCCATTTGAGTTTCTTTAATATTGCCAATGGAGATAAAATCCACCAACTATAACAAACATCAGGTAATTTCTCTGGTCTTCCATTTAATCCTCCATTTTTAACTTGTCTTTCACTTAACCAACTACTCAACTTGTCATTGACCAAATCCAACCGATTACAAATGGCAAAGGATGCAATCACAGTGAATACTTGAGCACCATGGCTTTCAGCTCCTGGTCTCATTCCATATGCTCCATCAAAGTTTTCACATTGTTTTAAATAATCCAAACTTTTATTGACCAATTCTTCTTCCAACCCTTCTAATATCGATAATATGCTTAATGCTGTATATACAAATCTTGTATCAGTTTCTCCAAATGAATCTCCTTGAAATGATCCATTAGGTAATTGTAAATTTTTAGTGAATTTGATTACTGATTCTTTATCTAATTCATCCAATGCCCCTAAAATACTTAATATTTGAACAGCAGATAATGTACTTAAAATATGTCCATCATGTTGAGGATAAGCCCCAAAACCTCCTGACCTCTTATCAACACAAGATAAAACGAAATCTATTATCGATTGTCGAGGTAATGAATCAAGCGATTTTAATGTCACCAATGTCATGATTCCCCAATATAACCCATTCATTCTCAAATGCTCTGACAACCAATGTTCATATGATTGTTTCGACATTTCAGAATTAAGATTAACCACATAATCAATATGTTTCTTAGATAGTAATGTCATGTTCGTGATGTATATGCGCGCTGGAAAACTAAAGATCTATGTACTTCCTAAACCTCATTGAATTTCGTCTTCTTGACGCTTGGAAAGTATTCAAGGTATCCGAATTTATCACTCAACCCAGTTAAATTGACAACTTTACAATGATTATAGTTGATCTCGAAATTACTGAAGTTATTATCATTAAGTATCAAAATATTTGGTAATGGTTCAAGTCTCAAGATATTATCATAAATGGGATTGATTAACTTCAAATCTTTGGAAAATGGTTGTAAAGATCCTTGATCCAATAAAGTTTTGACCAATTTTCTTGATTGTTTTACCGATGGTGATAAATTCTGAGATTTATCATTACTTACTATTTCTCCTTGATTATCTTTCTCAGTATCTAAAATGAGTTCATTTCTACGGAATTTCCTTACTAATTCATCTTTGAAGATCAAAATATCTTGGGAAAGATAATTGATCTTGATAGGATTCCATCCTATGATTAAATTATCTTTAAGTAATCTTTGTAGTCTATTCAAAAAGATCTCTGGAATTGGTTTTTGAGGTAAATAATTCAAATTGGAATTACCTAAAGAATAACTACTTTGCCAAGGATCATTTGATCCTGGAATTAATACTATTTTACATCTTGTTATTATATTGGTATAATTGGACAATAACGTTGAAAAGTTATTGAAATTGTTCTTATATAACTCACTATCACTTATACTTGAGATAGAAGAATTGACTGGACTTATTGGTTTTGATGTGAAGGATCCAACAAACACTATGGCAATAGGTGTAAATTCATCATCATCAGTCTCCAATTCATTTTCGATTTTATTCAAAAACCTTTTCAAACTGGCCATTATTTTCAAATCATCTAAATATAAATTGGAACCAACGACAATAATTTTGTTATTTAAATTCTTTTCTAGTTTAGATAATTTCTTCTTGAAATCTTTATTTAATTTTGAAATATGATTTAAATGATCAAGATTCTCTTTATTCAAGTTATTGAAATCAATATTACCATAAACCTCAAGAGAATTATCTCTTCTTTCACTAGGTGGTTGACTTATAGATGAAACATAAAATAACCCATTAGGTGAATCTTCATTGAATTGTGAATAGATACCTTCAACAATAATGAACATTCCAAAGTTTAAATAACAATCATCAACCCTATTGGCTTGAGATAAATTCAATTCAATGGAATCACTACTATCTTCCAATATTATCTTTCCATGGTGATTTTTAGAGATTAAACCAAATAATATAAACTTCTGCTTATCTCTTCCTATAACATTTTTAATTATTGTGATTTCATTATTGGCTTGCTTTTCCATTATTGTGGAAATACTTTGATAGTTTCTTTTTTTGAATAAATCATTTCTTGATAATCTATCTTTGATGATATTATATCTATTTTGGAAGTAATTATTACTACTATCAAGGAAATTAGCTAATTTTGGTTGAGGTTGAATGATGAATTGTTTCCTTACTTTATCGAATTTATAGTTAGGTAAATCATTAGGATTCAAAATCTTGAAATAATCCCTCCAGTTAATTTCTTCATTCTCTTTATTATTATCATAATCATCAATCATCATTTCATTGCTTTCTTCTTCATTAGAAACATTAACTACTACTTCCTTCTTTTTCTCATTGTCCAATTGTTTGACAACTTCCTTCAATCCATCACTGTCGATGAATAACCCTTTATCTTGATTTTTCCAATTCTTTGCAATGTCTTCTAAATATGTTTGACACTTACTTCCTTTCCAATCACTACCAAACTTGTGACTTATTATCTCTGTAAGTTTCTTTAACCCATCAGTCTTGATATTCAAACCATGTTTCTTTGACAAGATTCTATATGCTATGGGTCGTAAGTTGGACGGTTGTAATTGTACTGGTAATCCTTCCATATCAAAATTGTGAATCAAAGTTCGCGTTACGCGTTCAAAATGATCAAAATCTCATCGATGATATTTAAAAGTTCATAAATCTTCAACCTCAAATTATGAATTATACTTAGGTAATTGATCACTTTGAAATGACTTCGTTGACTTGATTGACCTTGATTCTTGTTATTTCGTTTTTGAAAATTTTCATAAAGTTTATTATTCAATTTATTCAATATTATCTTCCAATCGATTAATGTTTCATAGTTATAATTCTTCATAATGTATGCTTTGTCTTGTTTGAAGAGTTTATAGTTACTGAAAATCATTTCATATTCAATCAATTTATCGTGAATTTCATTATAGTATTGAAATTTTATCGTGGGGTTCTTGATTAAGTTATTTTCCATAAATTCAATCTCCATCATTTTGAGATTAATAAGATAATTGGAAGAATTGAGTTGAATTTTCAACTCCAAATGATCGATTGAATCTTGTTTTAGGGTCTTATTCTCTTCAATCAATGATTTATTGGTTTTATTAACTAATTCAAGCTCTTGACTTAATTGATTCAAATTTTTCATCAAATCTTGATTTTCTTGTATAAGCTTCTTATTTTCTTCATTCTTCACATGTAATAGATCTTGTGATCGATTATAACTCTCAGTGATTGATTGTAGTTGTTTGTTAGCCTGATGATTGGTGGTGAGCAAATGATTATTATTCGATTTTAATTCGATATTTTCTTTCCTTAATGAATCAATTTCTTCATATTGATTAACTTCATATCGTTGTAATTGCTTGAGTCTTTCTTTTTGACTTTCTTTCTTCCTGAAATCGATCTCTATCTCTCTTTGTCTTTGAAAATCTTTCTCTTTCTGTTTATTCAATTGATCATTTCTTTTCATCCAATTGGATTTGTTCTCATCCAAAGGACTAGAAGCACTTTCGAACCTTGCCTTCTTGGGGCTCTGTATATCATAATAAGACTTTTGCAAATTAGTGACATCAATATTATTCTCATAATTATTCAACGAATAGTTACTCAAAAAGCTATTCAATTTCGACAATATCCCTCGGTCATTCTTACGTTCATTATATGAATTCCTCAATTTCTTTGGTTTAATGACACCATGTCTTTTGTCCGTCAGTTTAGGTGAATCAAATATCCCCATACTTTAGATAGTAAAATTTACAAGGCTGCGAAAACACAGAGAACAAAAAATTGTATTCACTTCTATAAATCTATACCTGAGACCAATGTGAACGAAAATCAAATCAAACGGAACTACGAAACCATCAATTACGAACTGAATTGTTGGATGATGAAGAACCAAAAGTGGAATTCCTGGAGGAAGGGAAGGAAGATTCAGTATCGTGGTTATCAATTTCATCAATACATCTCAATCCTCTATCTTTGATGAAGAATGAAGACAAAAGACAAATTCCAATCAATGGAATTAACAAATAAAAGTAATTTCTTAAACTTTTGTCATACATATCAACAACTGCATTGAATTGTTCATTGTTTAAACTATTTGTGTCAATGATACTGTAGATATGTGTTTTCATATAATTTAGATAATCATGGGGTACGATTGATTGTGCTTTTTTGGTGTTGATTTCATTTAATAAACTATTGCTCACTATAGTTGAACCTACAGCTACACCAACCGCACCACCAAAAGATCTCAATACATTTCTTGTTGAAATGACTACAGCTCGATCACATTTCCTAGATTGTGCCTGACAAGCTACCATTGTTGGTTGAAATGTGAATCCAACACCCAATCCCATAATCAATAATACTAAAACATTAATACCATCATTCAAATTCTTATTCCATAAAAGTAATAAGCAATTACTAATTAACCATAAACTGTAACCAGCAATAACTACAAATATATAATGACCGGTCTTTGTAACTAATTGTCCAGAAATGATTGATCCTAAAGCTTGAGTTAAAACTAATGGTAATAAAAATAATGATGTGTGAATGATATCTTTCTGTTTAACTAAAGTGAAATGGTATGGTAAGAAATACAAAAAACTGTAATATACCATACCAAAGAAGAAATTGGATGTTAGTAAAAGACACAACGATGGGGATTTAAATAAATGTAAAGGAATCATTGGCAATTTGGGGATTTTCCATTCAATCAATAAGAATACAACGAAGAACACACCTCCAATAATAAGCATGGAAATAACTAGAGGACTATTCCATGCATAAGTGGACCCTCCACCACTAATAGGTATTAATAATAAAATCAAACTAATGGTCGAAGTTAAAATACCTAAATAATCGATTTTCTTAAATTTATCCTTATTACTTAAGACCTTATCCAAGTCCTTGCTTTTACCGTCAATTAAAAAGTACACTATAACCATTATAATGACCATTAAAGGAGAAATTAAATAATAAAAATCTCTCCAACTAGTATGCTTAATAAAAGCACCCATTAAGAAAGGACCTATAGAGTTACCAATACCTACACTGGACCCTAAGATACCTTGGTACTTACCTCTTTGTTCTAAAGTTACTATATCACTCAAAATTACCATACATAATGAACTTACTGCACCATTACCTACTCCAGCAAACGCTCTAAATATGAAGAACTGCACACCAGTTTGGGCAAAGCCACAACATAAATCTGCAACGGCTAAAATCCCAAGGCAAGTTAACATTACTGATTTTCTACCAAAGATATCACTTAATCTACCGAATAATATTTGACAGACACAATTGGCTAATAATGATGATGTACCTGCCCAATTAATAGTAGTTTCACTATTTAATTCTTCACCGATTACCGATAATCCAACAGTAACACCTGTTTGATCAGCAAACGATAACATACATGCTAAAGACAAAGTACCTAGAACAATTAATAATTTCCTAGTGGGTAAAATATTTAAATGGGTATCCCCTAATTTATTACTTAACTGATGTCTTTCGATCTCAGTAACATTAACTGTAACTTTTTCTTTACCCATAATTCCTTTATATTCTCACCAAGTTGATTACTATAAGCTATATAAGGTTAGAATAAATGATTGGAAAAAAAAAAGAGCCATACTTATATATAAAAGGGTTGCACCCAGACACAAGTCAATTTTTTGCAACTGAAAAAATTATGAACAATTTCAAGTATGGATATAAAGTTTGTAAGGTTTATTGTCAAAAGCTTACTTAATGTTTTAATAAAAAGAAAAAAAATCGGAGGATTCAGGATACTTCTATGCACACATATTGACTTACCTTTATAACCATTATAGTGAGAGAGAAAAAAAAGGGATAACTACTTTATTGATTTATCCTCATATATCGGTGGGTTGCATTATCTTGCTTGAGTTTGAAAGAAAAAAAGCTTATCTCCGTACTGTCAAATATATAACACCCTACGGAAAAAGTTGATCCATGGATCCAGCCAATCGAGTAATTGGAAATCACAAAGTTAAATGGTCTTATTGTTAATGTAATTATCTTGAAAATCTTTACCCTGCGTGCTTGTCAAATAAAGACACAATTCACTAAACCTAAAATTGTCAAAGTTTGAAAATCTTTATTTTGAGCCACTCACAGTTGATTTGACTTTTAAAAATTACATCTCGCCCCTATCTGGATCTCAAAGGTACCATTTAAGCCTATCAGAGATTTTAATATTTGTTTCCAAATAACTACTGCCGCAACTCAGCCAACATGTGTCGTCATTTCTTATACAAAGGGTTTAACCAAGCTTTTTTTCCTTAAACCCCTGCCCGGAAAAATTTCTTGCTGAGGGTGCATTATCTCAATGTGTTACTAATTTTATGCAACCGTTTTAACGCCCCTCTGAGGGGGGGCGATGAAGAGGTTTTTTTAAACATTAAAAGGAAACGAGCCAACTAATTTTTTTGATATACCATAATAAGAGGTTTGGGCCGAGTATTACATATTAACTATTGAACTTTATTACCTATCTATTCATTAGCTCATAAACCTGTGAAATTACATGCGGCATGAAGACAAATAGTTTATTTGATGAATGTGCATTATCTGCACAGAAGCCCGGTTTGGATAGAGCGCAAAAAGCCACTGTCAAAATATGCAATTAGAGACGAAAGACAAGTGCAACAACAATAAATTTTCTTATATGACAAAAGATAAAACCTATAACTTTATATTTGTTAGTGCAAATAGCAAAGGTTAACTGTAGCAATGCCGAGTTAATGATTGACTAGATATTTTGAGCTTTTGGAAACAAGACAATTTTTTTTTACAGGTAATATAACAATATTTAGCTTATGATCGGGAAAAAGGGATAAAGGGCCCCAGTGGGACATTATAAAATATAGCTTATTAAGTTTAAATCTGCTGAATAATTTGTCATAGGAAAAGTTATTTCTAGAATTTGTGAAAACTCTAAACTTTAGATAGGATCTAGATACCTATGTCAATTTCACCACATAATTCGACCCTTCTACTTGAAGATGCAATATAAACTTTATAGGTACCAGTTTGAATAATCCACTGTTGGCTTTCGACATCCCAAATGGATAAATCTCTGTGAAGAATATCAAAATGAATTGATTTAGATTCACCAGGCTCTAAAAATACTTTATCAAACCCTCTTAATACTTTAGCGGGTGAAGACACAAGCGTGGAAGGTGATTCAATATATAATTGACCAACGTATCCCCCTTTATATTTCCCAATGTTCTTAACTTTTGCTTTCACAGAAAAAAGAATTTCCCATAAAGCAGGATTACCACCAAATCCTCCACTCAATGGTGGTGTTGTCTTAAAGTATGTATTATACCCTTTAGGATAATCAAAGTCGTCTTCATCAGGTAAACTTCTTACGTCTTCATTATAAAGGTACGGATAAATAAACCCTGGTACAGGATCAAATTCTTCATGAGGGAATAATGCATCTTCAGGATCACAAACATCATCTTCGATAGTTCTATAGATAGGTAAGTAGTCTTCAGGGTAAGGTAAGTACTCTGTTGGTGAATTAATCTCTAAAATATTCAAATTACTCAACTCAAATTTAGTGTATGATAAGCCAAAACCAAATTCAAATCTTGGTTTAATATTATGCTTATCGAAGAAACGGTAATCAATGTATATATCCCTGTCAAAATTATCTTGGGGGTCATTGTTTTTGCTTAAATCGTCCACTATGGGTACGTAATGCAGTTTCTTCTTGGCAATTGTGAAAGGTAATTTACCCGAAGGATTAACATCGCCAAATATAATTTCCATTAATGCTTTACCAACAAATTGTCCCAATGGTGGCATGTAGATAACTCCAACAACATTTTCATTATCAATCCATTTTTCCATGTTGACTGGGCCAATAGCATTTACAACAACTATGGTTTTTCTACATCTTTCACTAATATGTTTGATTAAATTATCTCCGTTGTGCCATAAAGAGAAATTGTTTCTATCCCCATAATTGTTATCAACTTCAATAAAACCTTCACCACCATCAGAGTTAACTACCACAATCGACAAATCTGCATAATCAGCTAATTCACTAACGTGATCTAAATTCCAATTTTCATTAGAAAAATCAACTACCATTCCCAAACTTCTAGCTCGTTCAGATATTGCTTCATAAGGAGTTATTACATAAGGATTATTAACTGCTGCAGAACCCCAACCTGAAGTTAAAACACCATCTGTGCATCTTTGATCTTTACAATCAAAACCTTTCGAATCGGGCCCTGCACCTACACCAGCGATTAGTATTCTCTTAATTCCATCACCTACATCAACTGGTAAATTATGACCATCATTCTTTAATAATACGATAGCTTCTCTTGCTACATTCAAAGCCACTTCTTCACTAAAAGTAGACCTTGCATTTTGGTGGAAATTTTGTTCAACAATTGGCCCAAAATGTTGATAAGGGAACTTTTGTGAATATGTGTGATAAGTCCAACTACTAAAATTTGGAATATTATCTTCACTAGGTAATTTCAAAGTTTCAATAGCAAACCAGGGGGCTATAATTCTTGTTACCATATCATTCAAACGTTGTTGAGGGATTGTACCGTTATAAACAGCCCGAGTAAGTAAAGGACCCCAATAAGATTTCCCAGTTAACCAGTCATCAAAAATTTCTCCTGGCATTGTCATATCTAATCCAGATAACGATGAATAAACTCCGGTATGTTGTGCACCCCAATCAGAAACCACAAAGCCTTGAAATCCTAATTCTTCCTTTAAAAGATAATTTAATAAATAAGAGTTTTCACAAGCATAAGTATTGTTAACTTGATTATACGAACACATAATACCTCCAGCACCTGATCTTATTACATCGGCAAAGGGCCATAAGTAAATTTCATGCATGGCTCTATCACCAATATTAGAACTTATGGATTCATCTAACTTATCCCATCCATTATCATCCCATTCACCTACTTGACGGAAATGCTCTTGTTCATTACCGATGAAATGTCTGACAATTGATAAAACACCTTGCTGTTGTAATCCTTCTACTGTGGCAGCACCAGCAATTCCTTGTAAATAAGGGTCAGCACCGAAACTTTCCCAATTTCTACCCCCTGCAGCTTTTAATCCAATAGGTCCCACAACAGGCCCTAATACCATATGAACCCCTTTAGCTTTATGTTCCTTACCAATTGCTTTACCTCGTTGATGAATCAATTCCTTATTGAAAGTGGTACCAGCGGCTAAACCACTAGGAAAGTTAGTAACATAATCGGTATATCTAACACCGTTGGGGCCATCTTGTAAACATAAGTTGGGAATACCCAATCTTGGAACACCACCGGTATTCCCTATACAAGGACCAGATCCCCAACCAGTACCAGTAGTCAAGTTGACTTTTTCAGTAATGGACATTTTTTCAACAATTTTCCTTGCTTTATCATAGGCTTTCTGCCAAACATGATCAATTCTTCCTCCCAAAGGTGAAGGATAATAAGGATCACTGTAGAAGAATTCTGCTGGGTGTCTGTCTTCGATGTAGAACAAAGGTGCTTCTTCATGTAATCCTCTTTTTTCAAAAGTTATATTTGAATCGAAATGAATTTCGTTCTTGATTTCTGATCTTAATGGCTTCGTATCTGAAGGCTTGGTCATCAACAATAATGTCAACCAAATAACAAATTCAAACATCATTTGATATTTAAGCGCTGTAAAGAAGAAAAAAATTGGTTGCAAAAACCACAAAATCTGAAAATTTACGAGGGACCAAAAGAGGGACCAAAAGAGGAAACGAAAAAAAGACAAAAGAAGGAACAAAAAAAGAACAAAAAAAGAACAAAAGAAGGAACAAAAGACAGAAGAAGGAATAAAAAAAGACCAGAAGAAGGAACAAAAAAAGAACAAAAGAAAGACAAAAGAAGGAATAAAAGAAGGAACAAAGGATACATTATATATTTTCATCACATATTCATAAATCATTAATCATGTGCTCATTCTTGCTGTTACTTGGACTTGGGTTACAATACTTGTGGGAGTATTTTTGGATTCGGATAAATTATTTAAAGTGGTTGATTTCTTCAACTTTCCTAAATCGGAAGTCAAATTAGTTAAATTGGAATTATTGGATAATGGAGTGATAGTTCTATCTTCTTCGAGATTTAAAACACTGAGGGAGTTTACTACATCATTTTCAAAGCTAGTATTGAAAGTTTCATCAGGGGCCGATTCAGTACGTAAGTTTTTGAAGAAATTATGTAAATTTCTAATGGCTGATTCATTATCCAATAACATTACACTTTCGAAATAACCAGGTTTTGAATCATCAATTTTGAAGTCATTCTTATATTTTATTCCATTTAATAGATTAAATAAATCAATTCTGAAATTTTTAGGTAAAGGATTATGAGCTAAATAAACATTATTGAATTGTTCATTGTTTTTGATGAATAAGAAAAGTATCGGTTTCAAACTATTAATTGATGTTAACAGATTCTTTCTTAAATCGATTTTTTCTAAACTGTGTAAGTTTTGTAATCCATCTAAGTTAGTAATCTTATTATTATTAAAATTTAAAGTTGTTAATTGTTTCAAATTATTGGGTAAATTGGATAATTTGGTGATATAATTATCAGAAAAATTTAAGTATTTGATATTAACTAAATGTCTTAATCCATCAGGGATTTCTTCTAATAAATTATTGGATAAATTTAGTTTAACCAAATTAGATAATGGTTTAAAAATATATGATGGAATATTGGTAATGGAAGTTTCTATAATACTCAATTGTCTCAAGAAAGACCATTTCCGTTCATCCAAACTGTATTCTTTAGATTGTTCAAATGTATGTTGACCTTGAAGATATTGAGGTAAAGTGATATGGGAATAAGAATAAGAATGGGAATGGGAATGGGAAAATGGCATGGATGATTGAGAATGAGGTAAATGAGGTTGTTCACCACCGGTATTTGTATGGGATCTCTCTCGTCTAAATTTATAATCATCATCATTATGTCCATTTGATGGTACAACAGCAATACTTTGTGATGTGGTTGAACGTCTGATATTTTTGATTGAATTTAAGGAGCTACGACCATTTTCATCATCTACAACTAAAGTGAAAATAAGTTCTGCCAAATCATTCATTTTTGAATTCTTTATAATTAAAATCCTTAATTGATCACTTAAGAAATTCCAACCAAAGATTTCATTTGGTTCATAATCAACGATCTCTAATACTTGAAGATTCTTGAACATCCTCATAGGAACTGATGTATCACAAGGATATTCTTCATATCCAGTTATGCCATTTATTTTTGTTTTCGGTGATAGTATCAAACAAGGAATCTTTGTGAATGATGAGTAAAGATACTTGATATCTTTCTTTATGACTTTAGGGTCTTTACTAACGTTGAAATTTCTCCAATATAATGAAGCATTTGATACAATTGATCTCATTGAATTTATCGAGGATATTGATCTGGTATCACTATCAAAATGTTTGGAATTTCTAGCATTATTGGCCATGAATGAAATAAACGTTGGTTCATGGTTTGGATTATCTAAACGAATATTTAAAGGTCCAACATCCACACCTAATGAAGAATTATCGATCTTTTCTGATATATAATATAAATGATGTAAACTAAAGCTCAATCTTGAAGGTTTGATCTTGGGATTATGTTTTGATTTTGAAAAGATAAGCAACCCATTAGCCAACCCTTCTTCATTCCTTTTTATATAGCTAGACAATTTCTGGATGTAAACTTCCCCTTCAATAGAGGAATCATTACTTATTGCTCCCATCAGTTAAGGGTTTGGGATTGTTTTGTTTTGGTTTTCGCTCTATTTTTGGGGTGAGAAGTTTAAGTTTGTAAAAACAAAGATAAGAGTGGGTACAGATCGAAGGATGTGAGACCATTGACACTCATACACAGCCCTTAAGCCCTTAGAGAAATGTTGTAGACACTCAGGATCAAATTATTCATTTACATCAGTTAGATTTCGCTATACTGGATTGAGACTCATAATCTTTATATGAGGAGTTATCTTCATTTACACTGGTGATATCATTAGGATTTAAACTGTTAGCATAAGCAGAATTAGGCTGAACAGACAATCTTTCCATTATACTAGCGGGTGGAATACCTACGGTAGATGAATTGGTCTCAAGACTTCTTCTTCTTCGTCTTCTGGTTGAACTGGCTAAAGTCACAATTGATTCACTGTCTCTATCTAATCCAGGTATATGATTACCATCTCTATCTCTGTTAAACAAAATTGGGTTGAATTGAGGAGTGGTGGATGATGGGGCAATTGAAGTCTCTGCTGTGGAAGGATTATAACTATGGTTATCATGATTATTGTCATTACTAAGAACACTAGGTGATTTGGTCGATGGTACTGAAACTATGGACTTTAAAGGGATGGTACTTATGTTATCAGAATTAGAAGTTATCTGATCACTATTATAAGAACCCCTTGTATCAGTTTCAATGCTTTCTCCTTCACTATCGTATTCTTCTTGATCATTACTTTCTTGAGGTTCTTGTATTTTAAGCGATTTCTTCTTTGATGGCTTATAATAGTCTCCATTATAACGGGCTCTATCAACGAGCTCTCCATTTTGTCTATTAGGACTTTGCATCAATCGCCTGACCCAATTGAATCTACCTCTTTGATGACGACTATTCTCGGCTATAGTTGTTAGTATGGGTCTAAATGAAGATAATGTTCAACGTCAATTGAGATGAAAACTCGCATTGTATTGAACTTTAGACTAATGGTTACATACTTTGATCGTTGGTTGCACTCATGGTCCAGCGGTAATTATCTGATGTATGTAAGATAAAGTGTGGTTATGGTTGGGCTGTAATGCGATTTATAGATGTCGCTCTAGATGTCGCTCTAGATGTCGTTAATGCGACAAAAGTGTGGTGGTGGGTTACTCTTTGCATCCACCAACTGTAAGGAGGTGTCTTATAGGGTCCAAGCTGCAGGGGGTTCCACAGTCAAAATTATAAAAGAATACAGTCATAGTACAGTAAGAGTTCAAAACGTTTATTGAAACATCTCAAATAAGGCATTGTATATAGTCTAATTAAATAAATCTATACTCTCATAATAAACCAATTACACCTGCAAATATTGATAACCCAATTGGGATATACATAGCTTTAGCAGTATTTTTAGTTTTTGGATCTAAACCACTAACCTCTAATCTACTACTGTACCACTCAAAATTGGTAGCAAACCTTTCTATTTCATTTACATCGAAATCGGGATCCTCTAGAAGGGTAGTATATGAATCATCAGTATAAGTAATTACTTCTCTTGCCAAAGAACTAAATTGTTTAGGAATGTTGATGTCAGTAGTAACGATAAATTTAGCATATTGATTATAATTATCTTTAACATCACTGACAAATTTGGTAAGAAATTCAACATCGAGGGAATTGAAAGATGCACTTGTACTTTCACTGTCTGTCACTGTGCTTTCACCATTAACAATGATCAATAAACATAATACTGGGATAAAGGAAAGCATTTTCATTTGATTGATGAAGTAAAGAAAACCTTTATTTATATACTGAGAGTTCGCGGCAATCATGGGTTGCAAAATATTCGGCCAAAATATCGTAGGAGAAAGAGATAACAGATGAAGGTCATTAATATTGATCCCCCGAATCGATCACTTGAGCAGCTACCCATCATGGGCGAGCAGAAGAGAGTCACGCAACTTAAACAGACAAATCTAAATCAAGGCATATATTTTCATAACAAGTTTTTTTCGTTTTCGTATTTTCTATAACAAAAGATATCAAGTGAAATCTATAAATTCCAGAAACTGGTCAAGTTTTGACCGGCTCCGTTGAATGCTAAGATGTTCGGAGTATCAGGATCGATGATTCCTTGAATAACTCCTTTAGTACCATATTTGATGACTTTAGATTTCAAATCTAAAGGATTTAATAAACCAGTAGAGAATTCTGATTCGATTTCTGGTTGTAAAGATAAAAAGTAAGCTAATAAACCAGCGATTTGTGGAGATGCCATTGAGGTACCACTTAAAACAGAAGTTTCTCCGACAATATAAGTTGAAGTAATTTCTTCACCAGGAGCGAAAATATCAACACACTTACCCCAATTGGAGAAACTTGCTTTTTCATCTCTGATATTGGAAGCACCCACAGTAATTGGACCGGTAGCTTTAGCTGGTGAATATTCACAAGCATCTTGATTATCATTACCAGCAGCAACAGCAACATGAATACCAGCATTAGTAGCGGCATTAATTGCTAAATCTAATGATTCTTGAGCTCCTCCACCTAAGGACATATTAATAACTGAACCTTTGAATCCTTTAAGTTTACTAGCAACTTTAGCTTTGTGATCATTAACAACAAATTCGATACCTTTAATGATATCTGAAGTGACTCCTGAACCTAAGAAGTTCATAACTCCAACGGCTACTAAATCAACTTTTTTAGCAACCCCATAAGTTTTTGATCCAATGATACCAGCACAATGAGTTCCATGACCATTACCATCAAGTTTCAATTTTGGGAATGCAAAGGAATCACCCCAAACAGCTCTACCTTCAAATTCTTCCATTGAGACTTTGATACCGGTATCAATGACATATGCTGTAACACCTTCACCACCTTCATTATCGAATTCATAGCTTGATGATACGTAATTTTCTCTTTGACTTAATCTTGATAATCCCCAAGGAGCATCTTTTTGAATATCAAATTCATTAACTTTAACTTTAGTATCCTTTTCGAGATATTTAACATTTGGATTTTTTTGAATCATTTCAACCAAACCTTCAGTCAAGTAACCATAATAACCCTTGAAGGATTCAGCAATATTAAAAAATCCCAATTCATTGGTCTTCAATTGAATTTTTAAGATACTTGATAATCTAACATCATTAAGGGATTCTAACATTGATTGATATTCATTCAAGATCCATGACTTGTGAGCTTCAAATTCTTCAATACTAACATCATCTTTGAATACAATAATATATCTATCAGGGATAATATCATCTAAACTATCGATGTTTAAGATAGGAGCGATATCCTTGCTGGCTGGTTTATCAGCTTCAACATTACCAAAACTTAACTGATTATCGTGAAGTTCCAATGATGGTAATAATTGAGATACCATTTCCAAGTTTGGGATTAATAACCCAGCAATTGTGGTGGATAATAATGAATATGTTAATAACTTCATCTTATCGGTGAGATAACAATTTTGCGTTTAAGGGTGAGAATGACTACATCCCACAATTTAAACCTCACACGACCTTGTTTTCTCAATCCGGGTAACTAGTTTCATCCCTTATCAAATCTTATGACATTATTTATGTAAATGGATTAGCCTATTACACAGGTCGAGAGTAATAGTGTAAATCTTACTTTGAGTTTTGACTGGCTAGGTTATGAGATAATAATGGACTAGCTACTATTATAGGAGTAAGGAATTTCAAAACGACATTGTCAAAATCAGATCAGGCTGGGAACTTTATAAAAACAGCGAGATGAGCAATCTAACGTTACTAACGCAGTTTTTACACAGTCCGTATTTCAAGAACTTTCCGGAGTGAATAAACTGTTAAGCACTGACCAGTAGATTATAGACTAAGTCATAACGTGTATAGGTTGACTCAATTCGAAGCTCTGAAAAATATGTTTGTTACATAATTATAAAACGTTGAAACTCTTGATCGCAATCATAACTATGGAACTGGAAAAATTGCCCCAACGTCTCCAGTTTCTCCGAAATTGAACTTTCTTTTGCTGGGTATGTTCAACAACCTTCAAAAGTTCCGTATGTCACCTTGAGATCCACTTCAGATCTTATTCGCTGTTGTGGTGGGCTAGTATTGGATACTTAAAGGATTTGTCAAGCGCTTCTTCTTAACTTTTAACTTGAAGTTTCTCTGAATCACTTATAGTGTTTCAGGATACTCCAGCCTTTTTTATTCCGTCTTAACGTCTTAACAAAGAGTTCATGGATTAAATCACAACATAACGTCATAGTTTTTCCGAAATGGGAGGAAAGTCGAGCAAGTGCTCATACCCAACCCAAAAAGTTTTTCCGGACAGTTTCCTCTATAAATAAAAGGTTAATTCTTTTAAAGTTTGCTTTAATTTTAATATTTTCACAAGGATGTCTAATATTGAAAGGGAACCAAGTCTTTTTGAGAGTCCAACCCCAGTCGAAGGGGGTGCTAATAACCAAGATACTTCTAACCAAGAGGTTCAAAGTCCAACTAGTTCTCAAACACCAGCTGGTTCAATTTCGGAGTTGAAAAAAGATGAAAACGGAGTCATGGATCCTGAAGAAATCAAACAAAATATGCCTTCTTTACCAGAAAAATCATTCAAAGATTACATATCTATCTGTATTTTCTGTTTATTAGTTGCCTTTGGAGGATTCGTCTTTGGATTCGATACTGGTACTATTTCAGGGTTTGTCAACATGTCAGATTTCAAACAAAGATTCGGTATGGTAAATGCCGATGGTGAACATTATTTATCTAACGTCAGAACTGGTGTTATGGTTTCCTTATTTAATGTTGGTTGTGCTGTTGGTGGTATTGTTTTATCCAAAGTTGGTGATATTTATGGTAGAAGACTTGGTCTTATGTTTTCAATGATAATTTATGTTGTTGGAGTTATTGTTCAAATCTCAGCTCAACACGCTTGGTATCAAATTGTTATCGGAAGAGTCATTACTGGTTTAGCTGTTGGTTGTGTTACTGTTATTTCACCATTATTCATTGGTGAAAGTGCACCAAAAATGTTAAGAGGTACATTAGTCTGTTGTTTCCAATTATTTATTACTTTCGGTATTTTCATTGGTTATTGTACTACTTATGGTACAAAAACCTACAGTGATTCAAGACAATGGAGGATTCCTTTAGGGTTATGTTTCCTTTGGGCTATTTTATTATCTGCTGGTATGATTTCAATGCCAGAATCCCCAAGATATTTAATCGAAAAGGGTAAAATCGAAGAAGCAAGATATTCTATTGCTAGATCCAACAAAGTTGATATTGAACATGAAGCTGTTTATACTGAAATTCAATTAATTCAAGCTGGTATTGACAGAGAAAGATTAGCTGGTTCAGCTTCTTGGGGAGAACTTGTTACCGGAAAACCAAAAATCTTGAGTAGAGTTATTGTTGGTATGTTCTTACAAGCTTTACAACAATTGACTGGTAACAATTACTTCTTTTATTATGGTACCACTATTTTCCAAGCTGTTGGTTTGAAAGATTCTTTCCAAACCTCCATTATCTTAGGTATTGTTAACTTCATGAGTACTTTCGTCGGTATCTACGCTATCGAAAGAATGGGTAGAAGATTATGTTTATTAGTAGGTTCTGCTACTATGGTAGTTGCTTTCATTATCTATTCAGTTTTAGGTTCAGTGAATTTATACCAAAATGGATATGATGGACCAACTGATAAACCAACAGGAAATGCCATGATCTTCATCACCTGTCTTTTCATTTTCTTCTTTGCTTCAACCTGGGCTGGAGGTGTTTATTCAATTGTTTCCGAGATTTATCCTTTAAGAATCAGATCCAAAGCCATGGCTGTTGCAACAGCTGCTAACTGGATTTGGGGTTTCTTAATTTCATTTTTCAGTCCTTTCATCACTTCAGCCATTCATTTCTATTATGGTTTCGTTTTCACTGGATGTTTAATATTTTCCTTCTTCTTCGTGTATTTCTTTGTTTATGAAACCAAAGGATTGAGTTTAGAAGAAGTTGATGAATTATATTCAAGTGATGTTAAACCATGGCAATCAGGTGATTGGGTTCCCCCATCTCAAGAATACATGGCAACTACAACAGGTTATGCTGCCGAAATGAAAGGTGAAGTTTCCCACAAAGCTTAAAAGGTTTTATATAGAATATAAGTTACGTTAATGAGAACTCTGTGCCTATTAGATTTAGACTTTATGAGTGCAAAAGGAAATTACCAGTCTGAAAATTTTGGCTGCAAAAATTTTTCGCAGTCGTGCAAAGAGTCGAAAAGATTTAGGAAACATCAATTAAACTATACATGAAGGCATGACCTTAAACGAAGGCAGCAACAGCAGCAACAACAGCGGCAAAAGAAACTGCACCAGCAGCAACGGCACCGTTAGCTTGGGTGACAGCTGGAGTTTCTTCAGTAGCAGCAGATGAAGCAGAAGCAGCAGATGAAGCAGCAACGGATGGAGCAGCAGCAGATGAAGCAGCTTCAGCGGTTTCTTCAGCAACGGATTCTGGAGCAGCAGCAGATGAAGCAGCAGCAGCAGCTTCAGTAGTAGCTCCGGTGGTAGCTTCAGTAGTTTCTTCAGCTTCAGTTTCAGCTTCAGTTTCAGCTTCAGTAGTAGCATCAGTGGTAGCAGCTTCGGTGGTGGTTGGAGCATCAGTGGTTGGTGGAGCAGAAGTGGTTTCTTCAGTGGTGGCTTCGGTAGTAGCTTCAGCAGTTGAAGTGGCAGCACCGGTAGTAGTAGCATCACCTCCATTGGCAGCAGCTTCAGCTAAAGCAGTAGCAGCAGAGTCTGGGATGAACCAGTATGGAGATGGAGCACCAACAGTGGAACATTGAGCAGAAGCGACACTAGTGAAAGTTTCAACACTATCACCTGAACAAGCTTCAGCAACACATTGAGCAAGAGCACCAGACCAGTTTTGCATGACACATAAACAACCAGTATCCCAGTAAGGACATGGAGTGGAGTCAGTACTTTTGTGTTCATCAAGACATTTTTGAGCACATTCGGCAACTTGACTGTAAACTGGATCAGCGAAACCATTAATTGAAGCGGTTTTTGGAACAGCTGGGTAAGTAGCCCATGGACTATCATCAGAAGCAGCTTTGACGACAGCGGAAACAGCAATAGTGATTAAAACTTTAGTACTTAACATAGCGAATGAAATTTTTGATTGACTATAAGGTAAAATCTCTAAAATTTAAAGAGGAATTAAGGGAAATATATATAATTTTCCATTCGTTGCGGTAGTTTCTACCGATATTTCCAAATTAAGCTGATAATTACTGAAAACGGATAGCTTGTAAATGAATTAAAGTTCGTACATATAACAAAAATTTTAAGGCTAGAACCGGAAATTACTCGAACTTGTTTACCAAATGCCTCAAACAAAGAAATAGAACGACTATAGAAAATCCTGTATATCTGTAGATTCATCAAATGAACTGCTCTAATCTCTCGTAAAGGTTCAATCCCAAATCGGCATTGTAACAAATTCTATACCAAGATTTATGTAATTGCTTTTTTTTTTGAGACATGCAATTCAACGAGAAATATGCATTATGCACAAAGTTGAAAAAGATAAAAATAATGTCTGTGAAATTTGCTCACTAACCAAAAATGCAACTCGATGGTAATTTGTCGAACTTAATGTGTAGCGCTCTTTAGGAGTTCTCAACGTCCTTTCCGATATAAGGCGAAATGGGTTTCCTAATAAAATCTATAATTAACTCATAATGTATTATGACACCATCTTATTACTATGCATGAACAAGGGAAAGACATATGGACGAAGTTCACAGAGACAAGAAAAAAACTTGAGATAAAAAATATTTATTAATATCTGGTGAGATTTAAATGAAAAGACCGAATAATGAACCTAAAACTACTGTAACAACACTAAAAGTGACTTGAAGACCTTTAGAATCACCTGATGAAGTTTCTGCTTGGGAACTTGAAGATGTAGCACTACTTGATGAGCCACTTGATTCTGATTCTGACTCTTCGTCTTCACTTGAATTTGATTCTGCAGCCGAAGAAGTAATGGCAGTAGATTCGACAACACCATCAGTGATAGAACTCGACTCTTTTAAAGTATTCCAAGTATTTGAAGGATCAACAGATTGAACGTAATTATTACCAGCAGCTTTGGTTAAAGCGGCAGTAACGGAAGCTGGCATTAACCATATATCAGCACCAACTGAAGAACATAAAGAATAAGCTAAAGAAGTAGCAGATTGAACATCATTTCCTTTACAACCTTCAGCAATACATTGAGCTACCATACCTGACCATTGAGGCATAACACATAAACATCCAGTATCCCAATAAGGGCATGGGGTATTACCAGTTGATACTTTTACACAATCTTTAGCACATTCAGGTAAATCATCATAAATTGGATCAGCGAATCCATTGATTGATGCAGTTTTAGGAACTTGAGGATAAGTATCCCAATTGTTGGCTTTGACAACACTAACGACTAATAAAAGTAAAACGAAAAACATTTGATTGATTTATATGGATTACAATTGAATATCCTTCCAAGTATTTAAATTATATAATAGATTTTCACTATTCAAGCTCTTTATACACTCAGTCGTTTACTACCAAAAACGTAACGCTTAAGTTTAAAAATTAAACCCATTTAAGGAATTTTTAGGTTGGGTCGCTCATTTGAAGCTCTTGACCGTTTTCGCATTAGGAAGATTTTCAGTGGACTGATGGATCAGATAAAAATTTATCATGCACTAGACGCAAAATTGTGCATGAAAAAGTCTTGGAGGTTTAAAAATCATATTTTAACTACCATAATTTCGGATATACCAACTGATAATTTGATCGATATTACACAAAATCAAAAATAGTTTCAGTGAAAGGAGATATTGGCATTTTTTTTGTTTGTTACTATTGACATAAGTACTGCCTTGGTAAATTCTGACTTGTGATTTGTTAAATTAATAGTTGTAGATCGTTACATCAAGTCCCCTTTAAAAACTAGTCATTCCAAATATTTTAGTAAATTAAATCTGAAAAATGGCAGTTCCATTTTATCTTCAATATTATGTTGAATTCGATCGAAATACAAAGTACCAATGGATAAATTTCGGATTGCAAATATCTAGTTTAATACTACATGGGATATTCTTTCATTGGATTCCTAAGTATTTTAGAAATAAAAGGACTAGGAAAGGTTTGAGGTTTGCTCCATACTTTAAGTTTCTTAAATATTGGGATACTTTCAATAAAGTATATAGTATAAGGATTCCATATATAACCAAGATATACTTCCAGCCCAGTCTTTTGATAGTGTTGGGAGGATTTGTAGCAATAAATGGAGTATTCTCCTTTATTGCAACCAGTGACTTGGATTATCAACCAAGAGAATATATTATCGCTAAGAGATTAAGTAGAATGGCTGTATCTAACTTACCGTTACTTTACTTATTGGTGATAAAAAATGATTTACTTACATCTATAAGTGGATTACAACATGATAGATTAGTGTTGTTCCACAAATGGATATCTAGAGTGATGTTCGTCATGGTGGTAGTTCATATTGGATTATCAATGAAATATTGGTTAAATCTTGGGTTTGATGTTATGTTGGTTATCCCACCACAAATCTTTGGTTACATTGCCTTTGCATCGTTCTTCTTCCTTAACTTTGGATCCTTGAAATTCATCAGAAGATGGGCTTATGATTTCTTTCTTATTGAACATAGGGTGTTCTCCTTTATTATGTTATTACTTACATTCTTCCATAATATGAAAGGTACCAAAGGTGCTGTTATCTTGGCTGTCCATCAATTAGTATTGGATAGAATCTTATCTCGAGTACTTTCCTTCATTCATGCTAGAACTTCACCTACAAGAGGTAAATCATCATTTGAGATTTTAGATGATGAAACTGTCTTGGTGACGGTTCCTATAAAAGCCTATGAGTTTCATGAAAGAAAATGGTATAATGTATTCCTTCCTAAACTTAACACTTGGAAAGCTGGTCAACATGTTTATCTTACAGTAGGTAAAGTGAAGTTCTTTCAACAACATCCTTTTACTATTGCTAGTCTTAGTGATACTAAGGAAATGAAATTTGTCATCAGGGTTCAAAAAGGGTTCACCAAGTTATTGAAGAAGAAGATTTTGAAGTTGGAACAAGAAAGGGATGAAAAGAAAGAAGTTGAAGAGTCAACTGCTTCACTTAGTGATTCCAGCTCAGTTTCGAGTTCTTCAGTTCCAAGTTCAGTTCAATCATCAAATACATCTAATTCCATTGATGTTGATACTGAGTTGATGCCAGGGTCCAAAACCCCTGAAAAGTATTTCAACGATGATGAAATTATAATGAAAGCTACTTTTGTTGGACCTGTAGGTGCACGTTATCAACCTTTAATCACATTTGATACTTCGGTGTTTTTCAGTACTGGATCTGGTGCTTCTTTCACATTTCCTGTTTGTCTTGATGTATTGAAAACCATCACCAAGAGAAACCAAATTGATGATTTCATAGGTAGACCAATGAAATCAACTATAAGAATAGTATGGGTTATCAGACAAGTTGAAAATGTTCATTGGTATGATTTTATTCTTGATGAATTGTTAGCTTATTGTAAATCTGGTGATCTTCAATTCGATATTTATGTTACTCAAGATGAAGAAGCTAATGAAAGTATCTTCAAGGAGAGAATATCAATTTTGAACTCATCTGGATCTTCGAATTATAACATTGAAAAATCAGAAAGTGAAAAAGTTGAAACCAATTCTATAACGGAGAAATCTACATCAATACTCGATTGTGAAAATGTCTACTTCCATCGTGGTAGACCAAATATAGCTGAAATAGTTAGTAGTGAAACTGACAAGTTGACTGGAAATGATCCAAAATCTTTAGCATTGGTGAGTTGTGGTACAGAAGCATTCACTCATGACATCAAGACCAATGCTGTGAAGTATAAATGGGTAACAGAAGCCCCCGATATATATTGTTACACCGAATCGTTTGGTTAATATAATTATTTATGGTTAATTCTAATCTCTGAGCGAAGTAACGAGGTAATTATGAGGAGGTGAGTGTTAAACGAAGTAAGAGCGAGAGGAAGTGGGTATGAAAGAAGAATGAAGGATCAGAAAAGAGAGAGTTCATGAGGAAGGGTTCAGGAGGAGAGTTCACGAACATTCAGAAGTAGACGTAAAAAGAAATTATTTATTCTATGTAAGTAACTAGTTAAACTAGACGAAAAGTAAGGAAAGTAAAGAAATTAAAACTGAGAAAGGTTTGGTAACAGAACCGGCACCTTGGGCTGGGGCAACAGTTGGAGCAACTGAAGTGGCTTGAGAAGCAACAGTGACTTGAGTTTTAGCAGCTTCAACGGTACCTGGATAATAAGTAACGTATGAAGTAACTTCAGTAGTTGAAACAATGTCAGTTTCAGTAACTGGAACAGCAGTACATCCATTATCTTGACAAGAAGTGATGGTAACAACTTTAGTACCGGCATTAGTTTTAACGATAGTTGAAACAACAGTACTGCTTTCAATTGGGCAGTAAGTGGTATATGTGGTGTATTCTTCGGTAACAGTAACAATACCAGTAGTTACTGGAACTAAAGTACATTTGTTATCTTCACAAGAAGTGACAGTAACGACAGTGGTTTGGAAATTAGTTTCAGTTGAGGTAGCATTTGAAGCAGCTGAAGTAATTGGGGCTGATGAGGTAACATCTGAGGCAGCACTAGATTCTGGGTCAGCACTTGAGACAGGAGCAGATGAAGCTGGATCAACGGAGGCTGGGTCAACTGAAGCTGGGTCAGCAGAAGCTGGATCAGATGAAACTGGAGCTGATGATTCGACAACTGATTCGGCAGCGGAAGAAACTGGAACACTGGAAGCTGGATCAGAAGAAGCTGGAACTGAAGATTCAACGGCTTCAACAGCAGATGATTCAACAACTGATTCAACAGATGAAGCAACTGAACTTTCTTCGGCAGAGCTAGTTTCAGTAACAGCAGAACTGGTGATTGATGAAGTTTCTTCAGCTGAACTTGAATCAGCAGAAGTAACAGATGAAGTTTCAACAACAGAAGAAGAAGTTTCAGAAGTAGCTTCAGATGAACTTTCAGAAGTAACAGAAGCTTCAACAGATGAAACAATTCTAGTAGCAGCTTCAGCTAAAGCAGCACTTTGAGCCGCACCAATAAACCAATATGGAGCTGGATCACCAGCAGCAGAACAAGCAGAAATGGCTTCTTCAGTCATAATAACAACTTCAGTACCATCACAACTACTAGCAACACAATTAGCGATATTATTTTGGAAATTTGGGAAGATACATAAACAACCAATATCCCAATATGGACATGGAGTCATACCAGTACCAGCATTATCTTCAAGACAATCTTGAGCACACACTGGAACTTCGGAGTAAATAGCATCAGCAAAACCATTAAGAGTGGCAGTTCTTACAACAGAAGGGTAAGTAGCCCATGGGTTGGTAGTTGAAGTTGATTCACTTGAACTACTGGCTAAAGCCAACTTAACTAAAAATAATAATCCCAATTGTTTAAACATAACGAATGACTAGATAAAAAGACTATTTAATACTTGAACCCAACTTTAGAGGGAATTGGTTTAAATTTATATTAACGGTTTAACAAAATTCACCGGTATCTTGTAGGAAGGTAAATACAGAAGAAATAAAAAATATTAGGCGATTGATCGTTATGCATATAAAATAATCTTACTATTGACTCAGAATATTTGCCATTCCTTAAACTGTATTCATACCATATACGTTAAACAATTCTATCCAATTAATTACCACCTCCAGAAGTTTTTGCAACAATCGGAAAACGAGGCAAATCTCCTAACCACAAGACAATTTTAAACTTTAGCCAATAGCGGAATTATACAGCAAAATGGTGCATGATGCATAAAAAATATGACCAATTTGACTCGTAGTAAAAATTTTCACTTCAACACGCAGTATTCGTATAGACATGCCAAGGAAGAGATGAAATAGATAAATTTCCAATAGGATTCATGGTGGACGGTTTCAATAGAATGTTACATTTTAAAATGATGAAATCCAGCATTCTCAGGAAATTTTTCTTGAATAGTTAAGAGTTATGGAATTATTCGCCCTTATTATAAACTTAGACTTTTAAAGTTGTGATACTATCGAACATATACGGGAAGTATAAAGCAATAGCATACGGACTATGAAAGGCCAAAATCGGAATTCCCATTGACGCTCCACATTCGGCCATTAGCGAGATCGTCAGGATATGGCGAAAAACCCCAACGTTTACCAAAAATAGATTTGAGAGTCACGCTCATATCATGTGACTATTTGCTTACATAATGATTACCCTAAAGTTGCAGATAACTTTTACGAAAGGACAAAGAAAGTGGATTTTCGTAAATTATAAACCATAGTGCACCAGATTAAAGCCAGGTTTTTTTGAACCCTATGAAACAGTGGACTATGATTAGAATCAACAGTCAACCAACATGGCCAAACATTGGAAATTGAGGAATTTTTTGTATTTGAGATGAGATGGTAGCAATCTTATCATCGTGAACCCCCACGAAAATTTAACGAATCTAGAGTTCTCAAACAGGGCGGTCTAAGTTGAACATGAAAAATTTTTTGATTACTGAAAATCTATAGAAGGGTCATTTTGATGAAACGTTTGATAGTTTGGTTGATTACAATACACTTGGTAAGGTCGTTACAGTATATTTGTAATAACAATGATCATTTAATTTTGAAAAGCTCGATACAAACTGATAATTTTTATCCGATAACTTTAAGTGGAGATTCAGATATCCCTATCACTTTAGGCGTTAATAATTATATTTATGAAGAACTGTCGACGTTATATCACGAAATCGATGTGAAGGTGATAAAGTCACCATTTCAAGGACTTTATATAGCTTATCCAGCTATAGTTCCCCAGGAGGGATTTTACGAGAATAGGTTCAGAGATAATTTAGGTGAATTGTTTCGAATAAGGTATTCAACTCCGAGGAATGTTAGTTGTTTATCAACCAATTTGATTCAATTCAAGATGATTTTTGCTGATGAACAAGATAACTTATATAACTATTACTTTGGAAATTGTAATGGTAATGAGGTTTCGTACGATTCTGAATTTAATGCTTCATATTGTATTAATCATGAATTTATATGTTATGATCAAGCTAAGAATCGTTGTGATCAAGCTGATTATGGGATAGCTTTGGAACAAGCTTTACTTAATGGAATGAGTTTGGAAGATAATTCAATATCTATAACCGGTTATTATCCCACCACCTCCTTGTCATGTTTTAATAATCAACCATGTACATTGACAAAATATTCCACTTATAGTTCTATAAGTTCAAACACCATGAAAGTGATTTCCAATGAAATTATACCTCAATCAGACAATTATTTACCAGTTACTAGTCTTTTAACAACTAATTATACACCCGAGGCAAAGGCTTGTAACTTAACACCACCATTTCACTTCTTTTTATTTTTTTTATACTATTTAGGCTACTGATGAAAAACTAATAATTAATCTATATTCAACACACGAACTCGTTTCTTGATTACTTCTAAGATATTTGGAGATTGGTTTATATTTCTATAAATTTCTTTTAAGCGGCAGTAACAGCCACAACTAAAGCTTCAGAAGCAGTAGCTGGAATAAACCAATATGGTGATGGAGCACCAACTGAAGAACAAAGAGATGTAGCTAATGAAGTAACACTCTTGACATTATCACCTCTACAAGCACTGGCAACACAATCAGCGACTTTACCACCCCAGTTTTGCATGACACATAAACATCCAGTATCCCAGTATGGACATGGAGTAATACCAGTATCTTCTTGAACACAAGCTTGGGCACAATCGGGTAATTTAGTATATATCGGATCAGCAAAACCATTAATTGAAGCAGTCTTTGGAACAGCTGGATAAGTAGCATAATCTCCGTAAGTACTAGTGGTGGTGGCACCTAAGGTAACGGCTGAAAAGGCTAAGACAGATAAAGATTTAATTGAAACCATAGTTGATAAATATTTTTTGATGGTTCAATTAAGAGTGTAACAAGGGTTTATATAGTTGAACAGAATGCCATAATATGGTGATTGGTTACCTTGATCGGAAATATGAGCCATTCTCTAATGGCTAGGTAAGTTCTGTAACATAAATTTACAACCAATAAACGAAACAATCAAATTACGAGACATTAAGTCCAAGAATTACCTTTTGGAATTGTCCATTGTTATGCACAAAATCGACAACTCGTTCAGGACAATTGGTTTTTAAAGTTTTGATAGAAAATGGTGATTGGTGGATTTTATGGCCAAGGACGTTTTCACTAACTACCCATTCCATCGATGTTGTTCGAATCTACTTTCCTATATTCCAACATTCCCTTATAAGAACCAAATAACTAGCCAATAGTGAATATAGAGAGCTTCTTGGTTCGGACTTCAATACATCACCAAAATTTCAACTATAAGGCTTATATCATTATCCGCTATGTTTCTAAAAAAAGAATAAGATTTTTTTTTGTCAATTTTGTCGATTTCGTTGAAGTTTGGCAGATAAGAAGATCCTTCTCTTCATCATCACACCATCTTCATAGTTACCTCCCATTATCCTACCTCCACTTTAAGTATGTGCTAAAGATAGTAATCTACTGGAGACTGTATATACCGCACTAAAAAGGTAAACAAATTGAGAATTGAGATTTATCATATAAGGGTGACAGATAAAGTCGAAACACATAACTAAAACCTTCTAAATCATGTCAGCACCACAAGTAGTCATAAATGACGATCCTAAGATCCCCAATTTCCCTATACAGACCAATTTCAAGAAATCCAATCATCAAATGAAGATAGTTGTTGTTGGAGATGGTGGATGTGGTAAAACCTGTCTTTTAGTAAGTTATACCCAACTGAAGTTCCCAGAAATATATGTACCTACAGTGTTTGAGAATTATGTAGCTAATGTAGTGTCACCACAGAATAAGTTAATCGAATTGGCATTATGGGATACTGCTGGCCAAGAAGAATATGATAGATTGAGACCATTAAGTTATCCAGATGTTGATGTTTTATTAATATGTTTTGCCTTAGATAATATCATATCGTTACAGAATGTTAAAGATATTTGGTTTCCTGAAGTTCATCATTTCTGTCCTGGAATTCCCATTTTATTAGTTGGAACTAAATCGGATTTATCAAATACTATTGATCCTGATTTAGCTATTCAATTAGCTACTGAAATTAATGCTGCCGGATATATCCAATGTTCAGCTAAAACCATGTTCAATGTTAAAAGTGTTTTCAATTTCGCCATTAATATCTTTAATGAAAAATTAGAAGCTCTTGATAAACAAAAGAAACGTAAAAGTTTCTTGGGTCATAATAAATCATCAAGTGTTGGGTCAAAAGGACATTTTAAAAATACTTCAATTACTTCATCAATCTTATTTGATCAACCATTAACCGAAGAAGAAAGAAATCCTTATACTGCCAGGGATAATCATTATGATTATGATGAATTTACTTATGCTAGAGATACTAAGAAGAAATCCAGAAAATGTAACATATTGTAAAAAGTGGGTTCCTTACCTTTATATTTTAATAGATAAAACATTGCACTCTTATCAATCATGTGATCCAGGTACAAAAAATTTCATCGCGATCTAATTTTGTAACTATGGGTGTAACGAATAGGAAGAAAGATATCAAAGAAACCATAGAGGATGTTAAAGAAGTAGTTGAGGAGAAGAACAGTGTAACCAGTGAAAACAATAATAGTGTTAATGAAGTGGGTAATGAAGCATTGGATCATTATAAACAATTACCACCTTATAGATTCAAATTAAGAAATAGATGTTTACCCATTATAAGGAAAGAAACAGAAATCTTAGCGTCATTACAAGCCAAACTCAGAAATCCCATACTAGATTATTATTTTGCCTGGACTGCTAATTTAGCTAGTCATACATTTTATGTTTTAATGTTACCATTATCTAATTGGTTTGGATCAGCCTCGTTAGCAAGAGATTTGGTATTTGTATTAGGGATTGGGATTTATTTAAGTGGGAACTTGAAGGATTTCTTATGTTTACCAAGACCAAGATCTCCTCCTTTACATAGAATCACAATGAGTTCTTATACAACTCAAGAATATGGATTTCCTTCAAGTCATAGTGCTAATGCTACAGCAGTTACATTACTTATGGCAGATAAAGTTTTACAGATGGCCATTTCATATCAAACTAAAGTCATTTTGATGATTTGTTTTGTAATTTATTACGTATCATTAATCTTTGGTAGACTTTATTGTGGTATGCATGGGTTTTTCGATATTTTGACTGGTTCAGTTGTAGGAGTTTTCCTTTATTTATTCAGGAAATTCTTTGGTGAAGCTTGGGATAATTGGTTTATCTTTAATAATACTTTTGGAGTTTATACCACACCATTTGTAATTATTGGATTCTATTTAATGTTAGTTCATATTCATTTTGAACCAATTGATGATTGTCCTTGTTTTGATGATTCTGTAGCATTTATTGGAGTTTTAATTGGATTGGATTTAAGTCATTGGTTAGCTCAAGTAACAGGATTTTTTTTAAAAATCACTACCAATCAGGATATTAATCCTATAATCATTGATTATAATTATGAACATATCGGGTTAATAAAATCAATTATTAGGGTTATTATGGGGATTTCTATGGTAGTGGTTTGGCAATTAGTATCTAAAAGAATTGTCTTCACTATTTTACCTCCAGTTTATAAATTTATTGGTATTAATTTACCCAGAAGAAATTATAAAAGTACCGCAAGTTCCAAACAATCAAATAGAACTATTAGAAGTCAATCAATTTCAAATTTGAATGAAGAAGAGAAAGTGTCCATCATCAAAAAAGATAAAATTGGGATTGAAACAGATATTGATTATTATGAAATGGTCAATCATGAAGTGGTAACACCAGAAATTCAAAGGAAAGCTAAAGTGTTTAAACCAAGATATGATGTAGAAATTATTGGGAGATTAATAGTGTATGCCGGAATTTCAGTTGTTACAGTATGGGGATTTGCTTTGGGTACTCATTACTTTAAATTATCATGAACCCGTAAAACTTGATATCGTAAATAGATACATGCGTAAAATATTCAACCGAAAGTTCGGGCCGCATTCGAAAGTTGGAGCCTCCTTCGAAAAATTTCTTTCAACTGAAACATTGAGAAGCTCGTGTTTTTATAGACACCCATCGGATTTATCTTTCGACGATATCTTACGATTTTTGAATAATGTTGAAGGTCATATTAATGATTAAAACCTCCACAACCTTTCCCAAGGGGGTTTATTATTTACATAGAATGTCGTAGTTTGGGAAAAAAATAATATTTTTCAAACCTTCCTCTCAAAAAGAATCAAACATTATCCATGAAACATCATGAACGGGTTCGTCTCATGATTTATTAAATAATTAACCCATTATACCTTGAGAATCTCTTTGTTTACTCTCAAATATCAATCGTTCCCTATAATCTCCGCTCGTGTTTTCTGGAGTTCCATAATAATGGGAAAGGGGAATAAAGGAGAAAAAAGGTGTGCGAAAATAGAAATTAATCTTATCGGATTATTCAACGATAGTAATTGAATTATTGACGGATTAATAACGAATTAAATAATTAACTGATAATCGGTTATTATTAATCTTTCATTAAATTTTTAACATTTCATTTAAAAAAACATAGTTTTTCCCGTAAAAACTTTACAATTACACAAAAGTTAATTTACAAAATAATGATAAATGGAAGAAAACTACAATTCTAACAACAAATCAAATAGGTCAAATATCAGTTATCTGATTAATGATCTATATAAACAATTCCATGATTACAAGTTAAAAACCGACAAGAAGTTGGATAATATCAATATGAGCATTTCAATGCAGATGGGTTTAATTAATGAAAGATTATTGGCTTTGGAGAATAATGTTCAAAATTTATCAAGAGATTTAAGTGATAGAAAGGGTAATATCAATGTAGCTAATGATAAGATTCAGAAAAAAATTGAATCGATAGGGAAACAAATGAAAGATTTGTCGACGGATTTAACTATCTTAAATTCTAACAATATTAATGAAATGAATTCTATTGCGGGAGTGAATTCTTTGACATCTATGGCGTCAAATAATTCCATGCATTATAGTAATAATAGTTCTAATGATGGATCTCATAGAGGTTCATTGACTAATTCGTCACCTCAACAAATTCAACCTCAATTATCAAATCATTTATCTTCGGCGTCCAATTTACAGATTCAACCTTTAATACCTACAAATGTTGAAGTAGCACAAGCTCAAGTCGAAGTAGCAAAAGCTCAAGTAGCTCAAGCAGTTCAAGCTCAACAACAAGCTGAAGTTCAAGCACAAATTCAAGTAGCTCAAGCACATCAAAATCTGATGGTTTCAATACCACTGGTTCAACAAGCTGCTGAAGTTCAAGCTCAAGTTCAAGCTGTCCAACAACAGGCTGTTGCTCAGGTACAGGCTGCTCAACAAGTAATGCAATATTCTGGGTTTAATGAAGCTAACAATATCCCCAGTGTTGAATCAACTAATTCTTCTAATGCTTTATCAATAGATAATTTAGGAGTTAATGGAGTTAATGGTAATATTGAAGTATCGGGGAACATTGAAGTTTCAGGTAATTTATCAGTTGGTAGCTCAAATAACAATAATAATAATAATAGTAATAATAATGGTAACAGTAATAATAATGATAATAGTAATAATAGTAACAATAATAATAATAACAATAATATGAATGGAATTGGCTCAGTCAATGGTACTGGTTTAGATGATAATGCATTAACCGGAGATTCTTTGAATTCAGGATATACTGATTCAAGTTTAATTGACATTAATAAACAATGGTCAAAAGCTTTAGGTATAAGATCACCAGATATTTCATCGCCATTTACTCCAACCAAGTTGAATAATTTAGAATACCCTATTCCAATTAATAGAGCCATTTCATTCAGTAGAACAATGAATGAATTAGATAATTCCAATTTCAAATCCAACCCAATTCCTGATGATTTAACTAGTGGGGTACTAACGGGAGATGTTATGGATAGCAATTTAGCATCCACAGGTAACACATCGACTAATCCAAGTAATGATGCTTTATTGTCACTAACAACAGATCCCAATTTTAATATCTTACAACCCAATAATCCCTTAACTAACGAATTATCCAATGATCAGCCTCCTTTGAAGAAAAGACGATCATCCAAATCAGGAGATTCAGAAGGAAAATCCCCAACCTCCCATGCATCCAAAAAGATTCATGATGCTCCTCAATATAAAGTTGAAAAAGGAGCTAGAAATGTTAGTGAAATTTGGCAAGAATATGAATATGGGATTAATGGTAAACCTCCATTAAGAGCTTTAGAACAAAAATATAATGCTAAATGGAGAAATGAAACGGAATCTCGTACATTTGTTAGAAGAAAAAAGATTTATAATGCAATTGAAATAGGTAAAGAAAGAGGTTTTAATGAAAATGATATTATAAAGGAATTAGAAGAATCCAGGAACTATTTCACCAATGGCACTGTTAAGAAGAAACCATTAAGTTGGTTATATTCCAATATTCCTGAGAAATATCGTGGTTCTTGAAATCTGATTAATCCAAGTATTGTGAGAGGCTAAATAGTTTCGCGATCTCATCTCAAATTGTGTAGTAACTGTAATATAATAAATAACTTATAATGACACCTGTTGAGAAACGAGTAGCAGAAGATGTGGTTGAAAAACCTTTTATTAAACGTGCCAGTAAAAATGTAAGAAAATATAAAGCTAAGAAAGTTGATGCAACTGCTCCTTTAGGAGTATTGGAATTTGAAATAAATGAATTGGCTAAGGATAATGATTTAACTAATGATATGATTTCTAATGATATGAAGTTGATTTTGAATGATGAATCAGTTTTACCTATTTATCATAGAGAAGTTGAAGATGTAGAAATTTTGAAATTAACAAGTAATGGTGATGGTTTAGGTATAATACCTCATCCTCAAGATATCACAAAGAAACAAATTGTTATAGTTCCATTTGGACTTCCTGGTGATGTGGTGACTATCAGAGTATTCAAATCTCATCCTTCATATGTGGAATCAGATTTACTTTCAATACAAAAAAGTTCTGAATATAGAGATGATTCATTAATCAATTGTAAATATTTTGGTAAATGTTCAGGTTGTCAATATCAAAATATTCTGTATGATCAACAATTAGAATTCAAAAGGAAAGTAATTGAAAATGCTTATAAGTTCTTTGCTAAGGAAATAAGTGATAAATTACCAGAAGTTGATAAAACTGAACCTTCTCCATTGCAATATAATTATCGTACAAAATTAACTCCACATTTCAATTTACCCAATTCAATCAAAAATGGTAAACCTTTGGATTTCTTACCTCCATTAGGTTTTGCTGCTAAGGGTAGACCTCAATGGAGATCAACTGAAGGAGGTGATAATTCAATTCTTGATATTGAAGAATGTTCAATCGGAACTCCTATCATTAATAAAGGTATGGCTAATGAAAGACTCAAGTATCAAAAGACTATCAAGAATTATAAAAAAGGTGCAACCATATTATTAAGAGAAAACACAAGATTAGATAATGAAGAATCTATTAATGACATAAACCCTGAAAAGGAATCTGTGGATGAAAAAGGAGATGTTACAATCCATAAACAAGATGGTCACATTAAAACTTGTGCTACCAATTCAAGATACATAGTCAATGAAATCATTGATAATAAGAACTTCAAATTCTCTGCTGGAGAATTCTTCCAAAATAATAACAGTATTTTACCAGCTGTCACTAATTATGTTAAATCTAACTTATCGTTATCAAATGAGAAACCTAATTATTTGATTGATGCTTATTGTGGATCAGGTTTATTTTCAATAACTTGTTCTTCAAATGTTGAAAAAGTCATTGGTGTTGAAGTCAGTGCTGATTCAGTTAAATTTGCTAAATTGAATGCTGATGCCAACAATATTCAAAACTCAGAGTTCATTGTAGGTAAAGCAGAGAAGATATTCCAAAATATTGATTTACCATCATCTCAAACATCTATTATTTTAGATCCTCCAAGAAAGGGATGTGATGACGTATTCTTGAATCAATTATCCGATTTCAATCCTGCTAAAATCATCTATATAAGTTGTAATGTTCATTCTCAAGCAAGAGACTTACAATGGTTCTTAAATAATACTGCCAATGGTCATTTATATAAAGTCGATAGCATCAAGGGATTTGATTTCTTCCCTCAAACTCATCACGTGGAAAGTGTTGCAGTTTTATCATTAAAATAGCATATTTAGAGTAATTTATATTTAATTAGTTGTATGTTTAACTTGTTACTATCTACTTACTATCTTATATAGTAAAAGATTAAATGAGGGGGGGACTGTGAGAGGGCTTCAGCCCTGACGTGTTGAAACCGAAAAATCTTTTTTCTCAAAATGAAAAACTCTCATTGAAAAAAATTTCATAAATTACATAGATTAATCAATATGGAAAACGATAAAGGTCAATTAGTATGTTATTATAGTGTTATATTGTTCTTGTACCGCATTTAATCAGTGATTTGACGTAGATATACCAAGTGCCACGAAGATGAATTGAAAGATCATTATTTAATAATTACATCTTGAGAGATGAGAGATTATGGAATCATCCATAAGTTGAATTTACATCATTAAAAAAATACACCATGTATTCAAAAAGTTCCATCATGAAGGTTTCATCGTCATATCTCATTTATTGAAAAAGTTATACAAGAATACAAATCCTATTAAACTTCAAATACTAACAAATTTTAGGTCGAATTATACGTTCCAAGAAAATGTTCTGCTACCAACAGAATCATCAAAGCTAAAGATCATGCTTCAGTTCAAATCAACATTGCTAACGTTGACTCAGAAGGTAAAGCTGTCCAAGGTGATGTTACCACTTACGCTTTATGTGGTTACATTAGAGCCAGAGGTGAAGCTGATGATTCATTAAACAGATTAGCTCAACAAGATGGTTTATTAAAAAACGTCTGGAGTTACTCCCGTTAAGATATTTATATAGTACTGTATATCTAATTAATGTCATTCAGAAATGTCTCTAAACGTCTAACCTCTATTGAAGTTTAAGGAGAAAAGTCTCTAAAGTCTCGTGCTCGGTTTCCCCTAAACAAAAAAATTGATGCCCTAATGATCGGCCGAGGATCGACCCACAATTACCGCTAAATTTAGGCCCAACTGTAAATAAACCCCAAATCGCCCCATGCCACTATTGGTTCGATGACCTGTATATACGCTGATAAAGAATTCAGGAGCATTCCTCAACAAAGTTTTATATATCCACACAACTATTACCTTTCATTACCTTACCACCAGACATTAATTACTAGATTAAAATGACTGTAGCTATATTCACTTTATTATATGATGTTAGCTATATGCCTGGATCATTACTTTTAGCATCAATTCTTAGAGAAATGATGGTTTCCAAACCTGAAATCAAATTAGGGGTTTTAATCGATAAACTGGTATTTAACCCTTATCAATTAGGTTTGATTGAAAGCTTATATGATGATTTGATTGAAGTTTCTATGATCGAAACTAATTTACTTAAGACTTTAGTAGAAGATTTGAAGAGACCTGAATTGAATAAGACTTTTACAAAGATCCATTTATGGTCTTTAGAGAAATATGATAAAATTTTATATTTAGATTCTGATACTTTACCTAACAAAGAAAGTAATTTATTAGATTTATTAGATTTGGAATTTGCTAAAGGTAAAATTTTGGCTAGTCCCGATAGTGGATTTCCTGATATCTTCAATAGTGGGATGTTTGTTTTAAAACCAGATTCTAGTGATTTCGATAACTTAAAAGAATTGATCAATTCTAAAGGTGACATTTCATTTGATGGAGCAGACCAAGGATTATTGAATCAATATTTTAATGAAAACCCCGATTGGGTTAGTGGATTATCTACTAAGAATATTGATATGTTAAATGTCGATAATCTTAGTAATTGGGTTAAATTACCTTTCTTATATAATGTAACACCTTCATGTCAATATGAATATTTACCAGCATATAATTACTTTTCCAGTGATAAACTATTTCCTAATGGAATTAATCCAATTAATCCACCCAATCCTAAAACTTCAAAAGATTTAGCTCCAGAATCTTCCGATATTGCTTTATCAGGATATGAATATACTGCTAGGAAACATTTTGGAAATTTGGTCAAATTGATACATTACATTGGTCCTTTTAAACCCTGGAATTATCCTCATTCTCCATCTTATCTGGAATGGTGGTCTTTATGGTATAAATATTTTGATAAGGAGACTTTAGATCTGATCCAAAAACTTCAAGATGTTGAAGTCGAAGAAAAATCTTCCAGTCCACAAATATATCAATATTCTTCTAAAGATTCACTTTGGGACCCAAGTAAATCTTCACCACCAAAATCTCCTGCAGAAACATCGAGTTTTGTACCTAAGAAATTTGTTAATAAATGGGATAAAGTACCTTCCCCTCCTAAACCCCATGTTCAATTCCAAACTCCTAAACCTGATGTTAAAGCTTTAGAGAAAGAATCTAAATTCGGTCACCATTTCCATCAAAAACCTGAAAGAGTATTCAATGATTCACAAAACTTCATTCCCCAACATCCTATGATTGCTAAGTTGAAAAAGACCGAAAAACAAGAGAAACTTAAAGAGGCTACAGCCAAAGCAAAAGCTGAAACTTATTCTCAAGGAGTTAATGCTTCTGAAGTTAATGATAAATTAGAAAAGCTTGCTTTGGAGCAAGACAATACTCCTTAAATCTGTACTATCCTATCATTTTATTGTAGTTTTTATGTTGTTTTATCCCATATGGTTATTTACCATAATTAATTAACTCGTCGTTCTTTCGTGCAAATTGTTTTGATTTTTGCAGCCATTCCAGCATTTAGTGTATTCAGCATCTAGTGTCTAATGTATGTTAATAATTCTAGAACCTTCTATATATATTCATCATTCTTGAAACCTTCTATTTACTTCGTGAATGACCTCAAAACGTTATAAATGACTCTAACTTACCACCCAACCTCCCACTGCCATGACCTAGACTGATATCAGATCAGACACAGTCACCCGGACAACGCACTGAAAAAAAAAATTTTTCATCATCAGAAAATTTTTATTGGATCTAAAACTTATAAATTAAATAAGATAGAAAAATATGTCAGGAGGAATTACTGAAGTCGACGCAGGTTTAATTGAAACCAACTATGATAACGTTGTTTATTCATTCGATGATTTAAACTTAAAAGAAAAGATTGTTAGAGGTATTTTCGGTTACGGTTACGAAACTCCATCAGCTATTCAACAAAGAGCTATCTTACCAATTACTGAAGGTAGAGATGTTTTAGCTCAAGCTCAATCAGGTACTGGTAAAACTGCCACTTTCACCATCTCAGCTTTACAAAGAATTGATGAAAACTTAAAAGCTACTCAAGCTTTAATCTTAGCCCCAACTAGAGAATTAGCTTTACAAATTCAAAATGTTATTACTCATATTGGTTTATACTTAGGTGTTACCGTTCATGCATGTATTGGTGGTACTTCTACCAGAGATGATTACCAAGCTTTCAAATCAGGTGTTCAAATTGTTGTTGGTACTCCAGGTAGAGTTTTCGATATGATTGAAAGACAAATTTTCAGAACCGATAAAATTAAAATGTTCATTTTAGATGAAGCCGATGAAATGTTATCATCAGGATTTAAAGAACAAATTTACAATATTTTCAGATTATTACCATCAACTACTCAAGTTGTATTATTATCAGCTACTATGCCACAAGATGTTTTAGAAGTTACTACCAAATTTATGCAAAACCCTGTTAGAATTTTAGTTAAAAAAGATGAATTAACTTTAGAAGGTATTAAACAATTTTTCATTAATGTTGAAAAGGAAGAATATAAATTCGATTGTTTATGTGATTTATATGATTCAATTTCTGTTACCCAAGCTGTTATTTTCTGTAACACCAGATCAAAAGTTGAATTTTTAACTAACAAATTAAAAGCTGAAAACTTTACTGTCTCAGCTATCCATGCCGAATTACAACAAAGTGAAAGAGATACTATTATGAATGAATTTAGATCAGGTTCTTCAAGAATTTTAATTGCCACTGATTTATTAGCTAGAGGTATTGATGTTCAACAAGTTTCTTTAGTTATCAATTATGATTTACCAGCCAACAAAGAAAACTATATCCATAGAATTGGTAGAGGTGGTAGATTTGGTAGAAAAGGTGTAGCTATCAATTTCGTTACTGATAACGATGTTGGTATGATGAGAGAAATTGAAAAATTCTACTCTACTCAAATTGAAGAAATGCCAGCTGATGTTGGTGCTTTATTTAGTTAGGGGGTTTGTAATCTAGATGAATCAAAGTTTTGATAATATTTTCTTCTCTGCTGTTATCTCTAATGAAATGTTACTTTATCGTCATGTAAAAAATGTGTGCGAAAACTTGATAAATGGAGTTTTCAATGCCAGGATCTTTCCCTATGGAAGGGAGGTCTCCAATTCCTCCAACGAAGATTTCAGAGGATATGATGGAAGTTGTTAATGATGAATATTTAGAGAACTTCCAGAAAAGACAAAAAATCAGTAGGAAAACGATAAGGCAGAGCAATCTAATAAATCAATTGGATAGTTTGATATATATCTTAGCAGGTTATCAATTGATAAAATATTGTCATTCAGCAAGTTTAATACCGTTGGTCGTTTATGTAATATCACAAAAATTTCTTTGCTGTGACTCTTTCACATCAACTGATAGCAGTGATAATTTCATGACGTTTTTGAATCAAACAGAGAGACAAAATCAAGAGAATAATGTTGATCCCGAACCTATAATGAAGGTTTTCTTCAAGAAGATTCAACAGGCAATTTATTGGAAATCATTGTTAGTGATGATCTATCATATAGGATTTGTATGTTTCTGGTTGATACCATTAGCTAATAAAGGGAAATTAAATTTAGTAGTTAATGGTACATGGTGGTTCGTTTCGTTTATTGGTGAAACTATCCCAATTTATGAGTCCCTAGATACTTTCAAAGATAGAAATTATATCACCAAGATGATGGATTTGGGACTTGTTGGATTATTATTCTCCGATGCAATGATACTTTTAATACAATTGATACTATTTCAATCGATATATATCCAATCCACACTTTCACCTATGGGAAGAAAATTAAACGGTAAAGAGATAGAATTATTGAGATTACCCAATGATGTTTCAACTTCAGCAGCAGCTGATGAACTGTTGGATTCACCTGATGAATCACCCTTTGCATTACATGTTAGACTTTATGAAGCTTTAAATTTGAAATTATTTGATCAATGAAATACGCACTTTGAATGTTTACTCTAAGAAACTTTCTGAAATCTTTCATACGACTTAAACATGATTATTCCTTGAAATTCCCTTTACAGGTGGGATTTCCAGTACTGTCAGACATAGAAGATACTCATAATATACTTTCAAAAGTTTTAATTGAGAATGATAGAAGTTCTAATAACATTGATTATTTGGTTGATAAGTTTTCAATATCACCAGAATTATTCCAAACTCCTAAATTTGACTTCATATTCACAGAACAAAGACCTGAACAGCTGAAAGGATTGGATTTGTTTTTGTACCAATATAAATATTTAAAATACATTGAAAGACAAGGTAAAAGAAGATTCGAAGATCTAAAAGATGAATGGAGACGACCATTTGATGATCCCGCTTACATTCAGAGATCTTACAAAGAAAAATTAAGATTATGGAAAGGTTATCAGATAGTCAATTTCTTGAAAAAGTACCTGAACCATTCATTTAATCCCTATATTTATCTGAATTTGAGACCTTGGGAAATCATAAGTGATAAAGTCCAAAAGAAAACTCCACCTAAAGATTACGAATTAGATTATTATGACATTATTTTAGAAAATGCATCGAAAAAGTATCGAAATAATCGATTACTTGATCAATATTTACAACATTATCCTGAAAATGAAATGTTGGTTCATGAAAAACTTTCACCTAACCACACTCAAATAGCATTGCTCAGTAGAAGGCCCAAAGTATCGTTTTATCATGCATATAATGCCAAAACTGGCTTTTGGGATAGAAAAGGATACCAAAATCGATTATTGGCTCGTTTGAATAGAATTCATTGGTTTACTTATGTCTCTATGCATTACATATATGCTATAGGACAAGGTGGAGAATATCGATTTGATGATTATTTGAACACTGATAGAACGTATTATCAAGGTAATTACCTTGAACAACTATTCTATTTCAAGGGGAACCTACTTTATAGATTAGAGGAGACTGAAGACCTTCAAGTTTGATGAAGACCGTTAATATTTCTAATGTACTTGATCTCCGGCACCTTAATCCTTCAATTATCTCCGTGTATAAATACTACTTTACCTCCTCCCCCTCTCCCACTCATTAACTCCATCCCCATCGTGTGATACTCATAAACCATCTAAGCACCCTCATCCTGACGCGTATTTAAATGTATAACGTCTCAAAAAATTTCAAACACAATCTTCACAATATGACTAAATCATTGGAACAAGTAATCAAGAAACCTAAAGTAGACCATCCAGAAATCTTAAAAGTATTCTTAAGATCAAAAAATGCTACAGTTCCAACTAAAGGTTCAGCATTAGCTGCTGGTTACGATCTTTACTCCTCAGAAGCTGGTTTAGTTCCAGCTCATGGTCAAGCTATGATTGGTACTGATTTAACTGTTTGTGTACCAATTGGTTGTTATGGTAGAGTTGCTCCAAGATCAGGATTAGCTGCTAAACATGGAATTTCCACCGGTGCAGGTGTTGTTGATGCTGATTATAGAGGAGAAATCAAAGTTATTCTTTTCAATCATTCTGATAAAGATTTTGAAATCAGTAAAGGTGATAGAATTGCACAATTAGTATTAGAAAAAATATTGTTAACTGATATAGTTGAAATCACTGCTGAACAATTGGATGAAACTACAAGAGGTGAAGGAGGTTTTGGATCAACTGGAGGTTTTGGTAAAAAATAGACTTTGTCTAATACATATATTATTCGTTATTCTCTATATACAGTTAGTATAAATATTTTCTCTATAGATTTAGCTGAGATTAAAATCCAGCACTTGGTCTGTTATCATTTTGCTCTTTAGCATCCGACCTTAAATTTGATTTGGCACTAGTATCAACTTTTATAGGTTCTGAATCATCATTCGACGAAGATTCTTCAGTTTTTTCAGTTTTTCCAGTGTTTTCAGTTTTTCCACTATCTTCATTTTCAACTTGCATACCTTCTTCACTAGCTTCTTCTAATTCATCTAATTTGATTTCATCTTTAACATGAGTAACAGTATCTTTTTCTCTTAAATTTTCTTCATTGATTAATTCATCTTGTTCTTTCAAGATATCTAATTTCAATTTGGAATCATCAGATAATTGTAATTTGGCAACATTATAAACTTCATCAGGAATTGATGATAATACTGCTAATAAAGCATCATAATAAGTTTCAATATCATGATGTTCTCCATAAGTATAAGTGGAAGTCAAAATTAATAATGATGAAGGGATTTTTTGTCTTAATCTTAAATCTAACCAAGTTTCAAGATAATCTCTTAAACTACCAGGTGAAACATTTTTAGTACTTATACCTCTTTGTTGACAGGCATATTTTAATTCAGGAATGGTTAAAGAATCAACTCCTTCATAATCAATGGCTTTATCATCTTTGATGATATTTAATAATCTATGTCTGATTTGATATCTTAAAATTGAATCAGTACCAAATGGGGTGATACTCATATATTTTGACATGGCTAATAATTGAGGTCTTGATAAGTTATCTAAAACTTGATCATTCTTGAATAATCTGGCCACTTTGATCAAATGATCTCTTGATGGAGTGTTACCCATTGAAATAGTATCGAAAAATGAAACAAAAGCTTCTCTATCTTCATCATTGATTTTAGTTAATTTCAATCCACTCTCTTTAATAGTTTGTCTGATGTATTCAGAAGCTGAAGTTTTGGCTTTAAATAATTTGGCACTCTTCATTTTTCTGTCACTCTTGGATTCATAAGTTGAAGGTAAGAAATTTGGGAAAATTCTAACAATAACAGGAATCAACAATTCAGCAAATGGGATCAAAATTAATGCAGCAAATGGAACTAATCTAACTAAATCACTCAAAGTTCTTTGTAATTGATTAGATTCCCTACGTGATAAAGCATAACCTGAAAACATCTTCATTAATAATTTGGTCGATACTTTGATTTCATATCCTAATAATTTGGTACCATCTTTATAATGTTTAGCTTCATGCTTAACTTTTTCCCATAATGTCATTTTGGGTTGTTCCTTTTCTTTCGATAAGCTGGTGGTACTTGGGGTACTTAAAGCTTTAGTTTCTTCTTTTTTGACATCTTTCTTTATTTCAGGTTTACTACTTGATGAATTATATCTTATGAATTGATTGATTATCCCCCAATTAACATTCTTGGTTTGATGACCTATTATTCCATTTGATATGTTATTAAAACTATTGGTTTTATATATTAAACCTCGTTTGGTTATCAATTTACCTAAGGGTAAATGTGTCTTAGTTAAAAGTTTGATGATCATTTAATTGACGGTAACGATGGCAAATAAATAAGTTCAAATAAATCTGATTAATTTTGGATGAAAGTACTTAAAATTTACTAAGGAATTTGATTTCCGTCTAACTATTTCCTTAAAATTATGATAGAATCGTTATAAAGAAATAAATAGGATCAATAGTTTGAAAAGTTTTAAATTTAAAACCGTGAGAGTGCTGGCACTGTCGTGCACGACATGTAAAATGTCGCACGGTAGGGATTTGTTCGGTTGTAATTGCTTCTGGTTGGTGGTTTGCGACTTACCGGGATTTGGTACCACGACTTGGTACCGTTCGGGAGAACGATTTGGAACGACTCGAAACCATTTCCGATATATCCTTCTGGATATTAATGCGGGTATTTGATAAAATTAGCATTAATATAATATTAATTGACTTCTATGAGGATATTGGTGATACTTTATGTTGATTGACTTCATAACATTCCCCCAAGCCACCATGTTTTCTTGTATCTAAATTATTAAGGGGGTTCAGGTACTATCCTTACATCTATTATGCACACTTAGAGTCGAGATTCGATGTCAGGTCACTCAATGAATTTGCAGCCAACGAGCAGTTACCAAAATTGTTTGGTGATTTGCTGAAAAAATCGTGTTATTGAAAACACGAAACTGAATCTAAGGGCTTAATTTCATGATAAAGGTTTAAGGAACGTGTTTTATTACAGCCTCTTCATAAGTGTTCAAATTATATTTGTTGACCTCCAACTAACTATTCGTCAACTTTAAAACTGACTATTCGTCAACTTCCAATAAGGAGAGACAAGAAATGATAGATAAAGTCGACAAAAGTATCTACGTCACCGAACCTTATTGCGGTCATCATAACCATCTGCTATAACGCCTTTTATCTGGTGATGAAAGGCTAATCTTAGATACGTCAATCCTACCCTCACAGACATTCCCCCTAAACATTAATATTTTAAACACATGACCAGGCAATGATAAATTCTTAACTATTATGGGGTTAATCGACAATTGGAGACCCCATTTTTTTGCATTATCTAAGAAAAGGGGTTACCACACGATGGATATATTTCTTATACTTTTAATTGCTACCATATAATTCCGTTTCACTCTATTCTATTATCAATCTTCGATTAACTATATCTTTATTCATATGCTTGTTAAGTCATCTTTTCCAACAGATTTATTGTTCCATAGATATGATTTCCCGAAATAGGATTAAATTTGTTAAATTTAGCAAATGAACTTAATCAGTGCATCAAATAATAAATTTTACCCCTAAAATAAACCCTTCTCTACGCCAATTATAAGGAATAAAATTCCATAAATGTCTATATTTGCTAAGAATACTTTCTTTTAATGTCTTTCATAACCTTGTAAACGTTTTTTACCATATAGTGTATCAATCATTTTTTGGCTGTGTCTTGCTGCAAACTTTCCCCAGATTGCGATTGAATGAATCTTTACGGTTAAAATGAATTTTCATTTGAAATTGTCGAAAACCATAAAGCAATTCAAATTTTCTACTGTTAATATAAATTACGGTGAATTCCTTATGATTTAATTATAAAATCTATATTTAATAGAAATTTCTTATCTGTAATATTAAATTAATTTGAATCAAAAATGAGTGCAATTTCAGATGCTATTGGTGGTGCCGGTTCTTTAGCTGGTGATATTACAAGTGGTGCTGGTTCATTAATGGGAGGTGCTAGTTCAGCTGCCGATTCTTTAACTGGTGGTGCCAGTTCAATGATGGATGAATCAATGATGGATATGAGTTCTGCTATGAGTGAAGCTACCGGTTCTGCTGGTTCAATGGCCGACGCTAGTGAAAGTGACATGAGTGATATGATTGAAAGTATGACTGGTGGTTCATCAGAATCTGATTCTTCTGAAAGTTCATCTTCTGGTTCTTCAGGTTCTTCTGAATCCGATTCAGCAGGTGGTGATGCCGGTTCTTTATCTGCTCCAATCTTATGTGCTTTTGGTGCTGTTATTCTCGGTTTATTATAGGGTATATAAAATGAATATCTGATCAACTGGTCCTTATCTCTCTTATCTAAAATTGCAGCCACTTCTCCGGCCGAGTTATCTGATTTTTGAGGAAGTCCCATGTGACAAGCTCAACATGACTTACAGATGACATATAAGTGACACCCACCTTTTTAAGCTCCTGAAAGTTCCAGCCCCTAAAATCAAAGCCGAGACACACATCTCTATCAGATCCCTGTCATCGCCAGAATGCTGGTCGCGAAATTGTTATCCACAATCTATCGAAATGAAATCCATTCTTGATGAACCATTCAAGAAGACCAAGAAGAAAGGCAACAGTAAGACCTTCACCTTGATCTCATTGGTCTTACTTTCATTATTTGTTGTGCAATCTTTTTCAAATGTCATTTCTGTCAAGTCCCACTTTCATTTTAATAATCCTCATAAAGATAAGGTTAATACCAAGGCAAAAAAGAATGTCATCATGATGGTAACCGATGGAATGGGTCCAGCTTCTTTATCATTAACTAGATCTTTCAGACAGTTCACTGATGATTTACCTATCAATGATATCCTAACTATTGATAAGCATTTAATCGGTTCATCTAGAACAAGAAGTTCATCTTCTTTAGTCACCGATTCTGCCGCTGGAGCCACTGCTTTTAGTTGTGGTTTGAAATCTTATAATGGTGCTATTGGAGTTGATCCAAGTAAATCTCCATGTGGTACTATTTTAGAAGGTTTGAAATTACAAGGATATTTAACTGGTTTGGTTGTCACTACTAGAATCACCGATGCTACACCAGCTGCTTTTTCAAGTCATGTCAATTATAGATGGCAAGAGGATTTAATTGCCCAACATCAATTAGGTGAATCACCCTTAGGTAGAGTGGTTGATTTGATCATTGGTGGTGGTAGAACTCATTTTTATCCAATTGCTGAAGGTGGTAGTAGAACTGATGGTAGAAATTTGATCAAGGAATATTCCAAAACTTGGAATTATGTTGGTAATAGACAAGAATTTGATGAATTGAATTCTGGTGAAAATGTTACTTTACCATTATTAGGTTTATTGGCAGATTACGATATCCCATATGATTTAGATAGAGATTCAAAGGAATATCCATCGTTAGCTGAACAAACTAGAACCGCTTTAAGAGCATTATCAAAAGCTACTGAAGATTCTGATCAAGGATTTTTTTTATTAATTGAAGGTTCAAGAATTGATCATGCTGGACATGCTAATGATCCATCAGCTCAAGTCAGAGAAGTTTTAGCTTACGATGAAGCTTTCAAGGAAGTTCTTGACTTCATTGATTCGTCTGATGTTGAAACTGTTGCTATCTCAACTTCTGATCATGAAACTGGAGGTTTAGTAACTGCTAGACAAATCAATTCTAATTATCCTGATTATTTATGGTATCCTGAAGTTTTATTCAACAGTAAACATTCAGGTGAATATTTAGCTCATAAAATATTAACACAAAAATCAAATACTGAAAGTGTTGAAGATTTCTTGGTTAAGGTCTTTGAAGAAGATATGGGTATTAAGAATTTCTCAAAAGAAGAATTACAATTGGTTAAAAACACTAATGATGCAAGTGAATTGATGTACATTTTAAACAATATGATTTCAATTAGATCACAAACTGGTTGGACCACTCATGGTCATTCAGCCGTTGATGTCAATATCTATGCCTACACCAACTCACCTTCAATAAAAGAGAAGTTGTATTCCCATAAAGAAAATGTTGGATTATTAGGAAACCATGAAAATATTGAAATTGGTAAGTTCATGGCCAATATCACTGGTGTTGATTTCGAAGAAATTACCAAGAAAATCAAAGGAATTGAACATAATCCTTTAGAAGTTGAACAATTTTCTATCGATAATTATCATCCATCTTTCAATGATATCAATTGAAATGATATCAATTAGACTAATAACATTCAATCTACTTTTATAAATTTTTCACCATTTCTCATTATTTTCTCTCTTATCTGACGTTATCTCATAGAATTGTGAAATTCGCAGCCAAATGCAAAAATCACTGAAAAAAACTATTTAAAAGAAAGTACAAATCTATAACCTATATTAACCTATATTAAAGAATTATTCAATCAAATTTTTGTTGTAATTTGGCAGAATAATCGTGTTTTGATAATGATGATCTTAATTTTTTACCATAAAAATAAAATGCAAATGGAATGAACATCATAGCTAATGAGATAAAAGCTAATAACCAACTTGCCCATTGAAGGCCTAATTTATGATACATTTGACCTACAAATAATGGGAACGCAGCACCACCTGAAGATCTTAAGAAAACTTTAGTTCCTAAGGCACTAGCAGCTTTTGTAGCATAAATATCCAATAAGAAATTATTTAAAGAATAATATAATAACACCATACCAAAACCAAATGCAATACCTGAAGAAGCAGGAGCAACCCAGATTAAATGTTTGAATGACGTAGCACCAAGAATAAACAATGCAATAGCAGGGAAAGGAGCACCAATCATAGCACCCATTAATCTATCTTCTGGTTCTGGTTTTCTAGTTCTAATTAATTTATTATATCTTCCTTCTAATAAGACAGTGAAAACTAAAGCTAAACCAGCACCAATTAAAATTGGAATATACATCAAACCGACTTTATCTAAACCATATCCATACAATTTACCGAAAATTTCAGGATAAGCAAAGAAAAATGCATATAATAAAGCATAAATCAATGCAATAAAAGCACAAATTAAATCCAAAACTGGTTCTTGAACAATGAATTTTAATGGCATAATTAAATTTTCATTAGCTAATTCTTTCAAAGTCAAAGGACTAACTTCTTGTTCAGTCATAATTTTTGGATTACCAGTTTCTTTTCTTAATTTTTTAGCTCTATTTTTCAAGATTACTGGAGCATAAGTTTCAGGTACTAAGGAAACTAAAATCCACATAACACCGGCAAATGCCATGTTGACCCAAACCATTAAATCATATCTACCAGTATCTACACTGATAAAACCATTAACAATACCACCAAATACTGGACCAGAATATGGACAAAAACTAAACACTGCAATAGCGAAACCTCTTGTTACATCATGGATATCACAAATGGAAGCACCTACAATAGTTAAAGCAGATGATGAAAAACAACCACATAAAAATCTACAAACTAAAACAGTACCAATATTTTTAGCAACAGCGATTGGAATATTGAATATAACATATAAACCAAAAGAAATCACATAAACTGGTTTTCTACCTATTTGTTCACTTAAAGGAGCCCAAACCAAAGGACCCACACAGAACCCCATAACCATTAAACTAACACTTAAAGTTGAGACTTCAGTTGACACACCAAATTTTTCATTAATTAAAGGTAAACCACCAGCTAAAGATGATGAACCATAAGCAGCTTGAATAACCAATAAAGATAATATTAAAGTATAAAGAATTTTATAACTCATGGACCAATTGACGGGATTTTCAGGATCATCTTTAGTAAAAGTGACCAATTCAATTTCCGGATCCAATTCCTTTTCCCCTTGGAATTGTTCACTTTCTTCTTCAAGTTTCTCTTCTCCATCACCAGAATCTAAAATTGAACTAGCTACTCTGCTTAATCTTCTTCTACCTAAACTTTGTAAGGTTTCAACTTTAACTAACCCGGTTTCGGTTTCCATAGTATATTCTTCAGGAAATATTGGATCATGAACTGGAGCTTTATTAACACCTGGTAATGGAATTTCTGATTCAATCCCTTTTTCATGTAATGATTCATAAGTTTCTGTTCTTGTTTTGGTTAATCTATTTGTATTATTGGTAGGCACAGTACCTAATGATAGTTGACTTTGTGCATCTTGATTATCATTATAAAATTGTTGTGGAGCTTCAGAATTAACTGAAATACTATCTGAATCTCTATCCATCATATTTAAAAATATTTACTGATTAAAATCGAAGGATTATCAGACCATTATATATTATCTATCCCGATAGATTCCCGTTTATTATACCTTCTAGGGTTTTAGCATGCATAAAACGGCTAATAACATCCGATTGCTTTTACTATGGAGGTCGCGTGATCTTTCTCATAGTTAAGCCATCTAATTCCGACAGTTCAGGCCATTTGCAGCCAGTGAGGAAAAAATATTCATGCACTTTTTCCATGGATAACCTGATGGTACATGATGGATCACCGGGTGTTTTCTAATAAGGCTGAGGGATATTTTAGGAAGTCATGGATATAACTTGCCCATTCGCCTGAATTATAATCACTCGGAGTTGACATATGTGTCAGTCATTGATATTATAGAGATTGTTTTGTTCATCGATGATTAGCATGTTATCTGTCAATCTTCGATGTATCGATGGCTTCACCTCACTAATAGACTTATTATTCCGCCGGTTGTACATTGTAGATAACCTGTCATACATTTGGTTTCAAACTTTCAATCGTACATTCTAGAACCTGGATTAATGGTTCCTAAACTTTCCTTTATCTTATCTTTCAAATCTCGGATATAGAGGATATTGAGAAAATGTTATTTATTTCGTAACTATGTTATATAACTTTTTGTTTGACGAGACAGCTTCATAAGGATTTATCAAACTATCTTCATAACAATCCAAGATAACTTTCTTGAGGATTTCAATACTCTCTGAATCATTTTGGAAAGTAAATGCTAATCTATTACCCATTAATTTAATATTATTCAATTGTCCCTTTTTAATGAATAAATCTTCATTCATTTTCATTGCTTTGAAATCAATAAATACAAAGTTAGTATTCACTGGACTTTCCAACTTTATACCTTTAGAAACACAGAAATCTCCAACATTTTTAGCATATTCATGAGATTTTTTCAATTTTGGGAAATTTTCTTCAATTGCAACTAATGCCATTGATGTTACTATACCAGCTTGCCTTATACCCCCACCATTTTGTTTTTTGAAGTGATTGGCTTTATCTATAAATTGTTTATCACCAACTAAAATCGATCCCATTGGTGCACCCAAAGACTTTGATAAACATAATGACACTGAATCAAAATAAGAACAGTATTCTTTGATTGGAATTCCGGTTTCAGCTGAAGCATTCCATAATCTAGCACCATCTAAATGAAGCCTTATATTCTGACTCTTTGCAAATGCACTGATTTTCTTTATTTCTTCAAGAGGTAAAATTATACCATGTAAGGTGTTTTCTAAGGAGATTACTTTAGTAGGAGCTGCATGTATATCTCCATTATCAGGAGTGAAATTTTCAATTATATCTTCAAGTGTAATATAATTACCATTACTTGGGATAACAGGATGTACCATGGCTTGTGATAAAGTGGCCAAACCACCAGCTTCATGTAAAAATACATGAGATCTATGGTCACACAATATTGAATATGGTGGTTGATATAAATTTGCTCTTAAACCAATTTGGTTGGACATCGTACCACTGACACAAAATAATGCTGACTCTTTACCTGATAATTCACACATTTGATGTTCTAATTCCAATGTAATTTCATCTTCTTTATAAACTGAATCTCCATAAGTAGTTATTTTTGCAGCCTTCTCAATCATTGACATTGTAGGTACAGTGAAGGTATCACTTCTGAATTCATTATGTGTTGGATAAATATGATCAATAACTGTCATTGATTTATATGTAATATTCGTTAAATCTTATTCGGAGAAGATTTTTGATTATAAATAAGGAAACTGTACCATCTCTTGACTCATATAATTTTTTTTCGCAGTTTCTTTTTTTGGCGGTAACTGTGGCCGAGATATTTAATTTTTTGCAGCAAACAAATGGCTGTAACGGTAATGATGGCTAACAACGGAGGTTATGAAACTTAAAATTGAAAATCCATGCGAGGGAGAGGGTTTACGTATCTAATGCCAGGGGGGATCTTTTGACACATTATCTAACAGTTTCCCTGCTGAAAATCCCCTCAAAATCATTTTCAACATCACCAGAGTTTTTACGGAAAAAGGGGGTCAGAATTGGGTTATTTATTTTCTTCTTTATAAAAATAGTCAAAAACGTTTTGTTGATAATCTAAGTTCTTACCACTGACGCCATTTATTGACGTGTTGGCAAGGTTAAAGCCGTTACTGCCAGGATTGTTGATTAAAGTATTCCCATTTACGTTATTATCGCTAAAATTTCCATTCAAGGTATTGTAACCGGAGTTTGGAGAATTCAATGTGGCAGATTGTAAATTTGGAGATTGAAGTCCAGGTGATTGTAAACTTGGAGAATTCAAATTGGGAGAATTCAAATTGGGTGAACTGTTGTAATTCCATGATTGATGAGAATTAAAATTTGCATCCCAAATATTTGAATTGATACTTGTTGAAGTTGCCAAAGTGTTTTGTAAACTTGGAGAAGAAGAATTTTGATTATAAACATTCAAGAATGATCTATCAATGTTGAGATTATTTTTATTCCAATTCAAAGGTAAGAATTCCAAAGGTAATTCTTGGTTGTTGTAAATATTAGGGACATGAACTCCTTGAGTTTGAGCTATATTATTTTGCATTTGACCATTCAATTGGCCATTTAATTGGCCAGTCCTTTGACCAGTCATTTGACCAGTTAATTGGCCAGTTAATTGGCCAGTCAATTGACCATTTAATTGACCATTGTTCAATTGATTCGGATATTGACCTTGATGACTAGGATATTGACTCTGTGAATGTGATGACAGCATGGATTGAGCAAAAGTTTGATTTTGCTGAGGATTAATTTGACTTAATGGTTGAATTGGCGGTGGACTACTCAAAGAATGACCTAATTGAACAGAAATCAAAGGTGGTTGAGGTTGATTTTGAGGATCTTCATTATAAATATCACCATAGAAATCTTGAATATTATTCATTGATTGATTTGGACCTGGTGATGAACTTGATGATGATGATAATGTTTGAGATTTAGATCTATTTCTAATCTTCCGTTTCTTGAACAATTTATTTGATTCACCACCAAATTCAATACTAGCATCAAATTCATCAATAAATTTAGGTACATAATTCTTATCCTTTTGACATTTCAAAGTTTCCAAATCTCTGAAATTAATAACATAATTCTTAATTTCAGCTTTGAAACTGTTCCTCCATGCATTATCAAGACGATTCAATTCATTCAAATCTGATTGAATTTCTGATGACCAAGTAGTATTTGAAATGATATTATTTAAAATATCCAATCCTTTGTTATTAATAGAATTATCATCATTGAAAACTTTCTCCTTTTGCCATGGTTCAACTAATTTCTTCAAGAATTCCCAATAATTATTGATTTGTTTCTTATTATTCTTAGAATTCTTTAAACTGATTTCATTCTTATGTATATCTTGTTTGATGTTAGAAATTTCCAATTTTATTTCATTAATTTCATTATTGATTTCATCCTTTTCATTGAACTTCTTAAGTTCGATCTTATCTTTCTCTTTCTGTAACAAATTGAGTTCATCTTGTAAATGTTCAAATCTTTTCAATTTGGTTTGATAATTCCTTTTCAATTCAACTAATTGATCAACAAGCTTATTCTTTATCAACATAACATCTTCCTTTTTCTTCTGTTTCTCTTTGAAGTTAGCTAATGATGAGTTAATGATTTGGTTAGAATCTTTCAAATCTGAATTCAAACTGTCATAATTGGAATTAATCTTCTTGATCTCTTCATCTACACTTAATTGTTGGTTTCTGAATTCGTTAAATATCAACAATAACTTATACTGATTCAATTTCAACAATTTATCCAAAGTTTTTTCATCATTTATCTCAGCAATACTTTCAATTGAAATATCTTTATGAGAGGCATCATCATCAGAAATGTCATTGATCAAATTGGTCTTAAACTTCTTAATATCTTCCACAATATCTTCATTGTTATTGAACTCTTTAAGAATAATCTCTGACTCATTTTCACTAGTGGTTTCAATGAAAATAGGATTACTTTGTGACTTGAAGTTATTGATCAAGTTAACGGCAATTATTTGAAATTGATAAATAGTGTCAGGATTTAAGTCATTGAATTGACAGTTAGTGGAACTTAAGGTGGCTGCCTCCTGGTTATTAACTATGACAATATAATTTAGTTGTTCATCGTTATTTATTTTGATATCCCAATGAATAGTAATGGAATTCGATGATATAGAATCAATGCAAATATTGGGTATATGAGGTATGTCGATATTCAAATCATGGACAATATCGTCGGTGGGGGCTCTCAATACCTTAATACATCGATAAACTAACCAAATAATCGAAGGTATTAATGTTATTAATACTTCAATCATGATGTAGTTTTCAACACCTAAAGATTTTATGTCTCAGTCAAATTTTTAACAACCAAAACATGTCACGTGACACATGTCAATGGTATTTTGGAATTTAGGTTTTATGATTTTAGAAGGTTTAGTACCTAACAAGAGTAAGATAAAGATCGATTCTTATGAATTTGAGTTCGATCCAGATGCAAATTTTTCCAGTTGTGTTCTGTTGATGGTCATGTCATGTTTCAGACAAACTCACTTTCCTAATTGGTTCGGAGGCTGCAAATGTGTCAAAATACGATTAGGGCTTATGTACCAAATAAGGGGTAATTCAAAGATTTGCTTGCTTTAGGCTATATTTACAAGAATTGTAGATCATTAAAATTCCACAAATCGTTCTTATCAACAGACATAACTCCAAGGCACTTGCTACGTCATGAATAGCAAATGAGAAAGTATAAATAATTGCTTGTCCCCAGATTTTACTCCATATTCATCCAATAATACCATATTTAAGCTTTAACAATGAATAAAATAGAATTGGTAACTCAACCCGAAACTGATGATAGGGTTAAACAGACTATTGATCAAGATACTTTGAAGAAACTAGAAAAATTAATTACTCAAGAAAAGGAATCACCAGAAGAACAAGTGGATTTTGATGGTTTTAAGATACCTGATGGTAAGATTCCATTGGACGGTCATTTTTCAACTAATGAAATCAGAGAATTAGTGAATTTAGCTAAAAGTGAAGGTTTATTAAGTGAAAATGTAGTAGTAACGGTGTTAGAATCTAATGGTGCTCTTGGTGATAAGTTGGTGATCAAAGAAGAAAACACAGAAGAAAAGAATGATAAAATTGATAAAGGGGATGTAAACCAATCACTCTTGGTCCCTGGAGCTGATGATAATGACAAGGAAGATAAGGAAGATAAGGAAGACGATGGTGAAAACAACGGAAGACGTAAAAGTAGTGTTGGTGAAGACATAGCGAAAGCCATTAGTGAAGCCAAAGCCAAAGCCAACTAACCCAACCCCCCTATTTATATATGACTTTGTACTATTTTTATTTATAAACGATTAGATGAAATCTCTGAGAATTTGAGAACTGATGAAGACTCCCATAATAACAATAGGATTAGTCCTAACATTGATCTTTCCTATACTTTTCAATTTCAAACTTCAGGGTACAGATCTTCCTAAATGTTCAAACATTCGAATGTATCCTAGTTATGCTAGGATACCCCAGTTTGATGAAAGGTTTACACCTTATGCATCTAAATATTCATTATATCTATATCGAGAACAAGGTAAAGATTTAAAGCCAACGGCGAAAAATAATTACAAGTTGAATGGTATACCGGTATTGTTTATACCAGGGAATGCTGGGAGTTATAAACAAGCTCGATCCATTGCTTCTAAAACAGCCAATTTGTATTTCAATAATGAATATAATGGACCTAATACAAATATCCAAAATATGGATTTTTTCACCGCTGATTTCAATGAAGATTTCACAGCTTTCCATGGAAGGACGATGTTGGATCAAGCTGAATATGCCAACGAAGCGATTAAATTTATCTTGAGTTTATATGAAGAGAACATCACGTCAGTATTGATCATAGGACATTCTATGGGAGGTATTGTTTCGAGAGTTTTGATGACCTTACCCAATTATAAACCCCAATCAGTCAAGTCTATAATAACATTGTCGTCACCACATAGTAAAGCTCCTTTGACTTTTGACAGAGATATCATGAAAATCTATCAATCAATAAACGAATTCTGGAAATTGGGTTATAGTGATAATGAAGATTCCATAAGTAAGGAGGCTCAGAAAAGATTGAAGGATGTTTCTCTTTTTTCAATAACTGGTGGTTTATTGGATAATATTTTACCAGCAGATTATACTACAGTTGAAAATCTTGTACCCAAAACCAATGGTTTCACAGTATTCACATCAGGAATTGAAGATGTTTGGACTTCAATTGACCATTTAGCTATTGTTTGGTGTGATCAATTAAGGACAGTAATTCTGAACATGTTGTTGGATATGATTGACCCTTCTGTGGAAGAAAAGGTAAAGCCTTTGAATGAGAGAATGGAAATAGCTAGACACCATTTACTTACCTTTCAACCAATTAACTTAATTGAAAAAGCACATGATTATGAAAATTATAATTCTTATCAAGGTGACGTTGCTTTAATGTCTAAAAAACCTGTAAATATAGTGGCATGCAACGAAACCAATAGTTGTTATGATGTCAGTACTCAAATATCCAAAGTCCCAAATGGTTTATATGCTATGAAATTACTGTACCCACATGTTTACATATCCAATGAAGACGTGACAGTAGGAACTTCACAGACGATTAATGTGGATGTATTAGCTTTCAAAACCATTAAAATCCCAAACACTCTATTATCAACCATAAATTTGAATGTCGATAATAGTATCATATCTTATGATATTAAATTCTCCTCTCCAGTGGTGACGAGACAGTATAATACCATAGAAACTAAATGGCATGATTCCCAAGAATTCAATTTAAATTATCATGGTTCAGCTCCTTTCATCTCATTTAATGAAAATTTGAAACTTGATGTTTGGAATATGGAAGATAAAGACTTAACCATGCACATATCCATCAATCCATGGGTTTCAATGAAATTGCTCATTATAAGGTTTAGATTAACTATCATATCTTATGGATTGGTGGTGGTATTGATGGTGTTTTTGAAACAAATGAACGAGGATAAATTTCCTAGTTTCAATAAAACCTTAGGCGAGTTATTGACCACCAAGAATGTCATGATGTATCTTGTGACAAGCATTATCATCAATATGTTAATCAACATTCCCTTGGTCAATAAACTCGTGAATTTAGTGTTCCTTGAGAATGAACCATTATTGATACTTGGAGTTAAGAACTTCCAAATCTTGAATATCATGTTCATGATACTTTCGGTTACGTTCAACTATATTTTCAGTTATGTTCTAGAATTCTTGTCATCAAGGAAAGTTCCTACACCTGGCCATTCCAAAAGATTTAGAATGATTGTTAGCGGGATTTTACTTCTTTTGACATTGATTTACTTACCTTATCAAGTCATATACATTATATGTTTCTTAGTTCAAGGGTTCAAATTATTCAAGAAGAATTCTCATTTCAACATCACCATCTTCTTAATGATGTTATGGATAATACCAATCAACGTCCCTATCATCATTGTTTTGATTCATAATATTTCCATCAACTGGAGAACTTCATTCTCCTCACATCATAACATCTTATCAATTCTTCCAATATTCACCTTCACCAACCTTTACAATTATAAATTCAAACCATCCCCATTAATCAAAGCATTCGTTTGTTATTGGATAGGTTATAATTGGCTTTATGGATCGATAAACACATTTTTCATGTTCCATTTATTCAATTATTTCTGTGTGTTATTGTTGATAGATTATGGAGTAGAGAAGTACTTATAATACATTTATATTAAATTCATCAATTCATTATCATTTTTGATTAGACCAATCAACTTTTCATTTACTTTAATCAATTTCTTTGTCAATAAAAGAGTCAATATAGGTCTCAAATCTTCTGTCATAATCTCTGGCATGGTGATATTCAAATCGTAAAATCTATCGCCATTTTCGATCAAGAGTTTCTGTAATTCTTGGGATTCCTCCAGGGAAAGGGTGGTAAGGTTATCAAGAAAATACTCTATCTCTTCTTTTATTATGTTATTTTGTCCCATTTGTTTAAGCTCACTGATGCTTATGGTGGTTGATGGCTCCATGTAGGGGATCTCAACAAAAGGATCATTTTCAAGTAAATACGATCGTTCTTCTGAATAAGTCTTCATGGATTTCTCTGGTATGGAGGTCTCTGGTATGGCCCTTTCAGGTATGGGCTTGGAAGTCTTGTCTGGAGCATTCTTAATCTCATATCTTGTGATAGGTATTCGGTTGATTTTTTCATAGATCTCTTCACTAAGGTCGACTTGTTTCTTTTGTTTCCGGGGTGATTTCTCATACACTTTGGGTTTCAATTGGAGGTCTTCAATCTGGCCCCAAGCACTTTTTTCGGTTTTACCAGGACTTGTGATGTATTCCAATTTTCTCCTTGGGGAAGATTTTGGTGTTTCTCGAGGTTGAAAGTTGGATTGGGTGGGAGTTGACACTGGTGGTATATTATGAGATGTTCTAGAAGGACTTTGAAGTGAAGCATCGGATGGTGGAGGTGATGGTTTCCTTATCTTCTTGATTGGAGATCGTACACCACTATCCATTAACTGCAATACTTTGGAATATCTTTTGGGAGAACCGAAATTCAAATCATCTAGAGCTTCAAATTCATTTCTTTTTCTAGGTTTCAGTTTCTCTATGCTTGGTGAAGGCAATAGTAGATTGGAATCATTTTGTACCTTCATTGAGACTCTCACTTTTGAGAATTTAGAGAAGAGAGTTAAGTGTGAACGTCGGGGGAAAGAGGGAGCAGTACGTTTGATTAGATTTGGACGTTAACCCTCAAGATGATTCTTCCACAATCCAATATCAATATTGACATTAGCAATAAAATACAATAGCCATACAAACTTCACTATCTGATAATTATGTCATTCGGAGATTCGATCGTATAAGCCTCAACTCGCCAATTAGCCCATTGAAAACCCTAAGCTCCAACTGAACTCTCCTGACTTCACGAAGTCATCCACACTACATTTGTACGGTCTCCAGCTTACACGAACACCCCCTACCGTCCTAACCAACACCCTTTAATCTCTGCTAATTCATCCTACATTCGCACCTCGTTGAAAATAAACACTTCAAATCTGATCTCGATTAACTATGTCACTTGAAAAGAAGATTAGAAATTTCTTACAAGGTCCTAGAAAAGGGGAAGCTTATGAATTGAAAAGTGGTTTGGTGAGTCAGTATAAACATGAAAGAAAAGATGCCATTCAACGAGTCATTCAAGCTATGACTTTGGGTAAAGATGTTTCATCATTATTCCCTGATGTTTTAAAAAACATTGCAACCTATGATTTAGAACAAAAGAAATTGGTTTACCTTTATCTTATGAATTATGCAAAGACCCATCCAGAATTGTGTATTTTGGCCGTGAACACTTTTGTTCAAGATACTGAAGATCCTAATCCTTTAATTAGAGCTTTGGCTATAAGAACTATGGGATGTATCAGAGTCAACAAAATGGTCGATTACATGGAAATCCCATTGCAAAGAACATTGAAAGATGAAAACCCTTATGTTAGAAAGACAGCTGCTATATGTGTAGCCAAATTATTTGATTTAAATCCTCAAGTTTGTATTGAATTTGGATTCTTAGATGATTTAAAGAATTTAGTTAATGATGGGAACCCAATGGTTATTTCCAATGCTTTAAACAGTTTATATGAAATCAATGATTTGAATAAATCTAAAGATTTGGATATTTTGATCATAAATTATGATTTGATCAAGAATTTATTATTAGTTCTTAATGAATGTACTGAATGGGGTAGAATCACCGTATTAAAATGTCTTAATGACTATAATTGTAATTCAGCAGAAGAAGCTAATCTTATTATTCAAAGAGTCATACCCCAATTACAACATATAAACCCAGCTATTGTTTTGTCATCAATCAAAACAATCTTAAAGCATAATCAATTACTTCAAAAAGCATCACAAGATGCTAATTTAAAGAAATTGAGTAGTCCATTGATTTCATTGATTTCGAACCCAATCCCTGAAGCTCAATATGTTGGTTTAAAGAATATCAGAATCATTTTAGAGAAGTATCCTGATATCTTATCAAAAGAATTAAGAGTTTTCTTTATCAAATATAGTGATCCGTTATATTTGAAATTGGAAAAATTAGATATCATGATCAGATTAAGTAATGAAAATAATTTCAATTTATTATTGAATGAATTGAAAGAATATTCAATGGAATTTGAGCCTTCATTAATCAAAAAATCTATTAAATCTATTGGTTTAATTGCTATCAAATTACCAACTTCCATAATCAAATGTATTAATTTGATAATTGAATTGATCGATAATAGAGGTGGTGAATTAATAATCAATGAATCTATTAATTGTTTAACCACTATATTAAGAAAGTATCCTGGTAAAAATGATTTGATTACATTGATTTTACCAATTATTTCAAACAACTTCAAAATCGATGAAGCTACTCATGAATCTATTATGAGCTATATTTGGTTAATGGGAGAATACCCTAATTATTTCACAGGTTTAACTAAAATTTTATCATCACTTTGGGAAAATAACTTCAATGAATTTAATAATGAAATCAAATTGATTTGGTTGAATTCCATCATAAAAATTAATCTTAATAAGAATTTGAATAATGAAATCTATTCAAACTTATTACAAAAGACCTTAAATGAAATCACTGAAAATTGTGATGATATTGATTTAAGAGATAAAGCATATATTTATTGGAGATTATTATCCGTTAATGATGAACAATTGACTGATAAGATTATCTTACATAAATTACCACCTATTGATTCTGTTATCAAAAATTTCAGTCCACAAATTTTGAATGAATTAATCAATGAATTAGGTACATTATCAACAATTTATGGTAAACCAAGTTCAACATTCATTGAAGCTCCATCCAATGAAATCAAACAAGTTACTGAAGAAAAGGAAATTAAAGATGAAAACTTGTTAGATTTTGATGATGAGGAAGAAGAAGGAGGTACTACTACAAAGAATGAGAACATTTTGGATGAATTGAGTGATTTATTCACTAATAATCTGAAGAGTGAAACTGATGATATTTTGAATTTATTCAATGAAATGAATATAACACAACCTTCACAACCATCCCAAACTTCATCACAATCTTCCCAACCTTCAAATTCTAAAAATATAGATGATTTACTTGACTTATTTTGAGTATATATATTAACTATGTAATTTATTTAATATATTATCAATAATATCATTATCATTAGTCTTTTCATCATCATTGGATACCTTGACCAAGTTATAGTCAATTAACTTTTCAATATTGGTCTTTACATCTTTTATAGTATTATCAATGGTAGTAATCTCATTATTCTTATTAGTGATTTGATTTTTTAATAACATGATCAAAGATTCTCTTGATTGATGCGGTCTATAACTATTAAGTATATGGTTAATGTTGATGATGATAGTTTTCAAATCTTCCACTTTATCACTGAATTCTTTAGGGTTGATTGACATTATACCTAATAATTCAACATAATTTGATAATAAAGATTTAACGAGTTTATGCAATTCTTCTATCTTCAAGTTGGAATTATTCAAATCATTAACTTCATCTTTATATAATTGTTTAAATCCCATAGCTTCAAGCCCTGGTAATTTATCTTCAAATGACCAAATATTACCATAACCTTTATAATATTCTCCTGTTGGAGGTGTTGGAGGTTTGAAAAATTTCAATTCTCCTTGTAAATCTTCAGTATTATCCAATTGTTCATACTTTTCTCGATTCTCCTCAGTGAAATATCGGTAAAATATCGGTGGTGGAGGATATAACGACGATATCAAATCTTCTGCCATGATTAATTTCTTCAGTGCGAATTTTTGGCGTTACATATCATGAGTGAAGATATGGATATCGATACTTGTATGTATAATAATTGGAGGTTTAACGGAGAGATTGGGTAATTGGATCAACTAGTAACCCTGAGGTGGTGTAAAATTCACGTATTAGTAAACCCTGGAACCCACAAAACTCACCGGATCAATGTGATGATTACTAACAATCTTTAAGTACCAGAAGTAGAACAAGACAAAGAAAAGAAACCAAGATTCGAAGTTAAGAAATGGACAGCAGTTGCATTTTGGTCATGGGATATTGTAGTAGATGTTTGTGCTATTTGTAGAAATCATTTAATGGAACCTTGTATTGATTGTCAAGCTAACGTAGGTGGGAATAATGAAGAATGTTTGGCTGCTTGGGGTCAATGTAATCATGCTTTCCATATGCATTGTATTAATAGATGGTTAAAGACTAGACAAGTTTGTCCCTTGGATAGTCAAGAATGGGTTTTCCAGAAATTCGGGAAATAATTACCCTGGTGGTATAATGACTATGATATATATTAAATAAATTCTGTCCATAATTAGTGTCTTCTTTCAAAACTTCCTAATGTTACTAATTCTTCACATCTTTCTTTTAATTCCTTTAATACTTCATTAAGTTTTTCATCTTTCATATGTCCTTCAATTTCAACAAAGAATGCATAATGCCAATTTCTTTGCTTTGATGGTCGAGAATTAATAGTTATTAAATTGATATTATGTTTTTGAAATTCCATTAAAATTGAACACAATGAACCTGATTTCCGATCATGATCTTCTTTCATGGTGAATATAATTGATGTGATATAATTTTTAGCTGGTGAAGGTTCTTGTTCCAAACATTCATTCCCTAAGATCAAAAATCTAGTGGTATTATATTTATTATCTTCAATATTATGTTGTATTATAGGTAAATTATATAACCTTGAACACATTGATGATGAAATACATGCAATATTCTCTTCATTTGATAAACTAACAATCTCAGCAGCTTTAGAAGTGGAATTAGTATCTAACTTGATGACTTTTTTATCAAGAGATTTTAAAAAACTCGATACTTGACCCCAAACTTGTGGATGTGAATAAATTTTAGTGATATTATTGATATCTAACTCTTTAGATAATAAATTATGATGAATAGAAACAAATTGTTCACCAACAATCTTAAATTTTGGTTCATTATTTTGGAAATACCAATCTCTAATTAAATCATAAGTGAATATAACTTGACCATTAGTTGAATTTTCAAATGGGACAATAGAATAATCTACATCTCCTGAATTCAATATTTCAAAACATTGATCAATAGTTGGTTGTGGATAGATCTCTATATCTTCACCAAACTCTTGAATAACTGCTTGATGAGTATAAGTACCTCTTGGTCCTAGAAACGCTACTTTAACCATATCGCACAAATTGCATTCGCAACAGGCCCGCACTTTTAAGCAGACATTGAGAAGAGTTTGATTCAATGAAATGAATTTAAAAGTATCGGTGAACTCACCGGACAATTCTAAATTCACATTAACAAATCAAAAATCAGCTTAAAAGAAGAGCAGGTAAATACTTAATCATGCGAAGTATTTACAAAACGAACTACAATGCAATAACGTCGACGATCCTATTTATTAAGTGGATCTAATAACGTTATGCTGGAATAAAATCAAGGGTTATGCCCTACCAAATATTAAACTATAAACCTTGAAAATATACAAGATTAAAAAGGAAATTTTCTTACAGAAAAAATCCAAAAATATCTATATAAATTAAATTCTAAAGAATTTAAGCATCTTCATCAATAACACCTCTTTCGGAAACATAGATACCATCTAAGAATTTACGGATATCTTTGTTTCTGACTAAACATTTTTGTTGAATATCAGCAGCATTTTGAGAAACATCTTCTAATGAGTTACCTTCTAAGACTAATTCATCTTTTTGGGTAGCTGATTGTGAGATAGCAACACCATCAGTAACTGGAACTTTTCTAACTCTTTTTTCACCTAAGAAATTTCTAATTTCAACAAATTTCTTACCTTCTTCTTCAATGATGTTAACATTGATTGGGAAATGCGCATAAACGTATCTCATTTTGTATTGATAACCTTTGGTAACACCGGTAATTAAGTTAGCAATTAAAGATTTAACAGTTCTTAAAGCAGCAACGTGTTTTCTGTCACCATTGTGGACAACAATTTTAATTTGTTTGTTGTTAATTTTTTTGAAGGTAACATCAATATGTTTTAAGTTTTTGGTTAAAGTACCTCTTGGACCAACAACTTTGATTTCTCTAGCTTTGATTTCTAAAGTAACACCTTCTGGGACTTCTAAAACTTGTTCAGTTTGGACGAATTTCATTGTAACTAATTTATTAACTTGACTGGAAGTGAAAAATTTGAAAAAAATTTTTCTCACGCTTTTAAATCATCACCGGTCGTGGAAGGCTATTTTAAATTGAGAATTTTTTTTTTCTGAGTTTTGAGACAGACTGAAATGTTCGCAAGGGATTAAACTTTTGTAAGGGACCACACAGGTTGTTAGGTAAAATTCAGGCCGCAAGATCATTTGTATGGGTGTACTGAGGTGAGGCTTTTAATTCCGGATAAAGGAACTCGATAAGGTAGAGAATTCCACAAGGTATAAAGATCAAAGTGATTCAGAAAAATTTCATTAAAAGTTTACTTAAAATGTTCAAAGTTCAATCAGAAATCTATCAATTCAACGGGAAATTGTTAAAATTACAACATGAATCCAAATTGACTAACACTCCAATGGATGTCAATGTATACTTCCCTAATAAGACTGGTAAATTACCAATTTTATTATACCTTTCAGGTTTAACATGTACTCCAAACAATGCTACTGAAAAATCATTCTTACAATATTTTGCTAGTAAATATGGATTTGCTGTTATCTTCCCTGATACTTCTCCAAGAGGTGCTAATATTCAAGGTGAAGATGATAGTTGGGATTTCGGTACTGGTGCTGGATTTTATGTTGATGCTACTGAAGAACCATGGAAGAATCATTACAACATGTATTCATATGTTCATAAAGAATTACAACAAGAATTAGCTAAACAATTCGATAACTTAGATTTTGATAACATCTCAATCTTGGGACATTCAATGGGTGGATATGGGGCTTTAGCCGGATTTTTAAAGAATCCAGGTCAATATAAATCTGTTAGTGCTTTTGCTCCAATCTCAAATCCTTCCAATTGTCCTTGGGGTGAAAAGAATTTCGGTAATTATTTAGGTTCCGATAAATCTAAATGGTTAGAATATGATCCAACTCATTTGATCAAAAGTTATAAAGGTGATAACCAACCAGATATTTTGATTCATCAAGGTAAAGCTGATGGATTTTATGCTAAAGATCATCAATTACAACCAGAAAACTTTGTTGAAGCCACTGAAGCTTCTGATTATAAAGGAAAGGTTTTATTAAATGTTGTTGAAGGTTATGATCATTCATACTTCTTCATTTCTTCCTTCGTTGAAGATCACGTCAAACATCACATTAAATATTTAGGTTTATAGCAATTAAAATTATAGTTTATTAATCTATATAAATTATTGTGAAAACTTCGACTCCCAAGCTTCACACCATTTGACTTTATTCTCATTAGATTTATTGACTGCTTTAACAATCTTAAGTAAATTATTACAATTCTTATTAATACTGGTTATTAAGTCATCAGTGATGTGACTTATTTTAGCATTCATCATTAATTCAACTATAAGCTTATCAACAAGATTGACTATTTGTTTTTGATTCTCAAATAGTTCATTAATGGTTTTACCTGATGTGATTGATGGTAATGATTTGGATATGGAGGAAAATAAAAGTTTGATAAGTTTGAATTTATTTAAAATCTTTGTTCCGAAAGCAGTCAATTGAGCTTTAGTTTCTTCGTCAAGTTCTTCTGGTTGTTCATCTTCATCTTCATCTTCATCTTCGAATCCGAAAGGATCTTCCGATACTTCAGGATCTTCAACCCATTCTTCAAATTCATCCAATCCGTCTTCTATCAACATGATGCTTTGTTTGAATTTAGTATTAAGTAATCCCAATTTACCATCTTTCAAGACTTTAGTCAAATTATCACAACTTGACCAGACTTTTCCTACAGACATTAATCTAGTATTTATATCCCTTGCAACTTCTTCTGATTCTTCTTCCAGGGTTTCTTGTTCGATGATTTGTAATTGACTGACAAGTTCAAGGTTACTTTGGAAGATTTCACTGATCTTTAAGATAATTTCATCGTGAAATATTATAGATAAGGTTTCAGGATTTAATTGTGGGATTATTGAAATAAGGAGAATAATTGATTCACTGGCTTTAGAAACTGTATTATAAGCAGCATCAAATTGTTTTTGGAAAGTTTCAGGTTTGAAAATTATCCCGATCTTGGTTGTATGAGCTTTAATTAAAGATACTAATTTGGTTAATTCTTCTATAGGATTATCTACTGAAGCACTTTTGATTTCCTTGATTTTTATAGGATCATTGATAGTAATCAACCAAGATTCCAAAGCTTCCTTGAAGGAAGCCAATAATTCTTTCACCTCTTTTCTGCCATTCTTTGTCATTTTTTATAACCTTTTGCGATGATGTAGATTCGCGAATATGCCAGAAGACAATCCTCTAGATCAACTGATAGTGGATCCCATGTATTCATATAGCCCCGTAGAGTCTGATCTAAGAGACGGGAATGAGAGTAGGACAATATCAATTAGAAATAACAACAGAAGGAATGATCCTAATGGAACTCATTTGGTATCGATATCATATGCTAGAGGATATGATAACGATAACGATAATGAGATAACCGCTAGGGGAGGAGTACAATATTCAGATAATTTCGCCATTGATTCAGATTTTGGTGGAATGGATTCAACGGATGATAATGATAATGATGATAATGATAATGACAATGAAATTGGTAATGAAGATGACGTAAGTTTTGAGGAAAGGGATGAAAGTATTACTACGGGTTTGAATAGGATTAATTTAATTTCCCACTTTTTCCATGAAACCCAGAGTGGTTTGGGCAGGTACCATTCCGATATCACCAATGATGATTTACCTAGTGAAATTAGAAACATTTCTTATCAACCTTTAAGATTGAGGAGATCTAATGCCATAAGGAGAGTTCCACAAAGAATAAATAATTACCATCTTTCACAAATCAATAATGATGAAGACCTCACCAGAAATGAAGCTGAAGAGTTCGGGAACTATCCTCAGTTCGAGATCAATAAGGTTTTGAAAGAGTTTATGAACTGTTATAAGAAGATATCATTCGAGGAGAATCCTATTTTTGGATGTTTCAAAGAACATGTGTTCAGTAAGTGGAATAATTATGATTTAGACCATAAGTTGAATAAGTATCTAAAAATGACTAATAAGGGAGATATCTTTAAGAATGAAGTAACGAAAAGAAAGCAAGTAGATAAGGGAAATAACAAACGTAGGAAAATTGGACCTAAATCAAAGGAAGTTGTAAGAGAACGCAAGGAAGAAGAAAAGGGAGATGAGGAAGGTGAAGAAGAAACAATAGTCCATCATGATCATCAACGAGAGAAATTATTCAAATTGAAATTTAGTTCATATTTCAAGAGAGGTTCAAGTTATGACTATGATTACCTTAATATAATAGTTCATCAAATTGATTATAAAACAAGGAAGTTATACTTAAAGATGTCGATATTACCTACATCGGAAGATTTCGTTACTAATTTTGAAGATTTCTATAAAGCCATTATGCCTACAACATATAAAAGTGAAAAGACCAAATTATTGGAGAAATTATTTGATGAAGCTAGAAATAATCCCAAAGCAGAGGCCATCTTTAAGAAAAGAGGCATGGGATTCTTGATACCCGGAGAAATGATAGACTTCAAAAATAATGATTTAAGATATATGAGTAAAGAGTTTCATGAATTCAAAAACTTGCATTTGGTCAAAATCACTAATTCTGACATCAAATTACAAATTCTTAAATGGTTCAAAATCCCACCTTTCCATGATTTGAAAAAAATCATATTTTTAAAGTTTTTGAAATTCATTTTAGCTCAAGACATACCCAATTTAAATAAGTATTTATCCTTACTTGGATTCTTGGATAATTATAACTTAACCACATTGAATTTAACTCCTCAACAATTTGAAATCATCACCAAATTAAGGTCTATAAGCCAAAAACTCAATCAAGTTAAATTATATTCAAGAATCGATTACTACAAGAAGATTTGGCAGAGTAAAATTACCAATCATTTCATTCACTTCTTAACCTGTGAAAAGAATTGTATTATCAACTTACTTTTGAATTATAACCTTTTCCATTTATCTATTGCTACCGACAAGTTTCTTGAACAATCGATAAATCAGTTTTTGCAATTTTTACCTAAAACAAAATTAAAGTATGAATTTGAAGAATTAAAAACCAAAAGTCTCAAAGAAGATAAACCTATTAGTTTGATAGGATCATTAAATAGGAAAAACGGCGATTTAAATATTGCCAGTACTGGAATGTTGATTGATAACTCAACCAACCTAATCAAAGCGGAATTCACTCGTAGAAACAAAAATGTTTATAATACTGGAGGTGGAGATCAAGTATTCGAGTTTACTTAAGATGTTTGATTAAACTATATACATATAATGAAATAAATGATGAACAAAATTACCAGAATCCCCAACCACCTTTACCACTTATTCTATCTTGTTTCTTCTTATTAAAAAAATCTTTTCTACATTCTTTGTAAGCATCAAAGAATTCTTGACATACAGTACGATCTTCTTGATTTCTTAAAACACAATTGATACTTGCTTGTCTACTTTCTTCACAAGGATCATAGAATTTGGATGGTTCTTTATGAACCCAACGATATTTATGACGATGATTTTCTGGATTATCGGGATAAAATTTATAATTTTCAACCCCACCTTCAGTGAAATTCACTTTATCTTTATCTTTAACTACTTCATCACTACCTAAATCCTTAGTTTCTGATTTAGTAACTTTTGGTGGTTTATTATCAGTCTCACTCATTGGAACTTTTGAGATTCAATTTGAGAAATCATCATCTCATCGCAAATGTCAGACATAACGATTTGTATCAAATGTAATGAAACCCCGTCTACCATAGTCAACCGTAAGGAGGCGATGTGTGACTCGTGTTATAATAGATTTGCCAGAGGTAAATTGCGGAAAGCTTTATCATTGGATATATATAAAGTCAATTCAAGATATGGTATCCATAGAATCTTAGTAAGCTATAGTGGAAGTAAAGCCAGTTTAGCCACTTTAGATATGTTATATGATTTGATGATTGAACAAAAGAATAGAAATAATGGTAAGAAAGGATTTGAAATAGTGGTGGTTAATATTGATGAATTTGAACGTAATTCTTTACCCCAATCAATGACTAGTAAGTTTGATGAATTGAAATCAAAATATGAGGAAGTATCGTTTAATGTGGTGAATATTAATGATTTTTTGGATGGTAAGAAATTGATTGATTACGGACTCGATAAGCAATTCAATATCGTTATCAAGAAAAGTGATAAGTTAACTATGGATCAAATATTCCAATCTATCGATAAGTCTTCTCAAGAAGATCTCACAGAAATCTTATATGATAATATTCTACTTGATGTTTGTAAAAAATTCCAATGTGGTACCATAATGTATTGTGAAACCATGAACAAATTAGCATCTGAGAGTTTATCATTGATCATTAAGGGAAGGGGTACCAAAATTCCTGAAAAAATTAATGATACTACCATTGAAGATATTCATATCATACATCCTATAAGGGATTTATACACCAAAGAAATCGAATACTATAACAACATCAACGGAATCAGTGATTTGGTGGTGGAAAGTAATAGAGTGATATCCAATATCAATAAGAATATGTCAGTTAAAGAAATTGTAGATAGGTATTTGAGGAATGTTGAACAAAGTGGATATTCTTCAACTATACCCACCGTTGTAAAGATCAGTGAAAAATTAGTGGCACCATCGAAATTCTCAGGTAATGATACATCTAAATGTAATATCTGTGGAGATACTATCTATCAAGATTGTAAAACTTGGTTAAGTAAAATCACTGTTAATGATTCAGCTCCTTTAACTGAAGAAATCGAACATGAATATTTGAAAATGTTCCAAGATCAAGAAATTAATGAATTTGATAAATCTACTGATATACCAATATGTTATGGTTGTATGGTTGCTATGAATAAACCTGTTACCTGGCCAACTGATGAAGACATTATTAATGAATACTCTTTAGAATAGACGTGTATTTACCGGAAACTCACCTCTATATGTATGTTATTTGTGAGAACTCAAAAAGATATCAATGTATTCACCTAACTTTAAATTGAATTACTATGATCTTTGGAATGAAAATGATTCCAAGGAGATAGAATTATATCAGCCACCATTATCAGCATATTCTCCAGAATATTCTGGATCTTCTAATTTGAAATTTAATTATTATATACAAAATAACACTAAACAGCCAAATCAAATATCTCCATCAATTCAAATCAAGATGAATAAGTTATCCACTATAAAGTATTTTGGTTATAAGAGTTTGAAACCATTGGGTGTCAACAAAACCATGGAACAAATGGATATGGAATTCCAAGAAACAGATTTTGGTAACGAAACTAATCTTGAAACAAACATAGAACATCTGGTAATTGAAGAAGTAAGAGAGGGTAGAATTGAAGGTAACACAAGAGATTTGGACGATGAAATACCCGACTTGGATTCTGACGACGGGTTTATGGCTCAAGACGTAGAATATCAAAATGACCATTCAATTCCTACCAGAGATGACGAGGATATGATTTTAGAAGATGAGTAAGTATATTATGAATTTATGAATGAATGCATTTAATTTTTAGTAATGATTTCTGTTTGTAACTCTGGTGATATGTTGATGATTGATTTACTGGTTTTGAAATCGACTTTGGAGGTAGATAAATCAAAAGCTGGTATGATCCATTTACCACAACTACATCTTGAACCTTTCCAAGAGTAACCGCCAACTTTACAATTACAATTAGGACAATTTAATCTTCCTTCCATTTCTCCTTCATCACCGAAATTCAAGTTCATCCATTTCAATGGATCTTTTAAATAGTAATGAGAACAGACACTGGATGCTTTCATTGAAGAATAGACAGTTCTTCTTGATTTTTTCATGAAATTTGCTTGATTTGAAGTTTCATCAGGAGGCTGATGAGGTAATATTTGTGTTGATAATGCTAATGGATGTCTACATTTCTTGCAAGTTAATATCCCATCTTCTTTTTCTTCTTCTTCTTTTTGAGTATCTTCTTCTAGTTCCTCTTGTTGTTGCACAAATCCATTGATTTCATTAAACATTTGATATCCTTCAGTTCCTAATTTCTCCGATAAATATAATCTGAACTTCAAATCCTTCATGTTTCCCGTAATATCCTCGTAAACCTTCAATTGTTCCATGAAATCCTCATTTATCCGGATTTCTTGTCTCCTTTTAATGGCATAAATGGCTTGATCTAATGATAAGCGATAATATTTAATCAAATAACAAATCAAGATCGTTACGGATCTACTTAATCCTTCATGACAATGGATCAACAAATGCCCCTGATGCTTAGATTTGATATTAGGGTCGGTTTCATTAAATAAAGCAACATTAATGAAATCAAAGATCTTATTCAAATATGGAAATATAAGGTTATCGTTATCATTCAAAGGAATTTGTAAATGCACGTACTCGGAAAGATCAGGTAAATCTCCAGGTATTATGGATAAAATATGAGTTATGTTACCAAGATCACCATCTTCAAGTGGTTTGATGGAAGATAAGTATATATTCCCTAATATTCTATTCATGGTAATTCGCGATGAGATCAAGTTAACAGTATAAGAAGAGGGTCAGACCACTGAAGTAGAAAATACTTCTTTTGACTCATTAAACGCCTCTAAATGATACAATCAAACCAATGAATCATACTTACATCTCTGAAACTTCACTATCAACCCTAATTCCAAATATCCGAAAATACCAATTTTTTCACCTTCACAGTGGGTGTACCGTACTTCGTGCGGCTCTAAGAATTTTCGTGTCCGATTTGAATATCCTCGGTAATCGAATAAACGGAATGAAATATTTTTCCTGGAGTTAAAAGTCCGTTGGTAATAGGATTTCTACCACATAGTACATAAATTCCAATACAAACAACTTCCTTCTAATCAACCGTGTTTTAAAACCCGAAATGCTATCAAGCGGGTGGTCAGATAATTTTGGGTAGTTTTGCTTATACCCGAAAGTGTAAATCATATGAAAAAAAATAATTATCCTATAATATCCCACAATACAATTTTTTACTCCGAAATCTGGGGTTGGACATTTCCCACTACCATTTTTTGAAAAGGATTTTTTTCCTCCAAAGAGGAGTAAAACTTTTCACAACTTTGATAATCTCTATATATAATTAATGATGTAACGTAACTTAAGGTGGTTTAACTATAAAAATGAATAATTTTTCATAAATCATTGATAAATTATCATAAAGGTATTAAAAAATGATCTCATTTGTCTCAAAAAGACACTACTGAGATTTCATTGGACAATTCCAATTCTCATCCATCCATTCCTCCATAAATAGTGAAATATTTCCTCTATCTTTTTTATCTTTTATAATTATTTAAAACTGTAATTTTAAAAAATGTCATTAATTAACACTGTTAAAAGACAACCAGTTAAAGCTCTTGCTAATGCTGTTAGATTCTATTCAGCTGAACCAACTTTAAAACAAAGATTAGCAGAAATCTTACCAGAAAAAGCTGAAGAAGTTAAACAATTAAAGAAAGAATATGGTAAAACTGTTATTGGTGAAGTTTTATTAGAACAAGCTTATGGTGGTATGAGAGGTATCAAAGGTTTAGTTTGGGAAGGTTCAGTTTTGGATCCAATCGAAGGGATTAGATTCAGAGGTAGAACTATTCCAGATATTCAAAATGAATTACCAAAAGCTCCAGGTGGTAGTGAACCATTACCAGAAGCTTTATTCTGGTTATTATTAACTGGTGAAGTTCCAAGTGAAGCTCAAACCAAAGCTTTATCTGAAGAATTTGCTGCTAGATCAGCTTTACCAAAACATGTTGAAGATTTAATTGACAGATCTCCAGCTCATTTACATCCAATGGCTCAATTTTCAATTGCCGTTACTGCTTTAGAAAGTGAATCTCAATTCGCTAAAGCTTATGCTCAAGGTGTTCACAAATCAAAATACTGGGAATATACTTACGAAGATTCTATTGAATTATTAGCTAAATTACCAAATATTGCTGCTAGAATTTATAGAAATGTTTTCCATGATGGTAAATTAGGTGGTATTAATCCAAACTTAGATTATTCTGCCAATTTAGCTAATTTATTAGGTTTCGGTGGTAACCAAGAATTTGTTGAATTAATGAGATTATACTTAACTATTCATTCTGATCATGAAGGTGGTAATGTTTCTGCTCATACCACTCATTTAGTTGGTAGTGCTTTATCATCACCATTTTTATCATTAGCTGCTGGTTTAAACGGTTTAGCTGGTCCTTTACATGGTAGAGCTAATCAAGAAGTCTTAGAATGGTTATTCAAGATGAGAGAAGAATTACATGGTGATTACTCTAAAGAAAATATTGAAAAATACTTATGGGATACCTTAAACGGTGGTAGAGTTGTTCCAGGTTACGGTCATGCTGTTTTAAGAAAGACTGATCCAAGATATACTGCTCAAAGAGAATTTGCTTTAAAACACATGCCAGATTATGAATTATTTAAATTAGTTTCTAACATCTATGAAGTTGCTCCAGGTGTCTTAACTAAACATGGTAAAACCAAGAACCCATGGCCAAATGTCGATTCTCATTCCGGTGTTTTATTACAATACTACGGTTTAACTGAAGAATCATTCTATACCGTTTTATTCGGTGTTTCCAGAGCTTTCGGTGTCTTACCTCAATTAATCTTAGATAGAGGTATTGGTTTACCAATTGAAAGACCAAAATCTTTCTCCACTGAAAAATATATTGAATTAGTTAAAAATATTAAATAGGTGTATTTATTTATTGACATTATATGTCCGTTATTTATCGTGTTATGGCTCTTTACTTATGATACTATCTCTGTTAACTATGGGAAGATTGAAGGTGCGAAATTTTATCGGATGAAGAATTACTCAAAGACTCTTCATTTACCAAAGACTGCTTTTGGGGCAAGACCTAATCCTGAACTACTACCCAGGATTAAATCTAAGACCACGACAAACTTATATAATAACCAAAAAAAGTCGGGATCAAAGTTCATACTTCATGATGGTCCACCTTATGCCAATGGTGATTTACATCTTGGACATGCATTAAATAAGATCTTGAAGGATATGATTAATAGATACCATGTTCTTCATAAAGACCAAGTGGTTGAATACACTCCGGGTTGGGACTGTCATGGGTTGCCTATAGAGTTGAAGGTGACCGAGCCTGGTAATACTGCACCAGAGATCAGACAAGCATCAAAATCATTAGCATTAACCATGATAGAAAGACAAAAGGCACAATTCGAAGATTATGGGATCATGACTGATTGGAATAAGATCTATAAAACAATGGATCATAGTTATGAAGTCGAACAATTGAAGATTTTTAGTAAACTAGCAGAGAATGGATTACTCGTAAGACAATTGAAACCTGTTTGGTATAGTGTAGATTCAAACACAGCACTTGCTGAAGCTGAATTGGAATACAAAAATAAGGTAACCACAGCCATAGACGCCAAATTCAAAGTTGTGGATAGTAAGGGTAGTAATGGATTACCTGACTATTTAGTCATTTGGACATCGACCCCATGGACTTTGAAGGGAAACAAAGCTATTTGTGTCAATGAAAGTTTCCAATACGTTCGTATGACCGATGGTAACGATAACATCATTGTTGAGGAAAGTAAAGTCGATTATTTCCTGAAAAAGAAACCTGAATATTCATTCCTAGAGCCTGTTGATTCTACATTATTGTTGTCTATGAAATATACTAATCCTTTGACTGAAGAAACATGTCCAGTTCTTCACGGTGATCATGTTACCAAGGATGCAGGTAGTGGGCTCGTACATACTGCACCAGCTCATGGTTTGGAAGATTACCATATTGGGTTGAAGCATGGATTGGAAATTCGTAGTGTAGTGAATGAAGATGGGGAATTAGATTTCGTTTCAGGTAAAGTTAACACCGAAAGTATAGTCAAGTCCTTATTGGAGATCTATGACAACTTAGGATTGTTGTTTCATGTGGATAAGAACTATAAACATTCATACCCTTATGATTGGCGTCTGAAAACTCCTGTTATTCAAATGGCCACATCTCAGTGGTTCATTAACGTGGATAAAATCAAGAAATCAACATTACAAGCATTGGAAGAAGTTGATTTTGTTCCTGAAAGTGGTAGAAATAGATTAGTGTCATTTATCAAGAATAGATCAGAATGGTGTATATCACGTCAAAGATTCTGGGGGGTTCCAATCCCTGTGGTTTACTACAATGGTGAACCTTTGATCAAGTACATGAATCATATGATTGAGTTAATTAGTGATCCCGAGGTTGGTACCAATGGATGGTTCGATCCCAATCGTCCAGTCAAATTCTGGATCCCTGAAAGTGATAGAGCAAGGTATGATGATGACAAATTGACTAAAGGGATTGATACCATGGATGTATGGTTTGATTCAGGTACTTCATGGTCAACCTTGAAGGGACAAATTGCTGATGTTTACTTGGAAGGAAGTGACCAGCATCGTGGATGGTTTCAAAGTTCCATATTGAATAAGGTCATTTCTGAAGGTGAAAATGGAGAATTCAAGAAAATCAGTCCTTATAAGAAGATTGTAACCCACGGTTTCATTTTGGATAAGAACAAAGACAAAATGTCGAAATCTTTAGGTAACGTCATTGTTCCAACCGATTTAATCCTTGGTACTAATAAGGGTATACCAAAGTTAGGTACTGATGGATTAAGACTTTGGTGTGCTCTGTCAGATTATAGCAAAGATGTAGCCATTTCCAATGAAATCTTATTAAGAGTTCGTGACAACTTGAAGAAATATAGATTGACATTCAAGTTCCTTTTAGGTAATATCAATAGTTATGAACACGATGTACCTTGGGATAAGTTAAGTAATTTTGACAAGTATATCTTGAACAAGTTGAAACAACTTGAAGTTTCCACTGGTGAAAATTATGCTAAATATAATTTCCAACAAGTTGTTCAACATGTCAATAATAATATGAACAATGTCTTGAGTGCTGTTTATTTCGATATTTCCAAAGATACTTTATACACTGAGAAGCTTTCCCATCAAGGTAGAATTAATATTGAGTATGTATTAACACAAATTCTCAAGACTTACATCAATATTTTGAGTCCAATAACTCCATTCTTAACCCAAGAAGTTTGGGATCATACTCCATTCCCTGAGTTAACTGGAGAAGAAACTCCTTTCACCGTACCTCAAGAATTCTTTAGATTACCTGAAATTGAAGAAACACCATTTGAAGAAGTCTTGATGTTCAGAACACAAGCTAATGGAATATTCGAAGATCTTCGTAAGAGAAAGGAATTCACCAAGACATTGGAATTGGTAGTCAATATCAATAACCCTTCGAACAGACTTTTAGAAAATGCTGACATTTTGGCTGATATTTTACAAGTATCAAAAGTCAGTTTCGACGAGCCAGCTGCTAATAAAATCGGACAATTGGACACTGATATGGGATCATTAGAGATCTCACTTTCTTCTCATCACACATGTCCTAGATGCTGGAAGCATACCAGTATTGAAGAGGATACTTTATGTGGGAGATGTGAAGAATCATTACTGTAAATACCTGTAAATAAATTAGAATTATAAACTGTTATGACCTCTAGGTTCGTATGGGAAGAAGACTACAAGAATACCCGATAACAAGAATAATGCACCACTAACATATACAGGTGCTGAAGTAGTTAAATCGGCATATATTGCAATAATGGGAGCAAAGACTCCTAGAATTCTATTCCCAGTAGCTGCCAAACCAACACCTGTACCTCTGATTTTGGTAGGGAAAATTTCGGGTGTGTAAGCATATAACACACCATACATAATGTTAGAAAAGAAACTGAAACCACAGTTCAATCCTAAATAAGCATTTGAGGTCTTAGCTGTAGTGGATACAAAAAGGAAAATCCCTGTAAAAACCAAAGAAAATATTAAAGTTCCCTTTCTACCAGTTTTCAATTCCACCAAAAAACCTGCCAAAATAGCTCCAGGAATACCTATAACTGATATAATCAAAGAATTCCTATAAGTTAAATAAACACTCAATGGTTTGTTGGCATCACCTTTAGTAGCTAAAAGTGTTGGTAAGAAGGCATTATATAAAGGGAAAGCCAATCCAATAATTGACCAAGTTAAGATTACCAAAGTTGATGAAAGTGCCAATTTCTTAGATGAGAAACATTGACGAATATGACTAAGATTAAATTTCTTTAACTTACTTTCAATGATCTGTTTACTCAGGTGTTCTTCGACTGGATACAACTCATCTACTTTCTTTAAATCTTCCAATGTAACAGTTGTAGAACCTTTGTTGATTTTGGCAATCTTGTATAATGTTTCAATAGCCTTTTCATCCTTTCCTTTAGCAATGTAAAATCTTGGACTTTCAAATACTCTGAAGGAGAATCTTGCTACGAAGAAAAGTAAAGTCAAACCTCCCATGGTGAATAAGAAATATCTCCAACCCCAATTATCTTTTTTCAAACAAGTTTCTGCTTCTGAATCACATGAAAAGTTAGTAATCAAAGCCCAAGCAAGTAAATTGGCAATCAATTGACCCAATGACCACCATCCTGACATTACAGTCAAAATCCATTGATAATTCGATGGCAAAGCCTCTAATAAAATAGCCAGATCAACAGGTAAATTTCCTCCAACTCCAAAACTCCAGAAACTGGCAAAGACTCCAATAGCTGCAAAGTTAGGTGCTGAACCTGCAATAACAGCCCATATTCCTGTTATTAAAAATGTTAGATTAAAAGCCCATCTTCTACCTATGATGTCAGCACTCAAAGACCAAAATGAGGCACCTGCTAAAAGCCCCAAATTTTGAGCCAATACTAAATAAGGTCCCTTACCAACAGGTGGTATAACTCCATTGGTCTCTTTCAAAGCTGGTAAAATCAATGATGTACATACTGGCCAGGCATTATCAGCCAACCAACCGAAACCTGCCACGAATATTAAACCAAATTGATAACGGCCGAAACCAATTTCATCAATACCTCGAGATAATAAGGAAGTTTTCTTCAAGTAGTTGACACTAAAATCATTCACATCATAAAGAAAATCATCAGAAGCTGTATCAGCACTTATTTCGATATTCTGTTTAGACCCTGTTGCTGATAAATCTGAATCATCCATGGTGTATTGATAATTAGCAATTGAACAATTAGTGTTGAATAAATAATTTTGAAATTTTCAATTTTCAACAATTATTTCACTGTCAGCTGACTAATTACAATTAAATAATTATTTAGAATCCAAAGAGTATTTATCCTTTATTTTCACTCGTAAAATAATCGTATCCTTTTTTTTTTGGGGAACGGTGACATAATGGTTGCGAATTTTAGGTGCGGCGATAAAAATATGTCAACTGCCCGTTCCCCATGATTTTTACTTCGATGGGTATTTGAGTTCAATGTAGACCATTTGAGTTTCTAAAGAGGCTTTTTGAATGATAGAGTTTAACAATATGTATTAGATTCTTCTGGAAAATTTGTATGCTGAATGAGGTTACCCTACAGAAGAAGAAAAGTCTAAATCAGCCACACATGATTCTAGAAACTGCAAAATCTGTGGCATTCTTGGTGATATTTAAGTGATATTGTTCAATCTCCCAAAGTTGATACCAGTTTCTAACAAGATTAACACCTTCACGATGGTTATTACCTCGACCACCGAATTTTGCATGGGATGAAGAAACCCACCAACAAGTTGCCAAATTCTTACCTTCCAGATTGGGAATTCCGTACCAATACTTCAAAAGACCACCTGACTGATTAGCTTCTTCATGAGATGCTTTATCTACTTGGCCCAAAATCTCTCTTTTTTCAGATGACTGTCTAATTTCTGGGAATAAACATGATCTGAATCCAACGATGTATACATCAAAATCAGGTAGTTCAATATTTAACAGCCTACTATAATAATTAACTAACCCGATGATTTCTTTGATGTTAAAACTATCAACGTAACTATTATTGGCATAGTCACCCTGAGACTTAAAACTTTGTAAAGCTATAGTCAACAACTTATATTGGATATCATAATCAGATATATCTAGCCAGTGAGATCTTTCGAGATAAGGTGATGTTTGGATTAATGATTTTTGCAATTCTTCTTTTACATCGGGACTTTCGTTAATAGGCTTGAAAAGCAAGCTATCATTTGCAATGGGAGCTGTTAGTACAGACATGGTGAAAATTTTCTGTGAATTTCTTAGGAATTTCTATTCCATCTTCGCCATATTAAACTTTTTGGGATAATTCCACAGTTTATTTCTAAACCTTATTCTGGAACCACACCCGAAGTTTCTTTTTCGGCCATAAGTATCCATTAGTATGGTTCGATGCAGGGCAGAGAGGGGCGCACGATGGGCAAACCTGTATCTATATTCTAAATAAGGAAATAAAATGTAACCAAAGATCCATAAAAAATACTGGCAACTAAAGCTTTATGATCGGAAAGACTAAAACCAGCATTATCTTTACCATCTTCTTCCTCGTCAGTTTCATGACCTCTATCAGAGGTATTGAAAGTACCTTCATAACTCTCAACAGGATCTGCGGCTCCTGTAGTGGATCCGGTTTCGGTGAAATTTACTCCTGGAGTGGTAGAAGCATCAGTGGTGCCATCCCAACAATATTCTTCGAAACATTGTTTACATTGTTCTGATTGTTCAAGATTTAATCTTTCTTGGGTTCTTCTGATAATAGCACATGAAACACATGCATTCCATTCATCGTCCAAAGTTCTATTGTATCTTGAAGATACTTCGAAACCATTCTGTATTATACCTTTCTTTTCATCGTCATCATAACTTAATTGGAAAGTTGAAGTATTTGACCAATAACTAAAAGGTCTATTAGCCATATAAATCAATAAAGGAGGAATATGGTCATCATCAGTTAAGTTTTTTCTTAAAGTAGTTAAATTTTTGGCATCACAACCAAAGAAAGTTGGCTTTGAAGTTAAATTTTGATTAATAAAAGTGTTCTTATCAGGGACATAAGGGAAAATACTACCGTTACCTTGAGGTAAAAATTGTCTTTCGTAACTGGCAATAAGTGAAGCCCCATCAGGCCAACTTTGATTGGTATCAGCAGAATTATCATAAGCAAATACAACATCCAAAGCTCTTTCTGCTTGCATTAATGGATATAAAGGAACATTTTGTAAATCTTCACCTCCATCACATAAAAATAATGTTTCGTTATCAGAAATTGATTTGAAGTCTCCGTCATTGGAGTTTTTGAAAGGATTTGGTTCATAAATTGCAATATCGTTTTCATCATTACTGACACTATTCAAGATTTTTTGTAATATATCGCTTACAACATCAGGTAAGGAAACAGTGTTTAATTGTAAAATGAATTGATTGAATAATGATGATGATGTACCCATGATGAAACCAGCATTATCATAACCAGAAACACAAACATCATCAACAGGTTTCCCATCATCCAAATGAGTACCTAAATATTTAACATCAACGAATTGATTAACTGAAGGATCCCAACTACCCAATTCAAAAGGATTGATTTCGAAAACAGTTGAATTACCACTAATGATATATTCACCTGGAGTTCTACCGTCAGCCACCACCACTGGGAAAGGCATCTCATGGTCTTTGAATAAGGGTAAGTCTCTAATATCTGACCAACAAACATCAACACCAGCTTCAGTATAATTTGATAATAATTGATATGATAAAGCTCTACCCCAAATATCAGTGATAGATCTGTCATAACCAGCATCACCTTTATCATTCAAAGCTCCATAAATTTGAGTATAATACTTAACAGCTTCAATAACATTCCATCCACCATAATCGATAATAGAGTTCTCTAAATCCCATAAAGCATCAGTAGCAATGATTTGATCAATAGAAGTATAATTGTTTAAGACAAAAGATCCAACTAACCAATTACCACCTGATAATCCAGCCAAATAAGTGGAACTTTGTAAGATCCCACCTAAACCGACAGTGTTTGAAGGTTCATATCTGTCATCTAAAGCTAACAATTGACCAGCTCCATTCAACATAGCTCTATAACCTCCACCACTAAACGCCAAACCAATCTTAATGGTATCGTTGACATTTTTCATGAAATCATCGACATCAAAGTCGGTTAAATTGGAGTCTTTTAAGAATTGAGTAATTCTCTGTTTTGTTATTGGATTTCTGGACTCTAACCATTCTTGTTCTTCTGATGAAAGATCGTTAGCTTCTCTTACTATATCTTTATCAGGACATGTGACATTCCCAGGAGCATATCCTCCGGTAGGAGACCTTGCTAACACTGCTAATGCTTGCAATAGTAATATCAACCAATATTTCATTATTTATAGATTTGAGAAATGCCAATAAAATTTCAAGTACAATCGATGATATTTAAATAGGCAGGAGTAAACTGAGACGAATTATAACAATTTCGGAATAAATTGGACTAATTTACGGAGTTCGTTTGCAGTGGTTGTTAATGAGTTTGAAACTTTCAGAAATATTTGGTAGATGGTCGGAACAGGTTGAGGTGGAGTTAAGGTTTACGGTTAAAAGTGAATTAAGGTTCCAAGAAACACCTTGAAAAGTCAGTTTCATCAGATCCCAGAATCATAGTGAATGAAGAAAATATGTCAAAGTTGACAGGAAAGTCAAGGTAGCTAGGTGTGGAGGGGCACATGTGGGAAAGCATTGTTTCGGAAAACATTCTGATATCTAATAGACGGTTGCAAATTAAATAGCGTAATTCGGTACAAAAAAAATCAAGCCGACCCGTATTGAGGAAATCATTAGGAAGGACTGGATCAGTAAATTTGCTGTGAACAACTAAGCCTTCGGAAGCTGAGGGATGTTTTAGAGGTGATGTTGTAACTATAAGTTACATGATGGTAAATTTCAGAGGTTGTTGATGAACCAGAAGTTGTAACGGCTATACTTCACACATGGTGGCTTTAGGGAAAGGCTACAACCTTACTGGTATTGTTACCGTTCTTTTGAGACTACTTTTCCCGTTAATTATGTGTGAACGTTGAGGATAGGGCCGTATATGGAGAATTTCCCGTATTCCTAGACATTTCCCCATATTTCTATAGATATGTGCCGAGTTCGAAAGTGGAAACTATGATACACGCTTAAGCTCGAGAATAACAGTTTCCAAGTCCAATATTCTTCAGTTTCAACATTCTTTCATGGCTTGAAAACTGTCGCGTTGAGTAGTTGACGGTCATATCGGGTTCTCTGAATCAATGAATAACAAACACTCTAATGACGGAGGCTTTTCAGATCTGGCGGTATTTTACTGGCTGGAAAGAGTGAAAACCAACCGCCACAACTCCAAGGCATTGCCCCAACTTTGACCATCACCTACTTTTCTTTATGTATCAACAGTGCGAAAATCTACTATGCCAGAGTTAAGGTTAAATGATACGGATCAAGGATCCTATGATAGATTTAAACTGAGGTTCGGTAGTTACTATCAATTGCTAAAGAATCAGGGCCAATCTTTTAATGAATGGTTAAGTCAGCAACCAACAAGTAAAAGAATAGGTATATATATTCTAATGGTTTTGGGGGCTATTGGTGTTATAATGGTAGTCATTTTCCATGCAGTTTTCATCAAACTTTTGATCTTAATATCACAAAAATGGAGAGACTTACCTTATGGTGGTGTTATTTTATTCATCCTAGTATTCTTCGTAGGATTTCCTCCAATATTAGGATTTTCTTCATTATCAATTTTATGTGGAATGGTTTATGATGTTTTCCCTGGGTGGTTATTATTATCAACCGCTTCAATTTCTGGTTCATTTGCATCGTTTTTAACCTTCAGATACCTTTTAAGATCTCGAGCCGAACAATTATTAAAATCCAATGAAAAATTCAAAGCTTTTGCTGAAATTTTAAAACAAGATCAAAGTTTAATGTTATTGATATTAATCAGATTATGTCCTTTACCTTATTCATTATCCAATGGAGCTTTAGCATCTATCCCTGAGTTATCTCCCATAACCTACTTATTAGCATCAGTTTTGACTTCACCAAAATTATTCATTCATATCTTTGTAGGGCATCAATTAATTGATATTGGTGATTCAGGTAATACCACTATGGGTAGGATTTTTGATGCCATTAGTCTTGTTATTACCGCTTGTGCTTCAGCTACCACCATGTATATCATCTATGATAGAATGCAAAAGAAATTAGATCAATTCCATGCCAATAGTTATCATGATGAAAACATTATTTTCGGTAATTTTGATGATGATGACGAAAGTGGTAATAATTTGGAATTAGAAAGCACTGATTTTGATGCCGATAACTTCATTATAGAAGATGAACCCGAACCAACCCAAGCTTCTGAACCTTCCAAAGCTAAATCTGATTTTGATGATGATTTCTCTCAAGAATTAGATGACGTGAATACCAGATCTTACAGAGACTACTAAATAAGTGTACATTAATATACAGATTTTTCTGATTCTATAATCGTGTCTAAAATTTTCTTATGTCATGATAGTTAACTATCAATATGCATTAATCTGGTTCTTCTTTTTTCAATTTTATCAGTAGTTGATAGACTTGTCATGTTACCATTATCATTGTATAAGGCCTCACCTGATATTATAGGCAAGGCATCAGCTTCACAGAATATCGTATCATTGATAAGATAATAATCGGCTGTGATATTATTATAACATTTGGTACATTTGAGACAATGTAAATGCCATTTTTGAGTAATTTCATTCTCAATACATTCACCTTCAATACCAATTCTACAACTTTCACATAAAGAATTGTTCAATTGATGATAATGATGATTACAATAAGCCTCATCATCAAGAACATAACATTGAACTTCTTTATTGAAATTTATAGCACAGTTTTCATATGAACATTTGAAACATCCTCTGTGCCATTGACCAGTTAATTCTCCAGTTTTTGAATAAATGGCTTTCTCTAAACCTCTACCATTAGGAGAAATCTTTTGATTACATGATCTACAAGGACCTGAACCAGGTGGATATTTTAATTTAGGTGGTGCTTTGTCAAGTTTGACTGTTTCAAGTGGATACTCATGTGATGAACCAATAGGGAACACAGGATCGAATTCGGGTGATTTATATGGATAAGGAACTTGAGGTGAATCTAATTCGTGGGTTGGATATGGAACATTGTCCAATGGGGCATCCAATTGGGGATTATGATCTTGTTTGGGAGTTTGAGTTATATCAGGTAATTCGAAATTCTTATGAGTTTTAGAATGACGTACTGATAATGGTTTGATTGATTCTACTGATTCAACATCATTGAAATCTGATTCATTACCAATTGTAATTGTCGGTATGGTTTGATTGTCGAAAGTTATAGGATTAGCTTCTGAACCAAGTTCTTCCACGTCATTTTCAATCTCTTCATGGGCAATTTCATCAACAGCTGGTGGTGGTCTTGGTCTCATACCAGTTAACAATTCAGAAGAACCACCAGTTTTCAAACTTTCTAATTGACGTTCAAGTTCCCTCTCAACTTCAGATTCTCCTTCATCATCAGAATAATGAGATTCTTTGGAAATGATTGAGGAAACCATTGATAACTGACTTTTTCTGAACTCGTGGGTTGAAGGTTCAAGGTTGTTATTCAAGAATTTCTGATAATCATTATTTAAATCATTACTTTCTTGAGCTTTTGCCTTTTTGAAGTTTTCAAATTCATCTAATGGATTAGAATCATTAGGTTTATTGGAATAAGAGAATCTATTGACTTCAATAGATGGGATTTCACGTTGTTGGAAATCATTCTTAAAGTTCATTAATTCTCCTGATAATCTGGAACTGAAACCTGTTCTTGGAGGTGAAGGCAATTGAGTTCCATTGGCCCTTTTGTTCTTTTCTGGAGTATCCAATAATTCCAAAGTATTCACACTAACATTTTGACTAAAATCTTTCATTGTAGTATTGTTAGTATCTTCGTATTTTCTATGGCCTAAATCATCCATTGAAGTTTCACTCAATTCTTCAGCGCCATCATATTGAGTTGGAGAATAATTACTTTGTTTCAAATCCAATGACAATCCCATAACATTCTTATGGTTTGATTGGGGACTGAAGTTAAAATCAGAATTGGTATCAACTTTAGAAAGATCTTGTTTCAATACTAAGGGCCCATCATTATATGAAGAAACGGCTGTTGAACCTGAATAATTTCTTGGACTCAAATCTTCATTGCTTCCGGCAGTATTAGGTTGAGTGAATGATTGATAAACTGGCAGTTTTGCCGACAATGGGGGTTGGAAATGCTTCTCAGCTTGAGGTGGAGTAGGAATTTGAGTATGGGATTGACTTCTAGGATAATAACCATCAGATTGTTGTGAATGAGGGTAAGGACCTGATGAAGTTTGTGAATGGGGATAGGGACCTGATGATTGAACATTCGATGGATATTCTGTTGGTTTACTATATAAATCCCCATGAGATTTATTTCTGGCAGTAAATTTCTGTTGAGGGTATGCATTGATGGGCTGACTATTGTTACGTTTTGCTTCATAAGGATTGAATTTCCCTGACTTCTTGTATGAATCACCAGAACTCGATGAAAAAGTTGAATGTGCCATGGTTTTAGGAGTATTACTTCCACTAGTATGTCTACTTCGATTATCTCCTTTATAAATATCAAATCCAGCACGTTCATAAACTCCACGATATTTATGCTCTACTTTAAAAGGAGGAAATGCTGAATCTTGAACTCTTGGAGAATGCTCTGCCTTCAAAACTTTGGGTATTGCTTGCATCCTCTAAGATTATATGATAAATAAATTAAATGAATTATAATGCAATATCCCAGAATGGTCGACTAAATGGAAACGGGATTTATTGGGGGGTGGGAAAATTTATTCTACCCGACAACTATGTTATATGTTAATATAAGTAATGTAAGTCCTGTTCTTCCTGACTATTATTCGTTGGAAGATGAAAGTTTTTATTTATTTAGAAAGGACTAGAACTACTCAAAAATGATTTTTAGTCAAACGCAATTTTTTTTAAAAAAAAAAAGTCGATTATAATGTAAGTGTTAATGCGATGAAACTTAATTGACAATCGTTTTTGGTTAACCAGATTCAATTTATCAATAGGTGTATTTCCTAAAAAAAAATGTTTGTTTTTGATTTGTTCGTCTATTTGTGGGAAGGTCGCGTTTTCCGGCATCGAAGGACGAGGCAGTAAACTAAAACGCTCAAGATTTATCTTATATTCACCGAGGGGACACGGTAAAGTTTAAAATTAACCAAGACAAGTTAAGGCCAAGTGTAATAACAGAGTTGAAATTCAGATGATATGAAAAACTTGTTATTTACTCTTTCATTGGGGTTATTGAACAATGAAAATTTCGTTATAAATTCTCAAGGCAATATATTACCCACATTGGAGAAGATAATTAACGATTATGATTTTAGTTACAAAATTCTTGATTTGAGCCAAGTGGAGAATACCGGTGAATTTATTGATGAGATCACTTATGACAAGAACGGTTTACATATCTATGAAATCGTAGTATTAAAGAATCTTGATAGAATTGGGGACTCATTTCAAAGAGACTTGGTTAGGTTGTTCAATGGTTTGAAGGAATATGATAGTAATTTGAGTAGATTAGAGCCTAAAGATCATGTTGTAATCAATGGGAAGAAGATATTTAAAAGTGAATATCGATGTTTCATAGGTATTAACACTATATCTGAAACCCCCGTCAAGTTATATAAGAATTTAAAAGAATGCTTTTGGTTCTCACAATTTGAACAAGAAACGAATAAAGATTGGAAGGTTTTCGACAATTATCGAGAAACTTTATCGTTAGTGAGACAAAATATCGATAATGTCTATATGTCTCCAGAGATTCTATCATATATCACTTCCTTAATTATTCATACAAGGAATCATCGATTAAATACTATAAATCAAATTCAGACCAGATTACATACAAATACAATTGAAAAAATCATTAAATTATCCAAATCAATTGTTGCATGGAAAAATCCAAACACTAAGGATTTATACTTAACACCTCAAATATGTCAATTAGCATTTAGGAAAATCGGCTACTGGTTAGTTGATTGGGAGAATTCCCAAATATTCAATTCAATTCAAGACAAAGATTTAGAGAAACGACGTCAATTAATCATTAATATGTTAGCAGGGGAATGGTATGGTAGTGAATGGAAATATGTCAAACAATATATGAAAGACCATGAATCAAAATTCGATGAAAATTCCAATACAGGATTTACTAATAGTATCATTGAAGATGTTATTATAAATGTTAGACCACCCATCTAGTTACGTATCTATATATATAAACCTCTACCTCCCATATATATATAAACCTTTACTCGTATAAACTGGCTATAATTAACAACCTCACTCCTTTTAAGTGAGTTGTTTGGTTGACCGCACACGACTTCTCGATCACCCTTTGGAAAATTGGACGAAATTTGAGATCTCAATTATTGGTGATTCGAAAACATCAATTGATTTATAGACAATTTAATCGTTTAAAAACTCAATTGAAATTTCAATTAACTATAAATATCCTTTTAAAGTCACTGGAAATTAATTGGTATAAATAGTTCACAAAAAGAAAATCATGTCAAACGATATTCCAATTGATTTCACAGAATTAGCTCAACTTACACAAGTTGGTATTCAACCAGGATCTCTTGATTTTAAATCCACAACTTTAGAATCAGATAAATATATTTGTGTAAGAGAATCAGGAGCCAATGGGAATACCGTAGCTATTATTGATTTATCTAATAATAATGAAGTTACTAGAAAGAATATGACAGCCGATAATGCAATTATGCATCCTGAACAATTCGTTATCAGTTTAAGAGCTAATGGTACAACCTTACAAATCTTTAATCTTGGATCAAAACAAAGATTGAAATCATTTACTATGGATGAACCGGTAGTATTTTGGAAATGGCTCAATAATGAATATTTAGGTTTAATTACTGGATCATCAATTTATTATTGGAATATATTTGATGGTACTAATAATGGACCAATTAAATTGACTGAAAGACATCAATCATTAAATAATTGTCAAATTATAAATTTTGTAGCTGAACCGGAATTAAATTGGTTTGCAATTAATGGAATTGCTCAAGAAGATGGAAGAATTGCTGGACATATTCAATTATATTCAAAATCAAGAAATGTTTCTCAAGCAATTGAAGGTCATGTTTCAAAATTTGCATCAGTTAAATTATCAGGATCAATTCAACCAACTAAAGTATTTTGTGTTGGTAATAAGAATGGTCAAGGTCAAGGTAATTTACATATAATTGAAATTGATCATATTGAAGGTAATCCACCATTCCCAAAGAAAACTGTTGATATTTTCTTTCCACCAGATGCTGCTAATGATTTCCCAATAAGTTTACAAGCAAGTAATCAATATGGAATAGTTTATATTTTAACTAAATATGGATTTATTCATTTATTTGATATGGAAACTGGTTCAAATTTATTTGTTAATAGAATTACTGCCGATCCAGTATTTACTGCTAGTAGTTTCAAAGATGGTACTGGATTAATTACTATTAATAAATCTGGTCAAGTTTTATGTGTTGAAGTTTCAAAAGATAGAATTGTTCCTTATGTTTTAGATAAATTATCAAATGTTTCATTAGCTTTATCATTATCTTCAAGAGGTGGATTCCCAGGAGCTGAAAATTTATTTAATCAACAATTTCAAAATTATCTTAATCAAGGGGATTATACTAATGCTGCTAAAGTAGCTGCTTCATCTGAACAATTAAGAACTCCTGATACTATTAATAAATTAAAACATATTACTCCAGCACCTGGTCAAATATCTCCAATTTTACAATATTTTTCAACTTTATTAGATAGAGGAACTTTAAATAAATATGAATCAGTTGAATTAGCTAAACCAGTTTTACAACAAGATAGAAAACCATTATTTGAAAAATGGTTAAAAGAAGATAAATTAACTTCTTCCGAAGAATTAGGAGATATTGTTAAATCTTATAATGATACTACATTAGCCTTAGCTGTTTATATTAGAGCTAATGTTCATATTAAAGTAGTTTCATCATTAGCTGAATTAGGACAAATTGATAAAATTATTCCATATTGTGAAAAAGTTGGATATTCTCCCGATTTTACTAATTTAATTCAAAATTTAGTTAGAATTAATCCTGATAAAGCTTCAGAATTTGCTGTTAGTTTATTACAAAGTCCAGAAACTTCATCAAATATTAATACTGAAAATATTGCTGATTTATTCTTTTCTCAAAATTATATTCAACAAGGTACTGCTTTCTTATTAGATGCTTTAAAAAATGATTCTCCAGCTGAAGGTCATTTACAAACTAAAGTTTTGGAAATTAATTTATTACATGCCCCTCAAGTTGCTGATGCTATTTTAGGTAATAATATGTTTAGTCATTATGATAAACCAAGTATTGGGAAATTATGTGAAAAATCAGGATTATTCCAAAGAGCTTTAGAACATTATGATGATATTAAAGATATTAAAAGAGTTATTATTCATACTAATGTTTTACCAAATGATTGGTTAGTTAATTATTTCGGTCAATTAAATGTTGAACAATCAATTGCTTGTATTAAAGAATTATTAACTAATAATATGCAACAAAATTTACAAGTTATTATTCAAGTAGCTACTAAATATTCTGATTTAATTGGTCCTTTAACTTTAATTAAACTTTTTGAAGATTATAAATGTATTGAAGGTGAATATTATTATTTATCATCAATTGTTAATTTAACTCAAGAACCTGATGTTGTTTTCAAATATATTCAATGTGCAGCTAAAATGAATCAAACTAAAGAAATTGAAAGAGTTGTTAGAGATAACAATGTTTATAATGGTGAAAAAGTTAAGAATTTCTTAAAAGAATTCAAATTAGAAGATCAATTACCTTTAATTATTGTTTGTGATAGATTTGGGTTCATTCATGATTTGATTTTATACTTATACAAAAATCAATATTTCAAATTTATTGAAGTGTATGTTCAACAAGTTAATTCATCAAATACTCCACAAGTTATTGCTGGATTATTAGATGTTGATTGTGATGAAAATATCATTAAAAATTTATTAAACTCAGTTATTGGTAGAGTTCCAATTAAAGAATTAGTTAATGAAGTTGAAAAGAGAAATAGATTGAAAATTTTATTACCTTTCTTAGAACAAACTTTACAAGGAGGTTCAACTGATCAAGAAGTTTTCAATACTTTAGCTAAAATTTATATTGATTCCAATAATTCTCCAGAAAAATTCTTACAAGAAAACAATCAATATGATACTTTAGTTGTGGGTAAATATTGTGAAAAGAGAGATCCTTATTTAGCTTATATTTGTTATTCTAAAGGTAATAATGATAATGAATTAATCAATATTACTAATGAAAATAAAATGTATAAATATCAAGCCAGATATTTATTAGCTAAATCAGATTTTGATTTATGGAATCAAGTTTTAAGTGATGATAATATTCATAGAAGACAATTAATTGATCAAGTGATTTCAACAGGAATTCCTGAATTAGATGATCCAGAACCAATTTCTATAACTGTTAAAGCTTTTATGGAAAATGATTTACCTCAAGAATTGATTGAATTATTAGAAAAAATTATCTTAGAACCTTCACCTTTCAATGATAATACTTCATTACAAGGATTATTAATTTTAACTGCTATTAAAGCTGATTCTTCAAGAGTTATGAATTATATTGAAAAATTAGATAAATTTGATCCTCAAGAAATTGCTCCTTTATGTATTGAAGCCCAATTATTTGAAGAAGCTTTTGAAATTTATGATAGATTTGAATTAAGAACTGATGCTATGAAAGTTATTGTTGAAGATATTATGTCTTTAGATAGAGGTGAACAATATGCTGAAAAGTATAATACTTCAGAATTATGGTATCAATTAGGTAATGCTCAATTAAATGGTTTAAGAATTCCTGAAGCTATTGATTCTTATGTTAAATCTAAGAATCCTGAAAATTTCGAACAAGTTATTGATATTGCTGAACATGCTGGTAAAGAAGAAGAATTGGTTAAATTCTTAGATATGGCCAGAGAAACTTTAAGAGAACCAAAAATTGATGGTTCATTAATTAATTGTTATGCTTCATTAGGTAAACTCAATGAAATTGAAAATTTCGTTTCCGGTCCAAATGTTGCTGATTTAGAAGAAATTGGTGATAAATTATTTGAAGCTAAAAATTATAAAGGTGCTAAAGTTTTATATTCTAATGTTTCAAAATACAGTAAATTGGCTACTACTTTAGTTTATTTACAAGATTATCAAGGAGCTGTTGAATGTGCTAGAAAAGCTTCTAATATTAATGTTTGGAAACAAGTTAATTCTGCTTGTATTGAAAATAAAGAATTCAGATTAGCTCAAATTTGTGGTTTGAATTTAATTATTGATGCTGAAGAATTACCTGAATTAGTCAGAACTTATGAATTCAATGGTTATTTCAATGAATTATTATCATTATTTGAAAGTGGTTTAAGTTTAGAAAGAGCTCATATGGGTATGTTTACTGAATTAGCTGTATTATACTGTAAATATAGTCCAGAAAAAGTTATGGAACATTTGAAATTATTCTGGTCAAGAATTAATATTCCAAAAGTTTTAACTGCTTGTGAAGAAGCTCATCTTTATCCTGAATTAATCTTCCTTTATTGCCATTATGAAGAATGGGATAATGCTGCTTTAACTATGATTGATAAATCTGAAATTGCTTTTGATCATTTATCTTTCAAAGAAATTATTGTCAAAGCTCCAAATTTGGAAATCTATTATAAAGCTATTAATTTTTACTTAAATGAAAACCCTTCATTATTAGTTGATTTATTATCAGTATTAACTCCAAAATTAGATTTACCAAGAGTTGTTAGAATGTTTGTTAAATCTGATAATTTACCTTTAATTAAACCTTTCTTAATTTCAGTATTAGAAAAGAATAACTCCGTGGTTAATTCAGCTTACCACGATTTATTAATTGAAGAAGAAGATTATAAATCTTTGAAAGAAGCTATTGAAAATGAATCTTATAATAGATTTAATTCATTAGATTTAGCTGAAAGATTAGAAAATCATAAATTAATCTTTTTCAGACAAATTTCTGCTACTTTATACACTAAGAATAAGAAATTTGTTAAATCCATTTCAATCTTGAAAAATGATAAGTTATGGTCAGATTTATTGAAGACTGCTGCTATTTCAAAATCAACTAAAATAGCTCATGAATTATTAGATTATTTCGTTGAAACTGGTAATCATGAATGTTTTGTTGCTTTATTATACACTTGTTATGATACTATTGAATATGATTACGTTATGGAAGTTTCTTGGTTACATAATTTATCCAATTTTGTTAAACCTTATGAAATTTCCATTGCTGCTGAAAATCAAAAACTCTTGAATGAAGTTTATGATGATTATAAAAAGAGAAAAGATGCTGAAAAGACTGATGAAGATGCTCCTTTAGCTAACACTCCTTTGATGATTACTAATGGTTCAGCCGGTATGGCTCCAAATATGACTGGCATTGGTTATCAACCAACTGGTACTGGATTTGGTAATGCCTTTTAAGTTTGTTTTACCCAACTAGATATAAAATTGTTTTATTATTATGAGTTCAAATGAAAAAAAAAAAAAAAATGAAAATTATAGACTTGTTATGTAGATGTTTATTTATAATACAATCTTTTTTTAAATTTGTTTTAAAATCTCTAAAAGATGTTTCCTTATACTAGGAAAATCATGTGTATGGAATATATCGTTTAAGTTTGTTGGATTAGGTGTTATGGATGAAATATGTATAGTACAATCTGTTGTTATATGACCTCGAATATCTATGTCTTTATTAGTAAGTTGGAAATAATCACCGAATGATTGTTGGGGGAATACTGGTTTATCATCTGTGAAACCTAAATCGGTGTAAGTTAAATCGATGACAAATTGTTTAAAATCATTAATGAGTTGTTCATAAAGTAATTGATCTCGTACCTTTTCAACAAAGTTCTCTACCCCAGTATTCAAATCAGGATTTTGAAGTAATTTGCTGGTGTTTTCTGGTACATAGAATGTTGATTTGTGGACTGAATAAGTCTTTTGAAGTGGGTCTGTTGATGCTTCCTTGGTAAATATAGGTAATGGAACCAGTAACCTCAATATAACATAATGAATAGTACTATACTTCTTATGTAAAGTGGAAAAGATATCAAATCTTATACCCAAATAATTTCTTTCTGGATCAAATATTTTATTCAATGGGAAAGCTGTTATACCATTCAATCTATAAAGATTCTCATATAAGATATTCTCTTTCAAAGCAACGATTTTTTGATAGCTTTGCATTATTCCTGATGATATCTCATTTAAATCAGTAGCTGATTTTTTACTTTTCATTACTTCTGGTGACTCAACAGTAAAATATTTACTTATAGATTCATCGAAGTAACTATATTGCACGATAGGAGGTATTTGCCAATCATCTTGTCGTTTCTTCTTTATATTTTCATTATAAGTCTTTTGTTTCTCTTGATTGATTAAATCTTCTAAAACTTTCTCTTGTTGAGCCAATTCCTGTAATTCTTCATCCAATGCATCTATCTCCTTTTGTAAACTGGCAATGTCATTCCTCGACTCCGTTATCTCTCGTTCCACCTCTATACCATCAGTATTTATATCCATGTAGGGCTGGAGTAAATAAGAAGAGAAAAACGCGAAACCTAAATCAATACAGATCCATTGATGGCGGAAAGTTTTGGTAATCTGTTCTGGTCTCCTGACTATAAGACAGGGATTGATAAATTGAACAAACAGTCCATCACATCTTTGAAGCAATTACATGATTTGCGTCAATTGGTTTTCAATTATATGAATTACTATCATGCCAATAGTCAATTTTTGAACAAATTATCTATCGAAACATCTGATTCATCATTTTCAAATCATCGTGATGATTTCAGAAGTGAAAAGGGTTCTCCTTCAAGAAAATTATACCAGAGAAGAACTTTTTCCCTGACTTTTAGGAAATCTGAAGAAAAATCACAAGATTCTGATATCAAACAAGATACCAACGATCATTCAATTACTGTTGATGTACCCGTTTCAGATTATGTCAAAGATATAACAGCTGAAGCCAACACCTTACTGAGTTTGGCATCAACTATTGACAGAGAGGTTTTAGAGGACATTAATGATTTCATTAAATCGCATGAACCATTTGTAAGACAAACATTAGATCATTTAGATGAACTCTTGAATGACTATGTGGTAACTTTCGCTGACGTAGAGAAATTGAAAGTTGACTACAGTGAATGTCGTAGATTGAAAGAGTTCTCTGATAATGAAAAGGTTACCAAGAAAGAATCCGATGATATTAAAGACGATATACAACCAAGTCATTCAGAAAATTCCGAGATTTCTATACATATCAATCAAAACAGTGATGATGAAATTGAAGTCGACCGATCAGATAATGAAGATGAATTTGATTTCCCTATTTTCATTGGTCCTGTAAAAATCAAAACTCAAAAAGAATTATCCCTTTTCTTAAATGATGCTATTAGAATTGTTGATACCACCAAAAGAAGCTTCCCCTTACCTGGGCATAAGAATGAAATCTTCAGTAGTGATGAATTATGTCAATTCTTGATACACAAAAGACCCTTTAGATTAAACCCTACAAGATTAAATTTAGAAAGATTCGGGCAATCTTTATTAGATTTGAAACTTATCATGGGATCTAATCTTATCGCTACAAAGAAATTCAAAAGTGAAGGTGTTTGGTTTGAATGGACTGATTTAGCTATCTTTATATCAGATTATGAATCTCAAACTAAAGAACTTGTTTCACCAATAACGTCGTCTACTAATAGTACCCCTACCAAGAAACTTCAAATCATTGATGAACAGACCGCTAAACAAGTCAATGAAATGGCTAATCAAACTACAAAAAAATTCAATGACATGTTCAAGAATATGAAATTATCTATAATGCACACCAATTATGAAGAGAAGTTGATCACTTTAGAAGATCAATATAATGAAAAATTCTATGATTTACATGAATTGAAATATTTGATAGATTCTGAACTTACCGAAAAGACAGGTAAATTGGAATCTTTTGAAAAGTTGAAGTATGAACTCATTTACAAGTCTTTAAGTAAATTGAGTGAAGTAGTCTATAATTTCTCATTACAATCCACTTCAAGACTACATAATTTTGCTTCTTCGATGGTAAAACAATGTCAAAATCCTGAAAATGTTGAAAATGATTTGAAAGATTTATTATCCAAGTTTAGCTCCGGTATATTCACTCCTTCTATTCTTTCGCCTGAAAGTTTCGCTAAAAAACAGTATAGTACAGCCCAATCAAATAACAATTTCCAGAATATCAAATTTCAATTCAATCTTTATAAAGATATTCCCTTACAATTGAAATTATCTCAAACCGATAAGAACGATGATTTGTTAAGCTTTACATCTTTACCGTTTTTCATTTATCAATTGATAAAATTGATTGAGAACAAAAATGACAGTCATAAAGTGAGAGACTTATGGAAATTACCTTTGGATCATCAGCAATATTGGCAAATCAAAGAAAAGATTATCAATCTTTTGAAAGACGTAAACGAGGAGAATAAGGTTGGTAGTGAAAATTTTATCCAACAGACAATAATCGAAAAATTGATCGATGTGTTAAGTAAAGAATCATTGAATTCATTGGTTAATTTGTTAAAGAATTGGTTGTTAGAAATCAGTGATTCGTTGATTCCTTGTGTGGTATATGATTCAATTATTCATATTTATCAGAATGAATCACCTGACTCCAAAGCAGAATTAGTGAAGATCTTATCTTCGATTCCAAGAAGTAATTTGAGTTCTTTATTATTCTTAGTGGAGCATATAAGTGTTGAATTTTCCTTGAGTCAAATCCCTTGTTATGGATTGGGTGATGAATTCCCATCAGAGTTAAAAATCGCTAATGATGAATCTATGTTACAAGAAGTATCAGAGACGTTGAACTCCATGGATACCATTGGTGCTGTTCCATTTACTCATTTAATTTTCAGACCTTCACCTCTTAAAGTGAGTCAAGGTTTTAAACCTCCTATCAACATTTATAACCAGTTACTTCATGATCTTTTAAATATCGATATAAGATGTTCACTTTTCAATAATTTAATTGCTAGTGAGAAGAATTATATCACTAAGAAAAAGCAGGAACAAATGAATTTGGGGTTACAAAAAAAATTACCTCCTCCAAGTCCACGAAGACCAGCAAGTGATTCTTTGGATGTTCTTCCTAAGAGTCCTATGCCTTTACCACCATCTGATAGCTTTTCTTTAAGACCATTCCATACTAAAAACACTCCAGTTCCATCACCAAGTGCTTCACCAAGAAACTTATCAAGAGAATTATTTGATGCAAAGATGAACAGTCGAGAGAGAAGTAGTAGTGGTTCATTCTTAGCACCAGGAATTGATATTGAGTTCGAAAAGAAATAGGTCGTATCATTCATTAATATATATATACAAGATCAATGTCTAAATCTATCATCTGATCCTTTACCTGTCATAGTAATCTTCAGCACTCTCCTTAATCTTGCAACACTGACTAAGATTAAGAAAACCAAGAGAACTGAACTGAAACTTACTACCACTGGGAATCCAAATTCAGTTTCTTCGATAAAATTCTCCAAGTTCATTCCATAAAGTGCAGCAATATAAAGAGCAAACCCCATTGATAATAATCCTACACCGAATTTCAAACTCAATAGCATCATTTCATTTCTATTGGAGTCTAGAATGATATTGATGATTTCATTAGTTGATTTGGTTTGGTTTAATAAGTTACTTACTTTTTGTACAATCTCATCAACAGTAACATAATATGATTCAATCAACAACTCGATTTCAGCGTGACTGTTCTCTTTGTTGGCAGCCATCTCGGACAAATAAAGAGAATGTAATAATTCATCATCACTTAAAATCAAATCTAAGGAATCTTTAACAAGGGAAGCCTTCCTATGGAATTCGGTCATTCTCTTCGAATGGATTAAAAGATACCGTAATTTATTACTTTCAATGGAATCTTCAAGATTATCCAATAAGTTCCTCAAAGCATTAGTTTGAACATTCATTTCGGTATTTAAGTTCTTAACCACATGATTTAAAATGATCTCTAATGCACGTACTTCATAAACCAATGACCCTGAAGTGGTGGTTTCAGTGGCTCTACTCAAACCTTGTTGTAATTCTTTAATCAAAGTATCATAAAAATTAGAACTATCATTCAAACCTGCTTTAGATCCTGTTGTACCTAGATATGAAGATTCTGAGGGATGATAATCGAATAAAACCACTTGATCGGATTTGATCATAGCTCTTATGTTCAATAGATTCAATAATATACAGTCGTTTCTTGTGAAAATGGTGGGAACAACTTCAAGATTGATATAATTAACAGATTGTGTAGCATTATGTTTAGATATCTTCCTTAAATCTCTACTCACTAATCCATTACTTTTCATAAAATCCAGTCTTCTAAGATCTTTCCCTTGCACTACTAAATCCCCATGTTTATCGAACACCGTACAACGTATAAATTCTTCCACTGTCTTATTAGCAGTTAAGGATTTGGTTAAAAGAGCATCTCTTAACGAATCATTGAAATCTTGATACGAAAATCTTCCATTCGAAAATTGACGATATTGGAAGGTCCTTATTGATGATTTCAAAGTCCCTATTCCTCTGATAAAGGAACCCAACCCAAATAATCGCCGATGTGTGTGAATATAAATCGGTGTTAATGACATTATACCTTTTGGGATAAAATCGCGGAAGTCATTATTTACTAAACGAAACCTTAAAACGAATACTCACATTCCTACGAATTTATGATCAGTAACAGATTGGTATCCTTCGTTATAATACAATAGAATGACTTCAAGAATATACTCAGCTGATGAGTTGGAAGTCTGTGAAGAAGTCGGTAGAGGAGGTTTTGGTGTGGTTTATAGAGGTTTGATAAAGACAACTAACGAAGAAGTTGCAATTAAACAAATTGATTTAGAGAATGATCAGACCGACTTATTTGAAATAAATAAAGAAATTTCCATCATAAGTGAATGTAGGTTGCCACAAATAACCAAATATCTCGGATGTTTTGTTAAGAATTATAAATTATGGGTAATTATGGAATTTGTTAACGGTGGGTCATTATTTGAAATCTTACAGCCAGGCCCAGTTACAGATGAAAAGACCATTTCTATAATTGCAAAGGAAATTTTGTTGGCATTGGACTATTTGCATAATCAGGGGAAAATCCATAGAGATTTGAAATCCCAAAATATCTTATTAGGATCCAAAGGAGAGATTAAGTTGACAGATTTCGGAGTTTCAACTCAATTATCATCGAATTTTTCAAGAAGAAATACTACCGTCGGGACTCCATATTGGATGGCACCGGAAGTTATCTTAAATGATAATGGTGGACATAATAGTAAAGCAGATATTTGGTCCTTAGGATGTTGCTTATATGAATTATTTAATGGTAAACCACCTTTACAGAATCAGTACCCACCAATGAAAGCTTTAAGATATATTTCCAAATGTACTAAAGATGATGATTTTGTTACCATCATTAAACTCAATGAACTAGAGATTTCATCCAATTTTAAAGATTTCTTAATTGAATGTTTCAGAGTTGATACTAGAAAAAGATTATCTGCCAATAAATTATTGAAGCACAAATTCATCACCAAAAATTCTGTTGATTCTAATGAACAATCGAAACTTATCAAAACTTTGATTACCAATAAGCATTTATGGGATCAAGAGAATCATGTTTTGAAAAGCCAGAAATTCTATTTACCAACAGAAATGGTTCAAAATCAACAAAAATGGAATTTAGATGAGAAAGAAGAGGAAAATACTATCAAATTTGATATCTCCACAATGAATGAATATCCAAGTCCAAAATCAACTACAAGAGAATCATCAATCTCTCCTGAAACAACTTTAACAGAAAAAACTCCAAAGAAAAAGACAAAAAAAATCAATTATCAAACATTACAACAGCATGACTCCAAACAGAAGAATTTATCTAAAACATTAAAACCTGAATTATCCAAAATTGTTAATAAAGTCTTCCATAAATTAGACACTAAAAGTAGTTTATCCACTGAACAATATGATTTATTAGTTTCATTAAACCAAAATTTCTTAGATTTATTAACATTTTCCAATACCACTGGTAACGACAATCTGACTTCCAAACTTATAATTTGTCAATATTTGAAATATTTCATGAAAGAGTTGAATAAAAATGATAATGATTCAAGATTATTATTGAAAAAATTAATACTCCCCAGTGAGATGAAAAATACTGATACTATCAAGATCAAGTCAAAAGAAATGGGACCATTTGATGAGATTGAGAATAGTTTATTTGAAACATGGATTGATGAAATGAAACATTTAAAAGGATAGGTAATAGCATATTAGCATTAAAAATCTCTACTCTTTATTTTTTGCAACCAAAATTTCGCGATAAACTCCAACGCGATGTATTCGGAAGTATTGAAAATCAATCAATCATGTTCTGTTAATGCTGTTAAAGTATCACCAGACGAGAAGACATTTGCCACTTGTAATTCAGATGGAATAATAACTATATATGACTTTGAAGGAACCAAATTGCATGAATTAAAAGGTCATACGGGAGGAATCTCCGATATTGACTTCTCACCAATAAATTCTAATATAATAGCATCATGTTCTGATGATTTAACTATAAGAATATGGTCAATAAACAAAGGGAAGTGTTTAAGAATTTTAAAAAAACACACTTATCACGTCACAACTATAAGATTTAATTCGAAAGGTAATATATTAATTAGTGGATCAGCTGACGAGACTATCAGTATATGGGATTTGAGTTCAGGAAAACATTTAAAGACATTATCAGCACATAGTGACCCTATACTGTCGATATGTTTAACACCAGACGATTCTATTATAGTAAGTGGATCTTATGATGGATTAATGAGATTATTTGATTGTGAATCAGGTCAATGTTTAAAGACATTGATTTTCAACAGTAGTTCATTTGGAACAGCTACTGCCTCAACCAATGAAGTAGTTAATTTCCCCATTTCGCATGTAGAGTTATCACCCAATGGGAAATTCATTTTAAGTTCAAGTTTGGATGGATATATAAGATTATGGGATTACATGGACAACAAGGTAATAAAGACGTTTTCTGGTAAAGATAATTCCCCCATTAGTGAAAAATTCAATTGTAGTGCTAAATTCATAATTTCAAATAAGTTTGAAACTCCAGTTGTAGTTTCAGGAAGTGATAAAGGAGATTTGATTTTTTGGGACGTTCAAACAAAACGAATCCTCAATATAATGAATTTTGGTAATGAACCTATTTTTGAAATCGATACCATCAATAACGGAGAAGCGTTGCTTATTTGTAGTAGGTCAGGAGATATAAGACTCTTAAAACTAAATACATAAGATTTCGCACTTGTCCAAAAAAAAACTCTCGATTAGGGGATATTGTCAAAGAATGGATCGAAGAAATAACTTATTTAAATTTAACTTATCAATGTTAAATCTCCCTAAATCCCAAAAATTAAGATCATTTGGGGTTTATTTAGCTGGAGCATTATACGCAATTGGATTTTGGTCAATGATTGATGCAGCAATTTATTCCAAATCAATTAATGCTTCAAATGTTCATGTATCAATTGTCGATTGGATACCTTTTATTTGTTCAACTTTAGGTATGATAATTGTTAATAGTATTGAAAAATCCAATTTATTCAATGATAATCAAAATTCATTCTTATCACCAAATTCTAATGCTTGGGCTGCAAGAGTTATTTTATTCTTGGGATTTTCTTTATTAGCAGGAGGTTTAGCTGGATCATTTATGGTATTTATTGTTAAGTTCTTGATGAAAGATATTAAATTTCCAACCTTAGGTATGGGAGTTTCAAATATCATTTGTAATGGTTGTATAATGTTTAGTTGTATAATCTTATGGTTATCACAAAATATTGAAGATGAATATAGTTATAGTTTAGCATTATGAGAGAAGTAAAGTAGTAGGAAAAAAATATATAGGCAATTAGAAAAATCAATTAGAAAAATACGTCATTAATCTATCACTATATACGAAAACTCATTCACCGAATGAAATTCTATTAATTTGAATTGAAAGTATTATACAATATTCATAAAAAACACTTAATTATTATTTAAAAATTCATTCTTTAAATCTCCCAACAATTCTAGTTCATAATTACTGAAATTAAATAAATTTAAAACAATTGGTACATTAGTACCTCTTGGATAAACTTGGAAATTTTCCTTTTTCAATTCATGGAAGAATGGATGAACTAAAACTTCTTTTGGTGAAGCTCTTACTTCAGGATCATAAACTAAAATCTTTAATAAAAGATCAATTGCATCAGGAGGTGAATTTGAAAATATTTGTTCAAATCTTTCTTTTATAGAACAATTAAATAATCTTGTTTGAAACATTGAACCTCTATAATGAGGATTACTTTTAAAGAAAAATGAATTCGATGGAGGACCTAATAATTTACTTATTTCTTTTAATTGTAATTCTGGTGATTGACCTTGAAATATTGGTTTACCTAAAAACATTTCAGCAATAACACAACCTAATCCCCAAATATCAATTTTGGTTGTATAAACTTGACATCCAATAATTAATTCTGGAGCTCGATAATATCTTGAACAAATATAACTAACACTTGGTTGATTAGGTTCCAATTTTTTTGCACTTCCAAAATCACAAATTTTTAATGTAACTTTCGATGGATCAACTAAGATATTTGAAGGTTTAATATCTCTATGACTAATACCAAACCCATGTAAATATAACATAGCTCTTGCTAATTGAAATGTATATGCTTTCATGTGGGGATAAGGTATAGTATACTTTGATTGCCTATAAAATTTAATTTCATTTTGTAAATTTGATGGTAGACATTCCATAACTAAATTTTGATAAATTATACCATCTTTAGGATTCTTCTTATCAAAGAAATATTTCAATCCAACAATATTTGGATGATTAACAATTCTTAGCAATTCTAATTCTCTTGATTTATATTCAGTTTGTGCTGGTACTCTTTTAATGGCAAATGGTCCCAACCATTCATTAGATTTATCTAGATCTCCATCAGTATTTTCACTATAATGATATTTTATAATTGCTTCAACAACTGTCCCAAATGCACCTTCTCCAATTTTATTATATTCCTTAACAATCATTTTAGCTTTATTGGATGAAGAATTTTCAGTTACATCCAATACATATTCATTAGATAATGTTTGTGGCATGATGTATTCTTGAAAAAATTAATTAAATATATAAAAAGTGTGTAATAATTCACGGTGTTGTTAAAGTTCGTTGAAAGGGATTCAAATGGTTAATAATAATGATAATTTTCCAATTATGTTGATGGTATCAATGTATTTATTGAGTATTGATGATAATGCTAAATCTATTTAATTGACTCAATTGAAGTTTATTAACTTTTATAACTTCAAATGTTAATTGATTCAAAACCGCCCAGGAGGATTAGTGGATAATTTTTTCTCAATCCTCACCTAATTGTTTATTTTCGTGAGACTTTCGTACAGGATAGTTTAAATTTTTACTAAATAACGTGAAGTTTCAGGGGGAAATTTGTTAGTTCAAGTAGGAATTTGATTGGATCAATGGATTTGGAAAAGTTAAGAGGTTATAGATCTGTTTTTTAGATAGATTTTTGATTTAAAACTGAAGAATTGGGCTTAACAACATAAGTATGAGCCTCTTTGAGGTCATTTTTTCTCTCATCACTAATAAAGGCTTTGGTTCTCAACATATTCCAATGATAAAATACACGGTTTCGGGTACAATAATTAGTTTTGAACCGTCTTACTCTCATAAACTGGTAGGTTGGAAGAGAAAAAATGATTGAGAATTTTTTTGAGAACTTCGCAAAATCATCATGTTCAAGACAGGATTATCCAACTTATTGCCTGGTTTAAAGAGTAAATCTTCAACTAATGGACATAATTTTATAAATGGATCGATATCTTCAATATTTAAAGGTTCGGTTTCTTCAATTTCTTCATCATCAAACAACAATTCTATAATATTTCCATCATCATATTCAAGCAAAAGATCATTAGCTACAGTATCAAGAAATAGTAATGTTCCTGTGAAGAAATCTATGCAAAATACTGTTTTATGGAAATTGTATGGTACCTTCAATAGACACAATACTTTATTGACATTCGTTGCAGTAGTTGATGATCCAAACTTTTTAAATAAGAACCCAAATTTACCATATACTGAACAAGTTTTACATTACTTACAATTACCACATCATCCACAAATCCATGTAAGTGCTGGACAATTAGGATTTAAGAAATCACAAAGATCTGAATATGAAGCCGGTTATCAAGTTTCATCAAGAATGTTCAAATTAATTGAAGAACAAAATTTATTGAATAATAATTTAAAAGTCGAATTAGTCTTAAAGAATTACGGTAAAGGTAGAGAAGCATTTTTGAATGCTTTACAAGGTAAAGAAGGTTCATATTTAAAAAATCATATCATTAGAATTAGTGACGCTACTAAATTGAAATTCGGTGGTACTAGATCTAAAAAATTACGTCGTTTATAGTCATGTATATAGTAATAGAATATTAACGTTACTTTCTGTTGTCAAAGCCATCAGTTTCGTTTCAGTATCCTTCCAGTGTGGTTTCAGCGTGTTTTCAATGTGCTTTCGGTACAGTCTGTGTGGTTTCATCTGAGTTCTATTAAGAGTACTTGAGTTACATTGAAATTTCGCTATATCGATAAATGATGTGTGCCTTATGATCGTTTTCCTAAGTTTTGGAAACTTCAACCGTTGGCTATTCAATGACGTTCTTTGACTCCTGATACCCTTAACCTTACAATCCCACCCACTTCCCTATCAATCTCTTCTAATCCTAAGTGTCGCAGTCACTGGATCATGTGACACATTAGTGCTGGAGCCCTATCGCACATACAAAAAATCTAACCCACAACTTTAACTATGGGAGTGCGAAGGCGAATTTTCACTAAAGATTCTCAATAGACTGAAAATTTTTAAAAAAATTTGAAAACTACATTGAATTTTAAAGATGGCTCCAAGTATGTAAACACAAAATAAGATTATTATCATTTAATATTCATTCATTCATTCGATCATATACTGTTCAAACCAACCATTCGTATCAAGAAATCACAGTTATTATTTATTTCACTTGAAGATTTAATTCAGAGATGAGTACGTCGAATAGACTTCAAATATCAGATTAAACTAAGTGAAATTTTCACTTTCCACTGTATATATGATCTGTCCAACAATATAGTTCAAGAGCAACTCAGATTATTAAACAAAGGAACATGAATGAATGAATATCAATGAAAAAAATCATTTGAAAAATTTTTCTAAAAGGAATTTAATACTAACAAATTATAGCTACTAAAGCTCAAAGTGCTAAAAAAGCTGCCTTAAAAGGTACCAATGCTAAAAAATCATTAAAAGTTAGAACTAACGCTTCTTTCAGATTACCAAAAACTTTAAAATTAGCTAGATCTCCAAAATATGTTAGAAAATCAGTTCCTCACTACGAAAGAATGGATGCTTACAAGATCATCGTTTCCCCAATTGCTTCAGAAACCGCTATGAAAAAAGTTGAAGATGGTAACACTTTAGTCTTCCAAGTTGATATCAAAGCTAACAAACACCAAATCAAAAAAGCTGTTAAACAATTATACGAAGTTGAAGTTGATCACATTAATACTTTAATTAGACCAAATGGTACCAAAAAAGCTTACATCAGATTAACCTCTGATTTCGATGCTTTAGATATTGCTAATAGAATTGGTTACATTTAAATTATTTAACTTTTTAAACATAACATAAAAAAAATAATTTAAATTAATGATAAAACATTGTATTTTAGATATTTAAATATCTCCAAAATTTAATACATAGGTCTGTAATTTCTTCTCTTATTTATCTTTGATCGATTTTATTTGAATGGTTCAAACGAATTTGTTTTAATTTTATGGCCTATTAGTAGAATTCTGTTGATACTTTTTATGTGAATCTTGCGAAATTTATGTTTTATGTAAAATAATATGATAGTGAAGAGAAAGTGAAAAAGTGAAACTTCTGAAAATCCAAATAGTTCATAAATTTGATAGTCTCGTTCAGAAAACTCATATATACACTAATACCTTCTTAATAACGCCTTGTCTAACAAGAGAATTATCAATTGAATTTGAAGATGTTGGAGATAAGGAACAGGTGATATGGGGAAAATGCAGATAAAGATCTAGAACTGTTGTTTTGTCATGAAATCTAAACTATCCAATTAAGGTAGACCGACATTGAATAGTCAATAGCCAGTAACATAACTCGACCTATCAGTTTATTCTCTCACAATAGATCAAAGAGGTGTCAGATGAAATTAAGTAGGCATTCTTACAAGACCGCAATTAACTTTCTTTTACACTTTTACATTGTTTAGTATCGAACAGTCAAAACTTTCTTTAAGTCAGAAGCTCATTTGTGAATTTTTCATTTGTCCATGTTTATTATTGTTTTGTAGTTTGATTACATCATTTACATATGAAAGATTATTCGGTTAACTAAATCAGTAATAGAACCCTGGTAGCATTATATTGATTGAGTTCATAATTATGTAAACCCACTAATCAGTATTTCATAGAGAGATTTGATTTTCAAACATATTATGATCTACGTTTATGGCAGAATACCTCAAATACAAAGCTGAACTGCCCCCCTCTTTTGTAAAACTTGGATATTCCTGCAATTGTCCCACTATTTTCCGTAACATCCAACATTTCTTTTGGAAATGTTCCTTAACTATGGTGTCACATGATTAAACCTGAGATTTTAGGCTCTACACGACGAACAAGAAAAATTATGACGTATTTGAACAATAAATGCTTAGGTAATAATTTTTCCACTACGTCATTTAGACCAAATAAGTATCTATTAGGGTAATAATTAAACTAACCATGGAAAATATCAGGATGTTTAGGAAGGATAGGAACCAACAAATTCAGGATATTAGAATGTGCCTCATTGGAAGATACCTTATATCATCAGAATAGATTTCTGAGTGAAGAGATTCAAGAGTTAGTCATAGGGTTCATCAGAAGACTTTCCATCTGGTGATCGGATAAACTAAATGTCAATAACTTTCTTTTTGTCTCTTGAAAGTCTTTGAGATCCAGATATCTTTACCTCTTGAAAGTGGAAAAGACTGCGGAATTGGGATGCTGTTGATTGGATTAACACTCAAGGGGAATACGTATTTATCAGTAAATGTTGTCTATTTTACCGTTAAGATGACGTCTTGATTCAATTGATTTAGGTTTGAAAGTAGATTTCAATTAGCAAGGTTGTATTTGATAAGGGTATAGGCAGGAATCGATACAACTGGGTATATTTCACCTTAAAGAAGAATAGATCTTTCAAGAATCGACTGGAATCAAAACAGTCAAGAACATTTACTACTTACTTAATAGATTATATAATTATCAATTCTCGAACTGGATCTATCAGTAGATCAGTGTCGCACTGATAAGCTCAACCCCTATACAACCTATCACTACTACGTAATCAACAATTGCCATATTCAGTATGAATTTTATTAATACATCAGATAATGTTGATATTCTAAACTATTACGTACATTTTAAATAAAGAAGACCTGTAACCTAAAACCAAACTCCGTCGCCTGAATAAACCTTGTGATGTAAAAGAAAGTCTACGACACCATGTGATGTAATGTCGCGTCCTGATGCCAGAGGTGTTGCAGCTAAAACGTTTGAACTTTCTTTTGAAATAGATTACCAAAAAAAATGTATATAAAACCCTGTAAATCCCCTTCAACTAAATCTTAAACTCATACATTCATTTGATACATTCAAATTATAGAAACATATTATAGACACATATTACAAAATGACTTACAATAAACAACCTGCTGTATTTTACGTTAATGCTGCTTTATTCGATTGTGATGGTACTTTAGTTAACTCAACTGGTGCTATCTCAGAATTCTGGAGAGATTTCGGTAAAACCAGACCTCATGTTAATCCAGAAGAAATCATCAGAACTAGTCACGGTTGTAGAACTTTCGATGTCATTGCCAAATGGTCACCAGAAGATGCTGATGTTGAACAAGTTACCAAATGGGAAGGTGAAATACCCGATAGTTTTGGTCAATTCGCCAAACCAATTCCTGGTGCTGTTGAATTAGTCAAATCTTTTGATAAATTTTCTAAAGAAAAAACCGCTAATGGTGCTCAAAGATGGGCTATTGTCACTTCAGGTACTTTACCTTTAGCTACCAAATGGTTAAAATTATTAACTATTCAAAAACCAGATGTTTTCATCACTGCTGAAAAAGTCACCAAAGGTAAACCACACCCACAAGGATACCAATCTGCCAGAGATACCTTAGGTTATCAAGATGCCAACAAAAAAGTTGTTGTTTTCGAAGATGCTCCAGCCGGTATAACAGCTGGTAAAGGTGCTGGTGCCATGATTGTTGGTATCTGTTCTACCTACGACCCTGAAAAAGTAAGAAAATCAGGAGCTGATATTGTCGTTGACGATTTATCAAGCTTTGAAATTGACAGTTACAATCCAGAAACTGATGAATTCAAAGTTGTTGTTAATGATTATCATTTCGCTAATGAAGAATTTTTACAAAAAGTTTAAGGGTAGGGTATTTATATAAAGATTAATAGATTTTTTTTTGATACTTCATATCTCTCATCTCTACTAAGTCATTTCTACATATCCATCTATTTGGTTATTTAAATCTATTTGGTTATATAGCCTCAAATTCCATATGTTAAAATTATTTCATGTGGGACAGAAACAGTGTAGAGATAAAACCATGTAAAGTCTTTTTTTTAAAACACTAAATACTTTCAACTATGAATTTTGCAACATTATCAGAATCAGATTTGATGGATAATTTTGCAGCCACTTTACCACCAGTTAAAGCTAATCTTACTTGAATAGCAACTTTGTTATTCCATATATCTTTACCAAATAATTTTAAAATGTGAGAATTAGCATCACTATCTAAATCTTGAGAACCTTCCAAAGGCATCATATTAAATAAATCTTTAAAGTGAGTGACCGCATTATCTAAAGATTTAACACCAGGTAAATTAACAACAGTTGATTGTTCAAAAGATAATTGATCAAAAATTTCAGTGAAATTTGAATTATAAATTGGATGAATAAAATCACCGGGTAAGATTTCTAAATCTTCAATTGGATATTCATCAGACCAACCTTCATCAGATTCATCAATATTACCATTATCATCAATTATTTCTCTATTAACATAACTTAAAGTATTATTGAAATTATTGAATAATTCAATATCATCAATGTTTGGCATGTTAAAAACAACATAAACTATACCAGTTTCTTGAGGTTTTAATTCATCAATTGATAAAATGAAATCTTCTTCATATAATGAATTATCAGGTTGACAAATTAATGAAACATTTTGTAAAATCAAATGATTCAAAGTATTGGTTATATTAAATTGTAAAACCAATTTAGCATCATCTGATTCCATGAAATAATGTTTATTAACAGTAACCACAAATTCATTTTCTTTATCAGTTAAGTAAATTGGTTTCAAAGTAGATTTTGATAATTTACCGTATCCACTAAATTCAGGAATTGATGATAATTCTGAAGAGAATTCTTGTTGTTTTAATAATTCATTAGATATTTCATTAGATTCTTCAATTTGATGTGATTTATGATTACTTTCAATTTCAACATCATCATTTTTATCTAAATTATTCAATTTGTTTTCAATTTCTTTAGAATTCAATTCTTCCATTGTTAACAAAGGAACTTCATTAATATCAAATTTACTTTCGAAATTTGATTCATCATTTAAATAATGAATTAATTTATTTTCCAAGATATTCAAATCAAATTTTGATTCGTTAATAATTAATCTTTTTTCATTATTTTTAATAAATTTTAATGATAAAGTTGCTCTATCTCTTACTTCATCATCAATATCATTAAGACATCTATTTAATAAGATTTCAATATTCGTTTTAACATCACCACCACAAATTATAGCAAATTTTGATAATGAAATAACTGCACTTGATCTAACAATTGAATTTTCCAATACTAATCTATTATAAATATGTCTAATATAATAGGAAGGATTAGAAGTTTTTGGACCTTCATCACCTAATAAATGTAAAATTCTAATTGATAATTCAGTATATTCACAATCTTCAATGAATTCACATAAATTCATTAAAATTAATTGTTTTGATTCATCATTCTTTAAAAATTTAATTAAATCAAATAAAGTATCAATAATACTTGTTTTCAATTCTAAAGAACCATCATCTCTTAATAAATCAGTTAAAAATTTAACTAATTTTTTATGCTTAGATTGAAATTTAATAGCTAAATTTTCTATAGCTTCAATAATAACAATTTTAAAATCTTCAGTAATTTCATCCATTAATGAAGTCATTTTATTAATTAATCTATCAACACTTTCACCTCCAATACTACTTTCACTTTCAATAGTACCAGAACCAATAGTTTTCAATAAAGTTGTTATAGCTAAAGTTGAAATTGATCTATTTGGATCATTAATTAAATTTTCTAATTCTTCATTAACAGTTAAAATTTCTTTTGGATGTTTAATAGAAATTTTATTAACTAATCTAATAGCAGCAAATCTTGTTGCAGTTCTTGGAACATTTAATAATTTTTGTAAACAATTAATAACATTTGCAAATTCATATTTGTTAACTAAATGTTGTAAACTAATAATAACTTTACAACTTTCTAATTCAACTGAATCGGATTTATGTTTTAAGAATGATAATAAAATTGGGAATAATTGACCAATTAATGATTCATCATCAATTAAAATTTTATGAATAAATCTAATTAATTGAATAACTGCTAAAGAATTTTTTAAAGCTTGATGATCAGTTAATGAAGTAATTAATTTTTTTAATGACATTTTATCATGATTTCTTAATTCATAAACTAAACCTAATGCATGATATTGATACATAAAAGTTGTACTTGGTAAATTAGTAGTTGAAGATCCATAATATTCATGTAATTGAAATTGATCTGATGGGAATTTTTTATAACTATCAATAGTTTCTGATGTTTCATTAGTAAATCTTTTAACAACATCTTTAGCAATTGGTAATAAATTATAAGATGAAACTAATGCTGCTGATGAAATAATTGGATTTTTATCAACTAATGAATTTTTAAATAATCTTTCACTGGCTGATACTGTAGTTGGATCTAAAACTTTTGATAATGTTCTAATGGCATTTGGTTTATAAATTAAATCTCCACTTTGAATATCTTTCATAATTGATGAAGTAACCATTAAAATATCTTGAGATGTTGATGATAATTCTTTAATAGTTAAATAAACCAATTGTCTTAATGAAACATCTTTATGTTGGAAAAGTTTTGAAATTGAAAAGAATAAAGTGGTTGATTCTTGTGATGGGAAACTTTCTCCACTATAAATTAATCTTAATAATTGTGATAATAATTGTCTACATTTTTTAGCATTAACTGGTGATGCATTAAATTGTTGTAAACATTCTTGGAAAACTGTCATTTTATCAGGTAATGAAGCAGAATGAGAGTAAGGATCTCCCTTCTTATAACTTGATGTTGACATGTTGGATTCAATTGATCTTTCAATAAGTTTTATATTACAAAAAGTTTTTTAAAAGATCAAATCAATTCAAAAGTTTAACGTGTTTGATTTCGTTGAAGTTTGAGATTGAGAACTTCGGTATTTTTTTTGGCCAACTTTTCATCAATATCCACGACTTTTATTTGAAGAAGGTGATCTCAGTAAGTGCGAAAACTTTTCAGTGAGAGTATAATAATGTTTAAGATTTCATCAATAATTAGAAATATTACTCCTAGAAACCCAAGTATTACTACGGGTATGAACGTCAGTTCTATGAATAATAGTATAAACGCAATTTCCAATGCTTCAAAAGCTTTATCCATAGGAGGTTTAAGAACTTTTAAAGTTAGAACCTCAGTAAAGAAATTTTGTAAAGATTGTTATATGGTGAAAAGAAAAGGTAGAGTTTATGTATATTGTAAGAGTAATGGTAAACATAAACAAAGACAAGGTTAGGTTTTGTTCGACCCTTTTAATTTCGGATAAAGACAGGGTTAGAGCTTTAATTTCAGATGATTAGAAACAAAGACAGGAAGTCCTTTAATTCCAGATAAATAGAAACTTGTATATATTAATGCAGACATGAAACGTTATCTATTGCCTATTAGCAGCTGCTTGAGCGGCAGCAAACTTTACGGCTCTTGTAGTTGGGGTTTGTGAATTTCTTAAATTCATGTATTGATTTCTTGAAGGTAATCTTGCAATTTGAGGTCTTTGCATTGAAGCATTTAAACTGGTATTACTTTGGTTTTGAGCTACTGATGAAGTCAGAATTAATGCATCTTGCCAGATTTTATTCAAAGTATTGTTAATTTCTTCTTCTTTATCTTTAAAATTGGGTGAAAATTCTTCAAATGTATTGGCATCATTATTCACATCTTTCTTATCATTCAGTTTTTTAATTTTTATAGTGTTATTTTTAACTCTATTGAGACTAACACCAATTGGATTCAAGTATCTACGAACATTAAGATATTCACGATTCAATCTTTCGAATTCAATTCTTGATTGGATTAAGTTCGTTGATCCATTTTGTAACATATATAATAATCCATTAATATTGGTGGTAGACACGGAATTTTGTAATGGTGGATTATCATTGGGTGTAGTTGATTGACTTGTACTGGAACTATTGTTAACACTAGTTACACTGACATTAACACCATTATTTTGATGGGGTACTGAAGCACTTTGATGATTAGCCGTAACAATACCTCCTGGTTGATGATTTTGTAATTCATTATTTATAGGCGTCATACCTAATTGGAAACCTCCTGAAGGTGTTTGAGGGGTCATTTGATTCAAATGTTGATTACTTTGATTATAATTATGAGCAAACATTAATTTGTTCAATGATAAACTGGAAAAATTGGCCAATTGATTGGGATCTATTGAAACATCCATTAATGAATTTTCTCTTTGTAACCATAATCTTTGTTGTGTTCTATTATCATTCCCATCATTCAAATTAACATTATTATTCAAGAAATTAGCAAAATCAGTAACTCCTAAATCTTTGAGTTGAATATGTTGAGGAGGAATAGCTCTAGATTTTGCTGGTTCAATTCCATTCTTTTCATCACTAGCCTTTTGTTGTGATTGTTTCTTAGAATTCACGTATTGATTATTAGTTCTTTGTAAATTATTGAAGATTGTTTGATTAGGTTGATATGAATTCAATTTCACTGCTGGTTTATTTGTGAGTACAGGTTCAGCCACATTCAAATCTATTGGATTGGCTTTGAATGAAATACCACCATTAGAGTCATTATAAGACTCCCCTTCATTCCCTTCACTAGGATATTCCATTTGTTTGGGATCTATTTTCCTTATAAGACCAGTGGACTGTGACAAAAATAATGAGCCTCCATATAAATTACTTGAAGGTGTTAAATCATCAGTTGAATCGGGTAGTTTATTTAATCTATCATCCGATTGTTCAGTAGTGATATCTTGTTTCAGTCCTTCCTGAGATGATGGTGATTCAGGTGATTTTGATCTAAGGGCTTCTTGAATATTATGCGTTGTTGGTTGTTTTGGATGAGAATCCAAAGGTTCGGTTTTGATTAATGGATCCGATTGAACACCTGAAGTGTATAATTCCGGTCGTGGTGATGGTGAAAGATGATTCTCCTTATTAACTTCAGGTTCTGATACGTATTGACCTAAAGCCTGTTGGAATACGTGTTGCATATCATTATCTTGAGTGTTATTTGAAATTTCAGCTTCTTGCGGTTGTTCGGGTTCGGGAAGTGGTGTTGCCTGTTGCTCAGGGGTTGGTTGCTGTTGTTGGAGCAGCTGTTGAGCTAAAAGTTCAGCACTATTTTCGAGTTCATTTGCTTCTTCGTCACTTAAATCTTCATATTCATCATTATCATCATTCAATTTCAATATAGCTTTCCCTTGTTTAGCACTAAGTTTCAATCCTCCATAGGCTAAATTTATATTCAAATTCTTTAAAGAAGTATTGGACTTATTTGACTTCAATGATTGATTGGATAAAGTTTTAGTCAATGGTTGTAAGGTTGCAATTTTAGTGAATGATCTATTATTTCTCTTGATTCTAACAATTCCATCAGTGGATTTCGATCTATTCAAGTTGGGTCGATTGATAGTGTTAACTTTATTATATGATGGAGTACGTGTATGCATTTTAGGTTTGTTTCTTCTTGGAGGTTTTGCGGTAATGATATTATCATTTGAACCTTCATTAGCTGATTGTGACCTCTTTAAAGGAGACCCATCATCTACGATATCTGATCTAGAAACATCTGAATCCGATACTTGAGGTCCATGGTCATGATTTATTTCATTCGAATCCCCTACATTCTCTGTAGAATCTGTGGTTGTTGGTACCATATCCTGCATTACTTGCACCTCAAATGGCTGTATTTGAAAATTTACGGTGCGAAATGCTGGTGACTGCAAAAAAAAAGTTATGATGACACAGAGAACAAAGAGGTTACAGAATTATTATATATTCCCTATGTCCTATTCGGGGACTCTGAATTTCAATCTTTGTCCTTCATAATATACATAATCTAAAGTAGATTGTAACATACCATTTTTTTCCAATTCCAAATATGCTTTATATAACTTCAAGGCATATTTTGCATCTTCTATTGAATCATGATTACCCACTTGAACTCTTTCATTCAAAACAACAAAGGTTAAGAATTTCAATGATAATTTCCGCTTGTAATCCGATAAAAAGAATAATAACGATGTATCTCTTATTTGGTTAGGTGGTACATGTAAGTTGATAGTTCTGAAATCATTATCTAAACCATGACCTATGAACACACATCCGATATTTAATAAGAGCCATAATCTTCTATAACTTGTTTGGAAAGTGACTAGATTCTTGGTTGAATTTACAGGATCCAAATCTCCTGGTTCTATACCTGAGAAAGATGTTATATAATCTTCGATCTTTTGACTATGAATAATGTAATCATCAATAAAAGGTGTTTCATCGTCTTTAATGACTGAAATTCTGGCAAGACTGGATTTCTTTGGTTTAATAAGATTCTTAATTCCTTGAAAGTTGATCTCAAACAATTCTTTTTGTAACATAACGAATTCTGCATCAATGGCAATTAAACTTCCTGGTTGTGGTGGATCTTCTTTAGTTAAGAGTTTATATTGTTTGATATAATCTTCTCTGATATTCAAGGCAAAATGATCTTTATAAAGAATTGAATCATTGATATCTTCATTGTTAGTGATTTTCAACATTGGTGGGGGTTGAGAATGTTGGTATAATAAAATCAAAGGTCTTTTATTATCTTTTTTGAAATTGAAAACTTCATCTTCATGGATTTCCATAACTAAAAAGTCATTAAAAAGGTACCATTTACCTTCAATTTTGACAAAAGTTATTAAATTATGATTCCCAATTGAAGTTTCAGGTCCATTATTGATTTCTGCCACATAACCCAAAAGTTCATATTTATTGTCGGAATAATTAGTGAATCCGATGATTCCATTATTAGAAGCAGTAAATAATTCAGGTAATAACCAGTTGGAGTCCAAAGATTTCAAGTCCTTATTACTGAAATTAACATTTATTGATAACATTTTGGGTAATTCAATTATACCAGATAATGAATAATTTAAATAATTTGTTATGTTACCTTGAACATTAATAGGGAATAAGTTTATACTGGTTAATATGTTCCTGTTGGTTTTGATCAAGAATAATGATGATATGTCATTATTAAAAGTACCTTGAATTTGGAAGTCTTCGATTAATTTATTAAGCATCCATTGATTGAAGCCCAAAGTTTTCAATTTCAAGTTTTCACTATTAACAGTCTTCAAATCATCAAAATTTAATAATTCTGGTGGTGCTATGGTATTTAAAAATTCGGAAAAGTTAGTTATGATGGAATTTTTACCATTGGTTTTGTTCAACATATCAAATAAATATCCCATTTCATTCAATAACGATGACCCTTTGAAATTTCCTTGCTTGTTTATGGTTATCTCATCATTAGGTAACCATTCGTTGAATAAATTCCTAAGAATTATATTCTGGAAATCACTTTGATATTTATATAATTGTAAAATTGAGTTCACATAACTATTATCCAAATTATTCTCCAACCCACTGAATTTAGTTTTGTTGAAAAGGTTAAAATTGAAATCTTCAATCCCAAATTTGGAGTATTTGATCAATAACTTATTATAACAGTTGGGGATTCGGAAAAATCTATCATCAAATTTAGACGAATTATCACTGATGAACGGGATAAGATTCTGGTCCACTTTCAAAGGATAATATTTATGGAAATTGTTATCAAATTTGTTATCGATGAATTTCAAGAAAGGTAAATTTTCATTATCATACTTCAAAGGTAATTTAGCTAACTCTTTAGTGAAGATTAAGTTAGATCCATAATTTGAAAGTAATAAATCTTTATAATATGGCATACCTACCACATTCAAAGGTATATTATCATCATCAACAGGTAATTTCTCATGATTATCAGTTTCAATAGCTGGTAAAGGGTCTAAATCAATGGAAAAATTATTCATTTTGGTACTGTTATTGAACCCCCATAAGATCAAATTATTGAAATTATCAGTAAATCCCAACATTTCACCATTTGAACTAAATTTCAAATCATTCAAATAATTCGATGAACTGAGTAGATCTATTTGATATAATTGAAAGTTGGATTGATCAAACATATCAAGAAATTGAATGTTCCCATTCTTTGATGCTATGACTATATAATTTGGTAATTTAGGATGAAATTTAACGAATGACGGGCCAAATGGGAAGGGGATTGGTGATAATAATTTCATCATTCTGAGATCGTATAAATTGATCAATGGATCAACAAAAAAGTTATTATGCCTTATGGAGTATCCTGAAGTAACTAAATAGTTCCCCTGAACATCTAAATCACTCAATCCATTACTATGACCTTGGAAATCCTTAATGACCTTATTTGAATTCTGATCAAATAAACTGACTGATCCATCGAGTTTACCTAAAGTTAAGAATTTCGATTGATGGTTTAAAAACGATAAGTTACTTTTGAAGTCCAATTCACTATAACTGTCACTTCTATTCAAGTTAATTTTGAATAATGAATCTTGCTTACTTATAATCAACTCATTATTTAACTCATTGACTGTCATACAATTGAATTTATTATAATATGGATTCAATCTTTCATTGATATTATGTAAGGGCATTCCTCTCTTATTATTGACATTTATATTTGATGATGATAGTGAATAAAGATGGTTTTTGGATATGATTTGATTGACTGAATCGTTTATACTAGATCTAAATTTAGTGTAAGGATATAATTGCAAATTATATTGATACTCGTAAGGACTGTAGGAATTAATATACCCATCACCACCCCCGAGCCATATTAACTCATTCTGAGTATCAAACTCCAATGCCGACACCGAACTGGCATGGGATAATCGTGATATCTCACTCCAACCTTCCATGTATTTGTTGATAGAGGTTTCGCGGATTTGGTGAGTTGATGTAATTCAACTGATGATAATTGACTGTGAGGGCGGCATTGTGAGTATAGGATGCGGTATTGTGAGTATACGGGGTGATAGGATCACTTACATAGTTCTATAATATTACAGCTGTATTTGACTTGCCCGACAGCTGATCGGTACCTTTTTGAGACACAGATTTTGATACTCACCTTAATGTAAAATCCTTCATGATAACACATTAACTTGGAATTTATCCATTGACATCCTCACTAAGATATTTTGAGCTACAAGCTACTTCTAGATGTAATCAAAGATCTTATCGTCTCCTTCAATTGCTATCCTGGTCAAGAATGTAAAAAATCGTGCATGAAGTTGCTCCAAACTTGCATAATCAAGGAGTCAATTTCGATACTCCCTAACCCAAGTTCAGGTATGTAGTAACATTTTCGATCGCCAAAAATTAACAAAACTTACGCTTATGTGCTTCAATGCATTCGGAAGCTAGGGTTATTATCTCAATTTCATTCTTCTAACGAAGAAGGTCTATCTAATACGATGAAAGTGTCACATCCTTACATCTCAAGGGGGCCTCTGTGTGGGCCCCTTAATCGAATCAATATTTGAGCCATGTGTTTCGAAAACACAAACTCTATAAATGTAGTGAAAAATGTCAAATTCCTAAGAGTAATGATGATCAGTATCTTGTGCTATTATTTATTACTTACATCAGGAGTCAAAGCTTCAGGTTTAGGGATATACAGAAAGAAAGAATTGGGGCATATGGCATGTGGACATATGATTGGGAAGTATGTTCAGCCCTATGAAAGGTTTGAGCATCAACACATTGACTTCTGTGATATTGAAAACCAGCCAGCTTTAGGATCTATGATTCTTTGTATAATAGATTGCTTTGATTATAGCGATTTATTTTTGAAAGACTTTCAGCAGTCTTGTAGTAAAGAACATTTGAACTTTTCTGAAATATATAATTCTTATAGAAACGCTACTAAGTATAGTGTCAATTCCAGTTACTATGAAAGTCAAGTAGATACCTCGGATCCTTACATGAGATACAAGTTCCCAGATTTTGAATTACCTTTCCCTTATCCCATTCATCTCCCACCACAACAAGTTCAAGGGTATTATAAAGTGTTATACAAAGATTATCAAACATCCAATTGGGAAATTTATTTCGGTGTTGCTTTAACATCGTACTGGTTTTTGGTGATGATGGTAGCTGCAATATTCAATTGGCTGTATTATTTGATGCCTAATTATGTGAAGACTTGGTATGGGGGTCCTACCAATTGGATTAGACGTAATGTCACATTAGCACCATTAGCTAGAAAACAACATATATTTTCAAACAATAGATTTATTGGTTTTATACCTACAAGATTGGAGTCTTTGATACTTTGCGGATGGATATGCTTGATTATAGCCTTCTGTTTCCCTCAGATAAACCAACCAATTCAGGCATCAATTGTTGCGGCTGTAGGTAACAGGTTAGCTTATTTGGCATGTTTTACATATCCCTTATTGATTCTATTCGCTGGTCGTAATAACTTTATGCAAACAGTGACTGGGTGGAGCTTTTCAAGATTCCTTACCTTTCATAGATGGACTTCCAGAATGGTTTTCCTCCTAATTTTATTGCATGCCATTTGTGAAACTACCTATTTGAAAAACGTCAATGCTTATACGAAATTTGGAAGGACAGATCCTATAATTTATGGATACGTGGGGATGACAGCCATTTCAATAATTGTGTTTCAATCATTATACTTCTTTAGAAGTAAAAGGTATGAAATATTTCTCTTGATTCACATTACTATGGTAGCCATAGTATTGGCTTCAGGATGGAAACATACGAAATATGTTGGAGGTGTTGAACTATTTTATTGTTCTGTTGCAGTTTGGGTTTTTGATCGTATAGTTAGAATATGTAGGATCGTATCCTTTGGCATACAGCCAGCAATTTTGCAATTAGGAGCCAATGAAACCTTAAAGGTTATTGTGAAGAGACCTACTTATTGGAAACCTTACCCCGGATCTCATGCTTTTATTCATTTCTTGAAACCTACTTTATTCTGGCAGTCTCATCCTTTCACGATCATAGACTCGATTTCAGGAGAAAACACCATAAGCTTCTACATAAAAGTCAAAGGCGGAATGAGCCATGGACTATATCAAGATATATGTAAACGTCCTGACAATAAACTTCGAATGAATGTTTTAGTAGAAGGACCATACTCTCAAACCATTACCATCCATAATTATCACAAAGCAGTTTTCTTAGCTGGAGGTAATGGAATACCAGGTATGTACTTTGAAGCATGGAATATGGCTAAAAAAATTCACCAAGAACAGAACGTTCCATACCAAAGAATAAAGTTCATTTGGGTAATTCGTCATTTTAAATCCATTGACTGGTTTTATGAAGAATTGAAAAACTTTGAACAGTATGATTTCATGAAGGTGAAGATATACATAACCAGACCTGAAGAAGAGTCGAGCTACCAGGAAGACAACCACAGTGGGTTTTTTTTTAATTCGTATGAAAGTGATGAAGAGCCAACAAACACACCAGTGGCCAATGAGGATGAGTTTGGGGAAGAAGAAGAGTGTAGTGACGTAGAATATGGTAATGAAGAGGTAGAGGCTGAAACAGCTGCTACACATTCAGGAAAAGAAGAACTATCAGAAAAGAAAATGTCAGTATCTTCATGTTATTCCTTCTTAACATATTTACAACTCAAATTACCCCATATCAAGTTCAAATTGGGCAGGCCCGATATCGACAAGATAGTCAGTCGAGAAGTTAACTCCACCAAGCATTCAATTGCCTTTGCTACGTGTGCCCATCCGTGCATGGTGGATGAAGTCCGAAACTCTATACGTCATAGATTAAGTACAAGTCAAAGAGTGGAATTATTCGAGCAAGTTCAAAGTTGGTAAATGTTTGAAGTTAAGTCAAATATAAAAATGTTTCATACCCTACATGTCCCTTATTTCTTCTCTCTCCCGCCGTTGTTCTGGGGAGCATCAGTGTGATTACTAGCCAAATTGAGAATCTGAAAATTTTCAATGATTGAAGCTAAAATTGATGAGACCAATGAGTTGATTCACAAGTTAATTGACGAAGTTTTCCCATCAGTTTATGCATCTTTCGATGTTTTGGATAAAAGGATACGAAGACTTGAAGAAAAAATGCTGGGACAAGAATTTGATAGCTTGAAAGAAGACGTTAAACAGAAACGAGATGATGCACTTGAGATCAATGATAAGTTAAGTGGCTTACTGAAAGATTTGAAAAAGCAACAAGACAAAGAATTAGCTAATTCAGATGAAACTGATATCAATGATGAAGTTCATGAAGCTCAACACAAAGAAGATGAAGAAACTAAAGAAGTGACAAATGTATTTTCAGATGATGTGCTATCAATGAGACAACAAAAGAAGATTCTTAACACATTATCATGTAATTATCGAATAAATAGCATCGATGATGTTACTAAGTTCTTTGATATTCAAGATCTTCTATTCGAAATAACGAGTGCTGAGTATCAAAAGAAACATACTCAAGATTTAATATACCCCGATCTACAACTTGAAGGGGATTGCATCAAAAACTACTTGATAGATATTTTCAATTTCAAATATGAACACCACGTTCCTGATAGTTTCATCATACGATACACGAAACTGAAACTCGATGATTTAGAAAGGGAGAATCAATTGAGTGAGGAAGTTCAGTACATTTTTGGTAATGATTATTTCAATAGTGTTACCGGATTTATCAATTGGGATGGGTTAATGTTAGTCATATATCGTTATAAATTCGAAAATACCAAATCCTACCTTTCAAGCTGTATTGATATGTTAAGTGAAAGAAACCAGAATATCAGTAGACCAGGGTCTAATTTCACTAATCTTACCATTGTGTTTGAATTGATTTTATCCAACTTGAAGAACATGAAATTAAATTGTAGTGGAGCCTTCATTTTATTGTCCAAGATCTATAATAAATTCACCGTTGAAGTAGAATATCTCAAATTGTTCTTACCAGTATTTGATCTTGGGAAGTTTCAAGACATCTGTGATATAGAATTATATTCTCAGGAATTAGAAGTCATGAACTTCACTTTACCTGATCAGTGGAAAGATTTCTTGGTCACAGTGATCTCAAAACTTAAAGATGATGGCAATGAAATCAAACATATCTTCTTGGAAGATCTAAAACTTTATTTACAGAGGAAACCAATCAAAGTAACCATAACGGGGGAAATGGGTATCAAGTTGAACGTTTATTGTATCAGATTCTCCAAATTTTGGGATGTTCATCAATTCGAAAACCTTTTCTTCTTATTATATTACAATAACAATATTGACAGAATTCTTGATTTAGAGAAATTGAAATACTATAAGTATTTGAAATATGAGTTGTTGGAGTATTTGAATTTCATACCTATGATTTTGATATTTGTCATCTATGAAATCTTCAAGACGGGAGGACAAGATTGGGATTTAGATGTTTTAAATGACGATTTATTGATAATTGCATCGATTTTGATAACAAATTTGAAATTCAGAAATCTCCTTGAAGCATGTTTATTCGTAGTATTCAATGAATTGGATTATGAAGAGTATTTGAAAGGTAAGATTGAAATCGAATCAATCATGTTCAAAGTCATGGGAGATTTGATAGTGGAGAACATTGATTTGGTCAAACAGATAATATTCAATCACTTTGCTGACTTAGGAATGGCAAGACCATATACATGTTTGGCAAGTTTAAGGAATCCATTCAAGCAAATGATCGATAAGGAAAAGATTGAACGTTTTAAGTAGTCGAAACTTGAGAAAAGACACCTTCAGGGTTAAAAACAACAACGTTAGGCCTCAAAAACAACAATGCTAGACCTCAAAAACAACACCAGGCTCGAAAACACGTTCAAATCTAAGACATTCTACTATATGCGGGTCGCAAAAAAAAACAACAGTCATCCATCGTGGCTTGAATGACAGCAAGTGTTGACCTGAGTTGACCAGAGGTAGTGTTCAACTTCAACTGACTGTCATTCAAACTCCAAGTCTCGGTAGTAACCACTATAAGTTCCAAATAACCAGTTTAACTCTTAATAACTGTTAAAGTACCCCATATTATTTACTTCGCAACGAGCAATTTTCGGCAATGGAACAGTTCGGGTAGGACGTGGTACTAAAATTAGCCATGATGATCAAAAATTAGCGCCACGGTTTGCGACAATTGCCCCCCTAAATTAATTTAACTGATAAGACTTTGGTAACCGCACTAGCCATTTATGACTGTGAATTGTGTGTGTCATTAAGGGAGAGAGATTGTACAAAAACTTTTAAAAATAAACAACTTTATAAACCCATTTTTTTTTTAAATTAAAAGAAGGAAGAATTGGTTGTTTTATTTCATACTCAAAGCTTTCAGATTATCAATGTTTAAATTCAATTTATTATCAATATTCCAAACCAATTCCAATAAATCGGTTATCGATAGCAAAGATATCCCAAAGAATTTTACCATTAATAATGATAATAATAAAGTTTTGAACATCTCAATGGTTAATGGAGGTATCAATGAAGATGATGACTTCATTAATATCAACTTTAATGAGTTAACTTATGCTGAAGTTGCTAAGTTAAATCAAGATAAACCAATCAACTATAACAAAAATAAGTCATCCAAAACAATTATTAATAAGAAATCCAAAGCTGTTGGTAAAGAAACTGAAGAAGAGTTGGTTGATTCAATTCATGAAAAGTTTAAATCAGATATTCACTATAAAAAACATAAACAATTCAAGTTAAATGAAAAGAGAAAGAGATCTCAAGCTAGAAGAAAACATTGATTGTTTTAGTTTAACTAGTTATTAAAGTATGTAGAAATAAATCTTATTTATCATTGCATCTATTTGTCTGGTAAAGGTCTCCCGTAGATATCTTTTACTGTTTGTTGGGGGTGGAACGCAGATCCATGGATTGTAAACAATATCCTTATCTTATCCCAGATTTCTCGAGGATTTCGTTCTCGCGTTATATGCAGGAGTGAGGTTGAGAGTCAAAATCAAAGATTTTTTTGAGATGAGATGACATTAACTATGGGTAAAAGAGAATTAGAGGATCGTACTGAGGAAAAGAAATTAAAGAAGGAAAGAAAGGAGAAGAAGCACGGAAAGTCCAAGGACAAGAAGGAAAAGAAGGAAAAGAAGGACAAGAAGGAAAAGAAGGACAAGAAGGAAAAGAAGGATAAGAAAGAAAAGAAAGAAAAGAAAGAAAAAGCTGAAATTAAATCAGAATCTTCTGTTATAGGACCTAAACCTTCAGAAAGTCAAATAAAAGATTTCATAGAAACTAACCAAGTCCATATTGAAGATGGTCATGATTTATCACCAATTTTATCATTCAATCAAATTGACTTACATTCAACATTATCAAAATTAAAAGAATTTGAAAAACCAACACCAATTCAATCAGTCAGTTGGCCATATTTAATTAATGGTAATGATGTTATTGGTGTTGCAGAAACTGGTTCAGGTAAAACCTTAGCTTTTGGAGTTCCAGGTTTGAATGCATTATCCAAGAATCCAACTAAAGATTTAAAAATCTTATGTGTTTCACCAACTAGAGAATTGGCCATGCAAATTTATGATAATTTAATCAAATATTCTTCCAATATTAAAATAACTTGTGTTTATGGTGGTGTTTCTAAACAAGATCAAATCGATAAATTACCTGGTAGTAATATTATAATTGCAACTCCTGGTAGATTATTAGATTTAATTAATGATGGATATATTGATTTATCAAATGTCAATTACCTTGTTTTAGATGAAGCTGATAGAATGTTAGATCAAGGATTTGAAAAAGATATTGAAGCTATTATTACACAAATTCCAACTTCAAGACAAACTTTAATGTTTACTGCTACTTGGCCAGTTGAAGTTCAAAAATTAGCATCCAAATTCTTGAAAAAACCTGTTAAGATTACTTTAGGAAATGTTTCAAATGAATTAAATGCTAACAAAAGAATTAAACAAATTGTTGAAGTTATAAATCCTTTCGATAAAGAAAAGAAATTACTCCAATTATTAAGAAATTATGTTGGTCAACATGATAAGATTTTAATTTTCGCTTTATATAAGAAGGAAGCTAGTAGAATTGAAAGTTTATTACAAAGAAATAGATTCTCAATTTCAGCTATTCATGGGGATTTAAATCAATCACAAAGATCCAAAGCTTTAAATGATTTCAAAGCTGGTCATAGTCAAATCTTATTAGCTACTGATGTCGCAGCAAGAGGTTTAGATATTCCTGATGTTACCTTAGTTATCAATTTAACTTTCCCATTAACTATTGAAGATTATGTTCATAGAATTGGTAGAACTGGTAGAGCTGGTAAAACAGGTTTAGCTCATACTTTATTCACTGAACATGAAAAACATTTAAGTGGTGCTTTAGGAAATATCTTAAGAGGTGCTGATCAAGAAGTTCCTGAAGAATTATTGAAATTTGGTGGTCACACCAAAAAGAAAGCTCACAGTGCTTATGGAGCTTTCTTCAAAGATGTTGATATGACCAAAACTGCTAAAAAGATCAAATTCGATTAATCTTATCTAATGAATAAAAACAATGTATTTTCTCTATGGCTGCAAATCACAATCTTTTTTTTTATCGGTGCGGAGTTTCTCCCAGTGGTACCACCAGAAAGTGGCACCATCGGTTCGCGACAAACAGGTAGAAACTTCTTCAGATTTCTTTTGATGGCGTGTTGAGAACTCATCTGGTGATAAACTGATTTGAAATTTCGAGCATAAAGACAGATAGACATTTTTAGATCTTTTTAGATAAGGTACCCATCAAACTAGAAAGAACTAATGAAAATGAATATCAATTTATTATGGTTATTTATATTCATCAACGGTATAATAGGGTTTACACCATTTTATTCTTCTGATTTTTGTTCTCAAACCATTACTAATGATTGTAATACAACATTTTCATACATTGATTCAATAAATGATGCAGTATATCCAACATTAAAGAAATTAGTAGCATCACCATATTTCAGATATTTCAAGATAAATTTCGATAAACAATGTAAATTCTGGGATGAAGAATATTTCTGTGCTAGTAGGAATTGTGCAGTTGAATTATCATCAAGATCGGAAGTTAACTGGGACGAAGACCTTTTCTTGAATGATGGATCTGGTAGTAAGGTATTAGATCGTGATGAAGTATTAAGTAGTTGTAATGATTTGGATTATTGTGAAATCGATGATGATGATAACGCTGACGTAGCTAATTTAGTTAATAATCCTGAAAGATTCACTGGATATGCTGGTAAACAAGCCCAAAATATCTGGAGTGCTATCTATAATGAAAATTGTTTCAAAAATGATGATGGATCAATCGATTCCGAAAGTTGTTCTGCCAAACAATTATTCTTCAGAGTTGTTAGTGGAATGCATGCATCGATCTCAACTCATTTATCCAATGAATATCTTTTTGAAAAGGAAGATTATGATACCTATGAACCAAATTTGAAAGTATTCATGGAAAGAGTTGGAAAATTTAATGATAGAATTTCAAATTTATATTTCAATTATGGTTTAATTTCCCAATCCATTATTCAATTATTCAAGAATTACCCAATTATTGAATTATTAAAACATGACGGTACAGAAGAAAGCAATCATGAAGAAAGTTTGGTCGAACTCATATCACTTTTGGAAAAAGAATCTCTTTTCAAAACTTCATTAATCATTGAACCTGAATATAAAAATGAATTCAGAAATAAATTCAGAAATATCAGTAGTATTATGGATTGTGTTGGATGTGATAGATGTAGAATGTGGGGTAAATTACAAACCATCGGTTATGGTACAGCATTAAAGATTTTAAATGAAGAAAATGATTCTAGTTTGGTATTCAGAAGAATTGAAATTGTTTCATTATTCAATACTTTCGATAGATTAAGTAAATCTATCGAATCAGTTAAAAATTTCAAACAAATGTATTTAGAACATTTACAAGATGTAGAAAAAGGGTTAGTCCAACCAGGAGATTTTGATAAATTAACTGATAAGAATGGTCTTAGTTTCCCATTCTTGAAGGATTCAAGAGAATTAAAATCAAAGATTAATCAAATGAAAGAAATAAAAACAGATTCTTCAGAAGTTCCTAAAAAAGATACTAAACCCGTTGAACCAGTAAGACAAGGTAGATTAAAACAAGATTTCAATCAATCACTTGATGAAGTCTATAAAGCATTAAAATTCGTTTTAAATTCTTATAGAGTTTTTCCTATGATAATTTTAAAACAAACCTTAATCAGATTGAATTACTATTGGAATGCATTTATTGGTATTGATACCAATGAATATTATGAAGAATTCCAATTACAACAAGAGCAACAATATATCAATTTATTTAATGATTAGAATAGAATATAAATATGAATCGTAGATTTTCTAGAGACTTTTAAACTTAAACCGATATTTTTTATTAAGAATCTAATATACAAAATTATGAAAATGAAAAGATGATATGACGAAAGTAAAATTATAAGATAACTTAGAATAAGTAAGCAGCTAAACCGACTAAACCAGCAGCACCGTAAACCATGTTTTGGTTAGCACCACCTTCGAAAGCAGCAACACCAGCGAGGGAAGAGTTACTAGCTGAGTAAGATGATAATAAAGTGGATTGTTGAGTGATAGTAAGTTCAACACCGGTTGATGCAGTAACAGTTGGAGTGGTGGTTTCATCAACGTAAATGATTTCCTCACTTGATGATGATGGAACTTCTGAAACTTCTGGGACTTTGACAGCTGGTGAAACAGTTTCTTCACAGATGGTAGTGTATAAAGTTTCGACACCATTGACAGTAGTAGTAACAACGGTTTCTGAAGTAGTAGCAACATCAGCAACACAATCTGGGTGACCTGAACATGAAGTGATAGTAACTTCAGTAGTATGGTTATCAGTGACAGTTTCAATTTCAGTGGAAGCAGCTTGAGCTAATGAAACAACAGCTAATAATGATAAAGTTCTGAATTGCATTTTTTAATGAGTGTAGTTAGTTAGAATTGAATTTTTCCTAAAGAAGATTGGAATAAGGAGGTTGATCTTAAGAAATATTCTGCAAAGGGAAAAATTCAAAGGTATTTATAGTTGTAATACCTCCTAGATTTCAACTTTGTTGATGTTTGCCTTGTAATTTCGTTACATGTACTTAACGAAATTCTTAATTTTGGAGTTTAAGGGGGTCATTACGATTGTTTTAGTTGTAAATATTTTTAAATTCAAACTAATTCACCCCCTTCGTCTTCCGATCTCTACTATGTACAACGGTTTTTTGCAGCTATTTTTCACGCATCTACGCGGTTGCGGAAATTTGAAAACAAACATTCGAAACGCGGTTTCGTGTCTCTTTAAACCATCGATGCGAAAAAAGAATGGTTTGGTACAATAGACAGATCGAGATGCCCCAATACCGCCACTTGTGTTGAAAAGATAGCTTGAGACGTGTTTGAAAAATGAATTTTGGCGTGGTGTTTTTTTCTTCACCATACCGTGTTGTGACACGGTAGCGTGACAATAGAATAGTGACGAAACTCAAATCTTCATTAAGTTGAGTGACGTTATAGAGTGATTTCAAAGCTTATTATACATCTATTATACTAATTTAACATTAAATTCATTTCCCAATCATTAATAACACCAACCCAATCATCTTTAGATAAACTAAGTCTTTTTCTTCTCCATACTTCCAACATGATTTGTCTAGCTCCCCAATAACTACCTAAATATTGAGAGATGTCAGCACCCCATTTCTTATATCCCATTTGTAATTCAGAAGATGTAGCTTCACATCCTGCAATAAACCCTTGCCAGAATAATGGGATAATTCCCACATTTTCTTTAACAATCAATTTTTGAATGGAATTCAAATGGCTCAAAGTTAATTTGACTTTATCTTGTAAATCAGTAGGATTCTCTTGTTTGACTAATCTTTTGAAATAAATGGTTAATCCGTAGTAGAATGACATGATATGATGATAAGTGACTTCATGCATTGGAGAATAGAAATTCTTTTCATCGTTAACTATGACAAATAATTTCCAGTCCAAAGTCCAATTGATTAATTCATTATTCAAATCTTCAACATCGATATCGAAATTCTTAGGTACTTGATTGAGATGCTTTTCATTATAAATTTTTCTTCTGATAAGTTGAACTGTTCTGGAGAACAATTTAATCAAGGAGTTGGGTAATCCATATAAGGCATCAGTAGCGAAATTTTCATTGTGATTCTTGGTGTTGATCAACTTTTTATTGATGAACAAAGGTGTGGTATTATTATTTGTTTGATTGTTAGATTCTTCGTCGTCTTTATTTTCATTTTCATTGACAATATAATTGATATTGCTCTTTTTAGTTTCAATGTTTTGTTTTATAAAATTTTCCCCGTTGATATCGTAACCATTTTCATCGATAGATTTATAATCTGATCTTATATCTTCTAAAGATAAACAAGTTGAGTCTTGAATAATCTTTAATGACAGGAAAATTCTATGTAAAATTCTGGCTTTTGGTGATAATTTTTTCTTATTTTGCATTTTGGTAGCAATGACTTTACCACACCATTTGATATAGAATCCAGTATCTTGCATTGTTCCCCAAACCAAATCAACTGAAATCATTGACATGACAGCACATAAAACATCTTTATATTTTTCATTTTTAAGACATTTCTCAATCTCTAATTGAGTATCATTAGAAGATCCCAATAACTTCTTGATGAACAAACTGGCTTGGTTTCTTAATCTGATACCTAAGTTCAAATAAAATTTCATGGTGTCACTATTTTTAGGGAATTTGGATTGTAAATTGAAAGCAGACACAGCTAATAAGGCATTCAATAAAGCATTCTTAGCTGTCGAGGTTTTACCTAAGGCACTCAATTCTCCAATGGCCATTAAAGCTCTTGGGAAATAAATTGTTTTCCAAGGACTTTCAGTTAATGGCAAGACTGTCATTAAATCAGCAACATTGGTAACGTAATAATTTAACAAATATCTAGTTAAAGGTTGAATTTGTAATGCAGTAGTTGGTAATCCAACAGATAATGAGTTTGGAGTTAACAAATGGAATCCTAAAGTTGGTTGCAATGGACTTTGAACAACATTCATAATGGTGGATGGCATTTTGGTATTATGAGAATCGCCATCACCATCAATATCATCATCTATTTTATGATGAGGATTATTTGATGAAGCATGCAAATAAATTTCTAAATTCTTGTTCTGTTTGTAAGGATTGTCATAGAAATAATTATTATAATTCGAATAATATAAATGCTGATTAGTTGGATCGATTAAAATATTGGATTCAGGTGGTACTAAATTATTCAAACTTAAAGGATCAGAATTCAAATTATTCCCATTGTTTGGGGTTGCAGCGATTGAAACCGGGGAAAAATTAGTAGCTTGTTGGGTATTATATTGATTTTTGTGAAACAAAAGATTCAAAAATTCGTTAGGATTTGATATGACATTGGATTGATTTTGACGATTTTGAGCTTGTTGATGTTGTAAATGTTGTGCTACTTGGTGAACTGGTTGTTGATGCATATGTTGTAATTCATGATTGTTGGCTGGTGATTGTGCTTGAACATGTTGATTTGCATGAGGGGAGGTATAATTATTATGTTGGGTTAATTGAGTGAAATTATTCATGAAATCTAATAAGTGGGTGTCACCCCCTAAAGCTGCAGCAGTTAATAAGGCATCGTCCCTTAACTCATTTGATAACCATAATTGTTCGTTACCGATTTCCTCTCCTTCATTTGGTTGTAATAGAGGAGTTGGATATAATGAAGATGGGGTAACCACTTTAGACCCGGAGACAATTTTGTCCCGATATTGCCCTCTTTGATTTTTAGCCATTCTTTTTCTGGAAGCTAAAGGTTTGTTGACTCTACCGTTATGATATGCTCTATTGTGATTACTGAAAACACCAAATGGACCTAATGACTTGGTTTTACCTAATCTACCAACCATTTCATCCATCTCAGAATTATCTAAAATCATTAAATCACGATCTAAATCTTCATAAGTTTCATAAGGTTCTGAATTTGTACCCTTTTCCCATTTAACAAACTCTAATAATCTTCTTCTAGTAGGATTTGCTGAAGATGCGTTCTCATCCATAATTCTATTTGAACTTTTAAATGCAATCAGTGAATTGATGATATCACCACTCTTGGTGAACTTGGGAGAACTCAACCACCATAATGTTATACCATATCCCGGACATTCCATCTTAACTTTTTCACAATTTTTACATCCTGGTTTAGCTAAGTCACATCTTATACGTCTCGACCTACATGAATCACAACCATGGAATGTCTTAGAAGTTGGTCTTCTTTTCTTTTTTTGAGGCTTTTCTATGTCACTCATGGGTTCTTCTGTCAGTGTTTCTCTATCAAAACCACTATTCAACTTCTTTACTGGTTGTATAGGTTGAATATTTGACATGACAGGGTTCAGTAAATTTTTTACTTTTTAACTTTTGCGTGGTGCGGTTTTTTTAGTCTCAAAAAAAAAAGAAAGGAAACTGAAGCGAGATGAGATTGTCTCATGATTATGTAAGGTTTTGTCAAAACGGTTATAGATTCTATTTTTAATGCGGGAGCAAATTACCATCAGTGCACTCAGAGTGTTGAAGTAATTTCACAATTGAAGCAATTATTTGAATTATGACACTTGCAAAACATTGGGTTTACAATAAAGATGAAGATATCGTTTTATCAAATTTAAAAGGTTTATGCTACTCCAATCCAACTTTGGGCCTTATATCTAGCGAGAAAGTAGTATTCAATACTAAATCAGACACTAAATCAAAAGTGTGCATTGTCAGTGGAGGTGGTGCTGGACATGAACCGTTACATGGTGGTTATGTCGGAGAGAACCTCTTAGATGCTGCTGTTAGTGGATCAATCTTTGCTTCTCCTTCCACGAAACAAATCATGGCTGCAATCAAGACTAAGGCCAATAAGGAAAAGGGAACTTTGATTGTTGTCAAGAATTATACCGGTGACATTTTACATTTCGGGCTAGTTGTAGAGAGAGCTAAGAGTGAAGGATATAAAGTAGAGATGTTGGCTGTGACAGATGATGTTGCCGTGGGAAGAAAACAAAACGCCATGGTAGGAAGAAGAGGGTTGGCCGGAACAGCTATAGTCCATAAAATCGTTGGTGGAAGTAGCAAAGACTTCGAATTATCAGATGTCAGTAAATTAGGTCGTTCCATTAATGATTCGTTGGTGACTTTAAGTGCTGCTTTAGATAGAACATCAGTTCCTGGTAAGTCAAGCGAAGAATTGGAGTTCACTGGAGATAACGCCGCAGAGTTAGGGTTAGGTATTCATAATGAACCTGGTACCAAGATTTCGCCAATTCCCAACATTGATAATTTGATCAAGGATATGTTTCATAAACTATTATCTCCTGATGATGAAGATCGCCACTATGTTGATTTCCAAGAATCCGATGATACCGTATTGGTAATCAATAATATTGGAGGTACGTCTTCTTTGGAGTTATATGCTATCACTGAACATGTGATGAATAATTGGCCTTTGAAAAATCGTCCATCGAGAGTCTTGATCAGTGATTTCGTCACTTCTTTGAATTCTCCAGGATTTTCCATCACTTTATTGAACTTGACGAAGTCTTCAAAAGAATCGGGCATTGATAAGTCGAAAATCATAGAATATCTCGATTTACCAACTAATGCACCTGGTTGGAAACCAAAATCTTATGCTCCAGAGGTATGGGGTACTCAATTGAATTCTATTGAATCTCCTATGAATCATGTTTCTGACGTGAAATCCGACTTGAAGTTCGATGGATCTGAATTTGAATCTTCCATTAATAAAGCATTGAAGAAATTGATCGAAGAGGAACCAAAAATCACTCACTTCGATACTTTAGTAGGTGACGGTGATTGTGGGGAAACTCTAGTAAATGGAGCCCAAGGTATTTTGAAGGCTTATAAAGATAATGAAATCAAGTTTGCTAATGATCCTGTTTATGTGTTGTCAAAATTTACCGAGGCTGTGGAAGACAGTATGGGAGGAACTTCGGGAGGTATTTATTCTATATATTTAACTGCTTTGGTGCACCAACTCCAACAAATTAAGGAATTTGATACACCAAGCATTGCACAAGCTTTGCATTCTGCTTTGTATGACGGACTCTTCAAATACACTAAAGCAAGAGTTGGAGGTAGAACTTTGGTTGATACTTTACAACCATTTGTCGATACTTTGAAAGAAACCAATGATATTCAAAAGGCAATCAAGTCTGCCAAAGATGGATGTGAAAGCACTAAAAAATTACAAGCTAAATTCGGTAGAGCTAGCTATGTAGACGAGAAAGAATTCGAAGCCGAGGGAGGAATCCCTGACCCAGGAGCTGTAGGGTTATTGGCCATTATAGAGGGATTTTTTTCTTAATTATCAAACATTTTAAAATCTATATTCAATATAAAAAAACATTGTTTTATCTAATGTACAGGCATAAATTCGTTCAAATATAAATTTTTTTTAGTAGGTTACCAAATCGATATCCGCTTCTGACTCTGAATCCGAGCTATCGGGGTTTGATCTTTTATTCCAGAGTTTGTTGATTCTCTTGATGAAGAAGGAAGCAGACCCTGAACCAACAACTTGGAAAAATCTTTCCACTATTAATTTTTGTTCGGGTGAATGAATATTCAAACCACCCATTAACATTGGCCATTGAATCATGAGGGTAGCCCAACGCAAGAATTTTGCTTTAGGTGAATATTTGAGTATCTTCATTAAGTTCACTAACGATTCAGTGATTGGTTTAACTTGCTCATCATCAAAACTCAAATCAAATCCTTTTGTTAACAACACCAAAACTCCACTCAAACAATAAGCCTGACTACATAAATCCATCCAATTTACAATCACAGTACCATTGGGAGTGAAAATTGGATCAAATGGAGGTGGTGCGTTGGAATTTGGGAGTTGTTGAATATCTAACAAAAGACCGGCAGGAACATGATTATTTAAATCACGATAAGTTAGGTATGGCTTTTCATTAACAAAATAAATCTTGGAAAATTGATTGAAACTTCCCATCATATCGATCATTTGGAAAACCTCAAAAGGTCTGGTCATTTTTGGATCTCTGGTATAATTCAAAAACTTGATTAAATCCTTGATTGTTGGAAGCATGTGATGGTGGAAACCAATGATGAAATTAAATCCGTTATCAGATACAAACCCAAATTCTTTTAAAGTTTCAATTTCAACCGGGTCATTCAATTTCATCAATAAATCTAACTCATTATTATTCAAGGTTCCACCTTTTTTACTACTCAAACCAGCTAAAAGTTCAAAAGAAATGAACCAAGCTTTGCAAAAAATCAAAATTTTTGATTCTTTGAAATCATTGGAATGGGAAGTGTATTTTAATAATAAATCTTTGGCACCTTTCAAATGGGGTCTCCAATCTTGTTTGATATTAGAAGCATTGGCTGATGTAAGTAATAATACCGTTAACAAGACACTCTCGATATTAGATGTCAAATTTTGAGAAGGATTTTGACCTTTGTTTAAAGCTGGACCAAGTAATTTCAAACAACGTGATAAGTACTTACAATAACTTTCTTCATCCTTGGCCAAATTCTTCTTCGTATATGCTGTTTTGGCACCTTGGGCCAATATAGCAGCCAATAAAAATGGTTCTTTCGAAGCGTGTGTCAACAAAATATCTCTTGCTGGGTTATAATAACCTCCAGCATTCACATCATATGGATTGAAAGGTAAAATCACTTGAGCGAAATCATGAGAGAATTCTTCTAGATAATATCTCTCGTGTTTTGATTTCAAATCGATAGACTCAATGGGGAAATTCTTCGTGATTCTTGTTGGAGTTGGAGTATTGGCAATTTTGGAAGATTTGGAATACATCGACGACATTATTGGGATTGAAGGTGAAGTCACAGATGTATTATTTGTTCTGGAAGCGCTGGTGAGACTAGGTGCACCTCTTATAGTGCTATTACTTTCCAGAGAAGCAATTTCAAAGTCATCAGTTTTCTCAAAATTTGATTCAAACATTATGGTACCAACCAAGTTATTCAAGTCACTGGCTAAAACATTCAAATCCTCCCTATTGAAATAGTTGTCAAAATAGTCAAGATTATTAGTAGTGATAGGATTCTCAATATTAGGGTTATTAGGAAGACCACTGTTGACCATTTGAGGATTTGGGGAATTGGAATGTTTAGAAATTGGTGATGTGTTAGAAGTTGTGGAATTTTGAACTTCAGATAAAGGTTGGGGTGATTGAATGGATGGGAAATTGCCTAATCCATGACTCAAAAATCCTGGAGTTGGTGGTTGATTTGGAATCGAAGTTGGACCCATACCTGACATTTGAGGTAGCATGTTGAGTTGTGGTTGAGGACTGATAGGTTTATTGATACCGGAAGACGACAAAGGATGGAATGTTTTAAAGAATGAATTTCTGTTGAAATTGTAATTAGGACCTCCTAAAGGACTGGTTAAAGGTTGACCCGGTATGGGACTCGGAATTCTCAAATTCATAGGATATTGGTTATTCATATTTGGATTGGGCATGGTCATTCTATTTTGAATCGTGAAATTGTTGAACTGTGCAGGGTGTTGAGGTTGTGGTTGTGGTATGGAAGGTTGTGGTAAATGTTGCATTTGTTGGTGTTGCTGCGGTTGTTGTTGCAAGTGTGATTGCAAAGTTGGTTCGGGTGAAAACTGTTGTTGATACATAAATGGATAGGGTGATATACTATTATTCATCGGAATAGGACCATGGCCAGTATTATTCGAATTCACATCTTGAATATTTTCATTAGGATTTGATGTCGGTACGGGTATTTGCGATGGACTTGAAAATGATGATGTAGGTGATTGAGTTTTTGAATCTTGCAACTTTCTTGCTTGTATATCTCTTTTATACTTCCTTTTGTCATTAATTTTGATATTTTCAAGTTGTTCCTTTTCTTCTGGTGCAAATAATTTATCTTTATTCTCTATAAGGAATTTCTTTGAGACCCTTAGAACTTTTTCACCAGCTTTCGGATATGAACAAACTTTATCTAATCTTGTACACTGACGGCATTGAGGTTTAGCTTCATCACATTTTATTTTCCTCCTTTTACACTCTCTACAACCATTCTTACTATACAGTTTCTTTTTTTCCGTCATATTCAGCTTATCGGAATCGGATTAAAACTTATCAACTATGATATAAAGTTGGAAAAATTGTGAATAATGAAAAATCCCTCAAACGACTTAAATCACAACCTCAAGGTTTTTTAAAACCCAGATTTCGAAAACAAACTCTAAGGAAAAATGATTTTCTTGATAGGTTTTTTTTTTGATATATTTAGATAATCAACTGGAAAATGAAAAAAAAAGATTTCGATTTGTTGATGATATATCTTTTGGTATGACAATAGAATTTAACTCAGAACTTTCAATTTTATACCTCAATTTGCATATACAGATTTCGTTCGTAGAAATATAAATTATTTATAGAGTCCGAATTGTAAATCGTTATCATAACTTTCTGCGAAAACTTAATTCCAGCGGTCGTGTCTTGACGACATTTGAGTCCCCCAATTGACTGACTTCTCATCGGTCATACAGTTACTCATAACCAATACAGAAGAAATGAAATTTTACCTAAAAGAGATGACAATATTTATCCGGTGGAAGTTATATGAGGGGCCTTTGGTTTGAAGAAAAGGTTAATCATGACCGCCTGTTGAATTCTGTATAATAAAATGAAGCGATTTACATTGAATTGACCATTGAAATCATTTCAATCTCATGATATCTACTTCATGATCGATAGCCTCTATTCAATGTTGGATCAAACTTTAACTTTGAAGTAATCTCGAATCAAAAACAGGTAAAAAATAAAAAAAGCTCACACCAAAGTGTAAAGTTTAGCTTTGTCGGGGTTCTACCACAAAGCTTAAAAAGTGACATAACACAATTTGGAAAAAAATATTATAGATTGTAGAAGCAGATGTTTACGACAACTGGTTTCTATAAGCAAGTCTAACCATTATCGTCAAAACGTGAGCTTAAATTTGCATATGAAAATATAAAGCTTAAAAATAGACTACTGTAGAGGGGTCCCTTTTCGTCCATTTTGGTCCATTTTGGTAGCAACAAGAATTATGTAAGGGAGGCTTTGTCGAGGCAAATCTATTCTATGTAGGTCAGGTGTAATTATAAGGTAATTGGAGTCGAGGTTTTGCACCACTCATCTCATCTTAAATCACCGCTTTCATCATAATTGCCGACCCTGAAAACTTATCGCAATAAAATTGACCTACTACAAAATGGATGTAATGGATTAACTATTAAATGCAAGAATTTTTTCCATCATATTGTTCAAACTTTGATATTAACCTGGTGATTTTAAACTTTCTAACTTACTGATTTATGAAGATGTACAGTCTCTGGAAGCTCTTCCGGAAATACCTATATACCGGATGTCCAAATTACGTTCAATTTACGTGCATGACGTTAGTTGGATCGACTTTAGTAACTTGACCCTGTTCATAGATGATGCATATATTGATATGCGTAGAATATTCTAGTTATATACCTGAATGTAACATCCTTGTAATCTTTTAAAAATTCAGGATCTGACCAAACAGAAGTCGTTTAGCAATAACTCGAATAAATAATTTCTTATTTGGAGTAATAACTAAATTGGCAGGGCGCTATATACGTACGTCAACTATATTCTGGTTGATTTTCACCTGCATTTTTTTTCTTTATTTAGTACCAATTTATTGGTATTGCAGGTTCGAGATAATCGTCTTATTTTTTCTATTACTGGATAGGCTATGGTAGGACATTAAAATATACATTAAAGAATCTAGTTATCATATGAATTCGTTCAAATCATTGGTTGCTTTATTACTGCTGGAATCACAGATTCTAACAATTTCTCCTTCAATTGAAGGTGCCTCACTATAAGGTTCCATATTTAGCTTTTGACACTCTTTCAAAGTAAATGCATTGAAATAGTCATAGGTATCATTGACATTATTCAATGGCGGTGGAAAAGCGTAACAAACTAAATAATAGAATCCAAAAGGAAGTATAAACAGGAATATTGCAGAACCATAGAAAAAATTATCGAAGCCTACAGGAATTCTGGGGTTGGCTTTAACTGAATTAATAAGCCCCGGTATACCTGGAAAAATACTGATAATCCAAACGATCAATGCTCTAAAATTGACCCCTGATTTGAAATAAAATGAACCTGTAGGCGAAGTGGAATATAATTCAGAAATGGGTAATGTTGCTTTCCTAATCAAATAAAAGTCACAAATTGTAATAGCAATGATAGGTGTAATCACTACCCCAAAAGAACTCATAACACTCATGAATGTTGATGAAGTATTATAAAAATTCCAAGGTTGAACACACCAACTCAATAAAGCAGTTATAATGGCCCCTCTTCGGATATTGATAAATTGTGGTAAAATGCCTGCTAAATCCATTCCTCCTGTGAATCCATTTGCTAAAACATTAAAAGTTAATTGTGAAGATATGAAACATAATCCCAAGAAGAAGTTACCGGCTCTTACTCCTGGACTATAACTTTCTCTCAACCAATATAAGCATAAATCTGTAGGAAGCCAGAATGCTTCTTCATACATCTCTATTGTTGTTGATACCACAAGTAAACTAGCTAAAGGAACAAAAGTACCCGTTATCATGATTGCTGTAATGATACCTAAATATGTTGACTTTTCACCACTAGCAAATCTTGAATAATCACATTGATTGGTAATGTCAGGACTTAATGCTCCATACCAAATAGTAATAGCATATAACCACATCCATCCTGCATTATCAGTTTTATTGGGTAAATCATATAATGGACCTGGGCCATCATTTTTCACTAAACAAATAATTAGAATCACAATAAAGGCTATGGATGTAATTAAACAAGCTACATTGTTGGCAGTATTTAACCTTTCGGGTTTAAAGAAGAAGAATCCCATCTGAATTATTTGAAATATCAAAAATCCAATGAAATCTCTTAACGCCATTTGAACACCTTCTAACTTTTGAGTTAAATATAGGAAATTTTCACTCAAACTTGATAATGTAACAACCACACAAAGACCACCTAACCAAGCTTGAGCTCCATAGAATATGATCGATAGTATTATCCTCACTATTATACCCAAACTCGAACCATAAATTCCAAAGATCATTCTTTGACACATGGTGTAACCAACATGATATTTCAAACCAGGATTTGAATTCAAACAAGTATAAATACAAATTAATATATTCCCTATTGTTAAAGCACCCATTATATGGCCTATACTCAACCCAAGGCTCACTAAAGCACTACCGGTTGACCAAGTCCATATAGTTAAATTAGGAATCCCCCAATAACCAAAAAATGATAAGAATCCCCAAATTCTCCTGTGAGGAGGCATAGGTTCTAAATCAGGATTTTTCAATATAGTTAACTCATGACTCGTCGGCACCTTAAATCTATCAAGTGTCATGGTCTAAACTTGAATCTCTAATTCTCTATTTAAATTTATCTATTTCCTTTGAGTCAACGTAATTCAATTTAAACCTATGCACATTTGAGATGGTTAGAAATTCTGTCTGAGAAACTTTCTTTTTCTAAGCCGTTTCGATGATTCAAGATATTTTAACTTTATTTTTAACTCCACGACAATTAGTTGTTCCGCAGTACAATCAGAAGAATATTTCTTGGTATTAGATGCCATTGGAACCGTAAAACGTATTGTAACCTAAAAGAAAGAGGCGAGATTTCTTTTTAAAAATAGATTCTTTCATTTCTACTATACATTAATATACAAGAAAGGGGGGTTTCATAATCATGCTCATTAAACGACCAAAATGGTCTACTATAGGGTTGAAAGATTCAGACATTACCTCCTTATAACAACTATGATAACCTGATCAATATTTTACTTAGTTCAACTCTTTGATTTGAGAAGTTTCTAATTCTTGAATATTATCGGTTTTGAACTTTTTACGTTTAGGTTGGAACTCTTCTTCTTCATTATTGGAAACTTGTTGATGGAGGAAATCATTGACATCAAAATTCAAATCAAATTTAGGTGTACCATTTAACTGATTTTGTTGATTTTGTTGATTTTGAATATTATTCTGTTGAATTTGTAACTGTTGTTGTTGATTAGATAATTTCTGGATCCAATCTTGGACTTGTTGAATTGATTGGCCCTGTTTATAAATATTCTGTTCCAACCCATTTATGAATTCATTGTCATCATATTTGGGTGTGAGGCTGGTCAAATTTCTTTCTTTGATACCAGGCGAATTGGTGGGAGGACCACTTATACTTCCATTGGTTGAAGGAGTTTTATAGGCTTGATTCATTAACATTAATCTTGGTTTTGGTTTAGGAGATGATATACTTGAAGGTAACTCTTCAAATAATTCATCGGCAAATTCACTATTATTGGTATTAATATTATTTGATTTGTTAACTGAATTATTCAAATTAACATGATCAATTGAATTCAAATCAAGGTCTTCAACTTCTAAAATTTTATTTTGTTGACCATAAACTGAAGCCAAAAATTTCAAGATTTTATCAATTGTTTGAGCTTGTTTGGTATGTCTATCTCTGGTCATAAAATTTTCTTGCCAAAGGGTTTTATTATCTTTTCTTATTCTTCTCAAATCTTCAGTGATGGCAATCTGATTCATTTTAATTCCTTCCAATTCATTGAGGATTGACTTTAAATTTTGATTATTGTCAACTGTTTCATTTTCCTGTTGGTTCATAGATTTGTTTCTGACAATATTATCCAACAAATCTTCTCTGCCTCTCTTAAAATGTGGATTTTCAAACTTCCAATTCTCCTCAATGGACTTATCATCCTTTAAAATACCATTATTGATGTCTTGTACTTTATGCCATCCATACATGTTCAATTGTCTGACAAAACTTGCAAACCTATTGTGTTTGAAATATTTGGGTAAAATATTCTTCATAAATTCTTCAGTATGAAATACTTGGAATGTATTCCCATCATCATCCCATCTAATGTAATTGTTGTTTTTTTCATCATTGACCATTGACCAAATTTTCATGACGAATGCTGGTCTGGTTTTAGGTCCATTATCTTTCTTTTTGGCGGGTTTGGAAGTATTGGTGATTGCCAAAGTGTTGTTGTTATTTGGGTCTGTTGATTGTGGGAGATTGAAATTGAAATTATTGGGTAAAACCGATTCACTTAAAGGTTGTAAAGGAGGCAAGTTGGAATACAATTTAGGTTGGGTGATTAATTGATTATTGAAAGCTTCATCATCAAATCCGTTCAACATTGGGGTCAAACCGGTATTTATCTCTTCGATTTCTTCGTTATCAACGTCATCTCCTAAATCTTGTGGTTTGGATTGCATTCTACCTGAATTGGCATTGGATTGAAGGTTATTAATTTGATTTTCAAGCAATTGTGGATCATTCTGATCCAACATATCATTATTCTCCGTATTGAACGGAGAAAGGGGGAAATCAAATTGGTAGTCTCTATTGATGACTTGAATATCATCGTCTTTCTTCTTGGACATGATGGATTAATTTAATTTATGTGTTAAACGATAGTTAACCGGTGATGTATTATATTAATTTTATGGGAAAAAGAAACAAAATTAATTGCCTTGAAAAACTTATCGTAACAGGACTTCGGTCTTATTAAGTGTTTCAAACTTACTTATTTGTCCTTTTTAAAAAATAATACTTTTAAGAGTAAAATGATAAACGTTTCACACAAAATCTTCTAGAATCTTCTGATGTTAAACGGGATCTTTATTTGATGAGATAATGTTTCCCGCACCGACCTACGGATATCGATTCACACCACCAATCCCGCCAAAAATAGTGAGAAACTTAGGTCGAAGATTTAGTGGTGAGATGTATTGCTACAGCAAATTAGAGAAAATTTTTCTAGAATATTCTCTAGTGATGACCTTGGCTTATGTAAGCGAACTTTGAACCCTTTTGATTAATATACTGATAGACCATAGTCAAGAATGAACAGTTGTCCTTAGAGAGTTTTTATAGGTTTAAATTCATAGCCTCTATTTATATTTTATTCGTTAATCATTATATACTATTTCGGAATATTTTATTATCCAAACCACTAAACAAATCATCTAATTTTATTCCATTTATAATACCATGCTTTTCACAGTTCAAACACTGACAATTGTTAGCTTCACATCCACAATCTTCTCTATCGCTGTCTCTTTCCTTCAAATCATTAATGCTGTCCATTAACTCCGTTTGAATATTATCTTGATAATATTTTAATTCTAGATCAGGTACCTCATTTATGAAACAATTTTCAACTTTAAATAGATTGTCTTCTGGGATGTTAAGTGAGTTTGCTTGAGTATCGTCCATGATCTTCTGGTTATTCTGGGCAACCAGCTTACTGCAACAAGCCTTTTTCTCCTGTAATCTTTTGTTTTGGGATAAATTTGGGGTATTCGAGATTTGAAATTGTTGGTTTTCGAATGGTATGTCTGGTAAATTAAACACTTCATTGAACTCGAACTTATTGTTATGGATCAAGCATCCTTCACATTGACAATTCTCGTCACATTCACAGTTTGTCAATTTCTTGTTGATTTCATCTTTCAAACTTTCTCTCTTAGCTTCACTATTATTACTTATGAATCTCCATTTCTTGGTTGTCTTCAAATAAGTTTTCAAAATCCTAGACTTGCTGGTTCCATGCTTACATCCACAAGATGTTTTACCGATCTTACCACAACATGACGCAGAATTAATAAAACTATTGTTGTCTATTTTAGGCGAATCGGGTTTGAACATTTTACTCGACTCTGAAGTATAAGGTCCAATGATATCGCCAGTTTTGAAATCTATAATGTACTTCATGGAAAACTCTGTGACATCAATGCTATCTGATTTCTCATTGTACTTTTTGGCAAATACTGCTATTCTATAACTGGGATTATTTTGGATATTTGGTCTTCCTTTGGCTCTCACTTGAAGCAAAGGTCTGGAATTATGTTTACACTGACTTGTTCTATGACCCCGAATACATTCGATACACAGGTATTTATTATTTTCGATCAATATCATGTTAGACCATTTCTCAAATCTCTAATATGAGAATTTTGTTCCTTATGAGCAAATTTAATTACCTCAACAGGAGATAGTGTTACATTAATACATATGATCAACTCAAGGGCCTATATACATGAGCATGATAATTAACGGTGTCTGAAGACACCAGAGTTTTTGAAACGGATGATTTCGAAGAAATGTTGAGTTTAAAGGGAACAATAGTATCTGGGTATTGATGTGATAATACCAAGCTTTGTATGCGATCAATACCCCGTTTTGATGGAACAGGTAGCGGAGAGCCCTTTCAATCTAAGTTCCTTTCAATCTGTGTTCCTTTCAATCTGTGTTCCTTTCAATCTGAGTTCCTTTCAATCTGAGTTCTATTGTAAGTTTTATTGACATTCTCGAATAAGTTGGGAATCATTCTTCATGCAAGGCTGAAAAGCCGCTCCAAACTTTTTCAATCCCTTGGTTTTGGGATTATTTCGATAGAGTCAGGTCTCAAACGTCAATTTGATTTGGTAATTCACTTTCTAGAATTTGCCAAGGATCATATCTTGCAAGTCCGATCGTCAATGTGTGGATACAATGCATGAGAGATCCTGTGTTAACGGGGTTCTAATTTTGATTGTACGGCTCGTAAATTGAAACTCAATGAAGATGTGACAATCCGATTCTGTAGAGTTATTTTCTAGGTACAGACATGACATCGAAACTTCATTACAAGGCGTAACCTATAACATCACACGACGTTACCGAAAGCGCAGTTTCAATTCATGCGCAAAATAATCCGGATTTTCAGAGTTTTTCCTTCGTTTCTGCCAATGACTTTACTGAAGATTTTATCATAGAATCAGTTTCTTGGAACTATGGCTCCTGATCAACTATTTCTTTGCCCTTTCAAATACTTATAAGTATTCTCTTGGTGTCCTCCTGGAATTCTTGCATTTCGTCATCACGGCATTATTTTTGTGGTTCAGTGTATTTTTCCAAGAGTTGTACAGTTCTGATGGAAATGCGCAACCTTTGGCGATGTACCTTTGACACATCAAATTGGAAATTTTAGCTCAAATATCTATTTGCTTATCTCCAACGTAGAAAACGGCCGCTCTTATAACAGTCATGTGGTTGAGAATTGATAAAGTTCTCTATTTTCAGCCCTATTTTTAGGTCCAACCTTTACTGTTTCAGTATGCCAGGGTTTGGAGGCTGCGATGAGCTGCAAAAAAAAAAAATGCACTGTGGCTTCTTTTGGACCTGCATCACCTCAATTATATATATTCAGGGAAACGACAGTAAAAATTTTCAATTCAGAAAATCATGAACACATTTTCTACTATCTCCAAGGAAGCAAATGAATCCAAGGATTATGATCTCGAATCCCTCCCACTGGAAAATGTTGGTGGTATAATACAAGTTGATCAAAATAAAAAAGAAATCGGTTTTGTTTCAGCTACTTTCCTTTGTCTTAATAGAATGATTGGATCCGGTGTCTTTTCATTAGGATCTACTATCTTCCTTCTCAGTGGATCTGTTGGTGGTGCTTTGATGATGTGGGTTGCTGGTTCAGTAATTGCCTTCTCTGGATTATTGGTCTATATGGAATTCGGAAGTAACTTACCAAGAAATGGTGGTGAAAAGAATTATATTGAATTCATTTATACCAAACCTAGATTCTTAGCCACTGCCATGTATGGAGCTTACGTTTTCTTCCTTGGTTGGGCTGCAGGTAATAGTGTTGTTGTAGGGGAATATCTTTTAAATGCTGCAGGAAAGGAAGTCACTCAATGGAATTCAAGAGGTATTGGTTTGGGTGTTATTACTTTCGCTTTCCTTATCAATGCTGTTTCAGTTAAAACTGGTTTATATCTTGGTAATGTCTTAGGTGTTTTCAAGGTTGTTATTATTTTATTTATCGTTGTAACTGGATGGGTTGCATTAGGTGGTGGTATCAAAACAAATAATTTCCAACCAACAGGTAACTTCAACAATGCCTTCTCTGGATCTAGTGTCACTGGTTTTGGTGTTGTGAATGCTTTATACAATGTTATTTGGTCTTATGTTGGGTACTCTAATGCTAATTACGCTTTAGGTGAAGCTAAAAATCCAACTAAAATCTTGAAATTTGCTGCTCCTACTGCTTTCTTATCATTAATGGTTCTTTACATGTTAACCAATATTGCTTACTTTGCCGTTGTTCCAAAAGAAGAATTGGGTGCTTCTGGTCGTATTCTTGCTGCTACCTTTTTCCGTTATGCTTTTGGTGAAACTGCTGAAAAAGCTTCAAGTGTATTCGTTGCTTTAAGTGCTTTAGGTAATGTTATGTCAGTTATCTTCTCTCAAGGAAGAATTGTCCAACAATTAGGTCGTGAAGGATCTTTACCATTTTCAAGATTCTGGGCATCTTCAAAACCTTTTGGTTCACCATTCACTGGTCTCATGCAACATTGGATCGTTTGTATTGTTACTATGTTAGCTCCACCACCCGGTGATGCTTATAATTTTATTCTTAACTTAATTTCTTATCCTTTGAATGTTGTTAATACCTTCGTTGGATTCGGTTTATTGTATTTAAGATACCAAAATTATAAAGGAAGAGCTGTATGGAATGCTCCAATCAAATCTCCTATCCCAGTCACTATTTTCTTTGCTTTCAGTTCATTATATTTAATCGTTGCTCCTTATATTCCACCTTCAGCTGGTCAAAGTGTTTATAATGATTTACCTTACTGGATTCATGCTGTTGTTACTTGGGGTGTATTTGGAATCGGTTTTGTTTATTGGGTTGTTTGGTCAATTGTTTTACCAAGAATTGGTAAATACGATATCGAAGTCAAAGAAGTTTTAGGTGAAGATGGTTTCTGGAGAAATAAATTTGAAAAAGTTCCAAAAAACCTTTAATCTACTTTTATGTATTTACATTCAAGTTAATTCACAACACATCCAACTGTGTTGAACTCTGGTAGTTTTTAATTCAACTTATTACTATTTAATATATAATTTTGAACAGGATATTAGAGATGTCTCTCAAAGTTACGAAAGGATTCTTTTATTTACACTATGTACTCATTGAATTGTCAGACTATATCACAAGAATTATATTTTGTATCTATCGCTCTTGGCTTCATGCATTGGAGACCAAATACCCCTGGTACTTTGGTTGATACTCAACACTTTATGATTCCATTTGAACAACTCATTACCACTTCTTTGACTGTATTCATTAATTTTTTTCAAAACTTCGTTAAATTTCAAATTCTTGATATCGATCTCATTGACTTTATCCTTGTTACTATAATGGAAAGTAGCCGTTGGGTGGCCAGACTTTTTAATAACTTCAATGAAGATGTTTTTATTATTCGATGCAAAATTATTTAATTGACCATTGGTCAACAAATCACGAACACCTTGAGATGATCCACCCCAGTTACAGTATTGGATTTGGATTTTGTTACATGGTACTACTAAGGTACCTACACCATTTCTAGCTATAGATACTTTTGGTATAGCTTTAACAGGCATGGTTCTATATCTGAAAAATTTTTAGATTTGAAGTCAAAAGTTCGCAAAATTCACTTCACTCAAAGTTAATCATGTGCAATCCCTGTGACTTTGCAGGTGACCTCTTGCGAGAAGTTTCCCAAAAAGAAATCCACTGAATTCCTCGATTGCCGCTCTCGAAATGGGCAACTGATGGAATTTGAGAAATTAGAGGAATTAAATTTTGAGAAGGGAAATTCTCAACGAATTCCTTTTTCGACACGTTAATTTCCCATAGTTAATTTCCTTCTCGTTCTCAATTTCTGTTTTAAAAATTTATACCATAAATGACTGATTATATTTAAAAACTTATAAAACATTAGGCTATTTGAAAAATTTTCATTCAACTTGATACTCTAGAAGTATAATAAACATAGTATTACACATATCAGTGAAAAGAACCCAAGTTATAATCAGTAAATCAAACTTGTTGTAGAAATAAAGTAAATTCGTGAGGTTGCAAAAAAGCTAAAATGGAAAATTATAAATCATATCAAAAAGTTATTAACTTATCTATACTACCTAAATCAAAACCTGAAAAGGTAAAGGTAAGTAAGCCAGTCAAGAAGAGAACTAAGACTGGATGTTTCACATGTAGAAAGAGAAAGAAGAAGTGTGATGAAATCATCGAAGATGGTAAATGTAAGAATTGTACCAGAAACTTTTTATGTTGTAGTTGGCCAACTGATAGAATAGAAATCACTAACGACAAAGCCATTGGTATCAATACCAGTGTTATTGAATTCAAACCTGAACCAGTAAACGTGGAAAACATTTCAAAAATAGAACCATTATCACCTAATCTTCTTCCTTTTGAACATAAATTCGATGGTAGATTGAGTCCAAAAATGATTGAATCAAATGAAAGAGAGAGAAAATTGAGTATAAGTTCAGATAATTCTATTAATGAACCATTAACTCCAAAATCTCCACAATTATATGACAATGAAGAAGTTTACAAACATCAAATAACTGAAAAATTCCAAAATATCATGGATAAACCTTTGGTTATGGAAACCAAATCAAAAAATATTGGTTTGGATAATAAATTTATTGTTACTTCAATCCAAAATAATAAATTATGTTCTTTATGATTAATGACAAATGTATGTAATATCCCTTAGGATCCTTATCTTTATCTCAAATATCTGCGCGATAGTTAACTATACTCTGAATTGGTAAAAATTCCCATAAATATGAAAATTCTATTGTAACAATAAAACCTTATCTTTTTAGTACTTAAAGGTAAAACTTATGTAACCAAAATGATAGTTAATTATACACTAAAAGAGTATCGAGGCTTGAGTTCAAACAATTAAGAAATCGTGCATATGTATGATAGTTAACTATGCACTAGATAGGTAAGTTTCACCTTCGATATTTTCTTCTTTGATCTTTTGATAATTTATTTTTCAAAACTTCTAGAGTTCCATGATCTAATCTTGTTTATATTGGTCATCTTGCCAGCCTGTAGACTCATAGTACATCCACCCTATTCAACATTGAGATATTTACCGTTTTAGGGACGGGGGGGTTTCACATGCTTATCTAACTCACGTGATTTAGCCAAAGATTTTATGGACCCAAAATATGTAACCAAAGAATCGAATTTGTAATCCTTTAACTTAAAATTATGATTTGACGTGATTACCCTTCCCATATTTGTTATGTTTAGGGACTCTTGAGTGTTACTCTTTTCAGTAAATTCTAACTATCTTGAAAAAAATCGGGAATTGTACCCGATCTGGGTATTTTACGAGTGAAGAAAAATCAAAGATACCAGAAAATATTTAAACCACAGTTTTTCGGAATTTGAAAATTTTCCAGTCAACAAATCTTTATTTACAACTTTATTGATCGATCTTCTGAATTTCTATACAAGTTAGATCTATCAATATTACTTTAAATTAAAAGCTGTTACAATACTTTGAAGATTAACTTTTAGTTGCAAATCGTTTTATTTTCTTTTTTATTAGTGATCACAAGATGTCTGATATTCAAAAATATGGTAACTATGATGTACATTTTGTTAAAGGGGTCGATGAAGTCTTAGAAGATGGTACTTTCGTTGTTAATTCCGAAGGACGTAGACAATCTCAATACCCTGATTTCTTACCTTCATGGAACCCAAAAGATAAATTCCCACCTTTGAAATTTCATAAGTATGTTGATCCAGGTTTGAGAGCAGACAAAGATTTCAAAAATTTGTTCCCATCAGGGTTGGTAACTGAGGATTACAAAGTCAAGAGAATCACTCCAAAGTTGGGAAGTGAAGTTGATGGTGTTCAATTGAGCTCTTTAGATGATAAAGGTAAAGATGATTTAGCTCTTTTCGTAGCTAAACGAGGTGTGGTTGTTTTCCGTAATCAAGATTTTGCTACCAAAGGTCCACAGTTTGCTGTTGATTATGGTAAACATTTTGGGGAATTACATTGTCATCCAACTGGAGGGGTTCCTATTAACCATCCAGAATTATTAATCACTTATCGAAGAGCAGATAAGGGAGAGTTTGAAAGAGTTTTCCAACAAAATACAAACGCTGTTTTGTGGCATAGTGATATCAGTTACGAATTACAACCTTCAGGCTACACCTTTTTCACCGTCTTAGAGGGCCCTGATGCTGGTGGTGACACAATTTTTGCAAATGCTGTTGAAGCTTATAATAGATTATCCCCAGAGTTTCAAAAAAGATTGCAAGGTTTACACGTCTTGCATACTTCTGAAGATCAAGCGGCAAATTCCCGTAGTCAACAAGGTGTCGAAAGAAGAAAACCAGTATCCAATATTCATCCATTAATTAGAGTTCATCCAGCCACCGGTGACAAGTACATTTACATTAATAGACCATTTTCAAGGAGAATAGTCGAATTGAAACAGCAAGAGTCAGATTTCTTGTTAGAATTCTTATATAAGCATATTGAATCAGCTCTGGATTTACAATTACGAGCTAATTGGGAGCCTAATACTGTAGTTGTCTGGGATAACAGAGTGGTCCAACACTCTGCTATCATTGATTGGGATGAGCCAGTTTCCAGACACGCTTTCAGAATTACTCCAATGGCTGAAAGACCAGTTGAATCTTTAGAAGATTTGAACAAAGAAGATTTAGATTTGGGTGACGTTAAGGAAGAATTACAAAAAATCGCCCCATAATTACAAACGATTATTAGTCGGTCTGTAGGTCATTGATGGCATGTGTATGAGTATATTTTAATTCATAGAATTCGGTAATTCGCTGACTGTAGTTCCAATCTTTAAGAAATTAAATTCCGCGACTCTTGGAATCAGACCAAAAACGAATACTAGCATGACTATAGAGATACTTCAATCTGACAACAAGGAATCTCCAATCAGCAAACAATTGGTAGAGGATATAGTTCGTCCTATAATAGCGGGCTCTACAGATAACTTAGAAGAACAATTGATTAATGAGTTGACCAACAAATTTCAAACTGTTTCAACAAGGCATAAGTTTTTAATTCAACTCACCAAGATTGAAGGGAACGACTTGAAGATCGATAATAAATTCGGTGCAATTTGGGAGGACAAGGACGGTTATATGGTGGTCAAGATCAAAGAAGAGGAATTTCATTTAATGATAAATATTTTCTGGTTATTTGTTTCGTAAATAAATAGTGAAAATCGTACTCTTCACCTCTGAAGCATCTGAAAGTCTTGAAAATTTGAGGCACAGTCTGTGAACCATTAAGCGCAGAGTGCTTACAAACATCGGGTCGGATCTTCGTTCTAAAATAGATACCTAGAGATCGGTGGTAACCTGTCGCGATTATAAAACCGACGCGGGAAGTCTTTTATTGAGTCTGACGAGATTTTTGACGACCCATATTGAGCAGAAAGATAGATTGATAAGGCGTCTATACGACCCTTTGGTTCCGCTTTGTGAAGACAGAGTTAAACCTGACTTTTGATCCTAATAAAAGGTAAACGTTCCGTAATTTAAATTCTCATCGGCAATAAAACAATATGTCAAAAGAGACGGCTGAGGTTCTCTACAGGATTGCCACGCATGACCGACCGACATAATCAATTAATAATCAGTTTTTGCATAGTTTGATGTACCGTTAAGTCAGAGATGAGAGCTATTGACGTATATAGTTTCTTTTCGAGATTTGACACTTGCTTGCCTTTTTCTATTTGGTGATTCCCCGAAAGGATTGAGCTGATGGACATGGTGATTTTTGAAAATTCACTTCCACCTTTGGGTCCATTTATTTTCGCAACCGTTACAACTCTCCCAATACTTAATACCACATCTGATGTACCTGAAGAGACGAACTTAAAAATTTCTATTTTTGACATAATAACGCCGGACAAAATAAATACTAACTCGGCTACAAAATATCGGAATAATTTCTATCATCATCACCGAGATGATTAAAGTCCGTTTGAATGCGACATATTTTTTTTTTTTCATCCCAAAATGGAAAAATATAAATTGGCTCTACTCCCATTGAAAAAATTTACATCAAGGGTTTTTTATATATTTCAGACCAATTAGTTGTCATATTTCAATAGATATTAACGCTCAAACTTCATAGCCATGAGTAACATAGAGAATAGCAATATTGAGAAGGAAGATCACGGTATCGATAACGGTTCGAATAATTCAAATTTCAATAGCCCCTTCATAGATGCCAACGAAAATGATACCACTTCAGATAATGATAACGATAAAGAAGAAATTCCACAATCTTATGATCTTGAGCAACAAATAGAAAACCAAGATTACGATGAGTTGTCTCGTTATGAATCAAATGTTGCAGCTTCAAGGCAATTAACCAGAAGATCAACTGGTGCTGACAAAATAATGGAAGCCGCTAAAAAAATCACCGATCCTTTACCCCCAATGGGTGGTGGTAGGGATTATCCTCCTCCTTTGCCTGATCGTTCTGATTATTTAGTCAGTTTCGATGGTCCAAACGATCCAATTCATCCTCATAATTTCCCATTAAACAAGAAAATTCTTTACAGTGCCCTTTTTGGTCTCAATGCATTAATCATTTCAATGGGTTCAGCAATGTTCTCAGCAGCTGGACCTATTGTAGGTGAACTCTACCATGTTGGATCTGCCGTCACCGCATTAGGTACTTCCTTATTTGTTTTCGGATTTGCATCGGGTCCTGTTATTTGGGGTCCTCTTTGTGAATTATTCGGTAGAAGATTGATCTTGATTTGTTCAAGTTTTGGGTATGTCTGTTTCTGTTTTGCTACTGCTTGTTCGGAAAATATCCAAACTGTCATGATTACCAGATTTTTCTCAGGTTTTGTTGGTTCTTCAGCTTTAGTTGCAGCTCCAGCCGCTATGGCTGATTTATTTGGTGTAGCTACCAGAGGTAGAGCCACTGCAATTTTTGCTATGGTTTTATTCGGTGGTCCAATGTTGGCCCCAATCATTTCTGCTTTCATCGTCAAAAATCCAAACTTAAATTGGAGATGGACTCAATATATCACTGGTATCTTAGCTGGTCTTACTTTTGCTTTGAATGTATTATTCTTGGAAGAAACCCATCATCCTTTAATCTTGGTTAACAAAGCGGAAACTTTAAGAAGAAGAACAGGTAATTGGGGTATTGCTGCTCCACATGAAGAAGTTACCTTGAATTTTAAGGAAATTGTCGAAAACAATCTTGCCAGACCAATTGTCTTATTATTCACAGACCCAACTTTGTTCTTGATTACATTGTATAACGCCTTCATCTATGGTTTATTATACTTGTTTTTGACTGCTATTCCATTAATTTTCCAAGGTAATTATCACTTTGCTCCCGGAGTTGCTGAATTACCATATTTGTCCATGTTTATTGGTATCATTATAGGTGGTTTTGTTTGTATTTTCTTCGAAGAAAGATTCAAAAAAGTTATGATAAAGAATAATGGTGTTCCAATTCCAGAAGAACGTCTTCCTGCTATGATGGTTGGATCATTTTTCTTCTGTGGTGGTTTATTCTGGTTAGGTTGGTCTGGTTCTTATCCTGAAACTGTTCATTGGATTGTTCCAACTATTGGTGCTGCCTTCATTGGTCTTGGTTTGATCACTATTTTCTTACCATGTATTAATTATATCATCGATTGTTATATTCCAACTTACCAAGTTGCTTCAGCTATGGCCGCTAATACTTTGTTAAGATCTGCTTTTGGTGCTGCTTTCCCATTATTCGCTAGACAAATGTTTGTCAACATGCAAATCAAATGGGCAGCAACTTTATTAGGAGCATTTGCAGCTTTATTGATCCCTGTTCCATTCTTATTCTATAAGTATGGAGGAGCTATCAGAGCTTGGAATGTCAAAAGATTAACCAAAGACAGAGTTTAATCATCTAGTAAATGTGCCATGTATATAGTCATAACTTTAATATAATAATATGCTTAATTATTTTCTAATTTAACTCTCGATCTGAATATATCAACTAATTTTTCGCTGTATTCTCTCAAAACATCACCGTTGTCATCGTAGCCCAAGTCTTTAGATAGTGAAAGAAAGTCTTCAATGAGTATTTGCTTTTCCTCTTCTCTTAAATTGGCCCTTTTGATGGCACTTTTTAGTGAATCAACTTGTTCCCTGATTGAAACGAATTCCCGTGAATGCATGGAAGATGGACCCGATGCAAACATATTGCCTCCGTTCAAGTTGGCAGATAAAGGTGGTAAGAGAGTCTTCTTCGATGTTGGGGAAGGGTTCCTCATTGGAGAAGTCCCTGATGGAGGGCATCTGGTTGGTGATGAAGATCTTGACCTTTCAATCCTTTTTAATGTTGCAGCTGTAAGTCTAGGGCTGGGGGATGGTGTGATGTTTTTCTTAGGAGACGAAGGGTTGCTTCGTTCGTAAAGTTCTCTGTTGGGGAGGTTCCTATCCCTTGAGGGCGTTGTAGGAAGTATCTTCCTTTGTACTTTAGCATAAAGGGGACTAAGATTCGAGTCGTCATCTGCCAATGTGGGAGACTTTGATTCATTCAATTTAGTCGCAAACATCAAACCCCATTGAAATATACAGCCATCAGAACTGATACTAACAAGATGTTCTTTCTCAACTGCCAAATACAAAACAGAGTCCAGGTGTCCAAAGTTGGTGGTCAACAACTTCCCGTTATTGTAATTGAACGTTCTTAGTGATTTATCGGAACTGGAGACAAAGATGGTTGAATCGTATACGGTCAAATTCTCTATAAGAAGAGAATTGTTTCGCCCGTCAGAAAGTCTCAAATTCCTACTATCTAGACTGTTCAAATCGTAGATAATTAAATTTCTGTCAACGGTTGAAACGATCATCTCGTTATTCAAAATTTTCATCAAAACTGGTGACGCTTTGAGAGACAAAGTCTTCTCCAATGTTATATTATCAGTGATATGATGAATGCTAATTGTCCTATCATTCGAACAAACGTATATCCTTTCATTCCAGTACTCTACTTTGAGTAAATTGGCCGTATGCAAGGCAATGGTTTGGAGTAACGACCACTTTTGCTGTCCTGCAGATTCTTTCTGAATGAATATTTGGATCATCCTATCTCTTGATATGCTTGTCAAGTACTTAGTATTGTCGATATCGAATAACACAATATCTGTGACAGAAGACTCATGTGCTTTGACTTTGGAAGCTAGTTCATAATTAGAATCATTCCCCATGGCGAAAAAATAGAGGAACCCAAACCTATCACCTAAAATAAGATCTTCGTTTACATCCATCGCCGTGACTATATTATCCATGGTTGCCAGGGTTGGTATTGTGAATTCTAGCACCTTGTTTCCTGAACACATCACTCTTCCTGATTCGTTAACCAGATAAATTTTATTATCATGGGATTTTACACTAACTAAACCCTTAGATAAGCAATTGATTAAAGGGCTTGATTTTTTCGAAGATAGATTATACAGATCCAAGGTGCCATTTTCTCGCAAGTAAATCAAGTTGTCTTGATATTTCAATAGTTTATTGGAAGTTTGAGTCAATTGCTTTGTCGAAGTCTCAAGATCATCTGGATGTTCCTTGTCTATGATGCACAATTCCTCCATTGTTAGACAGCTGATCACCGAGTTCTTGGAGCAAAACCAAACCTTCTCTGAGACTTCTACTGAGTTGAACTCAAATTTGGGTGTTTTCAACTGCAGTAAGTTGAAAGATTCCTCCAAGTTCAAGATAAGAAGTTTGTTATTGTTTGCTACTATTAATAATTCATGATGGTTGAGTGGGGAGCAGGACAAAAAGTTGCAGTTCAAAAACTTGCCTAAAATTACATTTTTCCCTCTCAAAAAAGACTTTCTTTCACCTTCCACTTGCCAAACCTTGATTATCCTGACTCCTATGGTGATCAAATAACCTTCATGCCATATAACATCATTTATAACTGAAGAACATCTGTTTGTACAAATTAGCTGAAAGTCACCTGTCTGCCAAATATTAATAACTCCGTCATTTATTGATCCTAATGAGCAAAGGAACCTCCCATCTTTCAGAAATGATAAGTGGGAAATTCCGAAAGAATGATCGTTGATAATCACAACAGGGGAGTCAATGGAGTTTTTGGCAAGTGAGAATATTAGTATTCGAGGCAGATACCCTGTTTCCCCTACAGCAAGTAACTTCTTGTTGGGAGATAAAGTTACACAGCTGATGGATCTTACTTTATCTTTAATTTTGGATGGTGAAAGTGAAGTAGTTGATATTGACTCGACATCTATATTGTTCATGGCTGCGCTGGTACCATTTACTACCAATGGGTTTGAACTCCGATAATACCCATATTCATCTTTCTTGTTTTCCTCTTCGATGAAGTTATTGCGTGTGGGAGTTGAATTAATGCCCGAATTCGATGTACTAGCAACGAAAAATCGCTGTGAACCTACCTTGCCTTCTTTGATAGAAGACACAACCACCCCTCCGCTGGCTGTGTATGCCAATAAACCGTTCTGAAAATCAAATTGTGATGGTGAGCTGGCAGAAATGCCTTGAACACTTTCAATGGGCAATTCTTTGTCTACCATAATTTCTAAACAGTAAACAAAACTTCGCGATGGTTGAGATCTGGGGTAGAATATATGATGTAGGGTAACAAATGGATGTCATCTGATTATGTGAAGCTAATTCACGGTTTTTCGTGTAACAGATACAATTGTCGAAATAAGTGCTTTCCATCGGTCGTCGATGTGGCCCGAAATTGGGTGAAGGGTTCTGTTTAAATAAAGGATTCATCCATTTATGGTTTAGAATATCCGGGGTTTTATTTGCCTATAGTTCATATGCACCCAACCCAAAAATATCAACTCGACTGTTCTTTTGACGATTGTTCGGGCACGCCTAGTGTGCAATTGAATGAACTCTCTCTTGTTACAAACGGAACTGTGAATAAAGTTGGAACTTGGGATAGAAATTCCCATGGTCTTGGGATTTTGATTGGTCCACCAACTCTAAGTCTATGAAATTTTACGTGGTTGTCTTTTCCTCTTGTGTCCTCACTCAGGAGGCCTGATAAAAAGAGCTGGCATAGATGAAATACATCTCAAGCGATTGAAGCTTCGCATTTTGGAATAGCGCATAAGTAAGATGACAACAGAGGAGATTTCAATTGAAGAGACAAACATACTAAGAGCGAAGGTTGGCCTTCCTCCAATTCCTGTAGCCGATGAAAAGCCAAGAGAATACAAAAAGGATCTATCACTCGAGGAAACGAACAAATTACGTATATCATTAGGTTTAAATCCTATAGAAGTGAAGTCCGAAGATATTGAACAAGACCATTTCAGGGCATTTCAAGAAGGAAAGGAAAAACAGAGAAAGGATGAAGAGCTCATACATAGGCTACATATTGCCAAAGATAAAAAGGAAAGAAAGAGGAAAATAGCAGATAATAATCATTTGTACAATGATGATGAGGTCACCACCGATAGTTGGTTAGATAGCTTGACCATAAAGAAGCCTAAGTCCATAGAACGAATCATAAAAGCCAATAATGTTGATACTAATGAGATAAGTGGACAAATAGCACATAGTAGCAGAGATTTACAGGATTTGAAGGATGATGAAATTTTGACTTTGAATGATAACCACATACTAGATGAGACTGACCAATTGAGTAATGAAAGATTAAAAGGACAAACAAAGATAAAGAAAGATTTGGAAGAGAAAAACAAAGTTAGGGATATCAAAGGTGGAAGGTATTATTCTGCTACCAATGAAGAAGATGAAGAGGAGTTTGTTAAATTGAATGGCTCTGAAATTAAGTTCAATGAGAAAGTGGAAGTTACCCAAAATAAAGGTAAAAATAGAGCTGAATTTGATCTATTTGATGAATTCGGTGAACCCCCAAAGGTGAGAAAACCCACGAAAATGAAAAGGATTAAGAAAAAAGAGAATAAGTCAAGGGTGAAGGACGACACTATAACCATTCAAACTGTGGAATTAGAACCCTTTCTCAACGAGGAAGAAGACATAGAGGACAAATTAAGTTTACAAAGAAAGTTGAAACAACAGTCCAGAAAGTTTCTCAAACCTGAAGACATTGCTAAAGAAATACGGCAATTCGAAAGAATTCAACAAGAGGAGTTGGTTGAAAAGTTAACTTCGAATGATGGCGGGATGCTTTTCGACCAAATGGACGACTTTTTGACCAGCTTGACAGCAGAAGCTGCTTCACCCCGTGAGGTTATTGAAAAGGAAGTGACGCTGCCAACAAAACTAGCAAAACCAGAAGCTGATATTGGCAATCTTCGTAACAATTCAGTACCAGATGCAAAGGAAATCCAAATCAGTTCTTCAGCGACAATCAAAAAAACGGATGTTGGTTCTGGACTTGGACTGACTCTAAGATACCTTAGAGAAAACAATCTTATCAAAGAAACCTCAGAAACTGTTAAACAAAGAAGTAAAGTTCTTTCTCAAGCCGAAGAATTGAAACAAAGAATGAAAAGACAAGAGGAAAGTGTCAGGAAAGAGTTACAATCTGACTCAAAGTACCAAAGCTTATCAGGTGTCGAGAAAGAAAATTATTTCAGAAGTAAGTTAGATGACTACTTGCAAGCTCATCGTCTGACAACGGACTTTTTTGAAAAATATCAACCAAATGTCCAACTTACTTACCGAGACAGAAAAGGTAATGCTTTGAGTACAAAGGACGCATTCAAACAACTTTCTAGTGAATACCACGGTACTTCTAAAGCTCATAATAAAAAAGACAGACAAAATTCAAAAAAAAAAAGCTGATTTACCGTTTTCGGCTTATCTGATCTTTTTCGCAACGCAGGATTATGTGGCAGTTTGCCCCGTTAAGAAAAAATTAATGTAGAAGAAAGATGTATCCTCTATCTTCGAATAAATCCTTAGTCTCTGGAAACGATTTAATCTTCTGCTGTCCATCTCAACAACTGTCAAACCGGTAACATGTATTCTTTCTTGATGGCGACCTGCATATAAGAAAAAAATTATGAGAATCCACTAACAATTGAGATAAATTTTTATTCACTTTATGCTAATAAGCCATCAGTTATATTTTTCATTATGTCTGAAATAATTGTGGGAATTAGCGGGATGACTTGTGGGGCATGCAGTGCTTCTATTACAGAAGCACTCATCCAGAAGAAGGGTGTTCAATCAGTTGATATATCCCTCATTACCGAAGAGGGAAGAATAACGTATGATGACAAATTTATTCAAAGCGGTGAAATTGTACAGACAATAGAAGATTGTGGTTTTGATGCTACAGTATTGAGAAGCAATGTCAGTGGCAATTCTAAAGACGAAGTGGAGACAATTGTATCTATACAAGGTATGACTTGTGGATCATGTAGTGCATCAATCACCAAGGCATTAGAAGAATTGTCAGGAGTCACTTCGGTTTCCATTTCTTTGTTAACTGAAAATGGAAAAGTCGTTCATGATAGTTCAATATCCAATGCAGATATAATACAGTCCATTGAAGACTGTGGTTTCGATGCACAAGTATCATCAACAAATAATGCAAGCAGCTACATCATTGAGTCAAGATTCCAAATAATTGGGATGACTTGCGGAGCATGTAGTGCATCAGTCACAAAAACTTTGGAAGAATTGGAAGGGGTGGTGGAGGTCAGCGTTTCTTTGATCACAGAAGAAGCAATGATCAAGCACACGAATGAGATTTCAGTTGATAGTTTGAAGACTGCCATCGAGGAGTGTGGTTTTGATGCCAACTTTTTATCCTCAATTAAGACTGAAACTCAAATAAATGAAGTGGAAGAGGTAACATTCAGGGTATTCGGACTCCAAGGCTCGGAATCGATTTCCAATTTTGAATACAATTTGGAAGCTGTGATAACGCACTTAGGATATGGAATCCTTGACTACAATTTGAACATTGAGAACGAGTCCACCCAGAATACCTCAAATATTCCAAATAGTGAGGATCCTGATAGTGAAATTATCAATGAAGAGGTAGGGGGTCAAGATTTGGTGAATGAATTAACCATTCATTACGATTCTTCAAAAATTGGTATTAGAGATATATTGAAAGATTTGAATTCCATCAATGCAGATATCAATTTTCTCATTCTTAATTCGCAGTATGAGTCTTCGGAACTTCAGTTGAAGCTCTTGTCCAAGGTAAAAGAAATAAATTATTGGCGATCAAATTTTTTCAGATGCTTTGTTGTGGGGGTACCTATTTTCATTTTAAGCAGAACACAAAATGTGAAATTTTTCAAAGAGACTACAATTTTCGAAGGATTGTTTCTCACTACATTAATTCAAGGGGTTTTGTCCAGTTATGTTCAATTCAAATCTGGGAAGACTTTTCAAAAGAAGTTCTTTACTTTCATAAAAATGAAAGGAGGAAATGCTACCATGGATATATTAGTATTTATCTCGAGTATAATTTCTTTCTCATTTTCAGTTCTTTCGGTTATGATTGGAATTTGGAACGGGGTTGGAGCTCCTCCTAAAACTTTGTTCGAAACGAATGCAATGATCATCACGTACATTTCATTAGGGAAGTGGATAGAAAATAAGGCTAAGGGTGCTACATCCACAGCTTTATCCCAGCTTCTCTCTTTGAGTCCTAACGAATGTACTATAGTAACTGACATGGGGTTATACGAACAGTTTATCAACACGGTAACTGCTGAAAAGACAGAAAAAGGGTTTGAGCAACTGAATGATGAAACCTTTCCTACTACTGTTATTGGAATCGAATTAATCCAAAAGAATGATATTACTATTATTCTACCAGGGTCTAATATTCCTGGTGATGGAGAGGTTATTTTTGGAGAGAGTGAGATCGATGAAAGTTTAATTACCGGTGAGAGTCTACCAGTGTATAAAAAAGTTGGCGATGGTGTGTATGGAGGTTCAATCAATGGACCAGGTTTATTGCATGTAAAGATCACGAAATCTGGTAAAAATTCTCAATTACAGAAAGTGATCAAATTAGTTAAAGATAGTCAAATCAATAAAGCTCCCATACAAAGATATAGTGATTATATTGCTGCCAGATTCGTACCAATTATCTTGCTTTTATCATTGGTGACATTTTTATTCTGGCTATTTTTTTGCTACTTGAGTGATTCTCTTCCAAAAGTGTTCAAGATGGAAGAAAATGGTAGGTATTTCGTTTGCCTTAAATTGTCAATATCAGTCATTGTTGTGGCTTGTCCTTGTGCTTTGGGATTGGCATCTCCCACGGCAATTATGGTAGGAACTGGGTTAGGCGCTAAATATGGAACTTTGATTAAAGGTGGCGAAATATTGGAGAAAGCAAGTAATATTGATATTCTTCTTTTTGATAAAACTGGAACTTTGACAACCGGAAAAATGAATTTATTGAGATATGAAATCGCTGGAACTACTAAACAAAATACTGATCATTGGTGGCAATTAATTGGTGCCATAGAGTCCAATTCGGAACATCCAATTGGCCAAGCGTTGGTGAAGGTTTCCAGAAGTCAATTAGGGTTATTCGAGGAGGACAAATTTGTTCCCGTTACCAAAAGTTTCAATTCTGTCACGGGTATGGGTGTAAAAGGTGAAGTCATCTTCAATGGTACAACTTTCGAAATGATTATTGGTAATAAAAAGCTAATCCACTCCAATAATTTGGTGGTAGAAGACATTGAAAGCTCCAACACCATCATTTACGTAGTCATTAATCAAGAATACCAAGGATACATCGAATTAACCGACGAGTTGAAACCTAAGGCAAGGACCATTATTGATCACTTGAAGTATGAGAAGAACTATATCGTGGGTATGGTTACGGGGGATAATACGAAGGTGGCTGAAAGAATTGGTAAGAGTTTGGGTATAAATAATGCCAACATATTCAGTGAAGTGTCGCCAATCCACAAAGACAAAATCGTTGAAGAATTACGCTCAAAATTCAAGAATCAAGCAAAAATTGCATTCATTGGGGATGGAATTAATGACGCTCCTGCTTTATCCAATGCAGATGTAGGAATTGCCATTGCAAACGGGACAGACATTGCCATTGAAAGTTCTGATATCGTTTTGATGAATGAGAATAATGATTTATATGGAGTTCCAATGGCTTTCGAGATATCCCAGAAGACTTTTAGAAGAATCAAGATCAATTTTATATGGGCGATGATTTATAACTTGGTAATGGTCCCTTTTGCGATGGGCTGCTTCTTACCGTTCAATGTAATGTTGCCACCAATAGCAGCAAGTTTGGCTATGGCTTTTAGTTCAGTGAGTGTGGTAGCAAGCTCGTTGTTATTGAACAGATGGAAGCCTGATTTGAAGAATTACTCAGTTGCGAAGGATTTTGACATCGAAGATTTTGAAGATTTCGACTTGAAAAATGATGATTATGAAGCTTTTATAAGGCACAAAGCTCAGAAAAATAGAAAGACTAACGTTTGGAAACGAGGATATAGATTAATTAATTAATAAATAGAAGATTTAATGATAGCCCAGGTGTCTCTCTTCTCCACCAGGATCTCTTTCAGAACAGCTACTGAAATTTTATGTTTAAGAACCCTTCATAATAACAAAAATACTCTTAACTTGAAGGTGTACAAACTATTTGTGTTCCAGTTCACCTAAACCTTCCTTATACTCTTTCTACGACTGATGGTGTTAATCATGTGCTAAAACACGTGTATTCTTGCAACTCGCGTTGCAGGCTGCCTGAATGCGACTCAAAATTATGTGGCCCAAGATCCTGTAAGATTTGATTCTCTTCAAGGAAGAAAAAGAAATTGATATGTGTTATGTTAAGCTGTAATTTGAATTTTTATGCTGGTTTTCAGTTCGTTGGTTATTTTTTGGTTATTTTTAGATGTGTCAATCTGTCAAACAAAAAATTTTTTGTTGAATTATATGATGGTATTTTGCAGCATAAAATTCTTCACAGAAAATTATAAAAGTTGCAAAAAATAAAAGAAAATGAAATAACAAAAAAAATTGTAGCTTGCTAAAAATGTCTTCTGTGATACCAAGTGTTACGAGTTTTGAAGTCTCTCATGTGGGAAACAGTGCATTATCCTCTTCAAAGTCTGAAGTAGCTTTAGTTGCAAGATCAATTAACCCAAAAAAGCTAATTGGAAAGTTGTACGTCAAGAACAAAAAAATGATTAAAGAACTCAAGACCATTATCAAATGTTTAGAGAGTATTGAAAGAATCAAGGAATCAAAAGAGCACAAGGTTCAAGAATTCGGAGAGGAGGGAGAAGAGGATTTACAGAAAAGAGGTAATTTGGATGTCATTGTTGAAGGTTTATTGACTAAAGTCTTTGTGAGTTTGAAAAGCTCCCAATTGATCAACCCTATTCTCAGATTTTCTTTAACTGACGATCAGGTCAGACAAGGAATAATTGATATGACCATTCAATTGTTACAGGCAAATGTGATTCCATGGGAAGAAATCTTCAATGCTTTGAAAAATAGTGGATTGGCAGTGGATGTCATAAAATTCTTGTTAACTGACCCTGAATCCAGATCGGGAACGGTAAGTTTAGTATTGGAATTATTACCAAAATTATTGGAACAAGGAATTATCTCTTTTAAAGATGTTTTAGAAAGGATTATTCCATACATTCCCGGAAATGTTGATGGTTTACCTCAGTTTAAATTCCCAAACATCACATTTCCATTCTCTATTCAAGAACCAGGATTCAACGCAACTTTTGATAGTGGATCAAGATCTTTATTATGAATGGGATACCAAAATATTCCCACCATTTTTGTTTAGTTTATATTTTAATATAATTCAATTGTAAACTGTAAAGTTTGATGCGAAAACACAAAATAAAAGATAAGAATGTAAACATTGAGAAGAGATTGAGAATTGTTCATAATTAACAAGGTATCATATTAAACATAAGCTAAAGACGTTAAATAACTTATAAAGCTAATAAAGCACCGGCAGCTAAAGCAGCAGCACCGACAGCGAATTGTTTGTTAGCAGCACCTTCCCAAGTTGAAACGTTAGCAACAGTTGAGTTGGAAACTTCAACTTCTGGTTTAGCTGGACAGTCAGTGACTTCTGGACCACATGAGGTAATGGTAACTAAAGTTGATGATAAATCAGTTTCAGTAACGGTGGCAGCGTTAACGGCAGCGGCGAATAATAAAGCGACAGTTGAGAATTGCATTGTGTGTAACGATTGACTAAGTTGGAAAATAAAAGTAGTTAGAAAAGAAAAAAATATCGAGGAAAATTTCGACTTTTATACTTTGATTTACTAAGGCAAACTTATCTGTGTTTGTGGTTTGAGAATAAAATTTTCAATACAAATAAATAAAGTGTTGGCCGGTGAATTTTCCACCCACATTTGACTGAAAATTAACAATAGTTTTCAAGAGTCACTACCTTATTTGGTAGTATTTTTATCAAAAATCGTAACATTAGTCGAGAGACGCATCTCAATTAGGCAATCGACTTCCCCTATTTGAACTTGTCAATCAATTTTTCACTCTGCGTAAATTTTTCGCATCCGAAATCAAAACAAATAGTTGATTGACGTGAGGGCGGATAAAGAGGCTAGATCTTTCTAATGAAGATATAAGGGTTCACATTATCAAGTAATGGATTGTTACTGACATTTGGTCTGTTCATTCATTTTCGAGTAAGTATTGTCACAATGTTAGTTTTCAATGTTATTCGTTTAAAGACTCTCGTCAAATAAATTAGGTTCAACACGATAAGGCATTTTTGTATGAAAAGATAATTTAGTACCGTAATTCGTAAATCTCAGAATGAAATATGTATTAGATTCCTATGCAATCGTGTGAGTCGAAATTCACAGACCTAGAACAAGGTTTGCGTTATCGAAAGCAGTACGTGATAAACTATATAGTGAGAAAATTGTGAATCTATGAACAGTCATAAGGGTTTACATACAGATTGATGTTGTCATGTTATGCTATTTGATCTTTGTTACAGAATAAGTTATATTTAAATGGTGGTTGTTCTTGCTTTAATGTTTTTCCTAGTATACCACCCGATGTAATCTTTCAAGCAACTCCTGATTCTCTTTTGGTCTTTGTTATTGATAGCCGTATTGATGATATTGTTGAATTTATTTAATTGTTTATTATCGTTATTCGGTAAATCGGTCAAGATTTTCATTAACCAATTAACAATCTTGTCTGGTGGACTTAGAACGATAAATTTCAAAATCAAATCATTTAATTCGTAAGTGATAGTATCGTTATTGAAGTTATTGAATTTGAAGATCAAATTTCTGATCAAGTTGTTCAAAAGCACATCACCTTTGGAACCAATCAAATTAATGATTTTACTTTTAATGGAGTTATGATCATTGATTTCCACAAAAGAGACAGGAATGTTATTCGATCCCCAACTTACCAAATCGATCAAGTAATGGATGACTGATATGGTACCTTCGAAACTTTCAAAGTTATCGAATAATAAGACGGATGATTCAATGGAAGGATTGATGATAATGGTCTCATCAATATCAAAAAATTGGTTCGGATAATACATCAATAAATCGTCCAACATTCTGAAGAAGTCTTCGATAACATCAGGTATTTCATTGATTGATTTTGCATCTTTCGTGGATAAAATCTTGAAAAAGTTCAAACATTGTTCCACCCCAAATTTGAATACTTCATTGATCAAAGAGAGTTCAAAGTGTTCTGGATCACTGAACTCTCTCAAAATTGAACCACTGACGTAAAGATAACACCCAAAATTATTGAATTTGAAACCTTGTAATAACAAATCGATCAAATTCTTCAAATTATTCAATAGATAGATATTGAAAGATTCGACGGAAGTCTTAATTAACTTCAAGATCTTTTCATTGACATTCAAATTGTCGATGAACTTGGTCAAAAATTTATTGATCAATGGCAAGATGTAATTGTTAAATATTCCTACAACTTTGTTATCTTGTACGTTGTAATCTCTTATTTTCAAGATTTTTATGATGATAGTAATTAAGTCAAAGTTTTCCCCAATATTTTCAGAATCAGTTGACTCGTATAAATTTTCTAAGTTGTTGAATATTGGTTTCAAAAAGACTTGCAAGAATTCTGATAATTTTGGATCATCTTCATTGAAATTTATTAAAATGTGACTGATACCATTTATGACTTCGGAATTTGATTTGAAATCGACCTTACCCGATATTTGATTGTACAAGATATACAATTGTTCTAAATATTTTATCATCAATTTAGAACAATCTTGACAAAAGTACATCAAAGCGCTGGTTGATGCCATTGAAATGCTCTTGGTATCATTTGGATTGAATGTGAGTTCGAATCCTTTGATTATGTAGTTTAGTTGAATCTCCAAATATTCAGGATTCATATTCGTCCATTCAGTATACCTTCCAAGGACAAGTGTTGCACTGTAACGAATTTTTGGTATTTCCGGTAACTCAATCAAAAATTTCATAATATTAGGGAGTATTTTATTTTCGGTTTTAGGAATCTCTTTTGCCATAGATCTCATAGTGAATAATGAACTTTCAATATTTTGCCATTTCAAATTCGAACCGCCCAGTTGGATAGTCTTGATATTCTCGAATGGTATACTTAAAGCTCTGTAAGGACCAACAACGACGGTTGCTTCTTTCAAAACATCCGCCATTTCGTATCTGAACTCTTTGAACTTGTCTTCTTGTTCTTTGTCACCATCGAATAAATCGTGATCTTCGTTATTATTCTCGTCTTCATCAGATGAGATTGGGTAGGTCAAATGTTTCATTATGATTTTAATCAAGTTTTCGTAGATTGGGGTGAAAATGATTCTTGAATTCTTGAAATTTGGAAGAATGATTAACTGTTTCAATAAATACCAAAAATAAAATGAATAATGAATGATATTCAAGTTCTCATCCAAATTAAGATAGCTCAACAAGATTTCCACTAATTTGTAGAAACTTTCGGGGTTCTTTGCGATCAAAACATGCCAACTTTCACAACTTTCAAGGTATAATCTAGCAAGAAGTTCGAAATTATCCTCATCAACTTTGATTGAAGTATGCAAATCAAGTAATTTACCCAAAATTGCATTTATGATTTGATGGTTTTCGATATCTCTCGTTTCTCTTATGATAGTAATCAAACATTCAACTGACTTTTCGAATAATGCTTCGTTGTTCAAAGAATTAAAAATCAAGTTGGTCAAACTTTCAATTGACAAAAACTTTTCGATGGGTAATTCTTTTATCCAGTTATTAAGACAATCGAGGATGAGTAATTCATTACCATTTATGGAGTTGTCAAAGATTGTGAATATTCTTGATATGTTGTTATCATTAACGATGGAATTGGTTCTATGGGTGAATTCCTCATCGTTTAAAAAGGTCTTATTAATATCATTTAATTCTTCAGGTAAAATCTTCAAGAATTCAAACAAATTCGGAAGCATGTTATTCTTGGTGAAGAAGTCAATTAAGTCATTCAAAGGATCTAACCAATTCAAATCCTGTAATATCAATTGAGACAAACAAATATTTAATTGAATTCTGATTAATTTATTATTATTACCAGAATAATTCAAAATTAATTGCAAGATCATGTTTCTTAATTCAGTCAAATTGTTATCATTCAATTGATTTAAGTCATAAGTCAACTTATTTCTTAAAGTTTGACTCAAAAATAATTTGATTTGAATATTATCATTGTTACCAAAATTACTATTTAAATATTCATTTGTTATCATCCATGACTCGTTAGACTTTTGAAAATTCTCCAAAAAATCCATTGCTTGCTTCTTAGATTCCTGGGATGCTCCCGAATACATAGTATTCAAACATTGGATAACTTGATCGATTACCATCTTTCTCAGTAGTAATTCTTTCTTGTCTTTAGATGCAATTCGCACTGAAAAATTTTAGTGTAGCAAAACTGTTTTAGTGTACCAACCGTAAATGAAACGAGTCTTGATTTTTATTGTCCGTGATGAGAAGTCCAAAACACGAAAAAAAGGTAAATATCTCATAGATCTTTCTATAAAAAGACGATTTAAGTCGAGAAAATTCAATTGTAATATTCCACAGTATCATTTATAAATTATGAGTAGACCAGTTGTTATTTCAGGACCAAGTGGTACCGGAAAAAGTACTTTATTAAAAAAGTTATTTGCTGAATATCCAGATAAGTTCGGATTTTCAACTTCTCATACCACTAGACAACCAAGAGTTGGCGAAGTAGATGGAAAAGATTATCATTTCACCAAAGTTGAAGATTTCAAAAAATTAATCGATAACAAAGAATTCTTAGAATGGGCACAATTTTCAGGTAATTATTATGGTACCTCAATCAAAGCCGTTAAAGATGTTGCACAACAAGGAAAAATATGTTTATTGGATATTGATATGCAAGGTGTTAAATCAGTTAAAGCCAGTGATTTAAATGCCAAATACTTGTTCGTTGCCCCACCTTCAATCGAAGAATTAAAAACTAGATTGGTTGGTAGAGGAACTGAAACTGAAGAATCAATCAATAAAAGATTAGATGCTGCCACCAGAGAAATGGAATATGCTGAAACTGGTGCTCATGATAAAATCATCGTCAACAACGATTTAGAAGAAGCTTATAAACAATTTAAAGAATTTATCTTAGATCAATAGATGGATCCTACAAAAATTCAGAGAAAGTATTATTTCATAATGTATTACGCATTGTAGTATCCTTTACTACTACGTTATGTAAGAATTTCTGATTAATATACATATAAATACAAAAAAAATTAAACCGGTTAATCTTTTTTTAAACCATGTCTTCATTTCAATTTATTTTCGTTATCCGATAAATACTTTCTAATTTGATATAAATTGATTGACAATTTTTCAAATATTGAAAATTTCAAAAAGTTTGAATAATAATGATTCAATAATAATTCTCCAATATTTAACAAATAGTAGATATCATTGAATTTCAACTCTTCGGTTGGTGCTTCGAAGATTACTGGCAAATTATAGTTTATTTGAATAAACTTACAGAAGACAAATATTTTCTTGAATTTTGATGTCAATAAATCTGTGAATTGATTTTTAGGACTCTTCAATAATTTGACTAAAACTACAGCTAAGATTGAAAATATTTGGAACAACCCTTGGGAAAGAATCAAGTTTGGATCATTGTTTAAAACATTGATGAATTCGATTCCAATCAACTTTTCGAAATTGACTTCTTCCTCATTAAATTCATTACTATTATCACCAACTTTTTCAAATTTAACTATCAAAAACTTCAATATAACTAAGCAGTAATCTAAAATTTTATCTATTCTAGAAAATTCGTTTAATTTGATTGAATTGATCAAATTTTCGAAAATTTTTATCAATTCCTTATAATTTTTCAACCAACTTTGTTGCTTTAAACTCTTGAAATCCAAAATTGAAGATATCTTGACCAAATTGACAATTATGGAATAATCAATTAATTGGTAATTATTTGAACTCAAGAATAGATTATTACTATTCACATTGGTGTTGACACCTACAGACAAACTATGTTGATTATTGTAATTGTTATTGAATAATTTGGTTAAATTGTTCAAAATGTTGACTGTATTTAAGTTATTGTTGAATTGGTTGATTTCAAAAATTCCATAAATCAATATATCATAACTGAACAAACAGAAATTTTTTAATTCGGGAAAATTATTGAAATCACTGAACGAATTTTTGGAAATTTTCAACAAGATCTCCTTGAAATTATAACTTTTTAAGGGTTCTTGTTTCAAATTTTGGTACTCTTTATAACTGTAACACTTCCAGATGTTGTCATCATTCAAATCGGGTAATTTCAAATTGTTTAAATCACTCACACTCAAAGTTAAAGGGATATTGTAAAACATGAGTAAGAAACTCGTCAATCTGTATATGATGAAAATGATTCTATACTGACTTTGTTGATTGATTAACTCCTTGAAATTCTTACTCAGTTCGAGATTCCCTTCATTTTGTTCGCTGTTCATTTCTTCGAGATCATTGATATTGAAAATTTGAAAATTTCTATTATCCTTGATGCTAGTTTTAACTAACGAATTCAAAGCATTCAACTGTCTGATAACAATGAAAACGTTATTCTCATTGTCACTAAACAAGCCATAAATCACCGACAATGTCAATGACTGTATCAACCATAATGGGTTGTTATTCTTCGATTGGTTATTCATTTTTCTCGACTCTAAATAGATGTGTATGGTTCTTCTAGATGCTTCATACAAATGTTCCAGATCATTTTTATTGTTAGATAACAAAGCCCCAATTGTTGCGATTAAAAGCGGTAAGCAAACCCTGGATGCTTCATTAGAATAATCTTCGTTTGAAGTCATCATCATCATCTCGTATTCATTCAACTTCGAAGGATGAATAAAGGGATAATGATTCAAAAATTTATTTTTGAAATAGTTTAAATAAAATTCCAATTTCTCGTTTGAAGGTATTATGGGATTGATTGAACCATTGATAGGATATTTATTCAATGATTTGTTGATTAAGCTTTTGATGTTATTTGTGAATAGAAGGATCTTGGAATAGTTTGAAATCTTTAAATTGTTCAAATTATTAACATTGTTATTGTTCTCAATATTAAGTATTTGTGATTGATTCAAGAAGTTATTTAAATTATTTGGATTTACGTTTGGTGATTGATAGTTGGGACTGTTTTCCAAACCTGATGATGAAACTGAATCACCATAGAAAGAATACCCATTAGGGATGAATTTGGAATTAACATCGATTTCGTTAGTTAGGTCACCAATATCATTGATGAAGTTGAGATTAATGTCAAAAATATCTTCGTTCTCGTGAACATTGGCATCATTTTTTGATGGGGTAGCATCATTAAAATGGTCTTCTTCGAATTCCTGTTTGATGGGAGTCAAGCCATTGTTAGATTTGTGATTACCACCACCGTTTGTATCCATCATTGATTCAGGTATATCATAAAACGAATAGCCAAAACCCAAGTCTTTATTATTTAAATCATTAGAATTCATTGTAGCAGTGGGCAACATGAACCTTAAATCTTCGAACAGACTTAATTTTTTATTCTTTTCGTGTGGTTTCTTATCATTAGCGTTGTGATCTACCTCATGTTTTGGATGATGGTTCATTTCCTCCGTCATTCCAGGTATAGTGGATAAATTACTAAGCCAAGAATGCTCATCGTAAGCTGAACTGGGTAATAATTGAGGAGTTGAAAATTCCACATTATCTGTACCAGTATATAAATCATTGAATTCAGGTATATTGGCAGCATAGTTGGCACCTGATTGAGCCGAGAATGAGGCCCCTCTGAGTCTTTTCTTATCAAAGATTTGTTTGGATAAGTGAGAAGTACTACTTCTCTTTTGATGCAGAAATTGTTTATTTTGACCATTATTATCATTCATCTGATTATTAAAGTTTTGTAGCTGTTGATTGATTGATTGGTTATTATGGAACAAGTTAAGATTGAATTCCACATCTTTCTTATCTTCAGAATTCTCATTTATCTCATTCATTGAATTCATAGGAGTTGTTAATGGAGTCGAAGAACCCTCATCAATTTTCTTCACACTCTTCCTTCTTAACCTTGTTATAGCGTCAGCACATCCAGCATGCAACTTTTGAGCATGTCTGAGTAACAAATCTCTTCTAGAAAACTTTCTTTGGCAAACTCCACAAGTGAAAGGTTTTTCTTTTGTGTGACTTCTCTCGTGTCTTCTTAAATGTTCTAATCTAGCAAAAGCTCTGGTACATACTTGACAAACAAACAATCTAGGTTTACCACTAGGAGTAGTACCATAAGCAGTCAATTCTATAGGAATGGGTTTCTTGCTTTTTGATTTGTCGTTATTGTCATTATTATCGTCATTGTTCAAATCATTCATCATGTCTGATTTTAAAGGAGAATTTTGATTACCTTGAGAATCCACGGACTCCACAGAATCTATTGAATTCATCGTGTTACTTGAATTCATAGGTATTGAAATATCCAAATTGGAATTAAAATTATAATTATTCATATTAACAATCATTCAAATTTTTGAGAATTGAGAAAATTTTGTTGGATACGACAAGTGACTGGAAAAAATATGTAATATCCTTAATAAAATAACTATTGTTAATTATTCAAAGAAAGGACAATCTGTTGATTAAATAAATAAATAATTGAATAACTAAATCAGTTGTTCAAATAAAAAAAAATGAGGTTTTCAGGATGTTGATGAAATTATAAAATCTGGGGAAATAATAGTATTTAAAGGATTTTACGACACGAATGAACAACTTTTTTTTTAAACTTTCTCTGGAATGGTTTTATTAGTAAAAAATAGCAGGTGAATTGGGTGGTAATTATGCGGATTTATTAGCAATTTAAAAAGGTTATTATCTAGGATTTTCAAATATTATTGAATACCAAGAAGTAAATAGTTTGTTGAGTGGAATAGACCGATCAAACCTTCGTAGTAAAAAGCTACTCCGGATGTCGCGCTTACGTCTATATCAAGAAATTATATGCGATGTCGTCGTGTCGTATATGTGGGGTCATATAACGTTTTTAAATAGATTAAAGAAGCTCTACATTCGAAGTGAGTCAGAGGATGAAATTTACGGCAAGATGATTTCAATTACTAGGTTTTAATCAAAGATGGTGATCAAATTAGAAGCAACGGTGTTTTTTTCACGGAGAAAAAATTCTGGTTGAACTTATTGATGAGCGAATTTATCCTAATACACATTTAGGTTGTAGTGGGGCTATAAATATTACCCCTGGATATTTGAAATTGGTCTTCAGATGATAATCGATCGGTAACTCATCCTAAAGATGCGTTTATTTTTTAATAAACTAGATTGAACTTTTCCATAATGGCACTTCGAATGGTTCTAGTAGAGCAAGGGCGGGAGCAGTGGTGGTCATAGTTGTAGTTTTCAGATGCAAATTTTATTGACGTCAAAGTTGGAATGTCACCCCTAATGTGCGAGTCAAATGACGAAACTTCCCAATAACCAGATGAGGATTTAACTTCTGCTATCTTTGCCTTTGAGGTAAAAAGTTCAATATGTACTGTTTAATGGTCATTTGGTCACGTGACTAGATGCAAAAAAAAGTAGTCTTTTCGTTTGATGCTCACTAATTCAATATCTCAAAGATGACTGTTATTGAAATTGAATCAGAAGATCAGTTTACTGATTTAAGTAAAACAAAAGATAAATTGATATCTTTGTATTTCCACACAGAATGGGCTGAACCATGTAAGAATATGAATTCTATTTATAATACTTTATCCAACACTAAAGAAAATGCCTCGATTTTATTTATTTCTATCAATGCTGATAACTTTTCCAACATAAGTGATTTATTCGAAGTAAGTGCCGTACCTTATTTTATTTTAATTAAAAACTCAACAATCTTGAAAGAATTATCAGGTGCTGATCCAAAAGAATTCATAAACAGTATCAAGGAATTAAATACTGAGTCAACTCAAAAATCTGAAACAAAAACCACCCCTCAACCATCAGAGCCCACAAGTGAACAACAAGAGAGTCCAGAGCAATTAAACGAAAGATTAACCAAGTTAACAAATGCTGCCCCTGTTATGTTATTCATGAAAGGTTCCCCTTCATCTCCACAATGTGGATTTTCCAGACAATTAGTGGCAATCTTAAGAGAACATGAAGTCAGATTTGGTTTCTTTGATATTTTGAAGGATGATTCTGTCAGACAAGGATTGAAGGAATTCAGTGATTGGCCAACTTTCCCTCAATTGTATATCAAGGGAGAATTCCAAGGTGGTTTAGATATTATTAAAGAATCTATTGAAGAAGACGCAGATTTTTTTCAAAATGCTATAGCTTAATCATAATTAAATATATACAGATAAATGTGTTTACATGAACTCTGAATCATCCAGAAACTCATAATCAGATTCATGTGGTAATGGCTTTCTCTCGTTGTCGTTAATCGTTAAATCAAAATCATCATCAGAATCCTCTAATGGATCTGATAGTTCATCATCATCGTCAGCATTGTCCTTGATATCTATTTTGAACTCCAATTGCTGTGAAGGTTCTTCTTCTTCAAAAAGACTGTCACCCAAATATTTGAATTTACCACCAATTCTATCGTAGTTCTTGTACTGCAATTTATTAATTATTATTGGGACATAGAATCCATCAATGAGATTGATATTATTGAAGGAGGTTTGAAAATTTGGTGAACCTTTCAATTGGTGAATAATCCTACTCACTTTGTTTGCTTCCCTCAACATGTTGAAATTCTTCGTGAAAGTTATACTGTTGAATTTCTTATTAGATATGAGGTTTTCGTCTAGACCCACCCTGGTACTTCTAATCATTACATCTTTACCTTCATCGAATTTGTATATCAACTCGCTTTCACTTAGTTTGTTGCTTATGAATTCCATAGTTTCAAAGTCAGTTTCATTGATGAAGTTGCTATAATTCTCGAGAATTGAAAGATTCAATAACTGTAGATTTTCATATTTCTTCAAGATATCGTTGATGTTATTATTCAATTGTTCAGATTTATCCAAATCCCTGTGATCTGTGGAAGAGTATATTATTTTACCTATAGCATGGAATAAGTCAATTGCTTCATCTTTTTTGTAATCATTTGTGGAGTCCATACCTTTACTGAAAAATTTACTCCACATCTCTAAGTTGTTGATTGATAATCTTATATCTCCCGCTTCAACAATAATGTCCATGAATTTGTTAATATTGTTTTGGCGAATATTTTTAAACACCTTTTCTCTTCCTACAATTTGTTTTAGTGGTTTAGTAAGGAACCTTTTAGCAATGCTATTGAATTTTAGAACTTCAATGCCTCTATAAAACAAAATGTTCTTACCGAATATTGTGTTGATATTGAAGTTGTTCTCTATATTGAAAAACTCATGGTTGTTTTCATTGAACTTCTTTTCAAATTCTGAAATACAAATCACTAACGGAGGTAAATTTTGATCAATATATAACCAATTTTCGATCGCCTGTCGAAATCTTTTCAACGTTTCGCTGTAAAAAACATTCGGTAGATTTTCAACTACAACGAATCTTTCATTTTTGTCAATCAAGTATTTACAATCATTGAGGAACTCATTGAAGTCTTCTAACTCATTGTATTCAACAAAACCTCTTGATAGTTCTTCACTGATTAATTTTACTGCCGTTGATTTACTACATCCCGAAGGACCCGTAACAACCAAGATTCTTGGGCTTCCTTGTTGTAACATGCCATTCATTTTGTCCCTTAACTGCTTCAATTTGGTTGGATTTATTGCAATTTCATTAACTGATTGAGGTTTGTATTTTTCAACCCAAGGCTGGTCGGGAGCAGGTGTACTGACTTTCCCTATCAGCTTGTGAGTACGTGAAGGAGCATAACATTCACCAAAATCAAATGATTCATCATCAATATCGTCGTCAATATCATTATCAGACTCTATCTTACGTTTCATTATACATTAGACTTTACATACATAAGAAAAGATTCCCTGCGCGACTCTCATATCAAAAGGGTTCTTTCAGGTTGAAAGTTATCGAATTCAATTTGGCCCTGCGAGAGGACAGGGGAGAAAAACGACGATGGGATGTTGGAAGTACCTGAATTATCACTCATTTCAATCACGAAGTTATCATTCTTGACGATAGTAGTACCTCTATCGGTTGGCCCTTCATTAATGTCTTCTTGTAAATATTTGTGTATTTTTGGTGAAGTAGATCGTGAGTAAGACAAGATGGGCTTGTCCTTTTCTATGGGATGCGGTAAGGAGAACGATGATGCTTTTTTACCAGGCTTGTGTTTCAAAGCCCTTTTCATTTCATCATTCTTGAAGAATTTATCGTTATTTAAAATTTGTTTATACTCCACTTCCATAATATCATCATTAGGTAATTTGACATCTACGGTACATTCTCCATGGTTGTTGCTTATCAATTGCCCGAAGAAGCGTTGCTGATTAAGTGTAAATTGTATCATACTATTGTTGGATAAATGGGAGGGATCGATTCTTGGAATATTCAAATCCTTCTGATGAAATGAACAGTATCCTTCATTTTTACTCATTTTGAAGTAAACACCATCATGAAGCGAACATGGCCCATGATAAGACCTGGTACATTTTTCATGGGCACACTGAAAGCACGCTCCCTGATCTTTATTCTTGCAAACTTTGCATTTCAAATTCTTTTGTGCCTTTGAAATTTTATCGATTCCAATGACCTTGGAATTTTGTTGTTTTAGTTGATAAGGAAATAATTTGGAACACAAATTGTGAACTTTAACCCCAGGTAAGTCTGTTTCCTTCAACTCGAATTGTGGAAGTTGCAGCCAAATACCAGGAATTTTTATAGGACATAGATAACACTCATTGTCATACCTCAACTTCTTGGGTTTTATCTCTTTAGAAAGACTTGATTTTCGCTTGTTATTCTTAGGCAGTTCTGGTGCCTTAGATAATTTATTGACGTTTTTAGATTTGGATTTAGGAGACTTGATGACTCTTAAAGGTCTTGAGTTGGTATCACTTTCTGTTTCTATTTCGCTTTCAGTTAAAACATCGATGTCGTCATTAATCAAACCTGGTTCGTAAGGAATATTATTGAATTTACAATAAATCTGTTTTACATTAATAGCAACAGCATCACTAATACACTCACATTTGCTTGTTTTTTCGCCAATAGGAAGCCAATCATCGAGAGCAAAGTTGACTGATTCAGCTAAATTATACCCATAATTAAAACCTGCATGATATCCATAAGGATATGTAATTATAAATTCATGTTCGTAATGGATGACCTTATTACACTTTATACCATGTTTTGATAAGTATTGTGGGGATACCAAGAAAGTCTTATGTCTCAAGAATTCATTACAATTCTTCCACTCATCACTGAAAGTCTCTTTCATTAATTTGAAGAACTTTTCACACTCGTCTTGTGGGATTGAATACCACTGCTTAGGAGCACCAAAATGATTATAATTGATAGAATATAAATCTTGGTCTTCAAGGTGCCAAGCGAATGTTGCTTTCCATAAGCCAGCATATAGATAAGCATCATTCACACCAGGTAATTTGGCATCCATCAAATCCAACAAATTAGGTAAATGGGCAACATTCCAAGATTTCAAAGACTTGGGAAATAATGACCCAAGCATATCGGCACCATACATAGGTTCAGCATAAGTCAAGGATCTCCAATAAGTCTTCTCCAAAAGCTCACATCTTTCAGTCGTAAATTCAGATGTATCAATATTGTAGCTATTTGGGTCATTTTGCTTATCTTTCTTGGATTTACGTTTTGGTTTTTCTTTAGGTTTCGTAATGGGGGGTTGGAAATTAGATTTCTTACTCAATTCTTTCCATTGGAATATATTATAAGTTCTAGCTTTTTCAATATTCTGTTGTGTAAAAATACCATTTGCAGATCCATTGATGCTCTGGATAATTGGATTTTTGATTACAATGTTACTTAAATTCTTAGTTGTGTATATATTCTTTGATTGATCTATCCACTCTTTTGGAGGTATGATCTTGACAATTCCACTCTGCATACCATACTTATTGATAGCTTTATTGAATTTGTAAAAATCTTCAAACTGCTCCATTGTTGGTTTAAAAATTGGAATTCCATCACTGTAAGAATCTGGTTCAATCACCAAATTCTTATCGTAGGAGAATCTAGTCATAATTGCTGGTAATCCGTACTTCCAAACTAGATTGTAGCTTTTGCGATATGGGAAAATGTCATGAGGTTATGAAAAGTCGCACATTGAATTTCAGGTACAGCATACGATTGAAGAGTTGAATAATTGTCTAGTCATCGCAGCTCAGTAATTATCTTACAAAAACATGGCACCTAAAGTATCACACGCATACCAGACTCCGAATCATGATATTTCAAAGTCAAGAGTCCTCAAATCAGCACTTTTAACTGTATTATCGATATTTGCCCTTCTCCAATTAGGATATCATTGTTTATGGGCTTTCAAAGTTCTTTACAACAATTCTTATGGAAATAGTATAAATAACTTGATATTTGGTATAGGAACCTTGATTGCTAACGCCGGTATCAGTTTCAAGGCATTAACATTTTTGAATGAAAAATTGATAGATGATGGTATTGACGCGGACCATAAGAAATATTTATAATCTTTAATATGTACATTATATAAGTTTTTGCTTCGTTTGCTCTTGATTTGTGGTACAAATGCCTTGATTATCACAAAATTTCTCTAACAAATCTATTTCGATATTGAAATTATGAGAATTCAACCACTCTTTCATTTCGATAATGGAGATGGGTTCATAAGTAATGACCTTTTCATACCAGAAATCATCTGATCTGATTACGTCTTTAAATCTCTTGAACAATTGATCTTTAAACTCAACTTGTGACAAACTTTTCGAATCCTCTCCAATAAAATCATCCATATTTTTTAATATTTCGATCATGGCATTTTTTGATTTTACTGGCTTTATGCCCAAATGTTTGAAAGTATCCCGTAGTTGGGTATTGGATAATTGTGAGAAATCATCAACAGCTTCTTCTGCAGTTGATCTAATGGACATTATCGTTTTTGGCATTTCCATACCAGGACTAGAAGGTACTTGAACCATTGAATCGTTATATTCGTTGAAATCAGTATCATCGTTAACCAAAGTTGATATTTCTATTATGCTTATTTCATTATCATCATCATCTTCTGAATCACCAATTATTTCTTTATCACGAGGTTCTGAACGTCCCCCAATTTTTTTTATTTTGAAATTTTTAGTGTCCCTGTCTATGATTTTTAAATCCCCTTTTAGTTCTATGACTTTGGTTTTGTATTGTGGAGAAGCGTTATAGAATTGTGACGATGCGGTAGCATAGATTGATTGCTGGGTGTCAAAATTCAAACTGAAATTGGGCGGTGTCAAATTTATTTGTGACGTGAATTGTGGAGATTTGTTGGTAGGCTGTGAAACCTTTCTGATAGGGGTTTCGAACTGCTGTGGTCTTAATTTTTTGGGTGTGGAAAAATTCGACTTTATAGGAGAATTATCGGAGGACGAACAAATGATTATTTCCTTCTCTTTATTTTCACCAAAAGCAGGTGGGAAGGTGTTGAATGATTGTGGCACATTTATTTTAGAAACAGGCTTTGTATGTCCAAGAATGTTATATTCCAAAAGTTCAGGTTCTGAACTCGAATCAGGAATTTCATTATCTTCTTCAATATCATTTTGCGTTAAATCTAAACCCATTTGATCCGAATTTAAATCATACAACAATTTCAAATCAGAATCATTGAAGGCTTCACTGGGCTGTCTTGAAGCTTTATCCCATAATCCTGTGGATTTCTGCAGATTTTCAAATTCGATTCTTTCTGTTATTGATTTTAAGGATTTAGTAGCGGAGTTAGAAAGATTTGGTAGATTTTCTTTGATAGCTTTAATGATGTTTTCCCATTCTTCTTTATTATAGGGTAGTTTGCAATTATACCCTTTGAATTTCATGTCGTTATGGTCTTGGGTATGGAATTTATTCGATTCAAGCTTGTCTAGTATTTCTTTGACCTTACGTTTCTTTCCACTGAAATATTCAACAATGGAAAGCTGAGTATCGGGGGAGGTTTCTCTCAGATTTGTGCCAAACATTTCGTCTACATGGCTAGTCAAAGTCTTTATTCTTTTTCCCAGTCTCCTTTTAGGTTTCTTAGTGGTCTTTACAATTTTACGTTCTATAGGTTTGATCTTTTGTTGTTGAGCTTTGAACTGTTGTAGTTGACTTATTCGTTCTTCTGTTATATCTTCATGATGCTTCTTGATTTCACTATCCTCGTAAGCAGATTGCATTTGAGTAGATAGAAAGTTCAAGTGGTCATCTTGCACAGACATATCTTATAAATGTATATGCGCGTCAGAAACATAATGATCTGTAGATTTTAGATAAGAAGGAAGGAGATTTTGAGGATGGAATCAACAAAAGCACGGTCAGCTTTAGAAAAGCAGAATTTTTCAGAAGAGTTCGGAAGACTTTTGATGGAGCTAATACTTAAAACTACTAAATGCTATGTATATTAAAATTACTAATTACAGATATCGGAGAACCCCCGGTCAACCAAATCATTGAACCCATCAAGAGTTGACATGTAGAAGAATGAGTTCGATGGCTTATAGTCATCTAAACTCGAGATGGAAGCTGGGGACTCATAGATAGGAAAATTATTCAAGAAATCGACTGATATCAAATCTTGATCTTCATCATACTTGTAATCTTCCGGATCTATCAATACATCATAATTATCATCACCATAATCGAACTTGACCTGCAAGTCACTGAAAAGTGTGTTCTCTCGATATATATCATCCATAATGAAAAGGGAGCCTACATTGTAATCTTTAATGCCACTCCTATCGTTTTGTGCATTATGTATGTTCTTCGACCTCTTCTTATGAATCTTCAATCTCAGGTGTGGATTTAGATTATATAACGTGGACATACTATGGTCACTAGATAAAAAATTCAAGAATACTCAATCTTCCCCGAAACTTTGGGATGTATCCAAATATATATAATTTTACGAAGACAGGAAAAAGTTGGGCCCCCACATTTGAGATAAGTCCTGAGATCGCCGAATCTTTTTTTCTTGAAACCCTTTATTTCGGTAAAAGAGCCACAATCCTGACGGGTTGAGAGGGTTTAACAAAAGTAAAATAATAAGGACAAATGGTCAACAGAATCATCACTTGCTCATGATATGCAATGAGAGACATTGATCCCTCTCTAGTTGGGCAATCAATTCAAACGAATGCGAAATGTGGGATCTGGCTGTCTCTTATCAACTGAGAATGTCTTGAGCTTACACTCCGACACGCAAAATAATTGTTACGATTTACGGCATGTCATTCATAATTAAATATCTGATCATGTTGCGATAAACAAAATAATATGGAGTTCAGATAAGAAAGCGCAAAGATAAAAATATGATGAGCAAATTGGGCAAAAGTTAGCCGTATTAGGCACTTAACAAATACGAGTTATTACCGACAATCAAAAGAGGTCACAGATTTACAAGGAAACTGATAAGACCCACTTGGTTGTAATCTTAGCCTTATGATGTTCTAGACAAATAATGTTCAGGGTCTGCAACCTTCCAGACTATCTATCAGTGGTTCAATGAGTGAAATTCACGGATTATTCATTACAAAAGATTGGTCTTGAAATCCGAAAGCCAAAAGATAATTCAAATTTAACTTCTTGTGTAATATGTATCGAAATATGGATAGCATCTTGTCTCTTATATTGGAAAAACAGCTGTTGTCATACATTGCTTCCCTCATACAAATATCGTTATCTGCGAAAATCTTGTTATCAGCTTCTCATCCATTATGCCAAATGGGGAAAAGCAGAGATTACTAAGAAAAAACACTGATGTTGATATCAAGTATGTCATAGATAATCCTGATAATCGTAAAGTCCATAGAATAAGCTCAGTGATTCTCCCTGATAGTGGAGAAAGGGTTCACAGATCTTTATCATTTTCAAATTCAAACTTCGAAAGTTTTGAAAATGCCATAATGGATAGAGATGAAGCAATTGATGATTCTATCGATGAATCATTCGACTTTCCTTCATTGATACAACTGGATATATCAATCAGGGATAGGATAAGGTTGTTCATGTATTATTTGATGAATCGATTCAATGAGATGTATAACGATGAAAAATTCAAGAATGTTTTGAAATGTTCCTTTGCTTACTTGATTGCATCACTTGGTATCTTTTGGTCACCATTCAATTCATTCTTGGGGAAATCCGATATGAAACATGTCATATCAACGGTAGTGGTATATTTTCATCCATCGAGAAGTAAAGGTTCAATGCACATCACATTGATTTATGTCACAATATCATTGAGTTACAGTTTTATAATCAGCTTCCTATGCAGATTTTTGTCGTCATATTTCTATAAGAATGGGAGTGAAGAAATAAGCTATTCAATCGATTTGTTGATTGCTTCAACAAGTCTTGGAGTCATCGCTTATATGAAACAAAAAATCAACAAAGAGACATTTAACACCGCTTGTTCTTTGGCCTCGATTTCAATTGTAGCATGTATCATCAAAGAGGGAAGCTTGAATGGTGCTGATATTCCGATAGAAAGGTTGAACTCAACTTTGAAAATTGTTGTCACAGGTTGTATAATTTCTGTAGCTATATGTTACACCATATATCCCCAAAATGCATTGCAAAATCTTAAAAATGACTTAAATGAATGTTATAAGATTATGTCTTCGTTGTTATCCTTGGTTACCAAGAGATTCTTGACCGGAGAAAAATTGAGTAACCAGGATAACGAAATTTTCAATAAATTAAAATCCAGAATTCGTACATTGGATAAGAATTTGGAAGAGTCAAAATATGAACTCTATGTTGTAGGAAAAGAAAGTGAATGGGTAAAACTTGAACAACTTGTAAATATAACCAAAAGTTTAGCCAATCATTTATTCGCTTTAAGGAGTTCAAGCGAAATGCAATGGCAATTATTGCATGAAGTGGATCAAAACTCATCTTCTTCGGTAGCTTCAAGCTTGAAAAGTTATCATTCTAGCTTAATGGTATCCCAGTCTGTTGAGAATTTGGTAAGTATTGGGAATGAAGCCAATATCTCCAATGTTAGTGGAGGTGACTTGGATTACACAGCTATAAATTCAGCTCAAATATTTGATTTATTCGTCTATTACTTAGCTCCTTCCATGAAGGCTTTCATTTTCACCCTCAAAAATATCTTGAATGATGTTCCATTTGATTCCCGTAATATTCAAGGGTCGTATAACAAGACTCAAAAGTTCAAAAAATCTTTAAGAATTGCCCTTAATTTATTCGATGAAAAACAATTGAAATCATTTGATAAATTGTATAATCAAGAAATCTTCAAAAGCAAGAATGATCTTCTTTTCAGATCTGATTTGGAAGAAGTTACAGCATGTTGTGGAAACTTCTCTTCTTTGCTACAATTATTTGGGAAGGAACTATCATCATTCTTGAATCTTTTACACGATTATAATGATGGAATGAACGAAGAATTAGATTATAGAACTTGGGAATGGTTAAAAATATGGAAAACTAGGGACGTCAAACCTAAAAAGATCAATAAAAATAATATCAACGATGCTTTATTATTCATTCAAAATCAATACTCCCTCAATCCTGTTGACTCTTCAGACTATTACTTTTATAGATTGTGGAAATATTTGAAAGTGTTGAGGAGAACTGATGTTCAATTCGGTATAAGAGTGGGGTTAGGTGCTTTTGTCCTATCATTATTTGCATTTTATCCTCGTACCAAATTGTTTTTCAATAATTGGAGAGGCGAATGGTCCTTGACGATATATTGTATCATGATGAATAAAAGTTTGGGTGGGACTCAGATGACAGTTAAGTGGAGAATTTTAGGTACATTTTTGGGGTCCCTTTCTGCATATCTTGTATGGATTATGTTTGATGGACATCCGGTAGCATTGGATTTAGTTGGGGTGTTAATAAGTATTCCATGTTTCTACATAATTATTTACTGGAAGAAGAACAATCCATTTGGTAGATTTATCTTATTGACTTATAATTTAACAGCCCTTTATTCCTACACCATCGAACAGCATGATCTGGAGGATGATGGGGAAGGTGGTGATAATCCAATCATCGGAGAAATAGCTTTCCATAGATTTGTATCTGTCAGTATTGGTATTATTTGGGCCATTACAATGGCTTCGATATTCATACCCAATAGTGCTAGATCTAGATTGAAGAATGGATTAACAATTTTATGGTTGAGATTAGGAATTGTTTGGAATAGTGATCCTCTAGATTATTCCTATGACTCAAAAATGGGTAAGAACAAATTAATTAGTCTCAAAGGGGAAATGGGGTTGAATGGTTTCTTAGATGAGCTTGAATTGTTATTGAAACAGGCACCATTAGAATTTAGGTTGAAAGGGAGATTTCCCAGCAATTTATACGAAAAGCTCATTCATCATACTTCGAACATCATAGATGCATACCATAATATGATTCTTATGATAGAAGTTGATCCTATTTTAAGTGACAATGAAGAATACGTCATAAGATATATCGAACAAGAACGACACGAACTTGAACATCGTATTTTCTTAGTATTTTACATGATTGCCAGTTCAATAAAGTTGCAATTCCCATTACCCAACAAACCTGCATCCACAGAGCACGCAAAAGACAGATTATTGTACAAATTGAATGAAATCAGGTCCACCACCTTGGTCAATAGTGACGATGAATCAAACAATAAAAGTGAGGTTTTATTGGCCAATGAGGATTACGTGTTATTATACTCCTATATCTTAGTGACTTCAACTATTACTGAAGAGTTGGATAAGATCATAGCTGTTATAAAACAATTAATGGGTAACATCAGTGAAGAAATGTTCCATTTAGTTTAAATATATAACGACATTTATGATAATTTATCTCTCGCGACATTATTTCGAAAATAAGTCAGCACCGCGAATTTGTGGAAATTTTTTTATTTAATACAACAACTATGTCATTCGATCCTGAAGGGCCAGTAGGTAAACAAGTAAAACCAATCTTGGTTAATGAATTAATAAATCGTTTCAATATTCCAGATGAAGCTGAAGATGTTGCCGAATATATGTTAGTATTGATCGGTGGCAACAAAGTTCCATCAGAAATTGTAAGCGAAGTGAAAGAATTGAGTGACATCCCAATCGATGAAAGCTTTGTCCAAAGTTTATTCGTAGAAATCAAGAAAGCCATGGAGCAACAATCTCAAGCTTCTGCTGCACCTGTTGCTCAACCTCCCGTTAACAATACACCTCCACAACCTGCTCAAGTTCAACCACCAGTTCAACCAGCTTCTGCCCAAGTTCCTATTCAAGCACCAACTTCAGCTTTTGCTAACACTAGCAATGTGACATTCAACTCAGCTGATACTAGTATGAACAATGATGATGATATGCAAGAAGACCGTGTTGATTTTTCTATGCCTTCGAGACCAAGAGGTAATGCATTGAAAAGAGGTGGCGGTAGAGGTGGTATTGGAAAAGCTTCAGCTGGACGTGGAGGAAAGAAATCATTTGCTACACAAAATGCTAGTAATTTTGAAAGGATGATGGGTATGCAAGATGTCAATATTATTGATAATACCAAATTTGTTAATAAACCACCTAAAGGACGTTGTAGAAATTTCCCAGGTTGTAACAACAAAGACTGTAGATTCTCCCATCCAACTAAAGTTTGTAACGCCTATCCAAATTGTACCAACCCACCTGGCACTTGTAACTTCTTACATCCAGATCAAGATCAAGAATTAATGGCTAAATTGGAAGTTAGTAAGCAAGAATATTTAGATAGAAAGAATCAAAGAAGAAACAACCATGGCCAAGGTAGTTATAACAATTTCCATCCATTCCCACCACAACCAATTGAAACAGGTATTGCCATTTGTAAATTTGGGGTTTTATGTTCAAAAGATTTATGTCCATTTGGTCATCCAACTCCAGCAAATGTAGAAGCCAAAGTTATTGATTTGGTTTGGTGTGAAGATGGTAAAAATTGTAAAAACAATAGTTGTAGAAAGGCTCATCCATCTCCAGGTTACTTAGCTCCACCACCACCTGAAAAACCAAGTGGTGGATATAATGCCATGGGTAAACCAAGATTTGAACCAAGTTTAGAGCAATGTAAATTTGGTTTAGGTTGTACCAAGGCAAATTGTCCAAAACGTCATGCAACTTCAACAGTTCCTTGTAAGAATGGTGCTGAATGTCAAAGAATCGATTGTACTTTCGTACACCCTATCAATGAAGTTTGTAAATTTGGAGTTAACTGTACGAACAAAGGTTGTATGTTCCAACATCCAGAAGGAAAAAACTTGGGAAATAATTCCAATGTTTGGGTTAAAGAGAATACCGATCAAAGAAGCTTTGCTGTTCCTGAAGATCAAGTCATGGAAAAGGCTGAACAACCTTCAATGGTAAATTAAATTTTATATTGTATATTAGAATTTGTATATCTTCAAAAAAATAAAAAAAAAAAAATAAAAAATGCATATCAATAAGTTAAAACGCTTATTGATTCTGACAGGTTAAAACACCTGTATGTTCACTTTAAATTTCTGTATGGGTTAAAACACCTGTGATAACGATAGACTCAAAACCAGCATGTTGTAAATTAGATTAGCATATAACGATTAATGAAAGGCATTTGCATATAATCCCTTTTGGTCAGGTCATCGCTCTCTGTATCTTTCTGAACGTCTCTTCAAAATATGCCTCTTGACAAACACTACTGTGGACTAGAGATAGAGTAAAGAGAGTAATTAATTAGTTAAAGTATATTACATTTAATATCTTCTTTTACCAGCAGCGGCTTCTTCAGCATAAACATCTAATGGAGATGGAGCTAATGGAGCTTCAGCCCATAAGTTTGGAGTTAAGAAACCGTAAGTGTTACCAATAGCGGTGAAAGCAGCTTTTAAGGTGTTTTCAGTAGTTCTGGTAGAACCTGAAGATGAAGTATAGACATCTTCAATACCAGCTAATTGCATTAATCTTTTAACAACTGGAGAAGCAACGATACCTTTACCTCTTGGAGCTGGGATTAATCTAACTGAAACGGAACCACATTTACCTGAAGTTTTAGCAGCAACTGAGTGTGGAGCACCTAAATTAGAACCCCAATAACCTCTTCTGATTGGGATAATTGATAATTTGGCAATAACAATAGCAGCTTTAATGGCTGAAGCAACTTCTTTAGCGGTTTTAATACCTAAACCAACGTGACCGTTAGAATCACCAATGATAACAACAGCTTTCATTCTGGTTCTTTGACCGGCTCTGGTTTGTTTTTGAACTGATCTAATTTTCATAACTTCATCTTTTAATTCAGGTAATAATTGATCAATAACTTGGTATTCCTTGATTGGTAAGGAGTGTAAGTAGATTTCTTCGATAGATGAGATTTTACCGGATTTGACTAATCTACCTAATTTGGTGACTGGAACCCATCCTTTTTCTTCATCTCTTCTACCTCTTCTTGGTCTACCACCTTTACCACCGAAGTTTCTTCTTCTTGGGGCTTGGCCTTGGGCTGGAGCTGGAGCTTGTTCACTCATTTTTATTCTATTACTATTTAATTTGTCGGGATGTTACGTGGAAAGCCGGGGGTGTTGGTTTTCAATCGACAAGTAATTTAATGAAAATTTTCAGAATGAGGAAGATGATTTTAAAAAATCTTCTAATGTCTCGTATGTCGTCAGAAGAGTAATGAGACATAAAGTCACACTAGTTAATAAGGGCTGGTGCCCTATATTATCACGTGATATGGCAAAATTATAAACTGTTAATACCGAAACCAATAATTTTTAATTACGATTGAATAGTAGAATAGAGTGAAGGTCAATGGATTGAAGATCAGGAGTAGCTTCCCGGAATGAGGAAATTCTACCCTTATCCAATAAGCATTATAAGCGAAACAATTAAAGCAAAACCCTCCGCGTAATCGGATGTTCAAAGCTTGTGACCATTGAGGATAAAACACTTCAACCAGCATAGTTTCATTTCCAATCTATATATGTTAAATGGTTCACTTCCTTGTTATTACAATGAATTATTCGCCAGTAAGTGTAATTGATCGTTCGACTGAAACAGCCTTCAAATTGGATGTCTCAAATTGCTATAACACTCACACTACTGGCGATAAGGAACATCATGAGATTTAATCGCATGATACCCCAGATATTTTTAGTGCATTATTACCTCTCAAATAACGATAACTCTGGATAAAGTGATTCGTTAAAAGTCCCTATACCCTCTATAATTCAATTCAATGGATTAAAAGGTCTCTAATGCTTTTTGTTGTCGAATTTTAAAGTTGTCTCTTCAATTGCTACTCAAGTGACACCTGTATATAACACCATCATTATTCCATAAAAATTGGAATCTATTTAAGGGATGAATTCCCATTGACAAAAATTAACTCAATTATTTATTCAATTTTTTTATTAACTTTGGTTGAAGGTTGAATTGCATTGTAATTATTTGAAAAATGTCATACGCTGAAGCTGCTAAATCATCAGGTCCAATTGGTGCTGAAAAAATCCCAGAACCACCAACTATCGAAAAGTCACAACCTGAAGGTAACATTGAAGTCATCCCAGAATCTAAGTTAAGTGAATTCCAAACTAACGACAAACAAAAGATTGATTTGTCTAAAGTAAAAGATTTCAGTAAAGATGTTGAAAAGGAAATTGAAGAAGCCAAAGCAAGAGGTGAAGACTTGTTATCAAAACTTTACAAAAATTTGAAAGCTAGCTTCACTAAAATAAATTCAAAAGTTTATGATTTAGGTATTACCACTAAGACTGAAACTGTCAAATTCAGTGAATTCGCTTTGAACGAATTAAAAAACCCAGTTGTTGTTATTCAAGGTTTAGTCGGAGTTTCTGCTATTGTTGCCGGTTACTTTGGTTATTTAGAAAGACATCGTGTCAATTACAGTAATAACTTAACTTTGGGTATTCACGCTTCAATTTTAACTGGTTTAGTTTTAGCTGATGGATATTTATTCAACAAATTCTATCCAAAATATAAATAGATTAATGAACAATTCAAGATGTTTCGAAGAAAAGATTTCTCTTGGGTTTCAATTTCTGCCCAGATTGTGTCAGGCTTGTTATCTGTTCTTGATTTACAATGTTTTGCTTTGAGGAATGATAAGCCGTTCCTTCGTTTTTCCATAGTCAGCCTCGCGATGAAATTGATAAATTATGTATGCCAGTTTCTTTTTCTACAATCAGTAGTCTCTAGTATGGTTTGTGAGTATTCATGAATTTTTCGGTTCGGTGAGTCAATATTGCTTGGAACAAGATAGGATATTTCTTTGAGTTGTTGCAGTGGAGTGTGTTGGAGTGTGAAGTTGACAAAATAATGATCGGATAACTTTACTTAACCTTGAAATCTTTTTCTTCAAGTTTTCCACAATGTCGTTTATCCCTTTGACCTGAGCTTCATTTCTCCAAAGGATCAATTACCCAGTCGCCTTTGTAATAAAACATAGAATGGCTGCAAATAATTAGATTCAAATCTGTATATCACTCATTCTGTTTATCGAAGTTTCTGTACCAGGAAAATATGGCAAATCCAACGCACTTGATCCTCTTCTACCTCCGAATTTGTAATTCTGTGTATTCGTACTCCTACATGTGAGTTTGTTGATACTCAAAAAAAATAAAAACTTACCCCAATCGAGACATATAAAGCTTAATTTACTTTATAGAAAAAACCTAAGATGGGTTACATTCTGCAGATCTTAATAGAGGAGATTACATTGTAATTTGTATGACTAAGAATAATTACGAACTCATTTGAAAGAGCTTTTGCTCATTATACCACGATACTGATCGTTTCAAAAGTATTCTTGGAGGATTCGTAAATATCAACCGGCAGAAGTAAATATCAACGAATCTAAGATTTGAATCTTCGACTTGTATTATGCATTTTCGAAATTTCAATTATAACCCAACTCCGCTATTTGATTGTCACTGTCGCAAAAAAAATCAATAACTTTTCCTAAACAGGAAATTATTTTGATTTTAATTTTTTTCAATAATAAATTTTCGTTAATATAAAATAATGAAAGAATCCGTTAATTGTTATTGACAATAAATCAATATGAAATATTCATTCTTCCTTTTACCATTCTTTTTCATATTCAACTTTTCACTTTCAATTCCATTTGAATCTGAATTAATAGCTCAAAGAGATTATGCGGTCTTAACTGAATTTTTTGCAGTTATTGAAAAAACAGGTATTGCCGTTGATATCATCAAACTTTTAGCTTCTAACAAGATAACTGAACCAATCTTAGCTGATGCCATTGCCCTTTTCGTTAAAACTCAAAATTTAGATGATTTATTAGGTGCCGTTGACAGATCAGGTTTAACTGTTGATATAATTTTAAGAGCTTTACAAGATGCAAGCTTTTTCCCTGGTTTATACGACATTGTTGATGGTTTGAAGACTGGTGCTTCTACTTCACCTTCAAAAGCTGCCCCAGATACTATCGCTTTAGCCACTGATTTGGCTCAAGTTGCTTCAAGCGCAAGTCAATTTAGCAGTGATGGATTATTCAGTGTTTTCAGTGAAATTGGTGGTAATTTAGGTATTGGTGATAATGGTGGTATTTTCTCATACTTGAGTCCTGTTTTATCCTTAGTTGGTTTATCTGACACTAGAGGTTCAAGTTCAGGATCAAGTGCTATCTCATTAAGTCCAAGTGCAACTGCTGCTGTTGCCAGTGTGTCTGGTGTTACTGTTGCTACTGGCACTGCTACTGCTACAGGTACTGGTACTTCAACTCCAACCACCGGTACTTCTAAAGGATCTTCAACTACTAAAGCACCAAGCACTACCTCTGCTGCCACTTCAACTCCTACTAGTACTAGTTCAGGTAGTTCCAGTTCAAGTTCAGGATCTAGTTGGATAAACGGTTTATTCAATACCGTTAGAGGCTGGTTCAGTAAACGTGACTTTGAAGAAACTTCATTATCCGCTAGAAGCTTGGATAGAAGACAAAACGAAATCCTTGATAATTTAGTTGATTCATTAGCTAAATCAGGTTTAGCCATGCAAGTTATCGTTGAATTGATCGAAGATAATTCTATGCATCCATTTATGAGAGATTTGATTATCAGAATCGTTAAACGTAAATCTATTACTATTGATTCATTGAAGAGTGCTCTTGACAGTACTAATCTTTTGAACAATGGTGTCATTGGTGCTTTAACAAGTCCAAATCTCGGAATCACTATTTCTTAGATCATGAAATAATTTCTTCATACGGTGGGTAGGGGTCAAAATAATGTTTATACCAAAAAATGAAAATATTCAATTTCTTTACTCTATCTCTTGATTTGAGCATCACAGAAAGAAAGAGTTTACGATATGTTTCAACACCCCATCCTGAAAAATTCTTATTTGTATACATTTTTAGTTCATTGCATATTTACTTTTTATTTCTATACGTTTCTCTTTTCAAATGAAACTGGTAGCTATTTTGATACGTTTTACGCTCAAATGAAACTGGCAGCAAATGCCAATGTTGTCAAAACAAAGTTTCTCTCGTTCAACAATCCTTTATTCTCTGAGGATGATTCAGAGTCTTCTTTACTAGTAGTGGGTGACGATATGGAAATAAAATCCAGTGAGGACGCAACATCAGCTTCGCTGAATTTGGAAGAACATTCTACTAACAAATAATCCAAATTCATGTTTTTAAGGATACTCGAAAACCCTTTGGCCATATTACTGTCACAATATTTATCAATTTGCTTCTCGGTAAATGGATTAGAATTAGATTTATCACCCTTAGGATATTCTATATGGAATATAGTCTTTCCTTGATCGATGAATTCTTCATAAAGATCACATTCTTTATATTCAACACATTGTTCTTGAACTGAAAAGTCTACATCGTTGACCAAGTCATCAACTATTGAGCCACCATTTTTCAAACCCACGGACATTCCATTGGAATGACCTGTTTTGACTAAAAATTTGACAAAATCAATGGAATCGCTCTCAGTAAGATTGAAACCATTGTCATTGTCATATCCATCTATATTGTCAGGATCTATGGCATCACAGTTTTTTGATTTAGCTAATTCTATCCTTTGGGTCATTATATTACGAACGTTTAAGGATCGAATATCTAACCATCTTTCCCCTTTCCATCCATCTAATGGCTCACCGAGATCAACACTATTGAATTTATCAGCATCATCTCTCCAATCTTCATAGCTTCCTGCAGAAAAATAACAGATAACCTTCTTACCAGCCTCGTGAAGATCGTCAATTATGTCTTTGGAAGCATCCAAGACATCAATATCATATACATCTATCGACTCACTGAAATTTTGAGGAACACTTTTCAAATGATAATCCCATGTCATATTACCTTTAGGTTGCCACATCTCTGCCCTGGCTAATGCAATCGTCATCAACCATAATATGATAAAGTGTGACATATTTTGGGCAATTAACTTTTCGAAAGACCTTGGGGAAAACTATACGTAATCATCGTAAATGGAGTTTTTCGTGTCAAAACAAACTTCCGCGAATCTTTAATAATGCTAAATTTAGAGCCACCAAAACATCCCGCTTATCGCTGTGATATGAGTTAATCAGTGTCACATATTTGATGGAACGCGAGCGGAGAATTTCCCCGTCTAATTTTAGATTATAATTGCATGTTTCTAGTCGTAAGTGACAATTTGTGATTCAAAAATTCGCCTTTCGTGAAAATGGCCGCTTAACACCTTGTAATTGTTAACAAGATTCGGGTTCATTGTACTTTCCAAGGTTCCGAATTACCATCCCTGCTTTGGATTGAAAATATCCTTCCGTGAACGATTCACATTCTTAGTTTTGGATGTAAATCAGTTGATTTCAGAAGGCAATTAAGATCGACAACTGAAGATTTTGTTGATATAAGTCTCTGAATTAGATGTCGAACAATCATAACTCAATTTCAAAACAGCATCCTTGGGTGTTGATTGCACAACAATACAGCATCAACCACATGTTATCCATAAAAACAAGGGACCTCTGTCAAAAGTTCCCGTCGTATCTGCGCGCCGCACGGTACAAAAGGAGGCTATACCTCAGTCCAGAATCGGTTCAAATAATATTAATATTGAGGAAGATCCCCTTAAGATCTGTTCACCACTTTTAAAGAGTAAACACCACAAATATGGTTCGTAGCTTAATGTTTATCATCTTGGTTCACTATGGCTAAAACTCTGGCAATTTCTCCCAAGTTTTTAAAAAGCTTTATTCGATGTTACCAGACTATGAGCACGCAAAATTTATTCAATGTTATCTCCTTTGTTGACCTTTATGACTTTATCCTTGAGACTTTATGCCTCGGGATCAGTAACATTAAGGATGTCGTTTCATCCAACATGGGTAACTTCCTTTAAATCTTCCTTTCGCATCATCTTACTCTCTGCTATATAGGTTAGTATTTTCTTCAAGAGTAACCATCCGGATTAAAGCCTCTTCATGTCCGCTCATTTAAGAGCTTTGCTTAAATTTCCCCTTCAATTGATTAAGTATTTCCTGCATACAAGTTTTATTATTAGAACTGACCCGTAAGTGATTTGTTTATTCATAAATGGGTGTCGGTCTAAACAGAAAATCCCTTGAAGATAACGTTTCATGGTTTGTTGATTATTTAAATGATGGCTTTTCCCTCTCAAATCTCTCATTTAATCAAATATGCATAAAAGAATTAGAACGAGACTTTTAGTTTTAGTGTTTGCCATAAGTATTCTTGCCTCAATAACATATATCAGTTCATGTGATACTTACAATTTCCCAACACCAGTTGGAATAATACCTCATTCTTATGAGAACTCGATAAAATATACTAAACCACAAGTAGGTCAAGTAAAAGCTCAACCAAGGCATATTTTTTGGGATAAAGTTTTCAATATATTTGATGCTGGCAGCTTCAATGTTACAGGAATCGATAAAAAAGACGCCATTCAGTACGTTGATAGAAAACTTCAAATCAAAGGTCCTAATACTAAAAATGTCTTGTTATCCAGAGCTATAGTGGAGCCTATAGTATTTAATGAATTGAAAAACAAACATGATTTAGTAAAATATCATTTACCTAAAAGATTAGAATCTTCTACCTACAAATCAGGGACTAGTGGGATAGTTATAATAGGGGGAGGAAAGTTTTCTTGGTTGGCATATTTATCATTGAAAGCTTTAAGAAATACTGGATCTACTTTACCAGTAGAAATAATTATGCCTCAATATGATGACTATATTAAGGAACAAGAATTTTGTTCTCAAGCATTACCAAAATTAAATGCTCAATGTGTAATACTCCCTGAGGTTTTGGGTGCCTCAGTGATGTCGAGATGGTCTGATAAAATGGCTAGTTATCAATTGAAATCTTTAGCTTTAATGGTTTCAACTTTCCAGAATGTGTTATTGTTAGATTCTGATAATGTGTTGGTTCAAAATCCTGACAATTTATTTAAGAGTGACCTATTCAAAACAAATGGTATGATAACTTGGCCAGATTATTGGAAACGTTCCATATCTCCTTTGTTCTATAACATTTCTAGAGTTCAAGTCAATGAAAAGAAGAGAATAAGATATAATAGATTCCCCTTATTTGTTGACTCTTCAACAAAAGAGAATGTTCAGACGCTTGAAAATGAAGAAGAAAACGTTCCATATCACGACTTGGAAGGTACAATCCCTGATTTATCTACCGAATCGGGACAATTGATGATCAACAAGAAAACTCATTCTTGTACACTTTTATTATCAATGTACTATAACCTATTGGGCCCTGATTTATATTACAAATTATTCTCTTTGGGTGAACCAGGAGAAGGTGATAAAGATACCTTCCCAGCTGCTGCAGTAGTTTGCAAAGAAAAATTCTATCAAGTTAAATCATTTATTAGAACTTTTGGATATTTTGATAATGGGGGTAATTTCAGAGGCGTAGCTATGGGACAGAAGGATCCCCTTTTTGATCTCGGCAAGACTGAAACTCATTTAACAAAGCCTGATGGAGTAAGTGAGATAAAATTTAAATCAATACCCAAACAAATTGAAAGACTTAAAGGAATTGAAGGTGAACAATTCGATACTTGGCCAGTACCTTTGTTTGCTATTCATTGCAATTTCCCTAAATTAGATCCAATTGGCTTGATGGAAAGAGATGATTTGTTTGATGTGAAAAACTTCAGACTCAACTACAGAATGTTTGATGGTTTAACATACGATGATCCGAATAATGAGGGTAATAAGTTAGACTTTGAATTGGAACAATGGAAGAATATGGAGTCTTCTTTATGTGATGAAGATCCAGGATTCTCTCATTTTCGAAAAAATGAAATTCAGTATTATTGTTTATTCGCCAAAAGTCAAGTGAAATGGTTAAGTTCTTCTGTATGATACGTAGTTTTTAAATATTATTTCCGTGTAAACATCTTTAAGGATTATAGCTCTTATCAAAAACAAGTGAGAATTAGGGGTATAAGTGGGTCTGAATCATGATATAGCAACGAGAACTCACAATATTTGGAAACAGGAATATTTGAAGTTGCATCTTGTCAACATGTATTGCGACAATTTTGCTGTATCCCGACATTTTTGTGATCAGAAGTTGTAATAATAGTAGTATTCTTGTTTATCTATAATAATGGATGATTTCAAAATTTCATCTGTATTGTTACTAAGGCAAGACTGTATGGTTTATTAATACTGTTTAGTTACCAGCAGCTTAGTTTCGAGCTAGCTTGTTGTCATGCTTGAATGTAGTTATCCTTTCAGAAAGTTTTTCGCATACATGGGATTGTATTTATGGGGGGTGTTACAACAATATGTTCTCTCAGTTCCTTTTCCGAGTTGAAAGAAAAATTAAGGTATCAATGGTTAACTAGACAAAGATGGTGAGTTTCGTGTCATGAAAATTTTGAAATCATGAGTCAAAGAAAAATTTCTGTTATTTGGTTGACTTAATTTTATCAGCTTATTGACCTCTCTGATATGTTCTCCTCGAATGGTGTAGGGTTAAATATCAAAATAGACGTCCTCTGATGCAATTTCGTGCAAGTCGAAATTTTTACGAGCCGGCAAGAAGGCTGCGAAAAATACCACAAACTCACAATTTTTTTTTTTTCATTTGTGCAATGAACGAACCTGAACTCTTGAAAAGACTCATATTGGAAGCTGATAGCTTGACAATCAGACAAGGATTGTTCCTTCTCAATGAAAACGGAACGTTCAAGGAACTCCTGCCGGATGCTAGGGAATGTCTTGAGGAAGTCATGAAAGAAATGAATTGGATGGCTTCTTACAAGGTTTATTTTTCAATCCCATATCTGTTTACTGTTAATAATAATAATGAGTCAAGAACAAACAGTTCAGCTGAGGATATAAGTAAGTCTGACTCACAGTCTACTGCTCTCCCAAAAGGATCTACCAGTAAGGCTGATAACTATTCAAGGGATGTGATTCCTCAATGGACTAGGAAGATCACAAATGAATGGCTTGATTTAAAGTTTGGCCAAGTAGACAAGAAGTTTGAGAATATATGGTCAGAATGGGGTGTATACATTGAGAACAATGATATGAATAATGCTCCTGAAGGACTCAAGAGAATCCACCAAGTGAAATCTAGTTTGCCAGGCAACATAGTAATGACAAAGGGCTGCCCAGAAGATGATGTAAAAGATGCTTTCTTTTCCAAGATTAAATCAGTTTTGTATGAATATCTAGCTGTATTAAATTTCAGTGGAGGGTCAAGAAGAACTGAGCTACTCAAACCTTTCAAATCACGCCCAGACTTTTCTTTTAATGACACGGATGGTACTGATATTCGTTTCTTCATTGAGTTCAAAAAACATGGGTTGTTCAATTATGTGGATGAGAATGGTATAAAAGATAATCACGAGATGAACACGATTATGAAGCAAGCATCAAAGTACATGGTATCCGCAGGAATAGACTGTTGTATAATCTCAGATGTCGAGGTTTCAATTCTAGTCCAACTTGACTTTGAAACCAGTGAAGGCAAGACTGAGAAAATATTGAAAGCGAAAGGAAAAATTGAAACAATTGCATTTGTGCCCTTTAAGTACTATGTGTTCCACCCAAATGATACTGTTTATACATTCCAAGCAATTTTATGTTCAGTGCTTTATGACCAAAAGCTCCGAGCTGGAGATCCTATTCAAAAGCAGAATGTCGAAAGGTTAAAGGCTTTGATACTTAAAGAGGACCCTGAATTACGGGTGCCTAGAAGTGGTGGAAGCAGAGGTAGCTCTGGAAGTGAGAGTCAAATCAGCCATCTGACACCCCCAGGCTCTTCTATGATTTCTTATACCCCATTACGTTCAATCGATGAACAAGATTCCAGCACAGAAAACATGGACGTAGATGAGAATCCTAAAACCAATGAGCAAAAGAGTTGGAGCCAGTACAAAGACCGGATATTCTACTTTAATAAGGGAGATTTCGAGGCTCTTCAACAGGGAGGGTACTATCTAAATACGGTATTAAAATTAAACAGAGCTGCTATAGATAGAGTTTTACCACATTTGAATATTCCTCCATCAGTTCCATATGTGATTTTGAAAGTCTACGACTTGAACTCATCGGATATTTACACTGAATACCATGATTGGGAAATCGGTTATGAGGAGCTCAAAAGATTTATGGAGGATAAATTTAATACGGAAGTTGAGTGTTACATACGTACAAATGCCTACAATGAAAGTCATCATAAAGGAGAATGTCTCAGGGTTCCTAAGATGTACGAATTTGGAGGAGGTTTTATCAAAGAAGATGGAGACTTTTTTTCTTTTGGGTGGTATTTGATACTAGAGTATTTAGAGAAGGATTCCAACCATAAATTTAGTTTAGAAGAAGCAAAAAACCAAGTAAAGCTTCTAGGAAGCATGGGAATCCAACACAATGATATACACCCGAGAAATGTAGTTGTGTCTCACAGTAGATTTAATCTCATTGATTTCTCGGAAGCCCACTTGGATGAAATTGATATTCACGAAGACTTGGAAAGCTTGGAGTATGTTTGGAAAAAAACTTTGGAGCATGTGTGGAATAAGAACGTGGAGCAACCGCAGCAACTTCAATCAAGTTTCGGAGCTCACGAAGAAGTACAGAATCGAAGAAAAGTGGAACAGATCAAGGATATGAACTATTCTGGGGATCTGGACAAGGAGAATCGTACTAAGGAATAGTAAAATCTTAAAAAAGCATACTATTGAACCGAATGGAATTGGTATAGGGTAAAATAAATAAAGTCTCTATTTACTAATTCTGAGCTAACAACCTTGGCTCACACCTCCTACCAAATTTACGAGTCATTAGAACGAAGGCAATAGAAATAACATATTCGTACTCAATACGATGATTTGTGAAGGGAAATCTCTCTCATGTTGAACATGAATTTCCACTTCCATAACAATCTTGAATAATTGCTAATCCAATCGCAAAAGGTTGTTACTCTGAACCAAGACCAAATTTTCAAAGTTTCTAGAAGAATTGTTCAAAATGAACTATCCAAATAGTATTGAAATTGTGCTAAACGAGAACCCAATATTGTGGACAGACAATTTACACACTCAGAACCTCACGTTGAAAAATGTCTAAATATGCGACACCAAATATGCGACATGTGAGATTTTGCAGCCAAACTTTATATTCTCAATTATATGTCATGAACTGATCGAATAAGAAAATTTTGAAATATGGACTTGATTAATGATACTGCCACTACTGACTTACTACCTTGTAGACGAAAAAGGAAGAAGGGATTGATTCGTTTTTTTAATTCGGTATAAGATTTGATAATGATGACTAATGGATGTTAGTGAGGGAAATGTAAAAGAGTTCAATATTACCAAACTAAATGCAGTATATACACAGGGGGTACACATACAATGTGTTGAGAATAACACAGCCCACTTTTATCCATTAAATTCGCAGTGTGTCCTCTTCTTTACTTTGCGCTGTGGGTTGAGAGTATAAAAGATAACGTGTCAAAAAATGGTTAGTTTGGAGAAAAAATTTCGTCCACACTATTCTTTTAATCACAGAATGTTCATACCATAATAAAAATAATATAAAGAAATTTCACATTTATTTATTTTTTGTTTTACAGTTAGTTTGATAGTTTGTGAGAAGACATGAAAGTTGCAAAAAATAGAAGAAAAAGAATTAGAAAAAAATGTGCGAACAGTGAAGGACAGTTAGAACTACAGCAGCAGTAAAGTAGAGGGAGTGTGGTAGCGATATTACTATTGAT